AACGTTTTCCATTAAGTGCTTCTGTGGATGTAATTGTTAGTATATTTCTATGATTGTCTATCTAATAGCTCTGAATTGTGTATTTTTAGGTCCGCAATGTACGCCTCATTATGGATCGCAATTCAAGACGTTCTAAGGGAGTTGGGTAAGTTTTTCTTATGTCCTGACCTTCAACAAGAATGGATGATGGTACCCACTAGGTTTGATATCTGCTTAGGAACCAAAAATATATTAAGCTTTTGGCTTATTTTGTATTTAAATCTATTGTATATATGCTCATGTTGTAGGTTAAGAAGGTTAACAAAATGAGGCTCGCTGAGTACATTGAAGCAATGAGTGGTGTGAAGGTTTGGTAACAAGTTCTTAGAACTTCTATCCTGTTCATCTTTTCTCTTTTGTCTTGAAGGTATGTCTAATAGATTACACTGAAATTTATCACTTTCAACTGCAGGTCAGTTTAGATGCAATGTTTGATGTGCAGACAAAGCGAATACACAAGTACAAAAGGCAGCTGCTTAATATACTTGGCATTATCCATCGATATGATTGTATCAAGGTGAATATGATTTTATATGGTGAAAAACTTTGCATTCCATATTTTTATAACTTATTAACAAAGAACTACCTTATACCTTCTAAAGGGAGCATCACCTCAACATTGTGCATGCCTAGTTCATCTTCTTGTCACGGTAATTTAAGTTGTTGGACAGTAATTTGTTGATTTTTCAATGAGGTATGATGTGGAGTTGAGCCTTTCTTCTCATGTTTTTTGTATTTTAGCCCTAAACCCTAAAATAATATGACAAAATTGAATATTTAAAGAGTATAGCCGATCGGCTATACTCTTAGAATATGTTCGAATATTTTAAACGTATAGCCGTTCGACCATACTTTCGCAATACATTCGAATATTTTAAAAGTATAGCCGCGCGGCTATACGCTTTAAATATATTCTTTACGAACACGAAGCTTGCACTCGCAGAGGACGAACTTGCACTTGCGGTCACTGCTTCGTTCTCCGAGTTCGGCAACGAAAAGAGACCCAACCCGCCTAGGCGCTCGCTTAGATGCCTAGCCACCGCCTAGCCACCGTTTAGTGCCCGCCTAGCCGCCTAGCGCCCGCCTAGCCGCCTAGCCGCCTAGCCGCCTAGCCGCCTAGCCGCCTAGCGCCCGCCTAGCCGCCTAGCGACCGCCTAGCGCCTAGCGCCTGCCTAGCAACCGCCTAGCGACCGCCTAGTGCCCGCCTAACGACCGCCTAGCGCCCGCCTAGCGACATCCTAGTAGCCTAGCGCCCCCCTAGCGACCGCCTAGCCGCCTAGCGCCTGCCTAGCGACATCCTAGCCGCCTAGAGCCCGCATAGCGACTGCCTAGCCGCCCTCCTAGGCCGATTTTTCAAACACTGCGATTGACTGAAAGTCTGAAACCCGAAATTGAAAAAATTTAGCTGCAAATTTGAGCTTGAGATTGGGAAGCTGAAGCAGTGAAGCACAAGTCAGGTCCATAGAAGAGCAAATATGTTGGTGCATGCATTCTATGGTGTTATCTTGAACTTTCTATCTTTCACATTCTCATATCTTAACTATTAAGATTTGGTGAACAACTTTGACAGATTTTTCTGAAGGCAGATGAAAGAGATGTATACGAGTTCTTCTCAAGGGCTGGCAAGGTTTGTACATTTCTCGTTTATTTATCTCATGTTCATTTAACAAATCATAGAGGATGGTGGATAAAGATCTTAAACTATTTGGCTAAAAGGGACTTCTTGATATAAATGCATTATATTTTCACCTTCTGCTCTCAAGGGCACCCTGACACTATCTGATGCAGTGCTTCAACTAAACCAAATACTGGAAACCCATAACGTTTTCCATTAAGTGCTTCTGTGGATGTAATTGTTAGTATATTTCTATGATTGTCTATCTAATAGCTCTGAATTGTGTATTTTTAGGTCCGCGATGTACGCCTCATTATGGATCGCAATTCAAGACGTTCTAAGGGAGTTGGGTAAGTTTTTCTTATGTCTTGGTGACAAAAGCTTTGGATGGTTGTTAACAGAAGGTTCACTTTAACAATTACCCATTATGCAATGGTAGCGTTTAAGATGATGTGAGAGTCCTAAATTATCCGGTTGTTAATGAAAAAAGTTTATATGGTTGTGTTGACAAGAAACCGAAGATTTCATTCTAAGGTTCAAATAAGACTATCCTTTTAATGTCGCTTGGTCATTTTTGGAATGGTTGGCAGTTCCTGCTTCCTTCTTGATGGCTGCATCTTCCTTGTTCCAACGTTTTCTTGTGCAGTACGAAGAATCATCACATCATTTACAATGTTCAAAATTTGCACCATCATCTTAGAAAGTTTACGATGATATTGATCGCCTTTGTACTAAAAGCAGTACATATAGTATATACTACTGGTTATTCTAGTTGGTCAAGATGATCAGATATATCATATAGGACATTTTTCTTTCCCCGTTTTGAACTATGTGTGGAAACTCCAGTAAACTTCGCTATTATATGCATCTGTATGTGGCAATTGGTTTTTGATTATCCAAGAGTCTAATGTTGTCTAGTTTGTAGGTGTATTGAGTTTTATGATGCAATGTCGGTACCTATGGCGATTGGACTTTCTGGTCAGCCTCTTCTTGGTCAACCGGTGATGGTGAAGCCATCAGAGGCTGAGAAGAATCTGGTTCAATCAACATCTGTGGTTAGCGGACCAGGTGGGATGATAGGCCCATATTCTGGCGGAGCTAGAAGGCTGTATGTTGGAAATCTCCATACCAATATAAAAGAAGACGATCTCCGCCAGGTGAGTACTTTTCTGACACAGTTCTAATGTTGGCATCAGATAATGTACACAATCAAGCTTGCTGTTGGTTATGTAATTTTTTTTGTTGTTGTTGCTTTTGAGCACTTCTGTTCACAGTTTCCTAATTTCGTCTTTGTAATTGTGAATATTTTTTGCATTTTGACTTTCACCCTTTAATATGTGATATATATGCAGGTTTTTGGAGCATTTGGTCCTGTAGAACTGGTTCAGTTACCTGTTGACGAAACTAACAACTGCAAAGGTTTTGGATTTGTGCAGGTCTGTTTGACTACAATTTTCAACTTAAGCAGCCTGGATATAGAATAAATATATAAATGTTTGCATGCAGCTAGTTATATTAAGCCAAAGGTCAACCAACAAGCAATCCATAACATGGTTTAATTAAAACTTCAAAGACTGTTGGCATCCTTCAGTTCTGTTATTTATTTATATTTATTTTCAAGTCCAAATCCATGTAGGGGAAATTTATTAAAGGAAAGAAAAAGAAAACTGTCAACTGCCGGTTCGTTGTAGCTTGAGTTGGAATTTGAAATTGACTCTAAACAAATGCACACCTTTTCTTGATTGGGTCTTCTACTGCACCAGAATTTAAAAAGAATCTAGTGTATTGTCTTTCAAGTTTCTTCCCAACTCAAACTGAGAAGAGTGGGCACTAAAAACTTCCAACTGCCAAATCCTTAGCTAGGTGCGGGCATGGGTTGGGTTAAGGGTCAACCCATCATACAATTTCAGGTTACAATATTTTAAAACCTGAAAGGCCAGTGAAATCAAGTTGGGTTGGCAATGTTTTTTTTACCCTTCCTTTTAGTTCAATTCCATTGCAGTTGTTCTTATCAGATGCTGGATATGATTCCTTGTAATTGTATTGAATAAATCAAACTCATTGAATCAGTTACTTGCAGTTCTCACGTCTTGAAGATGCTAGAAATGCACCGAGTTTGAATGGAAAATTGGAGTTTGCAGGTTGACTAATTAAGGTAATGGCACTTTACTATATTGTTACAGACCAAGCTGGAATGCAAGATCTTGGAGCAAATGCTGGTGATTTTGATGACGATGAAGGTGGTGACTTGGTTAGTAAGATCTTTCCTTTTATGTTTTTATTTTCTATTAACACAAAGAATTTGTGGACTGATATGATTGCTAAGAACTGTTTGCTCTGGCTGAGTAATATCTGGGAATAATTGTTGAATGTATGGAAGCTGCTGCTGCTCCATTGCTTTTAAGCTTTTTTGCTGCTTGATGCTTATGGTATCTATAGTTTGTTCGATTGGCTTAATATCTTTTGTGTTTATTGTTCTCTTATTTATTTGAGTAGATATATATTTCTTACTTCTTAAATGATTAGAGTTCATTCTCCTAGGAGAAAAATAAGGTCAAAAAATAATTTGAACTACCATCTCTTGCACTCCTGCCAGCTTTTTAACCTTTGATATTGGAAAGATTGCTCATTCAAGGTTGTTTTTTTTGCTAGCAGATTATTGAAGTTGAGCTTGATAATTCAAAATAACAAATCCATGAATTTTGTAATCATTTTACGGTTTCGGCAACTCATGTCTCAAGGCATTGCAGACATCAGCTCTACAAAGCCAAGGGTGATAGTTTGGCATAGAAAGAGTGTCTGCACTGCATAATTTTTGTAGTTGACCTGAGTGAAGGTGATTGACGTATTGTTTTATTAATCTTACAGTCATTGAATGCCCGCTCTCGGGCAATTCTCATGCAGAAATTGGATCGCAGTGGCTCTGGATCAGGGTTGGTATTTTCTGAGCACTTTATTCTATTTTGAATTGTTTTAGTTGGTCTTACATTGGCTTTGTATGCAGTATTGCTGGTCCCCTAGGCACTCCCGCTGTCAATAGCACCGGTGTTTCTTTACCAATGGAACTACCAACAGCACCACTCCTGGGAGCTGCACCAGTGGTTTCTCCTCTTGTTCCTCCCATCACCGCTGTTCCTGGTATCGCCGGACTTGGTGTTGCTGGTCTTCAAATTCCTACTTCTACCCTTCCTTCTATAGATACAATTGGTGTTCCAAGCGAATGTTTACTGTTGAAAAATATGTTTGATCCAGCAGTTGAGGTTGGTGGTGGATTCTTCTGATACTGAGAGATTTTCTTCATTTCCTTGGTGGTTATATTATATAATTTGTCTTCCTTTTTGAGCAGACGGAACCAAACTTTGACTTGGACATTAAAGAAGATGTTCAGGAGGAGTGTTCAAAATACGGGAATTTGAGGCATATCTTTGTAGACAAGTAAGCTTGTTCGCATTAGTTATGTTGTCCTTTGTCTCTTGCACATGTCTGACTTGCATTCATGTCAATGAGCAGGAATACCGCTGGTCATGTGTACTTACGATTCGAGAACACTCTCGGCATGTTCTCCATGGAACAACCCACAGTTTATTTTGATTTGCCTCCAGAGTCAAAACAGACAGGTGTCTGTTTTTGAGCACAAGAAGAAGAAGAGAAGGGAAGTCAAACCCAGACACATTCTGCTGCTGTCAGTATTGATGACCGCCAATCATCATTCGTCATCTTCAGCTAAAATTGGGTTTTGCCAGAACTTGAAAAAATTCAAAGCAATTTCTTATACGCATTAACCTTCAAATTTAAATAACCGTTGTGGTATGTACTTGTTTCGTTTTTTTAAAATAAAAATAAAAATAAAAGATTATTTGTTTATGTTTTTCGATTATAGAATTAAAAGGAAGAGGGTGATGTGAAACAAAAATGAAGAAAAGAGATGCAAGAAAATTAGAAAAGATAAAAGTTCCGGTTTTTCATAATTTTTTTAGGCTTAATATCACAAAATGTCCATAATGTTTACGAAACTATTAGATTACATCTTTAATGTTTTTCTGCGTCATTCGTGGTCCTCAAGGTTAGTTTGTGCGATCACAAATGGTCCTTATTGTTAGGTTCTGTCAAAAATTTCGTTAGTTTGCTAATGTGGCTATAGTGTTAGAATATAATGTATTTAAAGCGTATAGCCGCTCGGCTATACTCTGTGTTTTAATTTTTTTTAAATAGTATAGCCGTTCGGCTGTACATATTTTGACAAGTGTACGCCTAATCGCATGGCGGGCATTTAAAAAAATTGTAAAAACTAAATTTTTTCTGATTTTATAAAAAATTAGTATATCCGCTCGGCTATACTCGTACTGATTAATGTTTCTTAAAACGCGATTTTTTTCCTTTTTTTAAATAATAAAAATAATGAGAGTATGCCAAACTGTTTTGGATTCAAAAAAGTCATCATGCACCTCCTCCATTATACAATCATAAGAAAAAATTGAACTAGAGAAGAAGTTCCCCATGATTATCTTGCGGGTTTAAACTTGAAACAACCCACAGTTTATTTTGATTTGCCTCCACAGTCAAAACAGAGGGCTTATCTGTTTTGAGCACAAGAAGAAGAAAAGGGAAGGCAAACCCAAACACTGTCTGCTGCTGTCAGTATTGACCGCCAATCATCATTCGCCATCATCATCGTCATCTTCAGCTCAATTATGCCTGTCCTTAACATCCCCATCACAAATATAAGAAGTAGAAGCCTGAGTCTCCAGAGCATAATTAATCAAGTACTACATGGAAGCAGAAGCAGATGTTGTGATTGTTGGAGCTGGAATTTCTGGCCTTGCAACATCCTTAGGACTTCACAGGTTCTCTCTCTCTCTCTCTCTCTCTCTCTCTCTCTCTCTCTCTAATACACACATGTTAATGTTCATGGTTCATATATTTGTTACTATGGTCGGAATCAAAATTGAAATTTCTGGGTGCAGGCTGGGGATTAGAAGCTTGGTGTTGGAATAATCTGATAGTTTTAAGGACAACGGGTTTTGCATTGACAACATGGACAAATGCATGGAAGGCCTTAGATGCCCTTGGTCTTGCCAATTCTCTTCGCCAACAACATGTCACACTTGATGGGTAATTTTCTCTCCATGCATCACTCTCTCTTGCCCCTTCAACTATCCTAACATGTTATGTTCTCAGATTGCCAATCTCGACTGTTAGTTACGCAAAATCAGTCCTAAAATGTTTGTTGGTACTTACTAAGTTCTACTTTTGCACGCACGAAGGGGCAAAAAATATAACTTAAGATAGAACCTTAGATATTGGTACTGTTTCACCGCATTGTAGCACCGGTATCGGTATGCTTCATAATGGTTTTCAGACCTCAATCTCATCACAAATAAAAAACCCGTGATAGAATGTTTCATACTATGTTACTCTCAGCATCTAGACAAGATGATAATTTTTTTCCTTTTCAATTCAGAAACTTTAGGACTTCATGTTGGCTGCTAATAAGTGTTTGTAGTATGTAATTGCAATCAAACCAGCATCTGTATGTTACATTTTTTTGTTTATTCTTCCTGTCTTGTAGAGAAAGAACTAGAAGAGAACCCAGCTCAACTGAAGCAATATATGTCAAGCAAGCTCGGAAAGATACCTGATAAAGTAAAAGCTGTGGTAGAAAACACCGAATTGGATGCTTTTATATCCTCTCCATTGAGATATAGGCATCCTTGGGAGCTTCTTTGGGGAAACATCAGCAAAGGCAATGCTTGTGTCGCAGGGGACGCGCTCCACCCCATGACCCCAGACATTGGCCAAGGGGCCTGCTGTGCATTAGAAGACAGCGTTGTATTGGCAAGGTGTCTTGGTGAGGCCTTATTGAAGAACTCAGGGGGAGAAACAAAAGATAAGGAGGATGAAGAAGGAAAGGAAGAGTATGAGAGGATTGAGATGGGGTTGAACAAGTATGCCAACGAGAGGAGATGGAGAAGCTTTGATCTGATTAGTACATCTTATGTGGTTGGTTTCTTACAAGAGAGTAATGGAAAATTTATGAACTTCTTCAGGGACAAATTTTTATCTCCAATCCTGGCTGGTTTGCGGTTGAAGAAGGCAGATTTTGATTGTGGAAAGCTCAGCATCTCTTAAATGCAATGATACGTCCTCTGCATATATAATTGTGATTTGCATGTAACCTTACATGTCAATCATATTAGTGCAAGAACTTTTCTTTTGTCATTTTGTAATTTGCATGGAGTTTCTGTAAGGGGAAATTTCTTTTTAATCTTTATTAACAACAGGGGAAATAAGAATCGAACTTGAAATATCTTTTAATGACGTTGAAAAGAGAAACACCATTAGATTAAGAGTGAGTTGGTGTAAGACGGCTTATATCGATGAATCCAACAAACAATATTACACTTTCCTAGTGCTCAAAGATAGCCGCTAAAAAGGAATCATGGCTGCTAAATAAACAATACAAAGCATTTGGTGGCATTATTGGGGTTTAGTGCTTCAATAACAGATAAAAAGGTAGATCAGATTGAACATTGGCTGTTGTCACTTGTCTTTAGTGTGATCATCATCCCCATCGTCATCTAAATTGTACTCCCACTATAGCACTATCCAATTGCCGCTGCACAATATAATATAAATACCCATCTCATCCTTCTATGTCTATATCTTTGTTCTGCGAGTCTTTACACTAAAACCAAAGTAAAAGCCTCAAATATCATTCATGGAATGTGAGTAGAAGCAGAAGCAGAAGTTGTGAGTGTAGGAGCTGGAATTGCTGGCCTTGCAACATCCTTAGGACTTGATAGGTTCTCTCTCTCTCTCTCTCTCTCTCTCTCTCTCTCTCTCTCTCATCTGTGCATGTCTGTGTGTGTTTTAGTACCGCTAAAACAAGTTATGATTGTAAGTATGCAGTTCACTATGACTCTAAGCAGCAATATACTTGGCATTATCCATCGATATGACTGTATTGAGGTGAATCTGATTTTATATGGTAAAAACTTTGCATTCCATATTTTATAACTTATTAACAAAGAACTACCTTATACCTTCTAAAGGGAGCTATCACCATCCTCCAACATTGTGCATTCCTAGTTCATCTTCTTGTCACGGTAATTTAAGTTGTTGGACAGTATAATTTGTTGATTTTTCAATGAGAAATGATGTGCAGTTGGAGCTTTCTTCTCTATTTTAGCCTTAAACCCTAAAATAATGACAAAATTGTATATTTAAAGAGTACAGCCGATCGGCTATACTCTCGAATATGTTAGAATATTTTAAACGTATAGCCGAACGGCTATACCTTCTAAATATATTGGAATATTTAACAGTATAGCCGAGCGCCGCCTAGCTACCTCCTAGCAGCCTAGGGCCAGCTTCGCTACCGCCTAGCAGCCTAGCGACCCGCCTAGCGACCGCTTAGTCGCCTTGTGCCCGCCTAGCGACCGCCTAGCTGCCTCGTGCCCGCCTAGCGACCGCCTAGCCGCCTCGTGCCCGCCTAGCGACCTCCTAGCCGCCTATCGACCGCCTAGCCGCCGGCCTAGGCCGATTTTGTGAATGGCTACTTTGTAAATTAAGGGTTCTGGACTTGGTGTTGCTGGTCTTCAAATTCCTACTGCTACTCTTCCTTCTATAGATACAATTGGTGTTCCAAGCGAATGTTTACTGTTGAAAAATATGTTTGATCCGGCAGTTGAGGTTGGTGGTGGATTCTTCTGATACTGAGAGATTTTCTTCATTCCCTTGGTGGTTATATATAATTTGCCTTCCTTTTTGAGCAGACGGAACCAAACTTTGACTTGGACATTAAAAAGAGGAGGAGTGTTCAAAATACGGGAATTTGAGGCATATCTTTTTAGACAAGTAAGCTTGTTCGCATTAGTTATGTTGTCCTTCGTCTCTTGCACATGTCTGACTTACATTCATGTCAATGGGCAGGAATACCGCTGGTCATGTGTACTTACGATTCGAGAACACACAAGCTGCGATAAATGCTCAGCATGTTCTCCATGGAAGACGGTTTGCCGGAAAGATGATTGAGGCAACGTTCATGTTACTTACATATGTTTGTGATTGTGACTATATATATTTTTCATTTTGGAACATCTCGTTTAAAAAAATAGATACTCTCTGCTAATATATAGTGATGTGCGTGTAACCTTAATGTCAATCATATTAGTGCAAGGAACTTTCTTTTGTCATTTTGTAATTTGTATGAGAGTTTCTGTAAGGGGACTTCTTTTTAATCTTTATTAACAACAGGGGAAACAAGATTCGAACTTGAGACATCTTTTAACGTTGAAAAAGAGAAACGCCATTAGATTAAGAGTTAGTTGGTGTAAGATGGCTTATACCGATGCAAACCACACAAACAATATTACCCTGTCCTAGTGCTCAAAGATAGCTGCTAAAAAGAAAAACATGGCTGCTAAATAAACAGTACAAAGCATGCGCATTGGTGGGCATTATTGGGGTTTAGTGCTTCAATAATAGATAAGAAATTGTAATCCCACTGTAGCACTATCCAATTGCCGCTGCACAAATATAATATAAATACCCCATCTCGTCCTTCTATGTCTATATCTTTGTTCTGCGAGTCTGTTTCCACTAAAACCAAAGTAAAAGCCTCAAATATCATTCATGGAAGTAGAGAAGCAGAAGCACAAGTTGTGATTGTAGGAGCTGGAATTGCTGGCCTTGCAACATCCTTAGGACTTCATAGGTTCTCTCTCTCTCTCTCTCTCTCTCTCTCCCTCTCTCATCTGTGCAAGTCTGTGTGTGTTTTAGTACTGCTAAAACAAGTTATGATTGTATGTAGTTCACTATGACTCTAAGCAGCAAGCAAAATTCAAATTCTTTTGGCTGCAGGCTTGGATATCCGAAGCTTAGTGTTGGAATCGTCGGATAGTTTGAGGACAACAGGGTTTGCATTCTCAGCATGGACAAATGCATGGAAGGCATTAGATGCCCTTGGTATTGGCGATACTCTTCGCCGACACATGAGACACTTCATGGGTACATTATTATGTCACCATTTTGGACAATTTGACATGTTATTTGTGTCAAATTATGTTTCAATGTTTGAACACTTTGACAACACAGCAAAAAAATAACACTGAGTTAGATATACCCCTTTTGCTTGATAAATTTCTGGACAAATTGCTGTGTGTGTATATATATATGTATATTTTTTCAGCTAGTAGTACTTGCTTTACATGCACACGTGAAACTGATAGCAGATTTTGAATACAGGAATGTGACTTCCTCAGCGATTTCTGTGCTTCCAATGTTGGAAATGTACATTTAAGGCAGGGAAAAAGTAGGTTTAAACAGTAGAGCCGTTCCTCGTAATTTTTTTTTTTTTTTTTTTTTTTTGCAGATATGATGTGCAGTTGGAGCTTCTTCTCAATTTGTTTGTATAGCTCTCAAATATACTCTTCACATATTTCTAATATTTAAAGTATAGCCGCCGGCTAGACTTTTCTGAATACTTCGAACATTTTAAAAGAATAGCCGTTCGGCTCTACGCTTCAATATATTGATACAGAGCTTGCACTCGGCAGTCACTGTTCGTCTGTTCAATGGTCGGCACCGAAATAGATCTCAACAGCGCCTGGTGCACTCACAGCGACCAGCCTGTGCCTGCTCCTAGCGACTCCTGAGACCCCTAGGCTCACGCCATAGAGATTCAGAGTTGAGTCCTACCTACGCGTAGCCGATACTAGCGCCCCCCCGCCTAGCGCCCGCCTTGCGACCACTTAGCGCGCTAGCGCAGCCCACCGCCCCTAGCGACCATCTAGCCTCTCCTAGAGCAAGCGAAAAGAGGAAAAAGAATAGCCTTTTTTTTTTTTTTTTTTTTTTTTTTTTTTTTTTTTTTTTTTTTTTTTTTTTTTTTTTTTTTTTTTTTTTTTTTTTTTTTTTTTTTTTTTTTTTTTTTTTTTTTTTTTTTTTTTTTTTTTTTTTTTTTTTTTTTTTTTTTTTTTTTTTTTTTTTTTTTTTTTTTTTTTTTTTTTTTTTTTTTTTTTTTTTTTTTTTTTTTTTTTTTTTTTTTTTTTTTTTTTTTTTTTTTTTTTTTTTTTTTTTTTTTTTTTTTTTTTTTTTTTTTTTTTTTTTTTTTTTTTTTTTTTTTTTTTTTTTTTTTTTTTTTTTTTTTTTTTTTTTTTTTTTTTTTTTTTTTTTTTTTTTTTTTTTTTTTTTTTTTTTTTTTTTTTTTTTTTTTTTTTTTTTTTCCTCTTCCCCTTCATGGGTGGTGGTCTCATCACCCACGGCTTATCCTTCACCTGAGCTAGGATCTGGTGGATTAGGATAACGAACTCAGTGAAGGTCCCTGTTGTAGAAAATGCAGACGAGAGAGCGAGTTCCAAATTGAACAAGCTGTGATCGAGCGAGTTCATGTGGATGAGGGCAGCGCAGCCAACATCCTGCAACTATCTGTTATCCAACAGATGGGGTTCGAGCCCAAGATTAGCAAACTTGCCAGATCGCTCACCGGTTTCAATGGGGCCACATCAATCACTGTTGGAACGATCGACCTGGATGTCCACTCACCCCCAGTGGTCTGCTCGCAAACCTTCATGGTCATCGACGAGATTTCCCCATACAACGGAATCTTGGGCCGACCGTGGATCAGCAAGATCGAGGCCATCACATCTGCTCTACATCAGAAGATCCGTTATCCCATCCCTGGGGCGAGATCGGGGCAGATCAATAGTGACCAAGCCATGGCAAGGAGATGCACCGCCCAAGGGCTCAAGAAGAGCAAGCAGCTGCAGTTCACACCAGTAATGCAAACTTCCAACGAGGCAGGAAGCGCTCTTAGCAGACAAGCAAACCCGAAAGAGAAGAAAGTTGCTGCCTCACAATAGCAGTTAAGGAACCAGGATCAAGGTGAGGGAATCCGCCCGGAAAGACTCCCTTGAAAAGGGTTGGAAGCCTGGGGATGACATTGAGTTAGTACCCCCTAATCCTGGCCAGCCAGACAAAGAGGCGCAGATCAGCTCGTGGCAGAATCCAAACAAGAAGGATCGAGATGAGGGAATCCGCCCGGAAGGCTCCCTTGAAGAAGGTTGGAAGCCTGAGGAAGACGTTGAGTTAGTACCCCTCGATCCTGATCAGCCAGATAAGGATGCACAGATTGGCTCGTGCCAGAATTCAAACAAGAAGGATCGAGATGAGGGAATCCCCCCGGAAGGCTCCCTTGAAGAAGGTTGGAAGCCTGAGGAAGACGTTGAGTTAGTACCCCTCGATCCTCACCAGGCAGACAAGAAAGCGTGGATCGGCTCGCGCCTAAGCCCAGACGAGAAGATGAAGCTGACCATCTTCCTCCAGAACAACAAAGACATGTTCGCGTGGTCACCAAGATCGACAAGCTCCTAGCTGCCGGTTTCATTGAAGAGGTCTCCTACTCGGAATGGCTGGCTAACGTTGTTCTGGTGGCGAAACAAGAAAAGGGAAAATGGAGAGTATGCGTTGATTACACCGACCTCAACAAAGCATGCCCTAAAGACAACTTCCCATTGCCGAGAATCGACCAGCTCGTGGATTCAACTTTCGGCAACCAGCTACACAGCTTCATGGATGCTTACTCCGGCTATAATCAAATTATGGTGTACGATGATGATAAGGCGAAGACCTCTTTCATCATCGAAAGAGGGACCTACTGCTACAAGGTCATGCCCTTTGGGCTAAAGAACGCTGGAGCAACCTACCAAAGGCTCGTGAACAAAATTTTCAAGGAGCAGATCGGCAGAACCATAGAGGTGTACGTGGACAATATGCTGGTTAAAGCCCCCAAGCGGGCAGACCATCTCAAAAACCTCACCGAGGGGTTCAGCCTGCTCCGCCAATATCGCATGAAGCTGAATCCAAGTAAATGCACGTTCGGTGTATCGTCTGACCAGTTCCTAGGGTACTTAGTGACACAACGAGGTATCGAGGCAGACCCGCGCCAAATCAAAGCCATTCTCGAGATGAAGTCGCCTTCCACAGTGAAGGAAATACAAAGCCTGGCGGGCAGAGCAGCAGCCCTTAACAGATTCCTCTCAAAGTCTAACGACAAGTGCAGACCATTCTTCAAAGCTTTGAAGAAAGGACAATAAGACAAATGGGACGAAGAGTGCGAAGTAGCTTTCCAGAATCTAAAGACCTACCTTACTTCACCTCCCCTGCTCTCAAAGCCAGTTCCTGGTGAAGACTTGTTCGTGTACCTAGCAGTGTCCAACTAGGCCGTCAGCTCAGCTCACATCCGAGAAGAACTTGGGGCCCAACATCCGATATTCTACACGTCAAAAGCTCTCCTCGATGCAGAGACTCGCTACCGAAATTGGAGAAGCTCATTTTGGCCCTTGTGGTTTCTACGAGAAAGCTGCGACCTTATTACCAAGCTCACCGAGTCATCATCATGACCGACTTTCCTTTGAGATCAATCCTCCACAGCCCTGATGCTTCTCAGCTACTCATGAAGTGGGCTATAAAGCTAAGCCAATAGGACCTCCTCTACCGGCCGAAGACTGCAATAAATGCTCAAGCCTTAGCAGACCTTGTTGTAGAATTCACGCCATCAGCCGAAGAAGAGAAGCTGGTCAGCAAAAAGAAGGAAAGTTCGAGAGTAGACAAGACCTCTACTGAACCTGACCAACCCAGAGACATGTGGCAGTTGCGCGTAGACAGAGCGTCGAACCAGAAAAGAACTGGAGCAGGCGTCGTCATCATCACCCCAGATGGAACCCTGCTAGAGCAAACTATCACGCTTGGCTTCCCGGCTTTAAACAACGAGGCAGCGTACGAGGCATTGCTCACTGGCTTGCGCTTGGCAAAGGAGCTATCAATCAAAAAGCTAGCCATCTACTTAGATTCCCAGCTGATCACAAGTCAAGCCTTAAGAGAATACATGGCGAAGCACCAAAGGATGATCTTGTACCTGACAAAGTCCAAGAGTTGTTGAAGGCGTTTCCCACCTTCACCATCCAGCAAGTTCCCAGAGCAGAGAACGCGCACACAGATGCACTGGCAAGCTTAGGATCGGCGCTGGATGCCCAGTTCAGACGCTCCATCCCGGTCGAGCACCTTCACCAGCCTAGCATAGAAGAGGCAGAGCAACCGAACCTGATGCAGATCGATGAGGATCCTAGCTGGAAAGACCCAATTATTGAGTACCTAGTGAATGAAAACCTGCCCGATGACAAGGCCGAGGCCAGAAAAATCAAGCAGAAGGCTGCAAGATACTATATGACAAGCGACATGCTTATCCGCATATCATACTCTTGGCCTCATCTCACTTGCATCAAGTACCCACAAACGCTCGAGGTTCTTTGCAGGATACACGACGGCGAATGTGGAAATCACGCGGGGGGCAGATCGCTTGCTCAAAAGGGTCTCAGCATCGGCTATTTCTGGCCTACCATGCGCCAAGACTCCACGGAGTATGCTCGAAGATGTGATCGATGCCAACGCTACAAGCCGGTCCCTGGCCTGCCCGCCGAGGAATACCATCTGCAGAACAGTCCATGGCCATTCATGCAGTGGGCCATTGACTTGGTGGGACCTATGCCGACGGCACCTGCCAATAAAGAGATGATGATCGTTGCCATTGATTACTTCGCCAATGCAGTGGATCGAAGCCGAGGCTTTATCTTCTACTGAGGAGGCCGATGTTGAACGGTTCATCTGGGAGAACATTATTTGCAGATTTGGTTGCTCGCAATCGATAGTCACCGACAATGGTACACAGTTCGTGGGCAGGCAGATCACCGCATTCTTTGCGAAGTATGGCATCAAACAGCATCTGTCAACACCTCGATAGCAGCAAGGCAATGGCCAAGCAGAGGCATCCAACAAGATAGTGCTGGACTGCCTAAAGAAAAGACTGGAAGGCGCAGAAGGAAAATGGGTCGACGAGGTGCCAGGAGTCCTATGGGCTTATCGCACGACCAAAAGGAGATCGACCGGAGAGACACCATTTTCCCTAGCCCATGGGACAGAAGCAATCATTCCCCCACACATCACTGTCCCTTCCATGAGCATCGAGGTGGGCAATCTTGACCAAAACTGCAAGCAGATGAAAGTCAACCTTGATCTGCTCGAAGAAGAACGAGAAAAGGCCATTGTTCGAGTTGCCGCCTATCAGCAGCAGTTGACGTCCTACTACAATAAGAAGGCCAAGATCAGACAGTTTCAGCCTGGAGACCTTGTGCTTAGAAAAACTTTCATCACATCACCAAGGCAGGTGAGGCCGTTGAGTAGATGGTGCTAGTTGGCTGCTTTGTTATGGAATTTTTAGTTATCTTTCAAACTTCAATTCTCATTGTATCTTGTAAGTGTATATCCGGAGATACAACACTTGAAAGAAACTCCATTGAGTTTGTACTCGTGAAGTAGCTTGCCTACAATGGAGGTAAGGCTCGTCGCCTGTGTGCGTATGTCGGGGACATGACGCTTGAAAAGACTCCATGAAGTTTGTACTCGAGGGGTAGCTTGTCTTCAGTGGAGGTGAGGCTTGTCGCTTGCGAGCATATGTCAGGGACATAATACTCGAAAAAGACTCCATTGAGTTCGTGCTTCGTGGAGCAGCTTGTCTGCAATGGAGATGAGGCTTGTCGCCTACGAGCGTATGTCGAGGACACAATGCTCGAAAAAGACTCCATTGAGTTCGTGCTTCGTAGAGCAGCTTATCTGCAATGCAGATGAGGCTCGTCCCCCTGCGAGCATATGTCAGGGACACAATGCTCGAAAAAGACTCCATTGAGTTCGTGCTTCGTGAAGCAGCCTATCTGCAATGGAGATGAGGCTTGTCGCCTACTAGTGTATGTCAGGGACACAATGCTCGAAAAAAGACTCCATTGAGTTCGTGCTTCGTGAAGCAGCCTGTCTACAATGGAGATGAGGCTTGTCATCGCCTACTTGGACTCTTACTGATCCACGGATCCCCCCAGCTTCTGCATGGCGTGTGGCGGCATTAGGAGATGTGAATTATCTGTTGGGCTATCCAGCTATAACTGGGCTTCCTTCTTTGATTTGGGCTCCTGTGTGGAGGAGGTCTTTGACTTGCCACTTTGGTCTATTAACTTGGGCTGTCCAACTGTAACTGGGTTGGAGGCGCGCCGGCCTGCTGCTGGAGCAAGTGGCAGTTTGGGTCGGCTTATTTGTGGTTGATCCAAACTGCTTCAATTCCTTCTTTTTGTGTCACGAACTAGGAACAGTATGAGTGAAGGCGATCATGTGTGAAGCACGGACATGTTGGAAGTCAGCAGCAGATGGGTAGGGGAGGTTGGCGATGGTCCGCTCGTTCCTCTCACCTACTGTGATGGTAAGTTGCATCCCTTTGATATGCTACAGTAGCCATGGAATTCTTTACTGTGCGTCTGACTGACTTCTGTCTTCTGCTTGTAGAAAATGACATCCACAAGAAGTTCGATCTCGGCCCGAACACGATCAATGTTCATCAAGCTTTAAACATCTTTGTCAGGTTCTGTGGATTGCACTGCTTGCTGAGTGAACATCAGAAGGAGACTGATGGTCTGCCCCTAGCCAAAGATGTTGAAAGATGTGAGCTGCATGGCTCGGACCTAGATGATCTGCCAGTTGAGCGGGAGAAGTCCTCGACCAAGCTTCCTCATTCTTCCACGAGCAAGTCTTCCGTAAAGGGGTCTCGTTTGCTGGGAATGTCCCTATGGGAGTTGCTTCTTCATCTGCCAGGATCAAGCGCCTCGTCAACACGAACAGTAAGAAGATCAATGGCACGCAGGAGGTCCGGGATATTCTGCTCAGGTATCCGCTCGAACTGCCTAAAACCCATGATCTACCCTGTGAGGAGGCTGTTGAGAAACGGGGTTTGAGTTGCTTGTGTCGATCCTGGGATCAAACTGAGAGGACTGTACATCTGTCTAGCAATCACGACTCGTCTGCAAAGCCACGAACAGTCAAGCACAGAGCTGACTCAATGTTGCGAGTTTCGGCCAAGAGAGCTAAAGAGTCGTCCGCTCGAGCAAAGAGTCCTTAAGTTGCGTGAACTGCCGATCCAGAAGTTGGTGATAGCTCCGCTGGTCAAGTTCGACACTCATGTTGAAGCCACAAAGGTATCCAAGCATGAGATTATTGCTAATGCGTACAAGCTGGGATACTCGGATTGCAAGAATAATGCTTCTCCTTGTTGCCCTCTCGAACATGAAGATGGTAAGCAGCTTTATCTTGACCTGCCCCTGCTCAAAGTGAGCAGAGCAATGTTGTGGATGCAGAAGCAGCTGAAGAGCAGATAGCAGATAAAGCTGCAATGGAGGAAGACAACTCCCAAGGTGGCGTAGCTGATAAAGTTAGACCATATGCGAAGGAGCAGGCAGGTGAGGCCGTTGAGTAGATGGTGCTGGTTGGCTGCTTTGTTGTGGAATTTTCAGTTGTCTTTCAAACTTCAATTCTCATTGTATCTTGTAAGTGTACGTCTGGAGACATAGCACTTGAAAGAGACTCCATTGAGTTTGTACTCGCGAAATAGCTTGCCTACAATGGAGATAAGGCTCATCGCCTGTGTGCGTATGTCGAGAGGACATGACGCTTAAAAAGACTCCATGAAGCTTATACTCGAGGAGTAGCTTGCCTTTAGTGGAGGTGAGGCTTGTCGCCTGCTAGCATATGTTGGGGACATAATGCTCGAAAAAGACTCCATTGAGTTTGTGCTTCGTGGAGCAGCTTGTCTGCAATGGAAATGAGGCTTGTCGCCTGCGAGCGTATGTCGGGGACATAATGCTCAAAAAAGACTCTATTGAGTTTGTGCTTCGAGGAGCAGCTTGTCTACAATGGAGATGAGACTTGTCGCCTGCGAGAATATGTCGGGGACACAATGCTCGAAAAAGACTCCATTGAGTTTATGCTTCGTGAAGCAGCTTGTCTATAATGGAGTTGCCTGTGAATGTATGTCAGGGACATAATGCTCGAAAAAGACTACATTGAGTTTGTGCTTTGTGAAGCAGCTTGTCTACAATGGAGATGAGGCTTGTCGCCTGCGAGCGTATGTCGGGGACACAATGCTTGAAAGAGTCTCCATTGAGTTTGTGCTTCGAGGAGCAGCTTGTCTACAATGGAGATGAGGCTTGTCGCCTGCGAGCGTATGTCAGGGACACAATGCTCGAAAAAGACTCCATTGAGTTCATGCTTCGTGGAGCAGCTTGTCTGCAATGGAGATGAGGCTTGTCTCCTGCGAGCGTATGTCAGGGACACAATGCTCGAAAAAGACTCCATTGAGTTTGTGCTTTGTGGAGCAGCTTGTCTGCAATGGAGATGAGGCTTGTCGCATGCGAGCGTATGTTAGGGACACAATGCTCGAGAAAGACTCCATTGAGTTCGTGCTCGTGGAGGAGCTTGTCTACAATGAAGATGAAAGAGGCCCGTCGCCTACTTGGAGTCGAGCTGGTAAGCTGCTGCTCAAACAATGGTTTTCTTGCTGTGGTAAGACGTGAGCTGTTGCTGGTAAGTTACAACCCGAACAATGGCCTTCTTATTGTTGCAAGATGTGAGCTACTGTTAGTAAGCTGCAACTCAAACAATGGCCTTCTTATTGTAGCAAGATGTGAGCTGTTGCTGGTAAGCTGCAACTCGAACAATGACCTTTTCTCGTTCCTCTTCGAGCAAATCATGGTTGACTTTCATTTGCTTGCAGTTTTGGTCAAGACTGCCCACCTCGATGCTCATGGAAGGGACTGTGATGTGTGGGGGAATGATTGCTTCTGTTCCCATAGGCCAGAGAAAATGGTGTCTCTCCGATTGATCTCCTTTTGATTGTGCGATAATCCCATAGGACTCCTGGCAGCCCGTCGACCCATTTTCCTTTTGCGCATTCCAGTCTTTCCTTTAGGCAATCCAGCACGATCTTGTTGGATGCCTCTGCTTAGCCATTGCCTTGCGGGTATCTGGGAGTTGACAGGTGCTGTTTGATGCCATACTTCGCAAGGAATGCGGTGGTCTGCCTGCCCACGAACTGTGTACTGTTGTCGATGACTATTGATTGCAGGCAACCGAATCTGCAAATAATGTTCTTCCAAATAAACCGTTCAACATCGACCTCCTTGGTAAAAGATAAAGCCTCAACCTCGATTCATTTGGTGAAGTAATCAGTGGCAACGATCATCATCTCTTTATTGGCAGGTGTCGTCGGCATAGGTCCCACCAAGTCAATGGCCCATTGCATGAATGGCCATGGACTGTTCTGCAGATGGTATTCCTCAGCGGGCAGGCCAAGGACCGGCTTGTAGCGTTAGCATCGATCACATCTTCGAGCATACTCTGTGGAGTCTTGGCGCATGGTAGGCCAGAAATAGCCGATGCTGAGAGCCTTCTGAGCAAGCGATCTGCCCCCAGCGTGATTTCCACATTCGCCGTCGTGTATCTTGCAGAGAACCTCGAGCGTTTGTGAGTACTTGATGCAAGTGAGATGAGGCCCGGAGTATGATCTGCGGATAAGCATGTCGCTTTTCATGTAGTATCTTGCAACCTTCTACTTGATTTTTCTGGCCTCAGACTTGTCCTCGGGCAGGTTTTCATTCACTACATAGTCAATGATGGGGTCTTACCAGCTAGGATCCTCATCGATCTGCATCAGGTCCAACTGCTCTGCCTCTTCTATGCTAGGCTGGTCGAGGTTCTCAACAGGGATGGAGCGTCTGAACTGGGCATCCAGCGTCGATCCTAAGCTTGCCAGTGCATCTGCATGAGCGTTCTCTGCTCGGGGCACTTGCTGGATGGTGAAGGTGGGAAACGCCTTCAACAACTCTTGGACTTTGTCAAGGTACAGGATCATCCTCGGGTGCTTCGCCATGTACTCTCCTAAGGCTTGACTTGTGATCAGCTGGGAATCTGGGTAGATGGCCAACTTTTTGATTGATAGCTCATTTGCCAAGTGCAAGCCAGCAAGCAATGCCTCGTACTCTGCCTCGTTGTTTGAAGCCAGGAAGCCAAGCGTGATAGCTTGCTCTAGCAGGGTTCCATGCAGGGTGATGATGACGATGCCTGCTCCAGCTCCTTTCTGGTTCGACGCTCTGTCTACACGCAACTGCCACATGTCTCTGGGTTGGTCAGGTTCAGTGGAGGTCTTGTCTGCTCTCGAACTTTCCTTCTTTTTGCTGACCAGCTTCCCTTCTTCGGCTGATGGTGTGAATTCTGCAACAAAGTCTACTAAGGCTTGAGCTTTTATTGCAATCTTCGGCCAGTAGAGGAGGTCGTATTGGCTTAGCTCTATAGCCCACTTCATGAGTCGCTGAGAATCATCAGGGCTGCGGCGGATTGAACTCAAAGGAAAATCAGTCATGACAATGACTCAGTGAGCTTGGTAATAAGGTCGCAGCTTTCTCGCAGAAACCACAAGGGCCAAAATGAGCTTCTCCAATTTCGGGTAGCGAGTCTCTGCATCGAGGAGAGCTTTTGACGTGTAGAATATCGGATGTTAGGCCCCAAGTTCTTCTCGGATGAGAGCTGAGCTGACGGCCGAGTTGGACACTGCCAGGTACACGAACAAGTCTTCACCAGGAACTGGCTTTGAGACCAGGGGAGGTCTTTAGATTCTGGAAAGCTACTTCGCACTATTCGTCCCATTTGTCTTTTTGTCCTTTCTTTAAAGCTTTGAAGAATGGTCAGCACTTGTCGGTAGATGTTGAGAGGAATCTGTTAAGGGCCGCCGCTCTGCCCGTCAGGCTTTGTATTTCTTTCACTGTGGAAGGCGACTTCATCTCGAGAATGGCTTTGATTTGGAACGGGTGTGCCTCGATATCTCGTTGCGTCACTAAGTACCCCAGGAACCAGCCAAATGATACACCGAACGTGCATTTACTTGGATTCAGCTTCATGCGATATTGGCGTAGCAGGCTGAACCCCTCGGTGAGGTTTTTGAGATGGTCTGCCCGCTTGGGGGCTTTAACCAGCATATCGTCCACGTACACCTCCATAGTTCTGCCGATCTGCTCCTTTAAAATTTTATTCACGAGCCTTTGGTAGGTTGCTCCAGCGTTCTTCAGCCCAAAAGGCATGACCTTGTAGAAGTAGGTCCCTCTTTCGATGATGAAAGAGGTATTCGCCTTGTCATCATCGTACATCATAATTTGATTATAGCCTGAGTAATCATCCATGAAGCTGAGCAGCTGGTTGCCGGAAGTTGAATCCACGAGCTGGTCGATTCTCGGCAATGGGAAGTTGTCTTTAGGGCATGCTTTGTTGAGGTTGGTGTAATCGACACAAACTCTCCATTTTCCCTTTTCTTGTTTTGCCACCAGAACAACGTTGACCAGCTATTCCGAGTAGGAGACCTCCTCAATGAAATCGGCAGCTAGGAGCTTGTCGATCACGGCTTCAATGATCGCGACCCGCGCAGGAGCAAAGTTGCGTCTCTTCTGCACCACGGGCTTGCTAGCAGGGTTGACATGGAGCCGATGGCAGATGATGTTTGGGTCGATGCCGGGCATGTCAGATAGTGACCACGCGAACATGTCTTTGTTGTTCTGGAGGAAGATGGTCAGCTCTATCTTCTCGTCTGGGCTTAGACGCGAGTCGATCCGCGCTTTCTTGTCTGACTGGTGAGGATCGAGGGGTACTAACTCAACGTCTTCCTCAGGCTCCCAACCTTCTTCAAGAGAGCCTTCCGGGCAGATTCCCTTATCTCGATCCTTCTTGTTTGAATTCTGGCGCGAGCCGATCTGCGCTTCCTTATCTGGCTGATCAGGATCGGGGGGTACTAACTCAACGTCTTCCTCAGGCTTCCAACCTTCTTCAAGGGAGCCTTCCTGGCGAATTCCCTCATCTCGATCCTTCTTGTTTGAATTCTGGCAAGAGCCGATCTGCGCTTCCTTCTCTGGCTGATCAGGATCGGGGGGTACTAACTCAACGTCTTCCTCAGGCTTCCAACCTTCTTCAAGTGAGCCTTCCGGGCGGATTCCCTCGTCTCGATCCTTCTTGTTTGGATTCTAGCGCGAGCCAATCTACGCCTCTTTGTCTGGCTGGCTAGGATCAGGGGGTACTAACTCAACGTCATTCTTAGGCTTCCAACCCTTTTCAGGGGAGTCTTCCGGGCGGATTCCCTCACCTTGATCCTGGTTCCTTAACCGCTATTGTGAGGCAACAACTTCCTTCCCTTTCGGGTTTGCTTGTCTACTAAGAGCGCTTCCTGCCTTGTTGGCAGCTTGCATTACTAGTGTGAACTGCAGCTGCTTGCTCTTTTTGAACCCTTGGGCTATGCATCTCCTTGCCATAGCTTGGTCACTGTTGATCTGCCCGATCCCGCCCCCAGGGATGGGATAGCGGATCTTCTGATGTAGAGCAGATGTGATGGCCTCGATCTTGCTGATCCACGATCGGCCCAAGATTCTGTTGTAGGGGGAAACCTTGTCGATGACCATGAAGGTTTGCGAGCAGACCACTGGGGATGAGTGGACATCTAGCTCGATCGTTACAACAGTGATTGATGTGGCCCTATTGAAGCCGGTGAGCGATTTGGCAAGTTTGCTAATCTTGGGCTCGAACCTTATCTGTTGGATAACAGATAGTTGCAGGATGTTGGCTGCGCTGCCCTCATCTACATGAACTCGCTCGATCACAGCTTGTTCAATTTGGATGCAGATGACTAGGGCGTCATTATGTGGCAGGTCAAGCTCGATCAAGTCCTTCTTCTGGAAGCCGATGATGGGTGTATCCACAATGGCTGGTACTCCCGTTGTGACTTGAGAGACATAAGTTGCCTGAGCGATCTTTCTCTTGCGCTCCTTGGTGGTCAGCCCGGACTCTTGGGAGTCGGCTAGAATGGTGTTGATTCGAATGAACTTTTGGGGAGGTTCCTTGGCAGCTGCATCACGATCCTCGATCTGCTGGATAGCCTTCTTTGCAACGAACTCTGTGCAATGGCCCTCTCTGATCAGCTCTTCAAAGTGCCTTTTCCAAGCGTTGCAGTTGTTGGTGTAATGACCGTGCTCCCCGTGGAATGCACAGTATTTACTGGTGTCTCTTTTAGAGGGGTCTCCCTTCATGGGTAGTGGTCTCCTCACCCACGGCTTCTCCTTCACCTAAGCTAGGATCTGGTGGATTGGGATAGCGAACTCAGTGAAGGTCCCTGTTTCAGAGCTTTCCTCTTGGGGCCGCGATCTGCGCTTATCTCGGGCTTTTTGCTCGAACTTATTGCTCTTTTGGCTTGCCTGCTTCATCGGGTGGTCAACTTGCTTGCTAGCTTTCTTTGCAGCGATACGATCATCGTCCCAAAGTGCGTAGCGCTCTGCCGTCGCGAACACTTCTGCAAAGGTTTGACTTGGAGTTATGGCCAGCTCCTGATATAGCTCGTGCTCGGTTGGCAAGCCCTTCTTGAAAGCTGAGGATGCAACTTGGTCGTTGCATCCTATGATGTTAGCCTTCTCAGCCTTAAACCGTCTCAAGGAGTCTCGTAGAGACTCGTCTGGCATGCTTTATGACCGTCTTGTAGGAGGTGTACTTCTTTGTGAAAATGATGGTGAACTCCTTGAAGTTGCCTATCGACGCGGACGGTAGAGTGTGGAACCAATCCTGAGCTGCTCTGACAGGACCCGCCCCGAATTTTTCACAAAACCCGAGATGAATCCTGCGGAGACCCCGACATCACACCCATGCCAGGTTCACTCCTTAAAATGGTAACCTCCTTCTTCAAAAGGAGTAAGGGCATGAGACTTTCTGCCGAAAATTCGGCAGAATCTCCCCTGTAAATTGAACATTTCCCAAAATTTCCACCTGCATAAAACATAGTTTTATAACCCAACCGGCAGCACGCACAATATAATTTCATGCAATTCATCTCATTTGCCTCCGGCCTTCAAATATTCCGAAAAAGAGCTGCCAACAAAGTCTTGAGATAAAAAATTTCCTTAAACACGGCAAGAATGAGCTCAAACACACTTATAATTGCCGAAAGCAAAACTCACCATTAACTTTCCCCAATCCAGCAGGCGAGGTTTTAACATGCATCAATTATCATCTATAAATTATAACCATTTATTCCAGGGCCTCAGCTCATTATATCACACACTTTAATCAATAGTACACATACACAACCCTCCCTTAGCCAACCGGGAGTATGAACAAAAATCTAAACATACCTCGATTTCAAACGAGTTTCAGGACCAACAACAAGGTCCGCATCACACTCAACAAAACACATCATTAGAGTTTAACCCGCGGCTGCGCCTAGTTACTTCAGGCTGCCTACGTACCCTTACTGAGGGATCAAGCCACACGTAGTTCTTTCGTATCAACGGTCACATCTCCGATAATATACAATTATTTAAAGCAGAACCAACAAATGCATTTCAAATTTATCACCGATCAATTTATCAAATCAACTTGCAACCATACCCTATCCAAGGCGTATGTTGCCACCCATTACTCCCCAATCCGGGACTCAAACCATGCATAACAATATAGGGTAATCACAAAGCACAACCTTACGAATAAACATATATAAACATATAAACATATAGAAATCCAGAAACAAATCCACGTATAAACATATATAAATAAGCACACCCACCTCTCACCATCATCATGTACCAGGGGAAAACAATCCAATTCAGGGATTGTTTGACTAGTCAACATGGCAGAGCCATTCCTCAATTCACCATGTGACTAGGGAATGAGCCGTCCAACTGGGGGACTAACTCTCAGCCCAGCACGTACGGACGAAGAATCAAGACCCGTACGCCTGTAAACAGTCCTACGCGTGCAGACTACCACCCCTCAGGGTCCACGGCAACATCTCATCAAGGATGCCCCGTATTTCAACATATCCAAACCATATCATAATATTCCCGGCATCCCACAATTCCAGGATCCGTAACCAAGAAAGCCCACAAGCCCGAAACACGGCACGTGTGTGAATAGTAACCAGGGAAGGTACATATGATGGTGGAGTTCGTAACCCTTATCACAACATTATAAAATGATATTTTCTTCCTTAATTGAATTGTTCCAAACCTCTATACCTTTCGGATCTATCATAATTCTAAATCAGATAAAAACACATGGAAACATTAACACGTCATTTCCAAGGCATCGTATCAAGAAGATATCCGAAGGGCCTGGACAAACTCCGACGGGCCTGGGCAAAAATAAATCAATCTCCGACGGGCCTGGGCAAATTAAATCTCAAACATAACCGAGGAGGTATTTAAGATAGTGCGTAAAGCACTGCAAACTAACAATCTATACTCTTTTCATACCTTTATAAAGACATACAAAAATATATATATAAAAGCACCTCAACGACAATTCACAGGGTGGCACTTATAGTGCCCTCAAGCATCTTTATCAAATAATAATATATATTTAAATATACTCCACTATTGCATCAACCTCAACCCCAAGATATAACATCCGATAAACCCCCAATTAATCACCATACAAACGGGCCCTCGGGTCCACGACCTTCAAATTCCGATCCGACAATTCCTATAGGTCCTACAAGGTCTAGGACACACGTCCTGCAAGTGTGATCCGGATCGGACGGTCAGATCGCTCACGATCGGACGATCAGACGGTTACTAAAACCCTAACCCCAGGGTTGGCATTTTCGGAGTATCCGGGACTCCGTTTTACGATCCGTCGAATCCTACATGACCCTAGTAATGCCTAGATCAACATATTAAAACCTCAGGACCATCCAACGGTCCAAACCTAGCGAACCCGGAAAATGCGCAATATGCGATATCCGTTCGAGGCTCTAACGGTATCCAAATTTAGATCCGCGAAATCCTACGTGCTCGTGACATCAAGGGGATCACATTGGGACAAAAATGCCCCAAGCTACAGTGCCCACGCGCCGCCACACGCGTCGGCAACGCTTGGGTGTCCAAAGCGATATCGCATCGCCGGAAAACTTCCAAATCGAGAGCCAAGACTCCTACCCTAGGTAATACACCTAATTTGGAGTCACTTTTGTTCTTTGACGTACCCCAAAAACTGACCGGAAGTGGCCGGAATCGCGATCGCAATACCGGCCGAAATCCAATTCGTAAATCGAGTTGCCTACACTACAAATTGATCAATTTCTACCCAACAGGCAGCCAGAGCTCAGAAAATAGGTGGAAATCCATACCTCAATCACTTGAAACGGTGGCCGGAGGAGGGAGATCGATCCGGCGAAGTTTCAAGCGAAAACCGGCCAAAAACCTGCATTTTCCGGCGACTGGAGCGGCGGCCGATGTCGGGGAAGGGCCGGGTCATGACACCGGGGCTGAGCCGGTCATTTTGGCACCGGTCCCGTCCGCATCCGTGGCCGGTGGCCGGAGTTGCGAGGGAGGAGGGCGACAGCTGTCGCGCGGAGGAGAGAGAGAGCACCCCCGAGAGAGAGAGTTTTCAGATTTTATTCAAAATCCATTTCGAAATATTTACGATTATGCCACTGAGGGTATTTTGATCGTATCTCTCTCGTCACAACTCCAATTCGAGCCCACTACGTGTCTACGGACTCATCTCACCGCGCTCTACGCAACGGTATTGTTGACATTTCCACATTCCATCCCGATCAAAAAGTCAACTCTAAACCTCACAAAATATTCTAGGGGCAAAATTGTCCTTTTATCTGAATAAATTAATATTCACCAATTTATTTAGGACCGGGTCATTACATGCTCCTCGCAGAGTCATCGCGAACACTTTGCACATCAGGGCGTCGTCTGCCTTGTACAGGATCATGGCGCTCTTGAAGTGCCTCAAATGGCTCTTAGGGTCAGAGTCCCCTTTAATGAAGTGATGGATGGAGTTGTAAACCGCTTCGGCGGCGGTGCTCGTTCCACCTCGTCTGTAAAGGGCAAGCAGTCAACTCGATCAATTTCCTTGCACAGGGCCTCCTCCGTCCTTCCTTTGAGTCGGAGACCTCGGAGTTGGTCCTTTACAAGCTTCTCGACATCCTCTGCTCGTAGGGTGGAGTCTCGGGCCGAACGACTTCGGTGCCTCGAGCGCGACTAGCTAACTTCTTCCTCGGTTCCCAAGGGTCGATCCCCTTGGGTGCCCTACCCGTGAGGCAGATTAGGAGATTGAGCTTGTGAGGATTCCTCTGTAGCTTGTCGCCGCGTGTTCGTCCTCGAGTGGGCTGGTGGGTGTCGATCGTCATCCTCTTCTCCAAGGAAGGTCGTTCTGGTCGACGTCTTCAGTGCCTTGAGCGTGATTGGCTAACTTCTTCTCTAGCTCCCAAGGGTCAATCCCCTTGGTTGCCCTGCCCGTGGGGCATAAGAGAAGGTTGAGTTTGGGAGGATCACTTCACAGCTTGTTGCTGCGTGTTGGATCTCGAGCGGGCTGGTGAGCGTTGATCGTCATCCTCTGCTCGCAAGGAAGGTCGTTCAGGTTGACGTCTTCGGTGCCTCGAGCGTGATTGGCTAACTTCTTCTCCAGCTCCCAAGGGTCGATCCCCTTAGTTGCCCTGCTCGTGGGGCAGGAGAGAAGGTTGAGTTTGGGAAGATCCCTCCACAGCTTGTTGCCGCGACCGCTCATGAACTCGAGCTCCTTGTGGACTTAAGCGAGCACGAACATTGGATTGTGGGCCTAGCCTCTTGAGCACATTGGTCCTGGGACCTAACCTCAAACGGCTCAGAGTACGGCTCGCAGCTATCTGCGTCTCGTCTGCACGATTTCGCTCTCTCCCCTGCCGATTTGCCCCTGTCTGACCAGCCTGGGACCTCTTGAACTGCTCGCCAGCATGCTTGTGTGCCCTCCTCTCCTCGTCACGAGGTCCAAGGTTGGGGCCTTAATTCAAGTTCATCTGCCTGAGTAGCTAGCCAATCAGGTTGTTTTGATCATCGACCTTCTGTGTGAGTTGATCAACCTATGAGTTAAGGTCCACCTGACTGCGCGGGTCAAGTAAAGTGGTGTGCATCGGGCCCAACGGCATGTGGGCTAGGGCTCCATTAGACGCGTACACGGGTGCATATGTCAAGTGTGATCGCAGAGGAGGGAGAGAATAGATCTACTCCAAGACCGGGACGACGTCAGAGTAGCCGTGAGGCTGTGCAGCTAGTCCGGTAGTTAAGTGGTGTGGCTGCTGCTGTGCTCCAACGACATGACAGCGAGGCAGAGTAGCTCCGGTAATCGGCGCTGGCGACTGCAAGGCTATGGAGGTCCTGGGGTCATGTGGCGGTTGTTCTGCAATTCCAGCAATTGAAGGCGGCTGCAAAGCACTAGAAGACGGCTGCAAGGCATTGGCAGCCATGATTCCGTGCGGTTGCATTGAGGTTTCCACCACAAAACCATGAGATGGGCCCGTCGTGGTTGCGTTACTCTTCATACGTCTTGTATCAACCGCGGTTGTTTGAAAAAATGTGTGAAAGATGGATTTGGAGCACGCTTTGAATATATCTCGTGCTCTCAATGAAAGCACCAATTTGTGGGAGCACATTTCATCCCACTAGAATATTCATCTAAGATTCCTTCGTCTTCTCCACTTCTCTTTCTCCCTGCAAAACAAATCGGGGTAAAAGGACCACACATGGGGGGTGTTGGCCAAAGGCCCTCCGATGCCTAAGTTAGGTAGGGTATTTCAAGGAAAACCGGGTGGCCGGAGCCGTGTGTGGTGGCCGGAGCCTTGTGTCCGAGAGAGAAAGAAAGTGGTGGCTAGGGTTTGTGAGAAATAATTTCTACAGAGTTTCAGTAGGAATTTAGACGTACCTTGACCTTTGTGCGTAGCCAAGTATTTATAATGGTCTCGGAGATTAGGGTTTCAGAGGAATAATTCCATAGATGGAAGGGAATTATTCCTCCCCTATTTGGCATTGATTTGATTAATTAAGGATTTGATTTATTAGGGTAAATCAAATCCCTAATTGTGGTAGGTATCATATCAAATCCTAATTTAATTAGGTAACTCCTCATTTAATTGGGAATTGGGGTAGGAATCAAATCAATTTCCCAACTTAATTAGGTAATTCTCAATTTAATTGGGTAACTCCCAATTAAATTGAGTAACTCCCAATTAGGTTGAGTAATTCCCAATTAGGTCAAATAATCCCCAAATGGAAGGAATTATTTGACCCAGGGTATGATTTAATTCGGTTCCCACAAATGCCCCCCAGCTTCTGCATGGCACGTGGTGGCATGTAGGAGATGCGAATTGTTTTGTTGGGCTGTCCAGCTGTAACTGGGCTTCCTCCTTGGATTTGGGCTCCTGAATGGAGGAGGCTTTTGACTTGCCAATTGGTCTTTGACTTGGGCTGTTCAGCTGTAACTGGGCTGGAGGCAAGCCGGCCTGCTGTTGGAGCAAGTGGCAGTTTGGGTCGGCTTATTTGTGGTTGATCCAAACTGCTTCAATTCCTTCTTCTTTTTGTGTCACGAACTAGGAATAGTATGAGTCAAGGCGATCATGTGTGGAGCACGGACATGTTGGAAGTCAGCAGCAGACAGGTAAGGGAGGTTGGCGACGGTCCGCTCATTCCTCTCACCTACTGTGATGGTAAGTTGCATCCCCTTGATCTGCTACAGTTGCCATGGAATTCTTTGTTGTGTGTCTGACTGACTTCTGTCTCCTGCTTGTAGAAAATGACATCCACAAGAAGCTCGATCTCGACCTGGACACGACCAATGTTCATCAAGCTTTGAACATCCTTGCCAGGTTCTGTGGATTGCGTTGGTTGCTGAGTGAACATCGGAAAAAGGTGGTGGCTTGCCCCCAGTCGAAGATGTTGAAAGATGGGAGTTGCATGGCTCGAACCTAGATGATCTGCTAGTTGAGCAAGAGAAGTCCTCGACCAAGCTTCCTCATTCTTCCACGAGCAAGTCTTCCGTAAGGCGGTCTCGTCTACTGAGAATGTCCATATGGGAGTTGCTTCTTCATATGCCAGGATCAAGCGCCTCATCATCGCAAACAGTAAGAAGATCAATGGCATGCAGGAGGTCCGGGATATTCTGCTCAGGTATCCGCTCGAAATGCCTAAAACCCATGATCTACCCTGTGAAGAGGCTGTTGAGAAGCAGGGTTTGAGTTGCTTGTGCCGATCCTAGGATCAAACTGAGAGGATTGTACATCCATCTAGCAATCACGACTCATCTGCAAAGCCACGAACAGTCAAGCGCGGAGCTGACTCAATGTTACAAGTTACGGCCAAGAGAGCTAAAGAGTCGTCTACTCGAGCAAAGAGTCCTTAAGTTGCACGAACTGCAGATCCAGAAGTTGATGATAGCTCCGCTGGTCAAGTTCGACACTCATGTTGAAGCCACGGAGGCATCCAAGCATGAGATTGTTGCTAATGCGTACAAGCTGGGATACTCGGATTCCAGGAATAGTGCTTCTCCTTGTTGCCCTCTCAAACATGAAGACGGTAAGCAGCTTTATCTTGACATGCCCCCTGCTCAAAGTGAGCAGAGCAATGTTGTGGATGCAGAAGCAGTTGAAGAGCAGATAGCAGATGAAGCTGCAATAGAGGAAGACAACTCCCAAGGTGGCGTAGCTGATAAGGTTAGACCATATGCGAAGGAGCAGGCAGGTGAGGCCGTTGAGTAGATGGTGCTAGTTGGCTGCTTTGTTATGGAATTTTCAGTTATCTTTCAAACTTCATTTCTCATTGTATCTTGTAAGTGTATATCCGAAGATACAACACTTGAAAGAAACTCCATTGAGTTTGTACTCGTGAAGTAGCTTGCCTACAATGGAGGTAAGGCTCGTCGCCTGTGTGCGTATGTCGGGGACATGACGCTTGAAAAGACTCCATGAAGTTTGTACTCGAGAAGTAGCTTGTTTTCAATGGAGGTGAGGCTTGTCGCCTGCGAGCATATGTCGGGGACATAATACTCGAAAAAGACTCCATTGAGTTCATGCTTCGTGGAGCAGCTTGTCTGCAATGGAGATGAGGCTTGTGGCCTACGAGCGTATGTCAGGGACACAATGCTCGAAAAAGACTCCATTGAGTTCGTGCTTCGTGGAGCAGCTTGTCTGCAATGGAGATGAGGCTTGTCGCCTGCGAACGTATGCCAGGGACACAATGCTCGAAAAAGACTCCATTGAGTTTGTGCTTCGTGAAGCAGCCTGTCTGCAATGGAGATGAGGCTTGTCGCCTGTGAGCGTATGTCAGGGACAAAATGCTCGAAAAAGACTCCATTGAGTTTGTGCTTCGTGAAGCAGCCTGTCTACAATGGAGATGAGGCTTGTCGCCTACGAGCGTATGTCAGGGACACAACGCTCGAAAAAGACGCCATTGAGTTTGTGCTTCGTGGAGCAGCTTGTCTGCAATGGAGATTAGACTTGTCGCCTGCGAGCGTATGTCAGGGACACAATGCTCGAAAAAGACCCCATTGAGTTTGTGCTTCGTGAAGCAACCTGTCTGCAATGGAGATGAGGCTTGTCGCCTGCGAGCATATGTCAGGGACACAACGCTCGAAAAAGACTCCATTGAGTTTGTGCTTCGTGAAGCAGCCTGTCTGCAATGGAGATGAGGCTTGTCGCCTGCGAGCGTATGTCAGGGACACAATGCTCGAAAAAGACTCCATTGAGTTTGTGCTTCGTGAAGCAGCCTGTCTGCAATGGAGATGAGGCTTGTCGCCTGCGAGTGTATGTCAGGGACACAATGCTCGAAGAAGACTCCATTGAATTTGTGCTTCGTGAAGCAGCCTGTCTGCAATGGAGATGAGGCTTGTCGCTGCCATGTGTATGTTCGTAAGATATAATGCTAAAAAAAGTACTTCATTGAAAAGCTTGCTCTTGTATTGATGTTTGTGTGAATACATCACTTTATTGAATAAAGGAAATTAACAGCAAAGGTAACATCAAAAGTAGTTCGTCTTTAATGGAAGTACAGGAGGCTCGTCGCCTGCTAGCAGCCAAGCTGGTAAGCGAAGAGTTTCATGGATAGTATCTTCGAAGGTGGTGGGCATTCCATTGTCTCGGAATTTCTTTTCCTTCTAGAGTATCAAGGGTGTAACTTCCTCTGCCCCCAGATCGACTGATCAAAGAATGCGGTGATCTGCCTGCCCACGAACTGTGTACCATTGTCGGTGACTATCGATTGCGGGCAACCGAATCTGCAAATAATGTTCTTCCAGATGAACCGTTCAACATCGGCCTCCTTGGTAGAAGATAAAGCCTCGGCCTCGATCCATTTGGTGAAGTAATCAGTGGCAACGATCATCATCTCTTTATTGGCAGGTGCAGTTGGCATAGGTCCCACCAAGTCAATGGCCCACTGCATGAATGGCCATGGACTGTTCTGCAGATGGTATTCCTCAGCGGGCAGGCCAGGGACCGGCTTGTAGCGTTGGCATCGATCACATCTTCGAGCATACTCCGTGGAGTCTTGGCTCATGGTAGGCCAGAAATAGCCTATGCTGAGAGCCTTCTGAGCAAGCGATCTGCCCCCAGCGTGATTTCCACATTCGCCGTCGTGTATCTTGTAGAGAACCTCGAGCGTTTGTGGGTACTTGATGCAAGTGAGATGAGGCCCGTAGTATGATCTGCGGATAAGCATGTCGCCTTTCATGTAGTATCTTGCAGCCTTCTGCTTGATTTTTCTGGCCTCGGACTTGTCCTTGGGTAGGTTTTCATTCGCTAGGTAGTCAATAATTGGGTCTTGCCAGCTAGGATCCTCATCGATCTGCATCAGGTCCGGCTGCTCTGCCTCTTCTATGCTAGGCTGGTCAAGGTGCTCGACCGGGATGGAGCGTCCGAACTGGGTATCCAGAGCCGATCCTAAGCTTGCCAGTGCATCTGCGTGCGCGTTCTCTGCTCTGGGAACTTGCTGGATGGTGAAGGTAGGAAACGCCTTCAACAACTCTTGGACTTTGTCAAGGTACAAGATCATCCTTGGGTGCTTCGCCATGTATTCTCCTGAGGTTTGACTTGGGATCAGCTGGGAATCTGAGTAGATGGCCAGCTTTTTGATTGATAGCTCATTTGCCAAGCACAAGCCAGCGAGCAATGCCTCGTGCTCTGCCTCATTGTTTGAAGCCGGGAAGCCAAGCGTGATAGCTTGCTCTAACAGGGTTCCATCTGGGGTGATGATGACGACACCTGCTCCAGCTCCTTTCTAGTTCGACGCTCCGTCTACGCGCAATTGCCACATGTCTCTGGGTTGGTCAAGTTCAGTAGAGGTCTTGTTCGCTCTCGAACTTTCCTTCTTTTTGCTAACCAGCTTCTCTTCTTCGGCTGATGGTGTGAATTCTGCAACAAAGTCTGCTAAGGCTTGAGCTTTTATTGCAGTCTTCGGTCGGTAGAGGAGGTCGTATTGGCTTAGCTCTATAGCCCACTTCATGAGTCGCTGAGAAGCATCAGGGCTGTGGAGGATTGATCTCAAAGGAAAGTCGGTCATGACGATGACTCGGTGAGCTTGATAATAAGGTCACAGCTTTCTCGCAGAAACCACAAGGGAAAAAATGAGCTTCTCCAATTTCGGGTAGCGAGTCTCTGCATCGAGGAGAGCTTTTGACGTGTAGAATATCGGATGTTCAGCCCCAAGTTCTTCTCGGATGAGAGCTGAGCTGACGGCCGAGTTGGACACTGCCAGGTACACGAACAAGTCTTCACCAGGAACTGGCTTTGAGACCAGGGGAGGTGAAGTAAGGTAGGTCTTTAGATTCTGGAAAGCTACTTCACACTCTTCGTCCCATTTGTCTTTTTGTCCTTTCTTCAATGCTTTGAAGAATGGTCTGCACTTGTCGGTAGACTTTGAGAGGAATCTGTTAAGGGCCGCTGCTCAGCCCGTCAGGCTTTGTATTTCCTTCACTATGGAAGTCGACTTCATCTCAAGAATGGCTTTGATTTGGCGCGGGTATGCCTCGATACCTCGTTGCGTCACTAAGTACCCTAGGAACCGGCCAGACGATACACCGAACGTGCATTTACTTGGATTCAGCTTCATGCGATATTGGCGGAGTAGGCTGAACGCCTCGGTGAGGTTTTTGAGGTGGTCTGCCCGCTTGGGGGCTTTAACCAGCATATCGTCCACGTACACCTCCATGATTCTGCCGATCTGCTCCTTGAAAATTTTATTCACGAGCCTTTGGTAGGTTGCTCCGGCGTTCTTCAGCCCAAAGGGCATGACCTTGTAGCAGTAGATCCCTCTTTCGATGATGAAAGAGGTCTTCGCCTTGTCATCATCGTACATCATAATTTGATTATAGCCGGAGTAAGCATCCATGAAGCTGAGCAGCTGGTTGCCGGAAGTTGAATCCACGAGCTGGTCAATTCTCAACAAATTTCCTCACGAGAATATTCGTCTAAGATTCCTTCGTCTTCTCCACTTCTCTTTCTCCCTGCAAAACAAATCTGGGTAAAAGGACCACACCCATAGGGTGTTAGCCAAAGGCCCTCCGATGCCTAAGTTAAGTAGGGTATTTCAAGGAAAACCGGGTGGCCGGAGCCGTGTGTGGTGGCTGGAGCCTTGTGTCCGAGAGAGAAAAAAAGTGGTGGCTAGGGTTTGTGAGAAATAATTTCTGCAGAGTTTTAGTAGGAATTTAGACGTACCTTGACCTTTGTGCGTAGCCAAGTATTTATAATGGTCTCGGAGATTAGGGTTTCAGATGAATAATTCCATAGATGGAAGGGAATTATTCCTCCCCTATTTGGCATTGATTTGATTAATTAGGGATTTGATTTATTAGGGTAAATCAAATCCCTAATTGTGGTAGGTATCATATCAAATCCTAATTTAATTAGGTAACTCCTCATTTAATTGGGAATTGGGGTAGGAATCAAATCAATTCCCAACTTAATTAAGTAATTCTCAATTTAATTGGGTAACTCCCAATTAAATTGAGTAACTCCCAATTAGGTTGAGTAATTCCCAATTAGGTCAAATAATCCCCAAATGGAAGGAATTATTTGACCTAGAGTATGATTTAATTCGGTTCCCATAGCCAACAAATAACGGCGGAAGTTATGAACCGACCGACGTAGAAAGTAAAGATGACAATTTCAAAAAAAGCCGCCGTTTTTACCCAGAAATTAACACGACCACGTTTTCGTATAAGGCGCCGTATAATTACAAATAAATTCACGGCGTTAAAATACAAAATACCGCCGTATTAAATTAATGTGCAACTACGGCAAAGATAAATATAACAACGTCTTTCTTGTATTTCTACGACGATATCTTTAAATATCACCAAGTTGGGGTTTTCATTTAACGATGTATTATACAATTTAACGTCGTATTTATCCACTTTATACGTCATACATTATATTTAAACCGTCGTCTGAATAAGAATTTTTTTTAACAATTTATTTCTTGGATTTTGTTATCCTACGTCGGTAGATCTACTTAATGACAAGAATTGAAATAACCACGACGGTTTATATAGAAAACCGCCGACATAATCAGATTTTTCTGAGATCACAAGGGTTAGGAAATCTTACAAGATGGAACTCTGTTGCTCATCATAATCTTACCAGAAAGACAATATTTTAGAGGTTAATGATGTATGTGTATTTGTGTATTTGTGTCTTTGAGATACACAAACGCACATACACATTAACATCCAAAAAATTGCTTCTGAAATTTGACGACAGCAGCCTTAGATTTGCAATCAGAGAGACAATTTTTTGGAAGTGGATGATGTGTGTGCGTTTGTGTATCTACACAAATGCACACACACATCAACATCCAAACAATTGCCTCCTAAAACTTCACGACGGCAGCCACAGATTTGCAATCATAGAGACAATTTTTTGAAAATTGGTGATGTGTGTATGTTTGTGAATCAGATACACAAACATACACACAAACCAACATTCAAACAATTGCCTCCCAAAAGATGAGGTGAGACAGAGAAAGGGGCAAGAAGAAGTTGAAACCTTAATTGAATACTAAAACTGAAAGCACCCGTGAAAAAAAACCTATTTATAATTAAAAAACCAAATCCACGTCGGTTATATTACACATAACGACGTTTAACAAAAATAATCCACGTCAGTTAACAAATACATTACGTCGTCTTAGTCTTACTTAAGACGACAAGAAAAGACGACGGTATAACAAAAAACAGTCGTTGTTTTTATATTCGTATTTGATTTAAATCAGTCACCCAGAAAAGAAACTTTACAAATTCTAGAACATTAATTTCCTCGGGAAAAAAAACTCTATTTATAAGGCACTGTTTTTGAAAAATAAACTGAAAGAACAAGGGGAAAAAAAATTATATTTATAATTATAAAAATAAAATCCACGTCGGTTATATTACACATAACGACGTTTGAAAAACGAATCCATGTCGCGAAAAAAATATTGCGTCGTTTTATTTTAAAAAAGATGACGGTATAACAACAAACAGTCGTTGTTTTTGTATTGGTATTTGATTTAAATCAGTCCCCCATAAAAGAAACTTTACAAATTCTAGAACATTAATTTCCTCGGGAAAAAAAACTCTATTTATAAGGCACTGTTTTTGAAAAATAAATTGAAAAAACAAGGGAAAAAAATTATATTTATAATTATAAAAATAAAATCCACGTCGGTTATATTACACATAACGACGTTTGAAAAACGAATCCACGTCGCGAAAAAAATATTGCGTCGTTTTATTTTAAAAAAGACGACGGTATAACAACAAACAGTCGTTGTTTTTATATTGGTATTTGATTTAAATCAGCCCCCCATAAAAGAAACTTTACAAATTCTAGAACATTAATTTCCTCGGGAAAAAAAACTCTATTTATAAGGCACTGTTTTTGAAAAATAAACTGAAAGAACAAGGGAAAAAAAATTATATTTATAATTATAAAAATAAAATCCACGTCAGTTATATTACACATAACGACGTTTTAAAAACGAATCCACATCGCGAAAAAAATATTGCGTCGTTTTAACTTAAAAAAGACGACGGTATAACAACAAACAATCGTTGTTTTTATATTCGTGTTTGATTTAAATCAGTCACCCAAAAAAGAAACTTTACAAATTTTAGGACATTAATTTCCTCAGGAAAAAAAACTCTATTTATAAGGCACTGTTTTTGAAAAATAAACTAAAAGAACAAGGGAAAAAAAAATTCTATTTATAATTATATAAATAAAATCCACGTCGGTTATATTACACATAAGACGTTTTAAAATGAATCCACGTCGCAAAAAAATATTGCGTCGTCTTAGTTTAAAAAAGACGACGGTAAAACAGAAAACCGTCGTTGTTTCAATTTCTTTAACCGTTCTCTTTCTGCAGGACTTGGACAGTTCAAAGCATTGACAGCTGAAGCCATCTGATTCGATTGCTCAGGCTTTAGAGGCCATCTGAAGCCATTTCTATTCTTTATCGCATTGTTGAAAACCCATCTTCTTCTTCAGAAGCTCTACGGATAACCCATCTTCATCACTAATGCCGATAACCCATCTTCTTCACTAATGCCGATAACCCATCTTCTTCACTAATGCCGATAACCCATCTTCTTCTATCACAAACCTTACGGATCTTCTTAGCCAAGAAAATCGAGCAGAGGCTGACATCTGATCTTCAGGTTTCCCTGAGAAGCGAACTTTTCTTCGACAGCGAGTGGAGGCCAGGCTTGCATCTCTTTTGATGGAAAGCAAGGAGTATTCAGAAGCACTAAGTCTCCTATCAGGATTGACAAGCTTCCTCTTGTGGACATAGATTTGTTGGAGAGTAAGCTCCATTTCTCTTTGAGAAAGACATCCAAATTATTGTCTTCGAGATGTGAGAGAGAGTGTCTGTGAGAGAGGAAGAACTTGGAAACCTAAATGAAAACTGAAACTGAAAGAAAGCGACAAATTTATACAATAAATTTTTAAAACCCACGGCGGTCCTTATACAAAACCGCCGTCTATTTATAAATTCCACGTCGGTATATTAAAAAAAAAGACGTATATTATAAAAATAAACGTCGGTAAATTACAAAAAATCATCGTGTTAAATATTTCTACCATGACGCGAGATATTGATTTATCGACTTTTATTTAGGAGTTTACTACGGCGGTACCTACAACACTACTGTCGTATTTATTTACCACGTCCTAAGTTCAAATTATCGTCGTAGTTTGTCTATTTATACGTCGTCGTTCTATGTAAACCGCTGTCTTATTACTATGAAACGGTTTGTATATATATACAACTTTTCGTCTACCTGACTTACACATGCACTGTTTCCAAACCCGAGAAAAAATTTCAATCTCCCAGAGAAAACTTTTCGTCTTTTTTCCTTGTCAGAGCACTGTCAGAGTATCTCATCGTCTTCCTCTCGTCTTCGTCGTCGTCTCTGAACTTAAACACCAAACTCCGAGAGAAAGCTTTCATTGCACGCAAAAGGTAAGCTTTCATTTCTCACTATTTTGTTGCTATTTTGCATGCTCATACGGTTTTTGTTTTGAAAATCTTTTTACCTTTTTTCTGGCGAAAATCATTTTATGCTTTCCAAGTTTGATAAAATACACAGACAAAGAGGGAAAGTTTCCAACTTTGAACACAACTACTTCAACTAAATAAGACGACGGTAGCTTCTTATTTACGTGGTTAAATATGTAGACCACGACGGTTCGTCAATCGTCCTAGCGTCGTCTTAAAATTGATCTAAGTTGTTTTTAAAATGACGGTCGATTTTTATTTGCTTGTTTAATTGCAGGTTTGATTTCTCTGAACCATGGTTTTTGTTTTTCCTAATTTGATAAAATACAAAGACAAAGAAAGTAGGGTTTGGTATCTTATATAGACGACGGTATCTTATTATTGACGCCGTGTGAATGTTCATACCACGACATTATACTAAGATACCGTCGTCTATAAAAGATGCCAAACCTTTCTTTCTTTTTCTTTGTATTTTATCAAATTAGGAAAAACAAAAACCATGTTTCAGAGAAATTAAACCTGCAATCAAACATTCACAGAGAAAGAAAAAGGTTTTTGGATTCTTATAAAGACGACAGTATCTTATTATTTACGTCGTGTGAATATCCATAAAACGACGTTATATTAATATTTACGTCGTGTGAATTTGAATATCACGACGTCGTGTAAATATCGCCGTAATAAGTTCTTATTACGTCTTCTTTAATATTGTTTCGTCGTTGTTTAAGTACTCTCGTTTTAAACATTATTATGTCTGATGTTATGTTATTACGTCGTGTAAAATCTTATCATACGTCGTATTTTATAAATAACCGTCGTTTGTGTTCTTTTTTTTTCCTGAAATATTTTACTTGCAGGTTTGTTTTTTCTATAACCATGGTTTCTCAAGACCAAAGTAAGGACTCTGGCTCCAAAAAAAATTGAGGTAAGGAGCTTGGAATGGTAACTCCTCAAGACAAGCCCTTGAAGAAGATGAAGTTTGTTTCATCTGCTGAGACAGAACCAACCAACACGACAACAATTTCTGAGGATTCAAAGTCAGGTCGAGGTATGAGCACAATGCCTTGTGTTGTGAAGAGAAAATTGCAGAAAATCAAGCCAGTTGTTGAGTACAATAAATGGGGGAAATGATGTGGCCCTGCACATACTGAGATGCAGTCCTACATTGGTGTGTTGGCACGCTCCAGAGTCCCACTTGTGGACAAGAAATGGGCTGAAATCCCCAAGGATATAAAGGAGCAGATTTGGGAAGCCGTTGACTTGGCTTTTGTGGTAGGTCAAGGGGGCAAGACCTCGGTGTTATCTTCTGCTGCCAAGAAATGGAAGGATTTCAAGTCTACACTGACGAGGCATTATATCCTTCCATACATCAAGGAAAGGGAGAAATTAAGCCAACCCCCTGAAATATATAAATTCATAGAGAAAGCAGAATGGGATGCCTTTGTAGCTTCAAGGTTATCCAAAGAATTTGAGTCTGTGCATTCTCAACATTCACAGATTAGGGAGAAACTTGAGTACAATCATCGATTGTCTAGAAAAGGATATGCTGGTTTGGAGGATCAATTGGAGGAAACCATGCCTGGGGTAGAAATTGATCGATCTACCTTATGGAAGAAAGCTAGACAGGACAAACATGGTAACATCCCGGATCCAAAGGTGGCAGAGAAAGCAAAATTAATTGTAAGCCTACACACTCTGTTTTAAATTTTTATTAAACTGTGTATAATTCGTATTACGTCTTATGTTATATTTTTTTGTCGTGTGAATCATATTACTACGTCGAAATGTTTTAAAAAACGTCGTGAAAGATCTAAATCTGGAATCACAACTCTGTTTTCTGTAATTATAGCATAAGACGTCGGTGGTTAATTTTTGCGTCGTGTGAATGATATTACTACGTCGAAATGTTTTAAAAAAACGTCGTTAAAGATTTGAATATGGAATCACTGCTATGTTTTCTGTAATTATAGCATAAGACGTCGGTGGTTTATTTATTGCGTCGTTTGAAACAACTAACCACGTCGTTATTTAAGTAACGTCATTATAAATATATTATAACGTCGATTTCTATGTTATTGCGTCGTGTGAAATTATATAATGCGTCTTTTGTTTATAAATAACCGTCGTGTGTTTTCTTGTGCTGACTTTTTTATATGTCTTTGTTTTAGGATGAATTGCAAAAACACGTGGCTGAAGGCAGTCTTAGTGTATCTGGCAGTAATGATGTGTTGACCTTGGCTTTGGGTCCCGAGCATCCAGGGAGAGTAAGAGGGGTGGGTGCTGGGATTTCCCCTAGGCAATTCTTCAATTTACCTAGACAACAGAGGGTAAAGTTTGCCGATCAATTGAAGGAAAGTGTAAGAATTGTCCTTCAAGAAGATACTAAGAAGATGGAAGCTAGATCAAGGGAAGAGACTTTAAGGATGGAGGCTAGAACCAAGCAATTGGTAGAGGCTGAGAGGGAACATTTACTGAGTCAGCTTTCCCAACTCATCCCCAATTTAGATCCAAGCATGCTTAAACCGAAAACTAGCCCCTGTCAAAACCAAGGTGTAGAGCAAAGTCCCAAAAATCCAATGTCTGACAAAGCAAGCTGTTCTGGGGCTGATGTGAGATCCCTACATTTAGAGGATGATATTGCCAAAAATGGGGAACAGCAGGAAGAAACGGTAATATATCTGAACTTTGAATTCTCTGTTTTTTTTAAAAACTATTAGACGTCGTTATTATGAAGAAACCCGTCGTTTTAAAACCATACCACGACGATTTTATAAATAAACCGTCGTTTGTATTTAAATACCACGTCGTATTTAGTTTATTTGTTTTACACGCCATTAGACGTCGTACTTTGTGGTTTTTAGACGACGATTTTATTCCTTACCGACGTAATAGACAAATCCCACGACGTTTATTATTTACCATCGTTTAATAATTTTTTTACTTTCTGTACAATCTGTCTTATATAATTATATTTCTTTATTACTTAAAATAGAAATCTGGGGCTTTAGAAAATCAAGATGAAGAGAAGAAAGAAGAAAAAAAAGATGAAGAGAAGAAGGGAGAAAAAAAGATGAAGAGAAGAAGGAAGTAAAAAAAGAGAAAAAAGATGAAGAGAAAAAGGAAGACAAAAATGATGAAGAGAAGAAAGAAGAAAAACAAGATGAAGAAAAGCATGACGAAGAGGTATATTCTCATAACTTTGCCTTTTTTATTTGTTTTTCAAATTTCAGACGTCGATATTTTTCTTTAAACCGTCATTTGTTTTCAAATTAGACGTCGGAATTTGTTTTCTATGACGTAATAAATTATTTAACATGACGGTTTTTTATTACCGTCGTTTAAATTATTATCAGACGATGTTTTTTTTATTTATACCGTCGTTTTTATTGAATTACCACGTCATTTTATTTTGCTTTATTTCTTTAAACAGGGTAATGAAGTAGTTGATTATTCAAATGTGGAGGTGTCATCTTCTTTACAATCCCTTTGTCGTTATGTGGAAATGACACTAAAGCCTCAGGAGAAGATCATGACCTTCATAATTGAGAAGGAGGTGTTTGGTGCATATCGCAGTACCTTCGTCTTGGATGAAGATATTACACAGTTTGCAGGCATGGAAGAAATTGGGGCTACTGTGGTTGCAGTATATATGAGGTTTGTCCTTATCAAATATTTAATTCACACTCAAATTTGTGTATGAGAAAAAAAAAACATTATAGCATAAGACGTCGGTGGTTTATTTATTGCGTTGTTTTAAACCACTAACCACGTCGTTCTTTTTTTACCATCGTGATAAATTAGTTATAACGTCTGTTTCTATTTCAGTTCGTCGTGTGAAATTGTATAATACGTCGTTTGTTTATAAATAACCGTCGTGTTTTTTTGGGCTGACTTTTTTTATATATCTTTGTTTTATATATTTAGGTGCTTATATGATCGTTTGAGAGAAGCAAATATGTGTAGCATGGTTGGCTTTATCGACCCTGCTCAAGTTAGTGCCAACGCTGGGTCACTAACTGACAGATCACGAATTGTAGCTAGTCGACTTCAAAAAACAGATGGTGAACATATTTTCATGATGCCTTACAATCCAAGGTTATCTCCTTAAAAGGATTTTGTTTGTATGATTTTCACTAACTGACCCCTTATAAAACTGTTTAACTAATTTTGTGTCGTTTGAAACATCTAACCACGTCGGTTCTTTATTTATTGAGTCATTTGAAACAACTAACCACGTCGGTAGTTAATTACAGTCGTGATAAATTTATAATGACGTCGATGGCTACGGTATTACGTCGTGTGAAACTCTATAATACGTCGGTTTTTATAAATAACCGTCGTTTGTTTTCTTGTGCTGACTTTTTATATTAACCGTCGTTTTTTATTTTAATTTTGTGCAGCCGTCATTGGGTCTTGCTGATTGTGAGAGCAAAGAAGGAAACCGTCTATTTTCTGGATCCTCTGCCTGGAAATCGTGTGGTTGATGAGGAGGGCAAAAAACATCGTGAACAGTGCTTTAAAAATTTATAATTCCCACATAGGCAGACCAGGCCGTAAAGCACCAATTTGGAAAACTCTGCCAGGCACACCAAAGCAACCTAGCAGTGTCGAATGCGGGTATTATGTGATGCGCTTCATGAGGGACATCATCATGGATCCTTCCTTGGAGTTTGAGAAGAAGGTAAGAAGAAAATTTTCAGAAACATTTTATGTGGTTTTTTGTATTATCAACGACGGTCCTTTAAAATTACTGTCGTTGAATCGATAGACTACGTCGGTTATGAAAAAAAGCGTCGTCTGTGACTGAATTTCTTTTTATTTTGTAAAGCTTAATAATCATTGTTTATGGATTGCAGTTTGCCAAGGGAAAAGAGTAAGCGCCATACCCCCCAAGCAGCCATTGATGAAGTCCGGAATGAATGGGCAGAGTTTGTTTGCCTTCATATGGAATAGAGGATTTTTGGAACACTTGATATTTTTATATGTACAAATTTTGTCTATAATATATAATGTACAAATTTTGTCTATAATATACATCCTTTTTTTCCCTAAAAATTTGTTGAGGTTTTCATAATTTAAAAGAAAAAAAAAATTGCGTAACCGACGTGTAATAACTTTCCAACGACATAATTATGTCAAAAACTGACGTAAAAGGATATTTAGACGTGATATACCGTTTGTACGTACATGGGACGTCGTTTTAGTGAAAATTTCGCCATGGTTTCGCTTTTAAATGACGTCCTTTGAACAAGTAAGTCATTTATTATATAATTTAGAGTTTAGGGTTTAGGTTATTACTTTTTAACGACAGTGATTGAGTCGTGGAATATTGAGTTTACGTCGGATGGTGAAACATCCGTCATGGTTTCTCTTTTAAACGACGTCCTTTTTACAAGTGAGTCGTTTATTATTATTTACAACGTCGTTAATTACTTAACCCCGACGTGGTTTGTTGTTGATAAAATAATATTTTATTATTTTTAATTCAAAATATTCAAAATGAATTTAAAATAAATCCAAAAAATGCAACGTCAACTCCTATGAAGTCATTGATGTATTTTCTTCCCCCTAAACCTAAAAAAAATGCAGTTTGAGTAATAAAAGTTTAAAATGACCACCCAAAATAAAATTGTTTTGATGAGTCATAACATCACTTATATAGTTTGATGGTTTAGGGTTTAGGGTTTGGGGTTTAGGGTTGTTATTTAATAGGGTTTAGGGTTAAAGTATAATTTTTGGGGTTTAGGGTTTATGTTTGTTATATATTAAGCTGTAAAACCATAAACAATTTTATAAAATTAAATTTTACAAATATATAATTTAGGGTTTTAAAGTTTAGGGTATTACTTTTAATGACGGTGATTGAGTCGTGGAATATTGAGTTTACGTCGGATGGTGAAAAATCCGCCATAATTTCTATTTTAAACGACGTTCTTTTTACACGTGAGTCGTTTATTATTATTTACAACGTCATTAATTACTTAACCCCGACGTGGTTTTTCATAGTTTTGACGACTTCTGTTTGATTTTGCGTCGTACATAGTTTTACCACGACGTCCTTAATGTAATAAGCGTCATGTTTAATGTGAAATTTTAACGACGGTTGTTTTTTCGGTCGATGTTTTAAAGAGCGCACTTTCTAAGCGGGACCTAAAATTTTCAAATTTGGCTCTTTGTTTTATACTTCTAACCCTGAACCCTAAAATTTTCAGATTTCGCAACATAACATTTCGCTCTCTCACTTCATCTCTAATTCAAAGTTGGGCTCTCCAGGCTGTGTCGAATCCAATTTGGCCATAATCTGTGAGCTCTGCCAACCTGTAAGTACAAACCCTCTCTTCCCCTTGTAAATTCATTGAATGATATTACGTTGTTTTGTTAAAGGGTTTTAGATATATGTTTTGCGATCTGTTAATAATGTTGTTGGAGGTATGGGTTCATGGATTTTCTGTTTAATGTTTTCTTGATCACTCTCTGTTATGTTGAATAGGGAATGGATTTCATTTTGTCGGATCTTTTAATCACTCTCTGTTATGTTGAATTGGGAATGAATTTATTGTTTTCATGCTTAGTATATGTTGGTTTCATGCTTGGTTTCATGTATATGTTGGTTTCATACTTGGTTTCATGTATATGTTGGTTTCATGTGTATATGTTGTGTTCTTAATAGGGTTTTGGGATAAACTGGGATATCGACGCGTTTTTAGGCATACGACGACGGTTTTTTCATAAACCGTCGTTTGTATTACTTATACACGACGGTGTTATTTAACTACCGTCGTGGTTATAATTAGACGACGTTTGTTGAAAATCCGTCGTCTATATATGTCAAATACGTCTGTTTTTGTTTAAAAACTGTCGTCTCTGTTGTATATTACTTGCTATTAGAACTTTATATAATCTGCTATAGTGATGGTCATTGCTTGTCTTTTCACTTTATTATATATAATAGGGTATAGTGTCGGAGATGGATAAGTCATGGATGCACTCGGATAGAAGATCGAAGGCATATGAGTTAGGGGTGGAAGCATTTTTGAACTTTTCTGTAGAAAATCTTCTAACTACAACACATATCCGTTGTCCATGTGTTAAATGTGTTAATTTGAAATTGTTTGGGGTTGGAATTATAAGGGATCACTTATACTTTAATGGAGTTGACCAAAGCTATAAGAATTGGACATTTCACGGAGAACCTTGGGAAGCAACTACTAATGCTAGTAGAAATGTTGAAGAAGATGATGACCATAGTAGGTACAGTTTTGTGTCTGAAGAAATAGAGATGGATGATAATGATTTTGGTGATTTTGGATCTGATCCTTATGAGTTTGCCAATGTGATTGGGGATGGAGATCAACCATTGTACCCTGGTTGTAGAAAGTACACGAAGTTATCGGCATTAGTGAAGTTGTATAATTTGAAGGCAAAATATGGGATGAGTGATGTCTGTTTTACAAAATTATTGATACTTCAAGGCGATTTGCTTCCAGAAGGAAATACAATACCGGCCTTTATGTATGAGGCAAAAAAGACTTTGTGTGCATTGGGGCTGAGTTATGAGAAAATGCACGCATGCCCCAATGATTGCATCTTGTATAGGAAGGAGTATGAGGATTCAACTAATTGTCCTACTTGTGGTATCTCAAGGTGGAAGGAAGGCAAAGATTCAATCTTGAAAAAGGGTGTGCCAGCGAAGGTGGTGTGGTATTTTCCTCCAATTCCAAGGTTTAAAAGGATGTTTCGATCACATGAGACAGCTAAGAGTTTGACTTGGCATACTGCTAAAAAATCAATTGACGGTCATATGTCTCATCCGGCGAATTCCCCGTCTTGGAAACTTCTTGATGATAAATGGCCCGAGTTTGGTAATGAGCCGAGAAACTTGAGATTGGCTATTTCATCTGATGGATTCAATCCCCACAGTTCTCTAAGTAGCAGATATAGTTGCTGGCCAGTTATCTTAGTTACATATAATCTCCCTCCATGGCTGTGCATGAAACGAAAGTTCATGATGTTGACCTTATTGATTTCCGGTCCTAAACAGCCCGGAAATGATATAGACGTCTACTTTGAGCCTTTGATTGATGATTTAAAATCTTTGTGGGATGGGATTGGAGGAGTGTATGATGCACATAATGGAAAATACTTTATACTCAGAGCTGCATTAATGTGGACAATTAATGATTTCCCTGCCTATGGAAACTTATCTGGTTATGTTGTTAAAGGATATAAAGCTTGTCCAATATGCGGCGATGATACACCTAATCACAAGTTGAAAAATGACCACAAAATTTGTTACATTGAGCATAGAAAATGGTTACCAATCAATCATCCATATAGGAGGTAACGTGCAGTTTTTAATGGGAAACCTAAATATGGCACGCCTCTCGAGCCATTAACCGGAGAAGAAGTGTTGCATATGGTTGAAGATGGTGACAAAGTTTGTTGGAAGAAGAAATCAATATTCTTTGATCTCGAGTATTGGAAATATCTTCCTGTGAGGCATGTCCTAGATGTTATGCACATTGAGAAGAATGTTTGCGATAGTATCATTGGTACATTGCTGGAGATCCCAGGAAAAAATAAAGATGGGATTGCTGCTCGATTAGATTTATTGAACATGGGGGTCAAAACTGATTTGCAACCCGAGTATGGAGAAAGACGTACTCGTTTGCCTCCCGGGCCTTGGAATTTGTCAAGAGCAGAGAAGAGAGAGGTTTGCAATTCTTTCTATGGTATGAAGGTCCCTGAAGGTTATTCTTCAAATATAAAAAATCTTGTATCTTTACAAGATTCAAGACTTCTTGGCCTTAAATCACATGATTGTCATACCTTAATGCAACAATTGCTCCCTGTGGCAATTCGTTCTGTTTTGGAGAAGCCTGCAAGGTATGCAATAACTCGTTTGTGCTTCTTCTTCAATGCTATATGTGCAAAGACTGTTGATGTTTCCAAGCTAGATAAGTTGGAAGAAGATGTAGTAGTTACTTTGTGTTTGCTTGAGAAGTACTTTTCCCATTCATTCTTTGATATCATGGTTCATCTAGTAGTACATCTTGTCAGAGAAGTTCGTCTATGTGGGCCAGTATATTTTAGATGGATGTATCCGTTTGAAAGATATATGAATAACGACGTTTTGGAGCATTCAACGACCGCAATATATTTACCGACGTCTTAAAGCAATGTAACAATGAAGAACCACGACGCTATTGTGAAACAATTATCCAGGATAACACGTCGGACAAGCATAAAGAACCGCCATGTAATTCAAAATAACACGACTCCAATCCCATAATACCGACGTCTAAAAGACGAGATCTTTAACCTGAACGTTACAAAAGACGACGTCGTCATGAATTTACCACGTCGCATGTTCTTTCATAAACGAAGTGGAAAAGGATGAATTCCCGACGGTATTTGAAGTCCATTAAATTTGTCGACGTTAAGATATATGAATTAGTCGACGTTAATTTTTTAATGAAGACGTATAAATTATTAAACACAGTGGTCTTTTTCATGGTAACGACGTTGTATATAGACGACAACGTCGTCCTTATAAATTACTGTGTCGTAATTAATGACCCCATCATTTTTTCCACGTCGTTTATTTTCAGATCCTGTCGTTAAAATTATTTTACACGGCGGTGGAATTAGAAACGATGCCGTTTCAGAGTCATTACACAACGATTATATTTCAAAATATGACGTATAAATTTTGTAATACGGCTCTCATTTATTTGGAACCGACGTTGTTTATTCATTTCAACGTCGTCTCTGTAAATACATGCGTCGTAAGTAATGACCCTGACATCTATTTCCACGTCATAATTCATAGAAAAATCGAAGTGGAAATTTATTTTACGACGGTTGTTGGAAATGTTGTGACGTAGTAGGTGTCAATAACGTCGTCTATTATGATTGTAAAGACGTCATATTTATATTTGTCGTTAAATATTTATTTAACGGCGTTAAGTTTTAGTTCTCGTCGTTGTATGTTTATCTTGCGGCCATGTTATGTTAATATATGTCATATGTTTCCTTTTAACGACGTTTTTTTGTTGGAGTTGGTCGTCTATTCTCATCCTCGACTGTTTTTTTATGGCTTTTTACAGTACAAAGACGTCGGTTTTTATTTTTTGATGACGTTTTTTGTTTTAACAACGACAGTTATTCACCGTCGTGGTTTTGTTATGGAAAAGATGTCGGTGGATTCTGCGACCATTTGAAAACAGAATACACGACGGTGAATTCCCGTCGTGTTTTTCCTTTTTTGTAGTAGTGGGTGTACTTATTGAAATTACACTTGTTTCACAATTCAATATATCTTTTTTGGTCATTTTATATTACGGTAAATTAATAATTTGATAAATAGTTTGGTAGTAGGGTGTACTCAGTTAATTTTAGGGTTCGTTTAACAGCACCCTAAACTGTCCGTACAAAAAGAAGAAGAAAAAGAAAGATAATAAACTATTAGCTTCGACCTAAAAGGGTTAGGGTTTAAGGGGAGTTGAAATCCACTGCCATAGTGTGCACAGTGGAATAGACTAGAATATATGCCAATGTATGTATGACACATAATAATAATAATTATTAAAAATTAAATAGTAAACGTGTCAAGTAGGTCATTTCGCGGGTTTACAAGTTCATCCTAAACCCATTGTTTATTAGACGTGCCATGGCAGGTTGACCCAAATTTGACTCACAATATTAATCGTACGGGTTTCGAGTTGTGTATCGGGTTCGCATTGAATTGCTATCCCAAGCATATCCCCAACGTGGCAGTTGATCTAGGTCCCTTTTTTTTTCTTTTTTTTTCAATTGTACGGGTTCAATATTCCAATTGGAACACAAACTTGAAACAAAAAGGTGATACATGAGCAATACGAACGCAATAAAGGGCCATACAGACAATAAGAAAGCAACAAACAAGCACTATATACACAACGTATATAATGTGTTCTCTTCAATGTATAATATAAATAAAAATCTTTTTTGATTGCATACACTTGCGAATATATAAAAACAACTTTCAAGACTGAAATTTCTCAAGGGAATTGAACTTAATTTCATTCAATGAGGACAAGATAATTACATGGTCTATCTTATACACAAATAGTTCCTCAATTACATGTTTTTTTTCCCTTGTAACTACAGTACATGCAAGTGAATGGAATGTTGTCCCACGCCAAATTGATAAAGGTTCTCAATGACAACAATCTTTCAAAAGCCAAAAATCTAAATCCAACTGTCATGAATAAATAGTTGTCCACCTATATTATAATGCATGAATTAATAACATCATATAAATCGTGTTATCGGTCACCTCAAGCATGGGAGTCTCACGTCACAAACTATTTGCCAGATTTTCAAGATCGATAGTTGGAACACGTGGCACATGTAGTTGAGGCGACAATGAATTGACAGTGCTTACCGATTTTTGAGTTGACGCCATGGTTTCCAAATAAGATGAAATCGACATTAATCCAGAAAGAATCCCTGTATGATAAGAACTAGCCAAATACCCATGATAGACCTTCAGATGGTGGCTCGTTTCTATAAAATAAAAATAACACAAAAAATAAGAATCAGATACAACAATATTCTTCTACTACAGGGATGGAACATGATTACAAATCTACAGCGAAGTAAAACAATAAAAATAAAAATAAAATATTACAGTATTAAGAAACACAATGATTTCTAAGACAGATGGAAACACCACCTGTGAATCTTTTATGAATTTATGTCCCTTTCTTAGAGTTGAACCATATATTCTTCTACAAGCTTGGTTGCTTGAGATAATTGCTTGAACAGCAAAAGCAGTGTCCCATAACTGGCTTCCATTATAACTGTGTTTTGTCTCGGTAAGCACAGCAATGCAAGTTTCTGAATAAATCACAGAGGCTATTAAAACTTCAAAAAATTGTTCGCCCACCTAACAATTGTATTGAACTTGATCACATGTATTTTTGTAGAAATGGAAATTATCATATTATTGGTGACTACTGAATACAACTAGCATTATTTTTGTAGTAATGTTTTTCAATAAGCATTATGTTTGCTTCATTTTCCCCCCACTTCTGCTAGCCTTGAAACCCCAAACTCTTCCCCTTAGATTCCACAACAAACACTTAACACAAGAAGAAAAAAAAGAAGGCAGAAAAAGAAAAACCAGTACACATTTTCCTTCACTTGCATTTCTCTTTTCTATTTCACACAATCACTCTAAACTTAACTCTATCAGTGGAAAAAGAAACCAAACCAGCCCAGTTGGAAGCCCTTTGTCTGGGAATGTCTCAGATAGCTCTTCCAAAGAGCAAGACACAGGTTCCTCCCCATTGCTAACGTGAGCCATATCATGAAGAAGTCCCTCCCTTCAAATGTCAAGATCTCAAAGGATGCCAAGGAAACTGTCCAGGAGTGCGTGCCTGAGTTCATAAGCTTCATCACAGGCAAAGCATCCTACAAGTGCCAGAGGGAGAAGAGGAAGACTATCAATGGGGATGACCTTCCTTGGGCCATGAAAACCACTAGCAGATCCACAGAGGCGCAAGGAGGTGCAGCTGCACCTCCCCTCGCCGGAAACTTCCAGACTCTGGAGGATTTGCAAATCCAACCTGCTTATGTTCAAACTTTCCAAGGCCCGCCTCATGGGATTCAAGTTGAGAGAGATAAATTGTCTAACTATGCCCCTTATTGGCTTCTTAAATTGTCTAACTATGCCCTTATTGGCTTCTTTATGGTCTAACATTCTTGCCAATTCATTATCCTCATTTTGTTTCGGATTGTCATCTCTAATAAAAATAATATAGCTCCATGAGCAAAAGCCATTGTCATGATGAATCCTACGATGTATTGGTGATGAGTATATAATGCAGCTTGCGAAATCTCTGATCAACAATAAAACAAGATCCATTTTGCATAATATCTATGAGAATTCTTGGTTTGGGTCGAAGAAGTAATGTCAGTGTCACTTGATCATTATCAAACGGACTAACAATGTCATGGCATGCTCATTATCTATTAACCTAGCTATGTTAGGATCTTTAACCATTGTTGTAGCTCACCATGTATTTGATGCCCCTTAACCATAGCTACTAGCTTATTTTTCTTCTTCTATATTGTTGGGGTCTTTTTTCGAAGAAAGGCTTTTCCGAGCTTATTCATTCTTGGACTGCCATAGAGTGGTGAATTCAGGCCTTCATTGCCTTTTTTTCTTAGTTAACGAGAACTAGGCCCAAAGCATCCTGAGTGAGAAGCAAGTCCCAGGGGGTACTCTATTCTTCTTCTAGCGGTTGCGTATTTGTGTTGACGTTTCCGGTGGCTCTGGAAAGAGTTGGAGATGGTGCATTGATGTTGTGCAGGCTTGGTGTGAGAGTTTGCTTTGGTGAATTAAGATATTACTAGGCTTGTCATGAGAGGCTTGTGGCGTGGGAGCTAAGAGTCCATAAGTTGAGCAAGAGAGAGAGTTGGAAAGGTAAAAGCTTGGAATTGTAGCTGGACTATATTTTCCATCAGCTCTGGAATTGCTCCCACCAGCTTGCACTACTACATTTTACATTTTGCGTGACGAAGAGAATTTCGTCGTGCAAAATACATTGTCATTGCACAAATTTCAACACGACAGAAATTTCGTCGCGTAAAGATCATGAAGAAAGTCTTTGCGCGACCAAGTTCTTTCATTGGTCGCACAAAGTGACTTTGCGCGATGAAGAAATATTGGTCGCGCAAAGTGACTTTGCGCGACGAAAAACATTGGTCACGCAAAGTTGTGAGCGACAAAATACATTGTTCACGCAAAACGCGACGAAAACCTTTGGTCACGCAAAGTCTTAAAAAATTTTATAAAATAAATAAATAAATTCTCGCGTCCCATTTTTTGTACCCGCCCAAATTTTTAGAGTTTTGCGCGACGAATACTAACGTTGCACAAATATTTGTGCGACGAAATATTTTTTGTGTTTTAAAATTCTTTAATTAAAATAAACTAATTTAATAATTTGCGCGACGAAATATTTTGCCATGCAAGGTTTTTGACTTTTTGTTTTATTATGTCTTTAATATTAATTTAATTATATTAATTTTTTCGAATTTTTACTTTTTAAATTTAATTTAATTGTATGATTTTTTTAATTACTTTAATTTAATTATATTAATTTTTTCAAATTTTTATTTTTAAATTTAATTTAATTGTATGATTTTTTTTAATTACTTTATTTTAAATTGACATATTCAAAATAAAATTACATATGAAAAATAGTGATCAAATTATCCAATAAATATATATAATATTCAAAATGTACACATAAATTAACAAAGTACAATAATAAAATCCTAATACAAGCGTATTGTGGTGGTAGTGACGGAGGATATGTTTTGATCCTAATCCTCAACTTTAGCCGTCAAAGTCTTGATGATTCCCTACAAAAAAAAAAAAAAACAAAAAAAAAAAAAAAAAAAAAAAAAAATCTCCCCTAAAATTGTTATACCACAAATCCAACCACAAACTCCAATCCCTCCCTTTAACTCAACCCCAAACCCCACACAAACTCAAAACTAACTCCAAAAACACATATTAATGACAAAAATTTAAAATTTGGAGAGCATATACCTTTTGGCAAGATTGAGAGTGAGTGAGAATGAGAGAGAGAAGTGAGTGCGAGAGAATTAGAGAAGATAGTGATAGAGAGATGAGAGAGTAAGTGAGAGTGAGAGATAGTGAAAAGAGAGATGAGAGAGTGAGTGAGAGTGAGAGATAATGAAGAGAGAGATGATGAGAGATTAAGTGAGAGGAGTGAGTGTGAGAGAAAGGGTGGGATTTAGGGAGAGGGAAAGAGAGAGGAGAGGTAAGAGTAGAGAAAGACATTCAGAAAATGGTGGAGTTACTTTGGTTTTAAAAACCGTATCATTTTGCGCGACGAACAATATTGTTGGTCGCGCAAAGTTTTGCGCGACAAAACATATTGGTCGCGCAAAGTCTAAAAAAATTATTTTTTTTAAAAAGAAAAAATTACCTCGTCCCATTTTTGGTACCCACCCAAAATTTTAAATTTTTGCGTGACGAAAAATACATATTGGTCGCACAAAGTCTAAAAAAATTATATAAAAAAATTCCTTCGTCCCATTTTTGGTAGCCGCCCAAATTTTTTTTAAAATCCCGAGTCCCATTTTTTGTACCCGCCCAAATTTTTAGAGTTTTGCGTGACGAATTGTTGGTCACGCAAACTTTTGAGAGACGAAAAATTGGTTCGTAGCACAATATTTATAAAAATAATTGTTATGAATAATAAAAAATAAAATTATTTTATTTTACGATTTAAAATATAAATAAGGTTAAAGCTACTTAATAAAGATATATACTATTCAATTTCTTAAGTGTTATACGTACAAAATAAATAAATTTAAAGCTACTTAATAAATATATATATACACACACCATTCAACGATCCAACCTTCAGACTTGTTTGTATATACTTCAAGATCGTATACTCCAAAAATCGCAAAAATCAAACATTCAGAGATCTAGTAACGGGATAAAACTTTTCGATGGTTATAAATGAAAAATCACGATTTAACGGTTATTTTAACTCCGATTTTGATGATTTTTTTACAGCTACACTCCTTGACCCTATAAGAATATAATGACTGAATTTGATCTTCAATTTAAAATATTTACACTAGTGGATACCACAAAATCTTATGTTATATTTAACGAAAGTATAAATAAACTCTTAATTGTTAGTGAATATATTGTTTTGATGGCATACACATTCTACGAAACTAGTTTCAACGATCCAACCGTCAAACTTGTTTGTTTATACTTCGAGATCATATATGCCAAAAATTGGAAAAAATAAACATTCAGAGATCAAGTAACGGGACAAAAGTTTTCAATGGTTATAAATGAAAAATAATGATTTAATGGTTATTTTAACTCCGATTTTGATGATTTTTTACCGCTACACTCCTTGATCCTATATGAATACAATGACTGAATTTGATCTTCAATTTAAAATATTTATACTAGTGGATACCACAAAATCTTATGTTATATTTCACGAAAGTAATAATAAACTCTTAATTGTTAGTGAATATATTGTTTTGATGGCATACGCATTCTACGAAACTAATTTCAACGATCCAACTGTCAAACTTGTTTGTTTATACTTTGAGATCATATACGCCAAAAAAAATAAATAAATAAACATTCAGAGATCAAGTAACAGGACAAAAAATTTCGACGGTTATAAAAAAAAAAAATCATGATTTAACGGTTATTTTAACTCCGATTTTGATATTTTTTACAGCTACACTCCTTGACCCTATATGAATACAATGACTGAATTTGATCTTCAATTTAAAATATTTACACTAGTGGATACCACAAAATCTTCTGTTATATTTAACGTAAGTATAAATAAACTCTTAATTGTTAGTCAATATATTGTTTTGATGGCATACGCATTCAACAAAACTAGTTTTAACGATCCAATCGTCAAACTTGTTTGTTTATACTTCGAGATCATATACGCCAAAAATCGGAAAAAATAAACATTCAGATATCAAGTAATGGGACAAAACTTTTCGACGGTTATAAATGAAAAATCACGATTTAACGGTTATTTTAACTCCGATTTTGATGATTTTTTACAGCTACACTCCTTGACCCTATATGAATACAATGAACTAATTCGATCGTCAATTTAAAAAATATATTTTCTAACAAAAACCCAATCCGAACAACAATAATATATTTTTCTAACAAAAATCTGATCCGATCTAAAGTAATAAATTTAAAGCTACTTAATGAAAATATATATACCGTTTAATTTCTTAAGTGTTGTTATGCACACAAAATAAAAAACAAAAATAAATTGGTTTAGGCGAAATGTTTGGATTACGCCATGCAAAGATTTTAAAAAATAATTTTTTTATTTTATTTATTTTTATAAGGACTTTGTGCGACGAAGTTTATTGTTTTGTCGCACAAAGTGACTTTGAGCGACGAATAGTTTTTCGTCGCGCAAAATTTGGTCGCACAAAGGTTATTTTGTACTAGTGTTGAATGAGTTTCTTGAAACAAAGAAAGTTAATTATGATGCTTAACTCTTACGATGATGATTTACAGAAATGCTTGGGTGATGTTTAGGGTTTAGCATGGTCTTCTAAGAGGAAGGGTATGAGAATGAAGGAAAAGCTTGGAGTTATGCTTGGTGAGGCTTTATAGAGAAGCTGATGGATTTCATGGATGAGAAAGTAGGAGATGGTTGTGATCGCTGCTGGGAGCTTGCAGCAGTCGAGAGAATTGGTTGATGGTCGCTAGGATGCTTGCAGTAGCCAAAGGATGAAGGTTGATGGCTTAGGAATGACTATGATGACTGCTGGAATGCTTGCAACAGCTGAAGAAATATTCTCATGGTTGTTAAGAGGCTTGCAGCAACTAAGAGGAGTTGGTTTTGCCTAGGCATGCCTCCCAATTTATAGAAGGTGAAGGCTCTCTTTGGTTTCCAATAGGTAAAAAGAAGTGTTTGAGCTAGTCTATTTCCAACGGGTAAAAGGGAGCATTGAGACATTCTTATATCCAGCAGGTAAAGTTAGGCATTGGAAAATGACTATTTCCTATGGGTAAAAGGAAGTGTTGGAATTGGCTTGTGACATTCTTATTTCCAGCAGGTAAAGTTAGGCATTGGAAAATGACTATTTTCTATGGGTAAAAGGGAGTGCTTGAAGAATATCTCATTTGTTGACCTACATTAGGGAACTCCAAGTAATTGGCTTGGACTTTAGTACTCCCAAATAGCTAGCCCAAAGTCTCCATTATCCAAGAGCTTCTGTGGGCCTTGTGGACCTCCATAACCTTCCACACCACAATCCCTCCTAGAAGCCACGTAAACCACATGACTTGGGTTCATGTGAGCTTGGTAGGTGATTGACATATGAAAAATGTATTATTGGCTTGGCATGGCATGACATGCACATTATTTCTATGTTTATTTAATGAATTAATTCCCAAAATACAGCTTGGATTAACACATGACTTTTATATGTTATATTGAGCTTTAAATATCTTTGGGCTTCTCGTAAATTTTTGGGCCTCAACATATATGAACAATGAATAATATATGAAGAAGTCTCAATAAGAATTCAATCAATTTAACCCCAATTTTTAATTATTTTTTTATATTATAAATTTATTATTTAAATAATTATACCTGACATAACACGAATAAACAAGTTATTTTAAATCAATATCTTCAAGTAACGTGACAGGATAAATTCAACAATTTCCCACTTCTTCAAGTACTAGGAACTCATAATAAATTATTGAAAAAGACTTAATTGATTGAATAATTTCCTACCCGATATCATTATTTGCATTTTGCATAAGGTTTTACACTAGACTATTCACTTTTATCATCATAAGAGAGAGATAAATTTCTATTGGATTAAACCATTAACGATTAAAAAAAAAGATAGATAAATGACTTTTGTAAGAAAAGATTGAAGGTTTTAGGTTGTTATTTTTTCGCAATGTAAAATCAGTAATATTTAACAAGTCACAAATAGATTCAATTTCATGTGTGTTACTTGAACTCGATTATATGTATGAAAAAAAAATTCAGATTTCATATTAAAAAAAGAAACAAGAATCATACTCTATACCAATATTGTACTCTTAAACGGAGGACTGTTTGAAAAGACAATCTTTATTTTATATATTTCATTATGATATAGATATATATTTTATTATATATTAATAGAATGAACACGGTCAAGTATGCTCTATGACGAAAGGATTCAAACCTCCAAATAGTGGGACCAGAACATATTGCCTTACCACGACCCATTTGTAGTCGACACTAATAAACACTAATATCAATACTTAAAAAACTAGGAATTAGATTGATTATTGGGGAGTAGTTGATCTCATATAGGCATTTTTACTTACTTGGAATTAAGAGACCTAGGGTATTTAATGAATTGGCATTAGATCAATTAGCCTTCCCTAATTATTCAATTATTAGTTTTTAGAATATTGGATTATGAATTATAAGGTGGGATCCACAATTTTTTAATTTAAATTTCTTATGATTTAGTAACTGCGGTTAAACTAACTTCTCCTCTATCTCAAGACTAATAGCCTCAAATTAGAATCTTGCATATTTGGGTTCTGCCTACATTATGACATTTACAAATATATAATAAAATTTTAAACATAGTTTTAAAAAAAATTTAAAAAAAGAAAGAAAAAGGATATCAATACTAAATTAAAACAAGAACAAAAAATTCAAATACCTGAATTTTATCTTGCCACCATTCCTCATATGCATCAACGATATTCTTAGCAACATTCCACCCAAGACTAGTTTCTTTCCCTTTTAGATCTCTAATTTCCATTCTTTTTTTAGTAAATCCCACTTGTTTTTCAATTGTAATTTTTTATACGGTTTTCCTATCTCCTTACTAATATTTGTAACCAACCTTGCCCAACTAACTTTATTAAAGGGAGTATCGGGACGATCTAGATCCACCTCCTTGATACAAAGGTCAATAAAGATGGCTATAGTTTGAGCATTCCACAAAGCTAACAATTTTCGGGATCCACTTGCAACATGTTCAGTTGTGGTGAAGTTACTATTCTTCTTTGCCATCTTATTATAACAAAGACATTATATATAAGCACAAAAGAAAATAATATGTATACAAGCGAATTACAAAACAAACCAAACTAGCCACAACTCAAATGCAGTGCATAGATGTTTATCTAATCTGAACAGTCATAGATGTTCATCTATCTCAAATGCAAGGATATGTAACATTTAACTGACTGCATACAATCTGATTAAGGGATTAGAAAGTCACACTGTAAAAACCATAGATCAAAAAAACAAGGCTAATAGGGTAGGTTATGTTCTAATATGATGTTGTATAATTATAAAGTAACATCTTCATATATATATATATATATATATATATAAACATCAGTTTATCATAGTATTCAACAGTACAATGTAAAGGATATTCGTTGTTGTGTGCTAGTAGAACTATGAATACAGCTTTGTTGATAAAAATTATAAAGAGAGAATTTTCATACCATGAAATATGCAGGAATTTTAGGAATCACAATCTTAAATTGCTCTAGAGACAGACCCTATCACATGCTTAAAGTAAAAATTGTGTAAAACACATTGTCAAAAGAAATCTTGCCATACAATAAAAGAATCAATCTTGAATTGCTTAAGAGCCAAACCATTTAGAAGCTTTTGGCATACAAGAAAAGAATCTTTTTTTTTTTTTTTTTTTTTTTTTTTTTTTTTTTTTTGAAATAAAAGGGCACAACAATGTCATATCTAACTAAGCATTCAAATAAGAAGCATAATCTGACAAGTAAATGTATTCCAGCAATAAAGTTCCCAAAATAGTTTCTAAAATGACCATCTTTTTTCTTTTTTTTTAAACACTGGAATGACCAACTTTTAAGCCAACTAAAAAAATCCTAAACCATAAGTGTAATTTCATTTGTAGACAAGAACTTACCTTTTCCTTTTGATGGCTACCAATTAGAAGAAGATTACCATTGATATTTATACGAGAGAGAGAGAGAGAGAGCATTGATGTTGCCACAACTCACATCAAGACGCCATGATATTCAGAGTTGCAGTAACTATTGCATTAAAAAGGAAACCGCTTCTCCTAATGGCTTTGGCTCACAGCAATTTTTTGACAAAAGTGATTTTCAACCCTTTTATCAAATGGGCTTGGCCCCAAATAAGCAATGCCAAACTGGTACTTAGGGGGGTGTATTCAATTCTAACTTTTAAAGACTTTTAATGAGTTTAAAAATCTGGACATATTCAACTATGACTTTTAAATAGTCTTTAAAAGTTTAGTAGTATTCAATTGTGATTTTAAAAAGTCTTTAAAAGTTTTGTGGTATCCAAAAAATTAATGACTTTTGAAAACTTTGTTAAATGAATGACTTTTCAATACTTTTAAGCCTAAATCTTAACACCAAAAGTCTAGCTAATTTACCCAAGACTTTATCAATGAATTCAATCATGCTGCAGCTTTGGGCATTCGAGGGTGTGCCACCATGTTTGTGTCTCTAGACCCCCTCCCTCTTTGGTCGGTGTACTATCAAGAGATGGCCTACTACACCTTCAATTTGATTTTTTTCTTTTGGCTTCCATTATCTGTCCTAGGAATTGTTATGATGATGAGCCATTTCTTGCTTGTTTTTTTTTTTTCAATGCTTGAAACGATTGCTACATACTAAGAGATACGGTGGGACTACATTGGTTTTTTTTGCAATTTTTAAGGCCTATCTGTAGGAACATATGATTTTGTTACACAAACCCACATTCTCCAATAGCAATTTAGCTCATAGCATCCTGGGGTTTACAGCTAACCCCACATTCTAGTTTTGTTATTTGGCTTGGCTCTATCACTATGCCACTTTATTGGTATCTCCCACCCAAACAAAGTATACTTCCAGAAGGTCTTGAGGATCTTAACTTCGTTCTAGCAATTGGATAATTTGTTCCTTCTTCCCCAAGACCCAGCTCTAAAAACTAAACTAATTAAATACATAATATTGATTGCACACCTTATATTTGAGTTGCATCCAAGAGCAGGAACCTTATTTTCTCCATACTTGACACTGTTCTCAAGTGAAAAGTTCTTAGACATGGAAAAATATTGCTTTGCTTTTACACAATTGTATCCAATTGTTTTTTTTTTTTGGCTACTTGTTCCATTTGCGGACTAGTTACTTCACCATACAAAACATAAATATTAGAAGCAATTTCTTTTTTTGTTATACTACTCTATGATAAATATTAAAAAGATAAATACTATTCATAAATAAATACTACAAAAAGTAGATAAAAGTATGTAAAACTCCATGATAAAAATATGAAAGTATATCACTTAACTTTATAAGGTATGTATAAGTCATTAAGAATCTGTCAACTCTATAAAAATCAATTACTTACAAAAAATCTTTAAGAGTTAGAATTGGATGCACCCCGTAACGACGGTGAAACTAAAAATTGAAATAATTTCTTTTCTTCCCATACAACTTTCCTTTCTTCAAATAAGGGACATAAAATCAAAAAGGAAAAAAAGATCGGAGTAGATTTTGAATTTCCCCATAAAATCAAAATCAAAACCCAAACTTTTTTCAAATCTATGCAGAAGTTACTCCCTTTCCCACCTTTCCTTGCGTCATGGACACCCCTTCTTCTTCTCCACCTTCTCTACAACTCCTCGCCTCCAAATCTTGCGTTCTTAGTGATCAAGCCGACACTGTAGACCATGAAAACGCCGCCACCCCCCACCACCGTCGATGCCAACCCCAACCCTTCAAATCCAACGGTCCGAAACCTCTCGCCGTGTGATGAAAGCCCAGCAAAACCCATCTGCAGGAACACAAAGAAAACGAAGAGAAAAGTATTAAAAGATGCAGCTGCAGCGCCATCTTCGTCTTGTGGTTCAACTTCTTCGGGTCCGTCATTCAGGGGAACACGCGTGGCGGGCAAGCGCCGAAGCCCTAAGATGGTTTTCACTGCGCCTCGAAGAAACCCTAATGCCGACGAGATCGCGTTCCGGTTGGGAATGTCAATTGCAGCTTTTGTTGCTCAGGTTCATATTTTTTATATTTTTGGTTCTTAACTGGTTTTGTTCTGTGTTTGATTTGCGAGATTGCGGGTTTCAATAATTGGTCGTTGTGCGTGTAGAAAGTTTATATCTTGGAGTTGAATTTTGGTATTTGTTTGTGGTGTGTGTGGAAAATTTATGATTTTTAAGCGTTAGTTGTTTGTAAATCTGGTTCTTATACCCTTTCGAAGTTTGTTTCTTGGATTGGACTTCTGAAATTCTCAACCCGGTTCTTTGCTTTTGTCGTTTTGAACTTGCAGAGTTGTATTTGAGGTTTGTCTAGCTAGAAAAATGTGAGATGGGTTGTGCCTTGATACAAAGAATTCTGTCTGTAGTTTTTGAAGTTCAAGTTTGGAGGATTTAGTGGTCGCTATACTTTTGTAGTTCACATTGTTGTATTGATAAAGTTTGTGTCTTTTTATACAAAGTTAGTGAGCTTGTTTACAAGGATTAATGTGCAATGAATTAACAGGCATTAAGTGATGGGAATGAAATACGTACAGAATATCGTAATTATCACTCTCAAAGGAAATGTGTAACTTATTTGGAATGGTTTGTGGCTGTGGCTTGTTGCTGTGTCCCTATCAACCAATTCTTTTATGACTTAAGCTTGATTTGGTCTTTGGGATCTGTAGATTGTGAATATGGTATCTTTTTGTTCTATTCATTCAGTAATATGATTCTGCGTATTAATGTAGATTTTTGTTGGCCTTATACAAATTTAGCAAAATGGAAATTGTGGCTTCCTTAGGTGCCCCTAATCTGTATATAGTAGGATGGCACAGTATATGCGTTTCTTTTTATCCCTATCTAATGTTGGATTGGATAACCTCTTAGTTCCTGTAGTTAACGATGTTGAATGTTTTGAGCTCTGAAATCTGAAGAGAGAGAAAGTGGCTTGTTGTGACTAGCTACCTAATATTTCAATATACATACCAATCACTTTTTTTTTCCTTTTCTTTTTGGAATTTGTGGGGAGAAATTAATGACTACTAAACATAGTGAGCATGGTTGGAGTAGGAATGTCGAAAGTGGCTAAGCCCCCTTTGGAGATGCTTAAACAACTACATTATTTAAATATTGACCTACAAATTCTCTAAAACATGTTTTGGATTTTGATTTTAATAACTAAGGCTTTTCTTTTTTGTTTCTTCAAATGATTTTAATATGAAATTTTCTTTTTCTCCTTATAGAAATTGATTACATTTTCTAGGCAGCTGGATTTGTTACACATGGAATTCATACGAAACATAGAAAACCTCATGTCAAGTTCAAGGTGCTTGGCATTTGTTTTACATGGTCTATTTTTCATTATTATATGAAGGAAACAGTATGTTATTCATGTGGTGTTATTTTATTTTACTCATGTTGTTGAGCCTTCATTTCATCTTTCATCTCTTCTTCTTTTCTTGATTCTTTCCTTATGGGTTTTTATGGTGTTAGTTTCACATGGTCAGTCTTCTCTGGCTATTACCAGTGCATGGTGCTTCTTCCTTGACTGATTGTGACTCTTGAAGAGATAACATTCCCTGCTTCTGTTTCACTTTTTGCAATTCTCAGTAAGTGTACTCATCAATAATTTGGGTGTGATGATATTTTAATATAGATTCTGGAAAGAAATGGCGAGGTAGGTGGAGGGATGTCTTCTGATCATCTTGCTAAGGTATTCTTCTTTTCATACTACAATACCTACATCAACAATAAGCTTCAACTTACACCATCAGTTCTCTGTATGTACTTTCTTTCATTGTCAAAATGCACTAATTAGTTCATTGGACATGTAATTGACTCATGTTTATTACTTATGACAACTCAAATTCATATGACCAAAGTCGCCCTTCCAGTAACCTTTCAGCTTGTGATATCAGGCTGTTTCGTACTTGGTTTGATGAAATAGTTGTCACAGTAAAAATGAAGCCTGCCTGCAATGGTGGGGATGAACAATTCTATACTTTCTCTTTGCTTCATAATTTTATTTTCTTCATATTCGGATAATAGGGCATCAACTAATTATACATCTATTTACTGGAGTGCAGATATGTGCTTCAGCTGTCAGAGAATCTTTAGCCAATGTAAGCCAGACTTAACTGCTGACTCATCCATTGAAAGTGGTTTGAAGTTCCTTCTTCTTGTTCATATCAACACTCCACAAGTCCTAGATGCTGAAGTCATATTTATCTGTCTTGACTGCGTATTTGGCTACAGGTTTTCGGGAACACATGTGATTGTTTTATCCGGAACTTTGAAAAATCATTTGGGAGTACATTGAGGACTCTAAAATCGATCAAGGAATCATCTACAAATAACAGGAGATGTCTCTCGAGCCACCAAAACATGGAAGGGTCTTCTCTACATGTGACTCATGATGAACAAGATGGTGCAAGCAGCTCTGATATAGAAGATTGTCACTCAAAAGCATTGTCCCACACTGGTGCAACCCAGGGTCAATTAAATTATAGAGATGAATTAAATCAGAGTATGTTAACAAGTTCTATTAATCTGGAGCTTGCCCTGCATGGGCAAACAAACCAGTTGACTTATATTCCTCCAAGAACATCTGAATCTGGAGCCAATCAGTCCATGCTTGGAACTATTGGGAAGTCTGTCATAGAGCAAGCCCGTGCTAACGACCTCAAAACATTGGAGCTTAATCTTACAATGCAGAAACTAAAGTTGAAAGAGACACAGCTAGCTCTCAACTATGATTCAAATCAACTGCAGAGGTCAAAATTTTCGATGGACGTATCAAAAGCATCCTTCAAAACTGAAAAGTTTAAGAGTCAATTAGAAGATACAAGACATGCTGAGCTGCTTAAAATGTGCATTGACTGTCTAGTTGCTGGTTTGCTTGTCATGATCACATCCCTGATATATGGTGCTTATGTGTATTCATACAAAAGACTTACTGAAGCTACTGCATCCTGTACACCTTCAACAAAGGTAATTCCTTTTTTCTTTTCTGGCTTCATGTGATTTAGTTTAAGCTTCACTTAGTTGTTAGTGCTGTTATTATTTGGCTTTCGTATATGACTATTTATGTGATCCATAACTCCAGGTAACAGGATGTTGCTAGTTGTTTAGAACATGAGAAAATACCGAGACATGATATGTGGCTAAAATAAGTAACTCATACCGAGCTGTATGTACGAAAAATCAGCAATAACCTCTTTCTTGACAACTTTCCTATAAAAATCTTTCTCCAAGAAACAGCTAGAACTATCTATTGGCTGCAGCTTTTTGGATTGTACCTACACCTGAGTTACATCAATAATTGATTACATGTAAGAAAATCTCAAAGGGCAATTTTTAGGATTTGATTTTTATTATAGAGGGAATCCACTGATCAGTCCAAAAGGAAATTAGGTTCACTTGATTTGGTTCTATTCTATTAAAACTATAATTCAAGATTTAGTTATTTAGCTTGTTAAATATTTACAATTTAAGAATTTGGTTAGTCGGGTTTAATTGTTATTGCATTCTGTTGTTTAGGTTTTAAGTATTTTGGGATTGCGTATAAATGGGCCTTTTTGTAATGAACACTTGGACAGCACTGTAAACAATATGTGCATGATATATGATATTTCGCTCGTACATACCATAACATTGGTTTTTGTTTTCTGGTAAATTTTAACTAATTCTTTTTCTATCCCAGGGGTCAGAGTCTTGGCTGAGCTGGAAAGCCTGGGATCCAATGACATCTTTCAATTCAGGGTTTCACATTCTAAGGTGCAAGGTTGAAGTTGTGAGCCGAATGCTATTTGGTGTCTTAATGATTCTTGCAATTGCTTTTTTGCTCCTCCAGCGCTCTGCAACTGCAAAACAGATAATGCCAGTAACTTTCATAATCTTGCTACTGGGAATTATGTGTGGATTTTTTGGCAAGCTCTGTGTAGACACATTGGGAGGGAGTGGGTATCATTGGCTTATATATTGGGAGACTCTTTGCATGCTGCATTTCTTCTGTAATGTATGCACGTCTGCTTTGTTCTTTATACTCCATGGGCCGATCGACGTGTCTCAAGGAACAAAAGGAAATACAATATTTCCATACTGGATTCGGCGGGTGGTGTTTTATTGTACTTCATTTCTGTTTCTGCCACTCTTTTGTGGCCTCACGCCTTTCGCAAGCATTGGTGAATGGAAACATCATCTCCTGCTGCTGGTCACTGATCTTGGTTACTGGTGATGAAAGCTGGTTTCTAGAGTACTGAGAGGATCTGCTTCCTTTTTTCTCAACAGGGTAGCTTTTGCCTTTCAGCATAACTTAGTCTGTACATGATGTCAAGCTGTTGTTGTATCTGGCCCAAACAACTCAGCTGGCATTGTAATAGTATCTGATGTATGTGTAATTCAAACGAAAGGGCCATTTTGTGCTATTATCGTTTCTGGTCTAGTGAAATTAAGGGAGTGCTGGCCGGGAAGTACGAGTGCTTGATGTGTATTATCATATGATTTGTTGCCTGCCGATGTTTTATGGGGTCATATATTACATGGATGAATGTTTTAGACACAATTCTGATCTAGAGCCTCTAAATTCCATTTGCATTGGACAAGTTTCAAGTATGCTTTGTGAATAGGTATGAGCAAATCTATCATTCAATTGTTGTGTATAGTTTGTCATAAAGTTTGTTTCTAAAGCCTTATGCTTTCACTAGTTCTGTAAACACACTTTTGAAAAGAAGCCAAAATGGACAAAAATGTCTCTATTTATTTTTGAATTTCCCAAGGAATCTCTTACATTTGCATGTCTTTGGTTTGAAAATTGATGAGTTTGTCTTTTTTGGAAAAATTTTGGCTTTTTCCAAAAGTGAGTTTTTTTTATGGCTAAAACCTAAATTTACTGATAATTTATGACTCAATGATTGATTACAGGTTCTACTCATTATTTTCGGAAAGAGGGCCACCAGCTAAAGTAGAACCTGTTGAGTTTTAAGTAGGGAGATTTACTAATATACCCAATATGGGGGCTCAAATTATAAAAATACCCCATATAAAATGAACTTTATAAACACACCCAAAACCGATTTACAACATAACAAAGAGGCCTTAACTTCTTATAAATTACAAAACTACCATAAATTTCTTAAAACAAGCCCAACCTCAAAATCTCATAAAAATACCCAAAACACTCAATAGGGCATTAAAGTAATTTAATAATCAATATTAAATTCAATAAGGCCAACTATCATTTTTGGGGTTTTTTTTGGGTTTGTTTATAGAAATTCAATGATGGAGGGTTTATCTATAATATTAGTGCTAAGAATGGGTATATCACTAAATATCTCTTTTAAGTATTACCATTTTATTGTAGCCGAACTTGGGACATCTTCAAACCATGTTAATGAACTCAAAAGGTACTTATGTTTGGTTTGTTATACCACGTCATCATGATGACATAATACAACTGTTCTACCTAAAACGATAATTAAAAAATAATTATAAAAACAATACTATAATAAATAAAATAAAAGGCAACTGCTTTATTCACAAAAAGGAAAGGACACATTCAGAACTGTGCTGTCATTCATCTTGCTCCTACAATATCCCAATTGTGGTAATACAAAGCGCATGTCAATTCGAAAAAGAACATTACTCAGAGAGAAATGAAGACAAATTCTAATCCACTGGAAAATTCCAGCTTCACAGCTCCACTAGTACAAAATTCAAAAGCCTCAACGTATTTTACAAATTCCTCCTGTGGTAACAAGCGCACCTCATCTTCTTTTATCTAAAAATTATGAAGCTACAAGTTTACATCTGTCTGGGAGACACCTAGGCTGTATTCAAGCAATTCTATATTGAGGCACCAGGGGATTGCCTCCCTTTTTTTTTGGGTGTACCAAGTCTTTATCACATAGTTAACAGCACGGCTGAACAAGGCTCGAGACATTTCAAATCTGCCATCTTCTTGACCTTAGTAATAATCACAATACCTCATGAGCTTTGCCATAATACCTGTTGATGAATGGAGCCTGCGAGGCAATAGCACCCAGAAAACATTAATATTGAAGCATATCATGGTCCACATCTATTTGAAGAGTGCAAAGGGTAATGAACCCTGGCATGTTCAGAAAAGCTCTCTTCATTACCTTCTTTTTCTTTAAGAAACAAGAACCTTTTTTAAAAACGGAAAGAAGGGCTTAAACACCTCTTTAGTTATATGGAAAGCATGCTAAACAGAAATGGAGAAATAAAAAAAAATAAAAAATAGAGGCTAAAGAGAGGATGCATAGACAATCATACCAACCCATCACATATCTACTCTTACATTTTACTAATAGTTAATGTCATTAAAAGAGATGAAAACCACGCTTAAGGTTTTTCTACACCAACTTCCTATGAGGATATGCAGTAGCCTGAAGTTGATATGGTCTCTTTGTGCATGTCATGAGAAGCTAATTGTGTGACTTTGAGAAGATATCCACTAATATTCATCAAGTTGACATTGAGCAAGCCCAACTTTCTTTGCCTACGTGTTCTCAGGATGTGGATCTCTCCGGAACTGTTCATCACACCTAAATTTTGAATCCTTACTGTTCAAGTCAGATCACAAGATCACAATTATGCTCACAAGTAGGTGTTTAATCTCTCCGCAAACCACAAAAAACAAAGTACCTATACAACCTCTCCTCTCCTCTGCTTTTTACTTGGCACTGGTTTAATCCAGAACAATTTTTTCATGCTTTTCAGGGAAGCACAAAACCCTTGTTTAAGGATTCGTACTTTTCAAATATTAAATTTCCCTTTGCTTTGTCTATCTATGAGCGATTTGAAGTTGCATTTCATCAATGATCTTCCTTTTCCACGTTCGACAAAAACAGCCACCCAACAGAAAACATCATGTAGACCACCTCTGTTTAAGCTTTAGATCTACTACCCAATCAAGTACCAAAATTTCAGTCAAACCCACCTTGTTCACCATACCAAAAACTAACTAACAAGGTTACGCCACACCCAAAATCATGCCAGTTTGGCTCTGTAGTTATGCATTGCAGAGATCTCAGATCTGGAAAGTGGGAGGCGGGAGGTAATAGACAAAAAGTTAAAAGAAGAAAACGCAAGGCATGGGCTGCAGAGGTTTTGACCCTGGAAATAGGGAGAGGCAGAGGTGAAAGGAGGAAATGAGAAAATGGAAGGAAAAAAATAACAAAAGAAGAAGAAAGTAGCATTGAAGTGTCAACACTTTTTATTCTTTCTAAGAAAGACAGAAGCAAAACCAATCTTTTATATCAACTTTGGAATTAAAAGCTGAGATATGATCCGGAGAGGATGCACATCCATTTACTCAACCAACAATCAATACTAAAAATGCCTACAAGTTGCAAGACCTAGCTTCTAAGAAATGAAGAGAAACAAAAGGCTGTAAGCTTAAGCCAAGGCATATAACTACATTAAGCATCAAATACTACATAAATTTAAAAACATACTAATTATTGGTTAGCCCTCATTGATTAGAAGAGACTCACAGTTTGAGGAGACGCATTTAATGAATTAGACAATAAACATGAACAAGACTAATTCAAAAGAGGAATGGCATAGGTGGTTAACGAAAGCAGCAAGAACAAACATCTAAGTGAACTGGACGAGGGGAGACTGATGATAGAGTATTTGGCAGGTATTTCCTAAAGTGTGCATACCAGTGGCAAATACAAAGAATGAATCACTTCAAGGAGAAGAGACAATAAGGACTTAAGCATCAATAAACCCCAAGGAAGATCCTCCTCTTCTTTCTTTGGCTATTATTTATATATTTTGAAAATGAGAACAAAAAAGGCAGTGGCTATACTCAAATGTTCCCAGAAAAACTGGGCAACAAGCAACAACCAGGTCTCTTTTCTTTAGCAAAATGTATTGAAATTTTTAATATGTTATTCTTCTGCAAGAACTCACTGAATTAAAGGTCAAATCCTAGACAGAACCTTGGAAGTTGGAACAAACTCATGATTGTACAACAATAGATCAATTGAATTACCAAACACCAGACTTTTTCTATGCTGAATCCACCAAGTAAAACAGCAATCGTCTGGCATTTATGACACAAATCCAATCCATATAACCACACAGAAGCTTTATCCTAGGGACTAAGTATGACCAAGACATTTGGAAAACCAGATGGGACTGCTAAGTAAAGCAACATGACCACCTGATTCAACCAAATTTTCCAATGAACAAAAATCAAAAGCAAAGGCATTCAAGATGGTAGACCAGCATAGTCTATTGCACATATTTTGAACACCCAGTTTAAATATGACAACTATCCGACCTTGTAAGTTGCAACAAAGATGCTTTCACATATGCCAATACAAATAAAAAATAGTGTTTAGAACATTACCTTAACATTTGATATATCAGGAGTATCTGGTGTCTGTACAGGGTAGAACTTGTAAAACCTCATATTTTCAAATGCTGCTTTAGCTTCCTCACTCATTTCTTCAATGGCTTTTCTTCGGGCTTCCCTTGCCTATAAAAGAGAGAAATAGAAGGAAAATTATACTTCTAAACAAATTTTATACTTTAAGATAAATATTGTTCAAACACCCAAATATAGTCAATTATATCTTGGTAAAAATATTAAAGAAAAAAAGAGTACCTCCCGGTTATTTTTCTTTTGTTCACGTACTTTCTCCTTGAGAAACTCCTGAGAAAGCATAAAAGAAGGAAATTTGGAAACAACTAGTGCAAGGATAAGGGAAGGAGGCAGAGAGAAGTAGAAGGTTACGAGTCACTTCCATCTTTTTTACAATTTACCTTGAATGCATCCTTCTGGTCTGCAGATAATTCCTCCTCTTCTATCAATTTATCAGTGAACTCCTACAGGTTCAGAGACAATTTAGAAACACGCTTCATTGATGTTTTTATATCGTCTCTTTATACTTAACAAAGGGGGATCAGCAAGGAAACAAATTAACAAAACTGGGCAAAAGATGGGGGAATTCAATAATAAAAAAGATGCAAAAGCATGTTACCAGGACTTGCTGTTAAACATCATTAAATAACCAAAAGAAGCTCACTCATCAAATGTTTGTAACTAGGAAAAATGATTACAATATAAATATGCACGTTGAAACACATTAGTCATTGAAATCAGAATACAATACCGAGGGAATACATCATTAGATAAACATTAGCCTTTCTATACTTCAGCTTCCAGTTCTAGTCCTGAATTATAGAAGAAATTGCCATATTCTAACTCAAGATGAATCTCGTAAATGGCAGAGAAATATTCAATAGTATCGTCAATGTATCTGATTAAAAAAGAAAACTATTACAGATACATTAAAGAAGCATCACTATATGATTGGACGTGCCACTCTCTGAGATATATATGGATTCCTTATAAAAGAATATGCTACAAAGATCAAAATAATCTACAAACTTGAATAGTGGGCTTATATAAAAAATAATCCTAGCCAATTAAAATAACCATGTCTGTATCAATGACAAGCAACCAGAAGCAAAAGATAAAGTTGATAAGAAGCATCATGAGCGACACAATTTCAGAACTGAATCAATCCAAAACATACAAACATAAAAAGTTTGATTTTGTACCTCCAATTCATCCAACTCCCAATCAAATTCACAGTAAACCTGCAAAGGGCAAAAAAGAAAGTCACTTCAGCAAAGATCTGGAAGTGTACATACTGTAGTCATTCCATTTCATATGAGCACCTAGTAACTTGTTTGTGTAATGGAAAGATTGATCTTTTACTTCATTTGTCCAATTTCCAGAAACTTATGGCCACCAGTATAAGCCTCGCATAGGATTAAAATGGGTTGGACAAAGAGATCTAAGAGATATATAATCTCAGTAAAAGGATGTCCATGCGTTGTACTTAAATTAAAGTGAAGAAGGAAAGAGGACATAGAAGGATGTAGGACAAGAATAAATAAAAAATTCATCACTTCATGGCCACATGCCAGCCTAGTACAGTTTTTCCTGTCGACTTATTTTTCTTCTTTTTTTAATTTAGGAACTATTATTGTATATTAGGTTCCACCCCTTCTGCACTCTAGCTTATCAAAGAAAGGGAATGTGTAAACCCAGTCATATATTCCATATCCAAACAATTTGTTGTCCATTAGTTTGTTTCACTAATAACTATAACCCTTACCGGCTTTGGCTCTCCTGGAAACATTATTGGGACCTCAGTGCTTTGCTCAAGCTCATCTTCCTTAAAAGGCTGATAGAAATCTGTCAAAGATGACAGCATGTCAAAACCACTAGAGTTCAACATGCACTACAGACAATGATGATTGACCACCAACAAACATGAGTTGAACCATCCTATGTCAATAACCAAATCAAAGTAGCCATCATCAAGCCCCAAATTTATCCATAAATTTCAGAACATTAAGGATGGTATTTTCCTTTTCACTTCCTAACATGATAATTTTGAACAATCGTGTTCTTCATTATAGAAAAACATTTTTCAAGATATGGAGAGAGAGAGAGAGAGAGAGAGAGAGAGAGAGAGAGAATCTCATATCCTTCAGATAATCAAAATGTCTATAAGTCAATGTGAAATTAAACAACTTTAAAAACAAAAGATAGTTTGGAAACCTACAAGGCAAACAGTACTCAAATTTCTTGAGACGATCTATCTTCATGTGTTTCAAAGCAGCCCTGCAATAACATTTATATAAATAACGAAAAAATAGTTAAATCCTCAAACAATGTGACAATAATAAAAGTTTGGCTCAAATAAACAGTGTAAGACAAAACTCAACAGAAAAACTCGAACAAAAGTGGAAAACTACTTTTAAAACAGAGGTCCGAAAAGCAAAATAGCAATGATAAAGGCTTACAATACCCACTTTATCTAGGGCATAATATGTCAACTACAAGCCTAGGCTACTTTATAATTTATATATTGCGTGCATTCAATGTATGACATATGGTCTCAAGTAAAAGCACAGGGTTTTAGGTCAGACAAGAAACAGCTAAGGAGGTGTCATTAGTCAGCCTCAACCAAGGGTTCAAAGCCAGCCAATGGGAATACATCAGCCGCTCAGGTACAAATGAACATTAGATCAACATGATGTAACCAATGTCCATGAATAACATATGATGAAAAGTAGCAAAACCAAAGCAAAATACAAATAGACTACAGAAACAACCAAGATTTACTCCTTTTAAACAGCCAAGCAGGAATATAACACGGGATCTTTAAGAACATTTTACTTAATTGTCCAAAAAAACAAAAACAAAAACATAAAAAATTAGTTCAATTCAGTTATAAGGAAGTTAAAAACACAATCATGGTTTTGACTGAGTTAAACCACCAACTCAAATAATACAGTAATTCTAATAATTCCAATATTATACATCCAAACTCACTACACAGCAGTCCTGTAACACTGATTACAAAACCTAAAAACATATATGAATACGAGAAATAAAAGGAAAAACAGGAAAGGGGAATGAGAATGAGTGTTATTCTACCTTCTCTGAGTGCAGCCCAAAATAAATATTTGAGATTTAAGTCTATCTACTTGGCTGTCTCTGTAGAAAGTTGAAAGTTCACAATGATATCAAGAAATTGACAAAGAACTTTACAACTTCCAAACAGAAGTGTTTCTTGAAATGAGTTCAAAACCACCAACACCAAATAGTACCTATTCTCCAGAGGAATATACGGAATCCAGTCCATTTTCATTTGTTTCATGGGAATTATTTCTTCAGCTTCTCTCTGAACTGAATTAATCCCAATCTTATCCGAAGGGGGGAAAGGTGATACAACCTATAAAAGCAAAAGAAGCTTAGCAAGACAAGAGATGAATGATATGCATAATAATGTGCAGTCAGGTTTGCAATTACCAAAATATAAATCATTTACTAAAAACATACAAGAAACATGTTACAAAGGAAAAAAGAAAAATGCAGGATGCAAACTCAGTCTAAGAAACAAAAATTACAAGACGATTGCAGATGAATTATTGTTTCCATTACCAAATAAAATCATTTGCTACGAACACAGGAAGTAGAACAATGAGAAACAACAATGTAAAACATAGAAAGACAAATACCCAAATGAGCAAACATTGCATTCTAAGAAGTTCAATTCAATATATGTTTGAAGAATTAGTAAACCAATTTCATTACAGTTGAAGTAGTACGAAGTAAAACTTTCACATAAATAAGTTTTTTATTTTATTTTGTAAACAGTAAAGTAAAAAGCTAACAAATCTGAGTGAAGAAAATTGGGCATCTAAAGCAGAAAACAGAGATGAGTTGTTGAACTTACAGCGACCACAACAGGAATGCAAACAACTTTGTTTTCACCATTCACAGACACCAATTGAGCTGAAAAAAGAGAACGTAATTGGAGAAATTAAACACATTGAAATGAAGAAAAAAAAACAAAAAAACAAGCAAACAGAAGCTGTTAGCAGGTAGCTTACGCTCAGTACAACCGAAGAGATAGACTTTGTTCTTGCCAAGGTCATAGAGCTTCCCCCCTTCTTCAAAAGCTTGTTCGAGATTGGAGAAATCCCACTTGAATTGGTAAACGGAGTCCAATTGATCCCACTCAGTCCCAACAGGAAATGCAGCCTTCCATAGATCTTCGAGGTTCCGAGGGTCCTCCAAGTATTGGGGCTCCGATTGGGGCTCGGACGCCTTAACCCTCTTCGTCGTCCGAGTCCTTGTGGCTTTGCTGTTGTTGGCGGCTTTGCTCGATTCTTTGTGGTTCTCTGCCTCCTTCTGGCTCGCCTTCCTCTTAGCTCCCCTCCTCATTTTCGTGCTTCTTATATGTATTCTCGTGTGCTTCTTGTATTTGCAGCAGCTTGGTCTCAGACTCAGCTCGCCAGAACCAGAGGAAAGAGAGATACAGAGAGAGAGATAGAAAAATAGGGTTTGGCGGTGGATGCGGATTCGAATTTTGGGAGGGGAGAGAGAGAGGCTTTGTGTGTGTTTTTGTTGTTTAATTTGGATTTAGATGGATGGGAAATTAATTAGGAGGGGTCAAAAGATGCATCAGGTGGCTTTCTTTCTTCCTAGTCTTTTGTATGCTTCCAGAGTTGGATAGCATGGGATCCAAACTTCAAATATCATTCTTTTTTGGGTAATGATATATTAACTAACTATCATATTTGTATTTTCATCAAAAGTGAGATGTTTTTTTCAAGAACTTTCAGCCGTTTTGCCCTTAAACTGTCACTATTCGAATTTAGTCTTCTGAATTATTTTAGAGATTTTCTATTTAAACCCTAGACTTCTCTTAGTTCACTCCATGTTCTAAGTTCACCCCAACTTTTAATTTAAATTTTCACAATTTCTAAGAAAACCTCACTATCTTCCCAAACTACCCTTAAATACACCCCAAACTGAAAAATAAGAACTAAAATAGATTTTCTATCTAAACCCCATAATTTTCTTTGTTTCCAACAAAAAAAAACGCAAACAAATGAAACCCCAAAGTAGAAATTTGATAATTTCTAAAGAAAGAGAACAACTTTACCTCTCTCCAAGAACTGTAACTGGAATTCTAACACTTGAGTATTGTTGAGAGAGAGAGAGAGAGAGAGAGAGAGAGAGAGTTTATAAACAGGAAGTTGGAAGGAGGTTTCTAAAACTTAATATAATGAGTAGTGGGATGTATAGATGTACTAGGGTTAATTATTAGGTTGGATGACCTTTTTTGTCTTTTTACACAATAATAAAACTTACAGCTTAATGATTTAAGTATTGAGGTGAACAGAGAAAAGTACGAGATTTAAATAGAAAATCTCTTATTTTATTAGCCAATTTCACCTTTACCGTCAAGTTTTTTAAATTTCATAAACTTGTCTGTCAACAATAAGGACAAATTCGTAATTTTAAAGCAAAATAAAAAGTAAACCCCATTAAAATATGAAGTACATTTTTAAAAGTTTAAAAAAGAATCAACAAAATGAAAAAAAATATAAAATATAAAATAAAAACCCAGCCATCGCAAGATTCGTTCCCCCCTCCCTCCCTCAAATGGCTTCTAACCTGAAATGAAGAAGAAATATCTACTGTGCTCTCAAGTAGGGGTGAATCCACAGAGGAGCAAGGGTGGTCAATTGACCCCTGCAACCTCTGAAATCTGCCATTAGATAAGCAAAACTTGACCCTTGCAAGTTGTTCGATGAAATGCCCCAAAGGGGCAACCTGTCTGTGTGCTCCAGCGTGCTGCTTGAGCACAATGCGCGCCCTTGTTTTTTTTGTTTTGCTCAGAGTCAGAACGACATCATTGCAGCAATTGTTGCCCAATAATACCTCTTCCTCCAAATGAGTTTTAACTCATTTCTTCACTTCTCAACCCTAAATCTCCAACCCCAAACCCCTTAATCTTACTAAACCAACCTTCACCCAATTCGATGGTGGCTTCCCCCACAAATCCAACACCGACGACATCTTCATAGTGGCAGCAACGGTAGCAGCAAAGTAAAGAAGTCACCCTCAAATTCAATTTGATTTCAAAGGTGGATTTGTCCCTCAAATTTGAAAGTATGTTATCCTAATTTCTTTATGCTTTAATTAATTAATAAAGATTCTTATATGTTTTTGTTTTTCTTGATTAGTTGTTGTTGTTGAGATTTTATTTTGGTTAGTTTGAATAATTTAGGGGTTTTGGCTATGGTTAGTTAGTTAGAGTTTATATTAGATTATATTTTGGTAAGTTTGATTAGTTGTTGGGATTTTATTTTGGTTAGTTTGCATAAATTAGGGTTTTTTGTTATTGTTGATGCTTGATTGGTTATTTCTACTAATACAGTTATGGAACGATACTTTAAGAGAAATTTCTCATCAACTACTTCTAGTTCAGATAATGTGGATAGTTCGAGTTTGAGAGATGTGGGTATTTAAGAGATGTGGAATGTTCGAAAGAAAGTGAGTTGCAAGATGTCTTGGCTAATCTTATTGCTGACCTTGGACTTCGAACTCAAATGTTGGATTATGATCCTAACATTTGAGAAGAAGTTCGAAGAGCATATCTACAAAAGGGTCCATGTCAGCTTAGGGATCACACAGTAATCATCAAATCCAGTCACTTCTGCCCTTTCCAAACTGAAGAGGTTCCAATTCTGCCGGTTCAAAAAGCCTTCCAGGGCTTGAAATAGATTAAAGCTTTGCCAAACTCGAACGTTGGTATAGATTCATAGCTTAAACTTGACAGTTGATGGTGTTGATGGTCCAATCCAGCACGGATACATCTAATCCAGTCCGGATCAAAAGTAGCTATCCAGGCATAAATTGAAGTCCAATGCTCTTTTGTCTTTTTTTAGAGTTGGTATTTCCCTTTCCGAGTCTTGTAAAAGGCAGTTCTGCCTGAAACAGTTTACTTTCTTAGTATTTATTCTGGCCATAACTACCAGTTTTGTACTGTGAAAAATTGTGAAGTCCTCACCAGTTTGAGGCAAGAAAAGAACTTACTTAGAAGATATTTTTCACCCAAATTCACAATTGTTTGTTTAGAAATCAGTGACTTGGGGCTCAAGTTATCCATTTTTAAAGAAGTCTGCTAGGGTTTTTATTGCTAGCAGTGGCACGCTCATACATAAAAAGAAAGTTGACCTGTTAACCACAAATGGTTTTCAGGATAATGGGGAACTTTACCATACCATAATAGGAAAAATAAAAAATGGGTGAACAATTTAGCACACCCAGTGGGACTTCTCAGTACACATACTCCTATAAAAATCTTCTAATATATGAATATTGGAAGTTCTAGCCAAAATCCACGTTGTGCCATGGAAAGAGATTAAGCAGCTCTCCGGGAAGGACTTTAGTAAGAAGAAAGTGATGCTAAGCAATCAGCCCATGATAGTACCAGGAGTAGATGTTCCAGATATGGATCTAGAAGGTTAACCAGATACAAGAGGCTGTGTTCTGACAAGAGGCCACAGCACAAAGAAGCCAAAATACTGTAAACAATATGACAACTATGATGCAATGGCAAGTCAACAGGCAGTTCAGGAAGGACCGTGAGGCTGTTATTGCCAGAATTCCAAACCCAGATGTTATGGTCCAGCAACTAGACCTCCCTTATGGCCCTCCACCAGGACTGGCATGGCCACACAAGAGAACCCTCTCATCGCACAGATAGTTGGAATACTAGGACGTGGAGAAATCCAAGCTGGATAGAGGGGAGGATCCCTTCCCATTCAAGAATACGAGGCTTCGGTTCGTCCAGAAGGCCTTGCGCCAATTCAGGCCCCTAGAACCATCCAGAACCTCCACCTATTCCACAACCAGTAGCCCCAAGTGATTAGCCCTTAGCACTTCTGCCTGAGCAACCAGCTGTATTGCCCTACATGCTTAGAAGGATGGACCCTAATCCACTCCCTCCATTAGCAAGAGGCAGGAAAGGTAGAGGGGGAATCAACCCTTTTGCAAACAATGACAGGAACAGACTGTGGACAAACTGGAGGAATCATCCAGATTTCGAAGAAGAGGAAGAGCATAGAGAGGAAGTTCTACCCAGGCCATACAGAGTGGAACAAAGGATTGAACACAACCATCCAGAATAGGGATGAAATTCGCATCTTGTCAATGCTTTGAATGACATAGGGGCACTTCAGAGAATGATTAGAGAAATGATGGAACCTAAGGCCAGAAGAGGAGGAATGCCCACCTACAGAAAGCCATATCCAGCCAATATTGATCAGATTCCCCGGGCTTTAAGGTACCAACTTCACCTTGTTCAACGGAGAGAACACCCATGCTTCATAAGTTGAGCATATAAGCAGATTCTCTGTCCAGTGCATAGTCATAGAAAATAACCCTTTGTTAAAACTAAGGCTTTTTGGAAATTCTCTCTCCAGACAAGCCTTCACCTGGTATACTAGTTTACCAGCCAATTCTGTTCAAATTTGGGAATAGATAGAAAATGTCTTCTATGACTACTATTTCATGATTCAGCCAGAACCCACCATCAGTAATCTTGCTGCCTTCAAACAGAGTGAAGATGAGCCTGCCCAAGACTTCATAACCAGGTTCAGAAAGCTTAAAATGAAATGCCGAATCCCTATGGAGGAGAGGCACTTCATTCAAATGGCTCAAGCCGCCCTTAAAATCTCTCTAAGGAAGAGATTTGATGGGATGCTGTTTGGAGACCTGGCAAAACTAGCAGACAAAGCATCTAAATACGAGGAGCTGCTAAGGGAAGAACAACAGAGAAGGAACTCCTCAAAAGGCACATACTACAAAACCCCATCTTCTTCAGTGCATCTGGTCGAGGTAGAATCGGAAGAAGACACAGAAAGCTTGAAGGAAAGAGAAGTTGCAATGGCAGAAATGACAAAACTAAAACATCCCATCAGCTGCAAGGCTTTGACCAAGCCACCTAAGGACCAGAAGCCGCCACCATTTGCAGGAGGGTTTGTTCCAAATAGACCAGCACAGAACAAAGTTTATTCCTTCGATTTAAGCAAGGTTGATGCTTTGTTTGATGAGATGCTACTACATAAGGCAATAGAGACACCCCATAGTTGCCTAAGCCAGAGAAACTCAAGGGCAAACAATATTGCAAATGGCACAACTCTTGGAACCATTCCACCAATATGTGTGTTGTTTTCAAGGACGTCATACAAGAAGGAATAACAACATGAAGACTATAACTGGTTGAGAAACCTCCCCAGTAACAACATATCTTTTTCCTCAACCTCAAGTCAACATGGTTAACTTAAATTGGCCAGAACAGAAGAGAGGTAAACTAACATCAGAAGCTAGCCTCAGCATAGGCAGAAGAGTCACAAGAAAGACTAATTAGAGACCAAAAGCAACCATTTCAGCTGGGATAGTTCTATGTAGCATGTGTAAATGTGAAAGTGAGTTGGAGATAACTCTGGATGGACAAAGTTAGCCCACAACAAGTGTTTTTGACAGGATCGAAACATCATACTAACAGGGCCCAATTTTGGCTCCACCTAAAGACATAGCTAGGTAGAAGGCTTATCAAAGGTCTGCCCAGTGCAATAGAAGAATAACAAAGCAACAAAAGAAGGAAATACGAGTTAAGATGCCCGAAAATGACAAGCCCTTGGCAACTATCATAGAAGGCAGATGGTATTCTATTGGAAAAAGGGGTAGACCAAGTCTGGAACTAACTAGAACACAGAATAGGAGAGTTCAAAGGCAATACTGCACCTTCCTCAAGAGTAAGGATGACACACAAGTACTTACAGAGACCAGTTCTGCTAGAAAAGGGAAAAACCCAAAATTAGATTCTCAGGCAGAACAGACAACATGTCAACCAGAAAAGCTGACAAAGATAGAATCTCCAGGAAAATCTTCTATCCATCATGCCTCATCCTCAATCAATCAACTTGAACCTTCACAGTCACAAGGTCAATCTGGACCTCTTCCAGTAGAAGGACAAAAAGATTGGACTGAAGAATATGAAGAGGAGTAGTTGGACTACGAACTATCTGCAGACGACCAGATTGGACTCCTCGAAACAGGTGAACAAGAAGACTGGACAGAAGAATATGGAGAAGAACAAATGGAGTACGAATGAGACCTAGATGAAGAAATTGAGGCTTTCGGTGCAGAATTAGAAAGTCTGTTACAAGGAGATCTAGGCATTAATATGGTGTTTATCTTACTAGAAAAGTTCAAGGCAGCAGAAGGACAAGAAAACACTTTGGAAGGAGACGTGCTCTCCTAGGAAATTTTGAGTGCAGATTGGCAGAAGTAGAGGAGGCGCCAGAACAACAAACACATATTGCCAAAGTAGGTAGAACTACCACAAAATTAGTCGCAGAACAGCTGTGTTTTTTCAAACCTACCAAAGAAATGGCCAATCATCTCAGACCTTTGTTCATAACAGCAAACTTCGGGGGTGTTCCTATTCCCAAGGTAATGGTAGATGGAGGTGCAGCTATTAATCTTCTACCTTAACGGTCATCAACTTCACTGGGGGCATCACTAAGACACATGGAATACTAGATGTGGATGTCATAGTAGGAACCAAGAAGCTGAAAATTGCATTTTTCGTGGTAGACACCACTTCTACCACTTACAATGCATTGCTTAGCAGAGAATGGATCCACCAGAGTCTATATGTTCCTTCCACTCTACACCAGCAATTGGCCCTCTGGCATGAAGAGGGTTTTATGGAAATTGTGAAGGCCGACCCACAACCATTTCTGCCATATGCATTATGTTTTGAGGCCAGGTATTATCATGATGACCTCGGTCCTTTCACTTTCTTTGGAGTTAACCAGAACGACCGTCCCCATGGAGTCGCGGCCCAGAAACTCATTGAAGAATGTATGGCTAGTTCTCTAGAGGATTGGAACAGACCCTGCGTTCTCAACCTTCACAGTTATGATGTTTAGCTCAAATCATTAGGAAAATGATTGAGCTGCAACAATAAGATCCATTACAAATAGATTGTTGGTATATTGGGAAGAAATGAAACTTTCTATGCATAGTCGAGCCATTAACATGACAGAATTCATGCATGAGAGTATAGAAGAACATGAAGGAAATTTGCAAGAGGAAAAACTGGAATTTGCACCGACAGCACTAGATGATTCCTTGCCATAAGTAAAGGATCCATTACAAGAAATAAACCTAGGAACATAAGAGGATCCCAGGCCTACTTTCATTAGCACATTACTAGAAGAGCCAGTAAAGAATGAGATCATTGCACTTCTGCACGATTTCAAAGACTGTTTCACATAGCACTGTCATGAAATTCCTGGACTAGATAGAGAGTTGGTAGAGCACAAATTACCAATAAAATAGGGTTATTTACTAGTCAAACAAGCCAGAAGAATGATGTCCATAGAGACAGAACTGAAAGTCAAAGAAAAAGTGGAGAGGCTAGTTAAAGCAGGTTTTATCAGGCCAGCCATTTATGATGATTAGTTGTCCAATATTGTACTAGTACTTAAGAGAAAAACAGGGGCAGTCAGAATATGTGTGGACTACAGAAATCTGAATGAAGCATCTCTCAAAGACGAGTATCCAATGCCTATGGCAGACATGTTGGTAGACGGAGCTGCTCATAACCAAATGTTGTCATTCATGGATGGCAATGCAGGATATAATCAAATAATGGTGGTAGAAGAAGACATCCAAAAGACAGCCTTCATGCATCCAGGACATATAGGTGCTTTTGAATACACTGTAATGCCTTTTGGCTTGAGAAATGCAGGAGCCACATATCAAAGAGCAATGAATTCAGTTTTCCATGACATGATAGGTCATTCTCTAGAGGTTTATATAGATGATATGGTGATTAAATTCCCAGAAAAAGGAGATCATGTATCAAATCTAAAAAAGGCATTCCTAAGAATGAGACAACACAAGTTAAAAATGATTCCCAAGAAATGCATTTTTGGAGTTCAAGTTGGCAATTTCTTAGGCTTCTTGGTTCACCAAAGAGGAATAGAAATCGACAAGAACAAAGCAAAATCTATCATGGAAGCTTTACCACCTCGAAAGAAGAAAGAATTGTAGAGTCTCCTAGGAAAGATCAACTTTCTAAGAAGATTCATATCCAATTCTACCGGAAAAATCCAGCCTTTTTCCTCCTTGTTAAGTTTGAAGCAGGAACAAACATTTAAGTGGGAAGAACAACATTAGTAGGCTTTTGAGGAAATCAAACATTACCTCTCAAGTTATATGTTTCTGCATCAGAAGTATCCATTGGGAGTCTGCAAGTTCAAGATAACAAGGAAGGGAAGGAGCAGATAGTTTATTACTTGACCAAAACTCTGACAGAGGTAGAAATGAAATATTCTACAATTGAAAGGCTTTGTTTGGCTTTGTAGTTTACTGCTATAAAACTCAGACATTACATGATACCTTTCACCACTTATATCATTGCCAAGACAGATTTGATCAAGTACATGCTAACAAGGTCAATGTTGAGAGGGAGAATTGGTAAATGGACTCTGGCCGTGTTAGAATTTGCCTCCAGATATGTCCCTCAGAAGTCCATCAAGGGACAAGCTGTTGCAGATTTCTTGGCAGACCATCCAGGAGAAGAAATTGAGAACATGGATTCCATGGATATAGCCAATGCAGACCTGCTAACTAGAGCTCAAACCTGTCTCAATAATCCCATTTATTCAGTCCATCTCACCCCTCGGAAGCTATACTTTGGTGGATCTAAAACAAACTCAGCCTCTGGGGCAGGAATTGTTTTAGAAGATCTACTAGGAATCAAACATTGTTATTCATTCAAGCTAGATTTCCAGTGCACCAACAACAAGGCAGAGTACGAAGCTTTAATCATAGGGGTAGAAATGCTGGTGGAACTAGGAATCCAATCTATCTAAATTCTGGGAGATTCAATGCCTGTATTAAAACAGATTGCTGGAGAATGCAAATGTTTGAGCCCATCTCTAGCTGTCTATCCAGTGGCAGCCAGAAATCTCTTGGCAGAATTTAGGGAAGCTACTTGGGAACATATCCCAAGAGAAGAAAACCTTGCAATTAATGAAATGGCTCAGATAGCAATAGAAGTACAGATGCCTGGAGACTGTGTGCAAAGAATCATCAAGGTAGGAAAGAAAAGCCTACCATCTGTCTTGACTAGAGGAATGGAAATAGATGTCAATGCTGCCATAATGACTGAAGAAGATTGGAGATTGCCTATAATCAATTATCTGCAGTATCCAACCCTTCCATATGAAAAAAGGATTAGAATCATAGCCTTAAACTACCTCATGTGGAATGAAGATTTGGTCCGAAAGAGCAAAGATGATTTACTTTTGAGGTGCTTAGGGAAAAAAGAATATATGAAGGTCATGGGAGAAACCCATGAAGAAATTTGTGGAGCTCATTAGGGTGGAAGGAAGATGTGTTGGTTAATTAGAAGATATGGCTACTTCTGGCCATCCATGATGAAAGACTGCATTGAATATTCCAAAGGATGTGAAGCTTGTTAGAGGCATGGACCAATCCAGCAGGCTCCTTCAATTCCCATGAATCTAGTAGTTAAGCCATGGCCATTCAGAGGATGGGCAATGAATCTCATTGGCAAAATCTATCCAGCCAGTAGCAAACAACATTGTTTTATCATTGTAGCTACAGACTATTTCACCAAATGAGTGGAAGCCAAACCTATTAAAACTACTACATCTTAAGAGATCATCACCTTCATAGAAGAACAGATTATACAAAGGTTTGGTATTCCAGAGTCAATCACAACTGACAGGGGATCTTCTTTCATATCTGGAGAAATGCTAGATATGGCAGAAGCATTCAAATTCAAACTACTTCAATCCACTCCTTATTATGCTCAAGCTAATGGATAGACAGAATCAAGTAACAAGGTGATCATCAACATTATCAGGAAAATGCTTGAGAAAAATCCAAAGTAATGGCATGAGAAATTATCAGAAACTCTTTGGGCATATAGAAATTCAAAGAGAGATGCAACTAGCATGACCCCATATGTTCTAACCTATGGTCATGATGCTATTCTGCCTATGGAAATAGCAGTCCAATCTCTCAGAATTGCTCAGCAACACAATCTGGTTGGAGAAGATTATTCTCAAGCAATGCTGCTAGAACTAGAAGGTTTGGTGATAAGTCCAAAAATATACTCATTTATGTACTCTTTTTACTTAGGTTTTGTAGGAGAATTAGATTTAAAAGGGGCTTATTACTTTACTTTTTTAATTTTTAGCTTTTCTACGCTCTTAGAAGGTTTTTAAGGGAAAATAAACTTTTCGGAGGAATTTTAGCGCAAGGCCAATTGGAGATGAAAGCTAACATCTTGAAGTTCAATCTTTAATTTTAGAATTTTCTACCGAGCCAATTGGTACAGTATTACAAGTAAAGTTAGCCCACGTGCAGACATGACAGTTTCATACATGTTACGTGAATGTGAAGAAACAGAAGCCTTCAAGAATTTTCCAAGTTACGTGCTACATATGGTTGGAAAGATAAGGCAATTATCTTTCTAAAATATATTTTTACTGATTTTTCTAGAAGGCCGAAGATCCCCAAATTGTGTGACAATTGGGCCAAGCTGTATTTCCCTGTGGAGTTAGGAATTGTGATTTTTACTTTCCTATTTGGATTCCTTGTTTACCAAGGCTTCTTGGACGACTTTTCAGTCAATTTTAGGGTTTAGAACTCTGATATAAGTGATATAAAAGGCCAGCCAAGGCCCCCATACAAGGGATTCACGTCCTAAGGAGATCAACCGTGCAAGAGGAGAAAGTTGCCAACGAGTTCTTTCTTTTCCTTCCTTCTTTTAATTTTCAGTTCATATGTATTTATTTTTGAGTTCATCCAAGAACATGAGTAACTAATTTCTTGTTAGTTAGGGCTTAATCTTGAAGCCCTAAACATGATTTCAATTCTATAAACAAGTTTGAATGGATTTTTCAGTTTCTACAAGCGTGATGATTTCAGTTTCTCTATGTTATGTGAATTCTGATATTTTGTTTCTTTGAGTAGCTAACTTTGAAGCATGTATTGGAATTAAATTGTTGTAGAACATAGGTCAATTGACATATTGAATGTGTTCTTGTTTACAATGAATAATTGGGTTAAGAACTAGTTATGAGAAATTGATTTTTGAATTCCTAATAACAAATTCCATGTTTTAGGGTTTTTGTGACACTCATATTCTCTTTGATCTTAATGGATTCTTGATTGTTAATTTGAGTGAATGCGATACTAGATTTCAATTAAGAATACATGTATTGATGTAAATGCCATACACTTTACATACACTTAAGAGAGAATCATACAACTCGAGTTAAATGTCATGATCTTGTTGTGAGTGTCGTCATCATATGCTTGTTAAAAATTGATTATCTATTGTTGTTTGTGGATTGATTGATTGTTTGGAGGTGGATAGTGAGTCCTAGCTATTGTTCTTGATTGATTCTAAACCAATTTCTCTTAAACTCTAATTTAAATTCTGTTTTGTTTTATTCACAAAATCGAATCAAAACCCGCATTGGTGTTGGTGTGTGTGTGGAAGTCCTTGTGTTTTAATTTTCGTTGTGTGACGTTGATAAACATCTCTTTAGATTACAATCTCTGTGGGAATGACCCTTGCTTGCTTACTATACTATCATTTGATTTGTGCACTTGCAAGGTTTTAATATTGTTGTTAAAAATTACCAACATTTGGATACCAGCAGAATTGATACCCTCAACAAACTCTTAGCAGGGAAATAGGCTGTATCAAGGGCGTACAACAAAAGAGTTAAAAACAAGAGTTTTGAGGAAGGATAAATAGTCTGGAAAGTAGTTATACCCCTTGGAACACACATAGCTGGTTGGAAAATGGTTACCCACATGGGAGGGTCCTTTCATAATTAAGAAAGTCCTTGGATTGGGGGCATACAAATTATAGGATCGAGATGGAGACATCCATGCAGCACCAATCAATGGCAAATGGTTAAAAAAGTTCTACCCAACTATGTGGGATTCACAAGCAGTGCAAACTGATCCTGGGATTGGAAAAGAAAAGGATGAAATTGTTGTTTAAATTGTTGTTCAAAAGAAATCGAAAAAGCAAAGTTCCACAAAAAGAAATAGCTTTTATTAAATATAGTCATTTTTCATGACTAAGTTTTATTACATTCAAAATTTAAAATTAAAACCCTAGCTTCCTAAGGGTTTCTTGCAATCTGGCTTTCTTAATAGAACTTTCTTGTTGGAGAAGCATCCCTTAATGAAGAGAGGCCTCTGCAATCTCCAATGCTGGCCTAGAAGCTGCAACCATGTTTTGCACAAGAAAAGTGACCTTAGTCTTAGTGCCCAGTCCAGCTCCAAGTTTGTTTTGCCTCTCCCTCAGCCTAGCCAGCTGCTTTTGAAGTTCTTCAATTTGTCTTTCTAGCTTGTCAGCACCGCTCTTGGCCTCCTTATAGCCCGCAACCATCTAGTCTAGTTCTGCCTTATGTTTTGCATAATTGCCCAAGTTGGCTTCATGAGTAACCTTGCAAAATTCAGAGGCATTGAAGGAGGGCTTAAGATCTTCATAGCGAGTGTGGAGATTGAGCACATCTCTTGCAAGGCCTAAGTTGAGCTCAAGGATAGGTCTGGGAGCCATGTTCTCCCTATGCAGCAGGTCCAGATCCTTCATCAGCTGGTCAACAGCTTCTCTATTCTCATCCAAGTCCAGCTTGGTTGACTGCCATATTTTTACTCTGTCCACTGCCTCATCCACTACTTTGGACTTAGCCTTGCCATGAGTAGAGCTGAGCTTATCTAGCCTGTCCAACTGAGCATCTAGATCCATGGCTTCAAATTTTGCCAGTTCTGGATCAGCGAATGAGACCGTGGCTAGTGAACTAGGGATGAAATGGATAGGCATTTGCAAAGAAATGATTTCAGTCAGTTCCAGAAATGATTTCAGTCAGTTCCAGAAATGATTTCAGTCAGTTCCAGAAATGATTTCAGTCAGTTCCATCATATGCACAGTGATACTTACAACCACAATAAGAGACTTGAGGGGACTAATTGCTACAGTCAGAACCCCAACAGTTATCTCTTTTTCCACCTGAAAAGGAAAAAGGCATTAGAAGCAAGACAAAACAAAACTACAGAAACCAGACAGAACAAAAATTACCTCCACTTTAGATTCTGGAGCTGCAACATGAAGCTCTGCCTATGCCACAGGCTCTGATGCAGATTGCTCTGACTGCTTCGCAAGTACTGGAACTGCAATGGAGTGCTCTGCCTCTGCATCTTCAAAAAGGGCCAACTCTGAGCTTGTCAGTTCTGCCCTTTGAGTTTCCTGCTATTTTTTCGCCAAAGCAATACTCTCTGCTATCACCTCAGCAGGGATCTCCTCTTACAGACGAACGAAAGTCAAAGTTAGAAAAATTACAGACGCAAAATAGTCATATTCTATACAGTAAGACTAAGGTCTCACCTCTTCTTCAGCATCTTTGCCTTTTTCTTTATCCCCTATCGAGGCATCTGTTTTTTTTTCTTGCTCCATAGCCTTGAAAGCCTCTCTTAGCTCTTCATCTGTCCCAGAAGAGGTTGTAGGAGCTGCTGTAGATTATGTGGCTACGTATTCTGCCACTGCTATCTTCCTTAGCCTATTTGACTTAATTAGTAAGAGGAGGAGGAGGACTTTCAACTGCAAAGGACAGGCAATAAATGATTAGAACACGAGCTGAATTGAATTAAACATAGTAGAACAGAATCAGGAAAGCTCAAAAGGTTTACATGAAGTCTAAGGCTGGACAACACTATCATGAGCTGGAGTAGTCTCTTTTCTCTTATTCTTTCTGCCAGAAGGAGTCACCTCAACAGCTGGCTGTTCTGCTAGAATTTCATCCTCCTCATCTCCAAAGGGAAGCTCCAAGTCTCCAGCAGTTATGACAGAAGTGACTGCACAGGAAACAAACAAGTCAGAAGTCAATCCAGCCGGAAAATAATAAAAGGAACGGAGTGTTGAAAGCTTACCAATCACTTCTCCAGCCTGGATAGCTTGTCCACCTATGTTCTTCGTCGAGGAGGGATCTGTTACAGACATAACAAATTGTTAAACATCATCACAGAGGCAGAATGAGTAAAATACAGACAGAATGGAGAACCTACCTTCTATGACTTGAGCATTGATGTCTTTGATGGTTTGCACCATGAAATTCTTGGCCTCTACCCCTGCATAAACAGCCCAGGAATCCCAGCCATCAAAGAGCACTTTGAGGGCAGTACTTGAGGCAGGCAGACCTTGGAATATGGCTTTCTACTAGGCATCAAAATCAGCAGAACTGCAGGAATTAGGCTCCCAGAATGGATAGAGAGCATCCACATTGTTGTTGATCTTGTTCACAGAGCACCTACAGTCTTTGTGCACTTCCAGATCATCTGAGTCTCTCCAGGAAGTGGCCCGATTACAGCTTCTATATGATTTGAGAGGAATAAGTTGAGGACAACCAAGTTACCGTGCATAAAAGTTGGGATGATACACTTCTGCCCTCATATGATAGTTTAGAGGCTTCCCACCTCAAAAAGGCAGATCCCTAGGCAGGGTCACACTCAGGAATTTCTTCCTGAACTCGATTCTGGCTTCTTCTTCTTCACGTTCCTTCTCAAACAGCCTGTATCCAGGCAGAAACCAAGGACAGGTCCTTCTGAGTACCACCTATAATTGAGCAGCAAACCTCTTGGTGCAGTGCCTGAAGAACATCAAGTATTCTTCAGTTGAGCACTTGGGCACTTCTGCTGTCATCAAAGGAAGCGCTAGAACTTGATCATCAGGCAAAACTACATTCGAAAACCTCAGCTCTGGAAAGTACACTTGTAGCCAGATCTGAACCATCCAAAATGCACCAGGAGCAGACAGGTTCAAGGGATTCTCCAGAGTAGCAGTATGCAGATTCTTGAATAAACGGGCCAGAACTATTGGACCAAGCCCCACATCAATATGATTATGCAAAGCTTCCGCCAAATGTCTATACTTAAGCAGAACTGTTGAGGAGTGGTTAGGAAAGATAAACCTGTTCAGCCAATACAAGAGGAATAACATGTGTTGCTGATCTCGATCTTTCTCCGTGCTGAACTTCTTCAAATAATTTAAGAACGAGCAGTTCTGGTTTATCGTAGCAAAAGAGATAATGAATGGCTTGGCCAGTGTTTCTTGATTTTTCCTTCTGTGGCAATCAGCAACTGCATCCACAGGTCTTCCATGGGGTCTGAACCCGAAAATCTGAGCCATGATGGTAGGAGTCATTGGGCCCAGGTGAAAGTCAAAGGTGTTATTGACAGAATTCCAGGAACACAGGGCAGCGGCCAAAAGATTCTCATCCCTGTTAATGGATTGCTTGGAAAGAAGGATGACATCATAGATTCTAGACCTCTTCCAGTGAGTTCCACATCTTGGAAGAAGCTTGTCGATTCAATCCGCTCACTTCACCGTGTTGTTCCTCACTTCACTGGAAGGATAGGAGCGACTCAAATTCTTACTAACCCAGATATGAGAAGCCAGGGTAGAAGAACTCTGAAAACGCAAAGGAGCTTCAGCGTCACTCTTGAATAGTTCTGCCATTTCAGTAGGAACATGGCCAAACCAATGAGGGCCTAGAACTAAGGTGTTTTCAAACAGGTGAAGGACATTTTCGTCCAGATTCTTCTGGGCAAATGGATGGAGCTTGCTTCGAACCTCTATTGCATGGTTATTAACACCAGCCCCAAAGATATAAGTAGGAGGAAGAGAGGGGGAAGCCTTGGCACGGGTTTTTGGAGATGACATTTTTCAAAATACGAGGAAAAGAGGGAGGGAAAATTGAAGTTTGATTGCATGAAGGAACAAAGGATTCTGAAAGAAATCAGAGTCTGAAAGAGTTAGGTTTTTTGAATGAACAGGAGCTTAGGGTTTGAATTTCTTTTAAAAAAACTCAGAAATCGTGGGAAGAAAAAGGCAAGGTGTCATCTGATGATGGCTAGCTAATAAACTAGCCAATGACTACCCAGTTTCCCACAAAGTCTAGTTCAGTAGACAAGACGTGGCAAACATGGGTTGATTAAAATGGAAGAGAGTGGCGTGCAACATTGATGGCCAAATTGATTCAAATCGGAACCGTTAAAAATTGGAAACCATTTTCCAAAAACAGTTCAGATTCAATGGGGCATTGTTTGGGCCAAAATTCTGCACACCCAGCCCAACGCTAGAGGCCCAGAACGACAAAGCATCTCAGAATCCAGGCAGTTTGGACTTTTCCATTTAAATTGGAATCGAGAGAGCCCAGCCCAGGATCTGTCAACCCACAAGAATAAACTTGGTCTGTGGAAAACAGAGAAAAGAAATCAGGCCACAGTCCCAAAACTCAACCTGGGCTTGGCGTGATCAAATGAAAAAGAGAAAAGCCCAAAATTGAAGCAAACCCATGTGACTACTTGACTTTGAAAAGTCAGTAATTTCAATTAGTCACAAGAGCTGATAGGGAGTTAATGAAGGAAGATCTTAAACAAGAAGATATCTCTAGTCTTTTCAGTCAAAAGAAGATCAAAATCCCTTTCTATATAATTTTACATCAGGACATGCATCATTTCCAAGGGATAAGCAGACTACATTTTCTAAAGAGATAAGTAGGGAGCAGGGAGTTGTCCATCAAGAAAAGCAAACTAACCATCACGGAAGATTGAATTCTTACAAAAAGCAGTTAAAGGTTAAAAAGGAATTAGGCTTTTCTTACAAAAAACAGAGAAGTGATCACCATAAAGAACTGACTATTGATGGTTTGTCTGCCAGAATAGATAAAAATCCATTTTCTTTGACATTTAAAATAAAAGATCTTATTTTTAGAAAATTTGCTGCCCATTATTAAAAGATTAAAAAATCCCACTCTAGTATTTTCTATAAATATGAGAGAAGGTGAATATATCAAAAGACAGCAAAAAAATCAATAAAAAACAAAAACTCAAAATGATCACTTGATCTCAAAAGACCTTCAAAACACTGAAGCAACCAAAGCTCATTGCACCACAACAAGCAAGTCAAGCTAGAATTCAGTCTCTAAATTTAGTTCAATTTTAGAGAAATAGTCATACAAAGCGAGATTTCTCTCGTTACATATTTGTTTCAGCATAAGCCAAAACAAGCAGAGTTCGGGTTTTGCAAATATGAAAACCTCAACAAATTTATGGAGAGCCCTGATCAAGCAGAACAGGTACTACAACGCAGTTCCAGCTCAGTAATCATCAAATCCAGCCACTTCTGCCTCTTCTAGATTGAAGAGGTTCCAATTCTACCAGTTCAAAAAGCCTTCTAAGGCTTGAAATAGATTAAAGCTCTGTCAAACTCGAACGTTGGTATCAATTCATAGCTGAAACTTGACAGTTGAAGGTGTTGATGGTCCAATCCAGCACGGATACATCCAATCCAGTCCGAATCAAAAGTAGCTATCTAGGCAGAAATTGAAGTCCAATGCTTTTTTGTGTTTTTTTTAGAGTTGGTCTTTCCCTTTATGAGTCTTATAAAAGGCAGTTCTTCCTGAAATAGTTTACTTTCTTGTTATTTATTCTGGCCAGAATTACCAGTTTTGTATTGTGAAAAATTGTGAAGTCCTCATCAGTCTGAGACAAGAAAAGAACTTACTTGGGAGATATTCCTCATCTAAATTCACAATCGCTTGTTTAGAAATTAGTGACTTGGGGCGCAAGTTATTCATTTTTAAATAAGTCTGCTAGGGTTTTTATTGCTAGTAGTGGCACGCTCATACACAAAAGAAAGTTGACTTGTTAACCACAAATGGTTTTCAGGACAATAGGGAACTTTACCCTACCATAACAGGAACATATCAAAAACGGGTGAAACAAAGATGGATTATGCATCTGTAGCTCAATGGAGATCACATTGGAGAGCTCCTAGAATAACACACCTCCATCATTATCGTGTTGACATCTCTATTCAAATCATTGAGTGGAAACTTGCGGAATTAAATCATTGCTTCAGTGAGGTAATTACTGAGTTACTTCTTTGTTTAGCATGTTTGAGTCTGGATGATTCATTCATAGCTTTTGACAAACAAAAGCTACTTTGTTTTGCTGAATTTTATCCTCAAGATTTTAATTCTCGAGATCTCTTGGCACTTGCAGATCAACTTGGGATTTATATTAATCATACGCATACGAGGATCGATTTTTCTCAATTCAAAGAGATTGGTAGCCTTGCAAGGAAAATGGTGGAGAAAGAGTTGCATAGAACATTTAATTATGTTTATTTGCTTATCACATTAGCCTTAATTTTACCGGTTGCAACTGCTTTTGTGGAGAGAGCATTTTCTGCTATAAATACATGGCTTAATTACACCAAATGCCCCCTAAAACTTCGGTCAAAACATACTTTGCCCCCTCAAACTCAAAATGACCTACTTTCATCCCTTGACTAAAGTTTAGTGACCCACTTTGCCCTATGCCGTCAACTCCATCTAAAAGTCTGTTAACTTACTGACATGGCAATGATGTTTTTGTAATTTCGTACACATAGATCACTATCCACCAATTAGGTGGATGACATGACAAGTGGAACCCACCTCCACATAGATAAAATATAATTAAAAATAACTACATAATAAAATAAATCAGAAAAATATATTCAAATAATTAAAAACCCACCCTTTACTCCCATCCCCCAGCCACCGCATCTGCCACTTTGAAATATGCTAGAGCCATCTCTCATCTCTAGCGTTAAAACCACCACCACCACCCCCTTTGCCCAAAAGAAAAAAAACACATTGTTTGCTTATGAAACCATCCGCATGCCTACTCAACATAAATCAACTTCTGCAGCTAGCTACTTATTGTAATTAAGACCCATTTAATTTCATTAATTGCATTATACTTTCTTGCAACTAAATGGTTAATCAACTCATTATTACTACCTCTTTGCTCCATATCCTTCAAGTTCTACAACTGTCCTGTACTCAAATCAAGTTCTCAAATAGAGGGATGGTTTTGGGTTCTAGGTTAGAGGGATGGGTTCTGGGTTCTGAGTGGTCATGGATTAGGTGGGAAAGGGGGGCTGGGTTCTAGGTTAGAGGGATGGGTCTGGGTGGGTTGCGATGGGGAAATAGGGTGATAGGGGGCACAGGTCAGGGAGGAGGGGAATAGGTATGGAGGCTGGGGTTCTGTGGGAGTGGGGTAGAAAAAACCTAGAGGGAGGGGAGCGATGGGTCTGGGTGGGTTGCTGTGGGGAAAGGGTGGGAGGGAGAGCGGAGAAGAAATTGGGGGAAGAGGGAGGTGTCTATGGTGGTGGTCATGGGGGAATGAGGAAGAAAAGAAATGGGAGGGGGCCATCTAGGGAGGGAAGATGGGTAAAGGGTTTTTAATTATTTGAATATATATATCAGTCCCCTTGTATGGAGGGATCCCTCAAATAATTTTATTTGAGGGATACCTTTTAGGGTCCCCTACCAATTTTGTTTCAATGATCCAAGCCATCTATTTTTTAAGTCTACATTCATAGATCATCTTTGCAAAGAATTAGACAAATTGGAAACCGTTTCGACATCAAATTGTGTCATACAAAATCAATGAACACGGTGCTTCAAGAAAGTACTAAAATTTCAATAACTCAATTGGGTGGTCAAATGATATCGGATTTAAGTGATTTTTTGTAGAGACGATCTTTGAATGATTATATAAAATATAGATGGTTTGGATTAGTGCAATAAATTGCGAAGTGGACCCTACAAGGGTGTCCCTCAAATAAGCTTATTTAAGGGATCCCTCAATGGAAGCTCTCTCTCTCTCTCTCTCTCTCTCTCTCTCTCTCTCTCTCTCTCTCTCTCTCTCTTTATATATATATATAAATCAATAAATCAATAAATCAATATATATTGATTTATTTTAATTTTTAATTATTATAATATTTAATTATATTTGTATCCATGTGGAGGTGAGCTCCACTTGCCACGTCACCTACCCAGTTTGTGGATAATGATCAATATGTGAGAAATTACAAAAACAAAAAAAACAAAAAAAAACACAAAAAAACAAAAACTGCCATCTCATCAAAGTTAATAAACGCTTGGATGAAGTTGACGGTAGGGAGCAAAGTGGGTCGCCAAACTTTAATCAAGGGATGAAAGTGGGTCATTTTGAGTTTGAGGGGGCAAAGTGGGATTTGACCGAAGTTTCAAGGGGCATTAGTGTAATTAAGCCTAAATACATAGACATTTTTCACATTTGTTCATTCTTTTCCATGATATTGCATTAATTGAATTGAAGAGTTTGTTGGAGCAAAAGTTATTCAAATAGCAAATAAACATTTTCAAATTGTCACATAGGTCAATAAACTTGAATTTGAAAAGTTTAATTTGTTGCTACTATTAGAGATGCTTTTATGTTGATACGAAATATGAACTGGGCCTGCCAAAGAGAGCCCAATAAGAAAGCATCGCCACTTAAGGAGGTAGACGATCTCAAAAGGCCAAATACAAGCCCCCCAAACCTCTTATCCGCGCCTAAAGATGCCCATAGAAAAAAGAAGGTTGACGAGGCCCGTCAATACCCATGCGGTCGGCCTTAAGGACAACGTGCGGACCAAACCGCCTACAACGCAGTCGGGCCTTAATTGCAATTGTAAAATATAACAGTGATTAATTTGTTTGTGACTATGTAGTGTCTTCAATTGGTGTCTTCATGAGAAATAGAGAAGTAATGGATGAATGATGATTTTAGTTTATGGAAAATGCTAGGCATACCATATTTTGTACCACCTCTATAATAGAGTTTTTAGGTTGAATGATCTGTGAACTTTTACCCAGTTCGCATTTTTGTCCTTCCATTTCCAAAATCGTTCATGTGGTCATTTAACTTCAGTTTCGTTAGGACAAATGGTTCCACCGTCAATACTGTAAATTTTTTCGTTAAATTTAGGGGTAAATGGGTCTTTTTAGGTTGGTTTTATTTTCCCCCATTGTGAAATTCGCCTTCCCTCTGAAACAACAACCCTAAAGAACTCTAAATTGCAATCCCCTTCCTCTTTATAAGTTGGTGTTTCTCATATTGGTTGAGTAAATGTTGAAATCGTTAATTTTGGAAGCTTGGAAAGCAGATTAGTTCACAACCACCAAACAATTTACCAATGAGAGGAAGAGGACTACAAGATGAAAGGTGTTTATACCAAAATGAACAGCCAATGAATATCGAACACGTGGCTAAACCAGGGCCAGGTGTGCCTTCGGCACCCCTCTTCGGTAACAAACCTACCGATCGAAACAATAGGGAAACCTTGCCGCCTCTGACGCGTGGCAGCCTCACAACTGACGCCCAGAGTCTCACATCGAAACTCTAAACAAATTGCACACCTCCCAAGGCCTATAAAAGAGGACATCCATCCCAGCTTGAAGGTAATCAATCAGAACTTACGGCATACTGCCTATTAATCTGCAGTTCAAACTTACTAAATCCGTACTTATTTAAGCATCGGAGAGCCTTCGGCCGGTACCACACCGGTGCCCTAGGACTTACCGTGCGTTTGCTATCTTACAGATCGCACACCTTGCCGAGGACATCAGATACCGAAGAGACTTAATCACTAAGTTGCGCGGGAAAGTGCCGAACCATTTTTCTGCGTCAACAGTTTGGCGCCGTCTGTGGGAAACGATAAAATCAACCTACAATTCCTAAACAAAACAAATGGGAACCACTTCAGGACCACAGTTCCTATCAGAGGATGGATTGCCGTACGGTATGCCAAGTGGAGCAAGCCCCGCGCTACACCCTAGCACCCCTTTCGGTAATCCTCCTACGCTTCAGACCACGGTCGAAGCGGAGCTTCTGGCTCAGACGACCTCCCTTCGAAAGGAGATGGCTAAACTCCAAGAACGTAATAATCTCCTTTCGTCCAAAGTAGACGAAACCCAACGGTTGCTTAATCAGCAGGAAACACAAAACGCTCAAACCACCGAATCTTCCCAGAGTCAGTAGACCCCCGGTCGGCAGAGGAAGGGAAAACAAGGGGCAAAGGCAACGCCTGCGCCCTCCAAACAGCTCATGGTCTCGGCACCCCAGGACCAACCTCACGTACCGAAGAAGGTGTACACCGATTGTCGTCATCGGATCAACGACAAGAAAGATGCCGAACGGCATAGGTCCCCAATCAGAGTAAACGCCCGCTTGAGGGACTCCCGGATGAGAGTCCTGGGGGATAAATCGCCCCTTCGGAGGGCTCAGGGTTTGGATTCGGCGCTGGAGTCCGATGATGAGTACATCCCCACTAGGGCCACCGAATCAAGCTACCGTTCGGAAGCTCCCCCGGAGTACTCGAAGGCGAGATCACCAAGTCCGAGGAAAACTTCTGAAGACTTCGGTTCCGAGGGCGTCCCAAGCCGAGACCCCGCCATCCGACTGCTCTTCCAAAGAATCCAGAAGATGGAGGAGGACCGAACCCGGTCCCAGGTGCCGGACTGGGGAAAACTTCGGCCGGGGCCATTTACCGAGCGCATCAAGAAGTCCAGACCGGACAGGGAAGTGCAGCCGTTGCGCATACCCTTCTATACCGGTGTGGAAGATCCTTTGACGCACCTTCACTCCTTCCAATCGGCAGTTGGGTGTAAGGGCCTCGGCGACGAGGGGCAATGTCTGCTGTTTCCATCGTCCCTTACCGGAGCTGCTCTGAACTGGTTCTACCGTCTCGAACCAGGGACGGTAGACTCCTTCGACGAGCTGAAGCAAATTTTCCTCAACCACTTCATGATCCAGACGGACCGTCTGTACTCTGCTGACGATCTGTACACGATTCGGAAGAGGGAGGACGAACCCTTACGGGAATACGCAGCGCGCTTCAGTCACGAGTACTCGAGGTGTCCCGAAACGGACGATAGGGCAGCCTACGGCGCCTTCAAGAGTGGCCTACGGTCTTCTCACTTCCGGTACCTCGTGCACAGTAGCAACTGGCGCACGTATGATGAGTTAATGAAGCAGGCGGCAGTCCATGCGAAGGCCGAATACTTCAACTCCAAACCCGGGCCTTCGGCTCGAAAGGAGGAATCGGCCACCAAAAGTTATCCAGGCCGAACCGACGACTCGTCGGCAGGACACAAACGGAAGGACGACCGTCATAGCCGTCAGGGAAACTCAAAGAAAGGACGTGGGAAGTACGGTCGTAACGACCACCGGGCGCCCCTACCGAATCACGATCGTGCTCAGGAAGTCTTCACCCTGTTGAACATGACGTACGAAACCGTTCTAATGAACGAACATGACCATATCCCGAAGCCAACCAACCGAAAGCCCAATCGACGGGATAATAGGGACACTGGCAAATTCTGCCGATATCACCAGCAGAACAGCCACAATACCGAAGACTGCATCAGTCTGAGGAAAATTGTCGAGCGTCTGATTCGGGAAGGAAAGTTGGATCAGTACCTTGCCAGGCCGCCACAGGCCCCCGCACCGAACGCGAATCGGCAGATCAACATGATCAACACCATCAGCGGCGGCCCCACCCTGGCGGGACCCTCTAACCGTTCGATGAAGCAGTATGTGCGCGCCGCCCACTGCCCTCAGGTCTTCGGCATAGAGGAGGATCGGTGCCGAAAGATGCCGAAGGTGGGATGGGAGCCCATCACATTTTGTGAAGAGGAGGAGGAGGGGATCATCTACCCCCACGACGACCCAATGATCATCCGGGCCGAGATCGCCGACTACGATGTGGGTCGGGTGCTGATTGACACCGGAAGCTCGGTGAACGTGATCTTTGCCGATGCGTTCAAGGGACTGGGGATTGCAGACAGCATGGTCAACTGTCAAATCACGCCTCTCCTCAGTTTTTCTGGAGATCTGGTCCAACCAGTCGGTAGCATCAGTCTGCCCATCGCCCCCAGGAAGACCATGACCTACGATCAATTCCTTATTGTTGACTGCCCAACGGCATACAACGTTATCATAGGGCGAACGGCACTCACCAGGGTCAAAGCCCACTTATCTCCACACATGTTGCTGATGAAGTTCCCGACACGCAACAGTACCGGAGCCATCCGGGGCGATCAGCTCAGTGCACGGACGTGCTATGCCACGGCCCTTAAGTCGGTAGCCAGCAAACCACCAATGGAAGCCATGACCTTGCAGGGACTACCGAACGGTAACGAACTTATTGACGACCCCAGGGAGGAAAACCCAACGCCGATGGCACAGCCCGCCGAGGAGCTCGAGACCATAATCCTAAACGAGGAATTCCCCGATCGGTGGGTGAAGATCGGCACCAATCTGGACCCCGACCTCCGAAGACAGTTCGTCGACTTCTTACGGCAGCATGCGGAGGTCTTCGCCTGGTCCTATGACGATATGCCCGGCATATCACCTGATGTCATCAGCCACAAGCTCAGCATCTCCCCCGCCCACAAACTGGTCAGGCAAAAGCGCCGATCGTACGATGCCGAACGGTACGAGGCGATGCGTGCCGAAGTTGACAAGCTCAAAGCCATCGGCTTTATTAGGGAAGCTACGTACCCTGTTTGGCTTGCCAACTCGGTCATGGTCCGAAAGGCCAGGGGAGGGTGGCGAATGTGTCAGGACTATACCGACCTGAATAAGGCGTGCCCGAAGGACAGTTTCCCCTTACCAAGGATCGACCAGCTCGTCGATGCCACCGCCGGGCACGAGCTGCTCAGTTTCATGGACGCGTATTCAGGATATAACCAGATTTTCATGAACCCTGCCGATAGAGAACATACGACATTCATGACGGACCGCGGTTTGTACTGTTACAATGTCATGCCCTTCAGCCTGAAGAACGCGGGGGCAACTTACCAACGGCTCGTCAACCGGATTTTTGCCAAATACATCGGCGGCATCATGGAGGTGTGTTGATGATATGTTGGTGAAAAGCCGAACGGCAGGGGACCACCTGGAAAACTTGGCCCTCATGTTCGGTATTCTAAAGGATTATCGAATGAGGCTAAACCCGGCGAAGTGCGCCTTCGGTGTATCTTCCGGTAAATTTCTCGGGTTCATGATCAGTCAAAGGGGAATCGAGGCCAATCCCGAGAAAATCAAAGCCATAATCGACATGGAGACGCCGAAGACGCAAAAGGACATTCAGAGCCTTACCAGACGTGTCGCTGCCCTGACACGCTTCATCTCCAAGGCTACCGATAAATGCGTGCCGTTCTTCAAAGCTTTGAAAGGGGGCAAACATCATATAACGTGGACTCCCGAATGCGACCAGGCATTTCAAAACTTGAAGAACTACATGAGCCAGGCACCACTGTTATCAAATACTGCCGTACCTTTCGGTATTGATAAGGAAGCCGGAGAAGGCTTCTGTACCTTTCGGTATCAAATACTGTCGTTAGCTCGGTATTGATAAGGAAGCCGGAGAAGGCGGAGCTACCGATCTTTTATGTCAGCAAGGCGCTCCAGAGTGCAGAGCTTCGGTACCCACCCTTGGAGCAGCTAGCACTGGCCCTGGTCGTCTCGGCGCGAAGACTTCGCCCTTACTTCCAGGCTCACGGGATCACAGTTTTGACGAACCAGCCTCTTCGGCAGGTGCTCCAGAAGCCGGAGACATCTGGCCGATTGGTCAAATGGGCAATCGAATTGGGAGAGTTTGACATACAGTTCAAGCCAAGGCCTGCAGAAAAAGGCCAAGCCGTTGCCGACTTCATCTCCGAGCTCACGCCTCCTGCTTTATCGGAACCATTATCGCCGAGCGTCGCCCCTACCGCAACAGAGAAAATGGATACCGAACGTTTCGACACTTCTGTTCCTCTCTGGATCCTGCACGTGGACGGCTCGGCAAACCAGCAAGGCTGTGGTGCCGGCTTAGTGTTAACCACCCCGGATGGTAGCAAAATCGAGTACGCCCTCCGATTCAGCTTCCGGACCTCCAATAACGAGCAGAATATGAGGCCCTCCTGGCTGGCCTTCGGCTAGCCCAGAGCATGAGCGCGAGGCAGATCAGCATTCACAGCGACTCCCAGCTCATAGTAAATCAGATAACGGCAGACTTCGCAGCAATGGATGCCTCCATGTCAGCCTACCTATCGGCAGCCCACCAACTACTACAAAAATTCCAGGCCTACGAGATACGGCAGATCCCCAGGTCGGAAAACAGCCATGCTGACGCGCTCTCACGATTGGCCTCGGCAATAAATGACAAGATCGGGAGGAAGGTACCGGTGGAGATATTATCCCACCCAAGTACAACCGCCGCCGAGGTATGTACCGTTCGGTACGAAGACACATGGATGTCTCGAATCTATGCCTATCTGACAACCGGAACCCTTCCTACCGATAAGTCCCAAGCTCGGAAACTCCGTTACCGATCGGCAAGATACGCAGTCATCAACGATGTTCTATACAAGCGAGGCTACACGACGCCGTATCTAAAATGCCTGACCAAAGAGCAAGGGGACTACATCCTTCGGGAAGTCCACAGTGGAATCTGTGGTGACCACTCTGGATCCCGATCGCTCGCACACAAGGTCTTCCGGCAGGGTTATTTCTGGCCGACTCTGCACCAGGATGCGAACACACTAGTCAGGAAATGTGACAAATGCCAGCGGTTCGGTAGTATCCCTCATATCCCTGCCGAACCGCTGTCACCGATCGTAAGCCCGTGGCCGTTCGCCCAGTGGGGACTAGATCTAATTGGTCTGATGCCAGAGGGCAAGGGTCAGGTCAAATACGCTGTTGTTGCCGTGGATTACTTCACCAAATGGGTAGAAGCCAAAGCCCTAGCGACAATAACGGCGGCCAGAGTTGAAGATTTCGTTTGGACGAATATTTGCTGCCGATTCGGCATCCCCTACGTCATCGTCACGGATAACAGCAGGCAGTTTGACTCGGAAGTCTTTCGGGAATTCTGCACCCGACTCAAGATCAACCTGTTCTTTGCTTCGCCAGCACACCCCCAATCGAACGGACAGGTCGAAGCCATGAATAAAATTGTCAAGAAGCTATTGAAACGGTAGCTTGACAAAGCCAAAGGAGCCTAGCCGGAAAAGCTTCCAGACGGCAACTGGGGAAACACCATTCTCTATGGCTTTCGATTCAGAGGCGGTAGTCCCAGTGGAAATTGGAGAGCCTTCCTACCGAACGGAGACCTTCGTACCGAAGGCGAATGAGGAAGCGCTTGCTTTGAGCCTCGACCTGCTCGAAGAACGCCGAGCACAAGCCAACCTTCGGAACGAAGCTTACAAGCAACGCGTCTCTCGGTACTATGACTCTAGGGTCAGATCTCGTTCTTTCCGAATCGGAGATTGGGTCATGCGAAAAGTCTCTTTGGCAACCAAGAATCCCACGGAAGGAACCCTCGGACCTTCCTGGGAGGGACCCTACGAAATCATCGGTATCCAGCGATCGGGGACTTATCGACTCAGAGACTCCAACGGAAAGACCCTCGGTCATCCTTGGAATGTAGAGCATTTGAAGTATTATTTCAAATGAAGTCACCTGGCCTACGGCAGGGTCACGGAGGGGTCCCAAGAGCCTCCGCCATCTCTACAAGCACAGCCTTCGGCATTATAGCGTTTCCTAGCCAACGACGGGTTCTAAATTGTAAAGCGCACTCCAAATTGTACTTTTGCCTTCGGCAGTATATCAATGAAAGGGCCTTCGGCTCATGTATTCGGAACCTTTGTTGTACCTTTCAATCTCTCCATTTTTGTTCAAAAAAAAAAGATACAGTAGGGACCACTGGTCGCAGTAAACTACACATTTTGGCATCGCCATCATCCTACCGATTAAGGGACAACTTCGTAGACTTTACTGGCCTTCATTGGCTTTCGGTAATTACGGGCCGTTGCTTTGCCATCGGCAAGCACGCCTAATGGTTTCAAATCCCTAACACTTGGAACTTTTGCTTGAAAGGAAACGTTACTGGCCAACGGCCAATGACCTCTGTTTAATGCATTGGCTTTCGGTAATTACGGGCCGTTGCTTTGCCATCGGCAAGCACGCCTAATGGTTTCAAATCCCTAACACTTGGAACTTTTGCTTGAAAGGAAACGTTACTGGCCAACGGCCAATGACCTTTGTTTAAGAGCCTTCGGCATTAAACAGAAAAATTTCCTAAGTACGTTACCGATTCAAAAGTAAGATGCAATTAACTTAAAATGAAAGCATAATTTTAATAAAAACATGCCCACGGCATTAATTATCCAAACAAAAGATGCCAACGACATTAGAGTTGCAACGAAATTACAAAAATGCCTACGGCATCAAAATTAAATTAAAAATACATAAAAAATGCCCTCGGCATTAAGTTTAGAAGGTTAAAAGTTGGAAACAAAAAGCAGCTTCTGACAGGGCCCTCCATCAGGCAGCAGCCTCATCGACATCAGGGGCAGCACCATCGGCTTCGGCAGCACCCCCTTCTGGACCAGCTGGGACCTCCTCTGTCATGTCCTCCCCCTCGTACTCCTCGACCATTTCTTCGGTTATGCCTTCAGGAAGGGGGGGGGATCGGCAATGAAGTTGAGGTTGAGCTTCTTCCCGGGGTTGTACCGCTTGAAACGGTAGAGTAGGTCCGCCATTTCCGAGCCTACCTCCTTGTCCAGCAAGGTAGAAAACTCGGTAGACCGACGGTAGCCCTGAATCGCCTCCTGAACGGCAGCCTCGATCTCGGAAGCCCTGGCCCGTTCGGATTCCTCGAAAGCCACCTGGACCGCCTCCTTCGACTCCAGAGCCTCCTTCGCCGTCAGCTGCGCCGCCTCCAAAGCTGCCGACATCTCGCCAAGCTTGGCCTGATAAACCTTTACCTGCCGTTCGGCAGCCTGCATGTCCTTGGCCAAGTTTGCCTGGGCTTGGATGGCCTTGCTAGCTTCGGCAACCTTCGCTCTGCCGTCTTCGTATGCCTTCTTCGCCTTCTCAGCAGCATTAATGGCTCGCTTAACGCAGAGCCACATGTCCATTGATGCCTGCACAGCAAACGAAAACGTTAGATGGAAAGGGAAATGAACAGCAGGGAAACGCTAAAAACAGTAGGCACTTACCGAGGCTTGGAGACGGAAGGTGCGGCCAGCCTCCTCCCGAAGTAGCTTCTTCGGCAGGTCCTCGATCTCGGACAGCTCCATTTGTGAACCGAGGATCATATGGTTCACAAACTGTACCGTCTTCGAAGGACAGGCCAAAGTAACAGCTTCGGAAGGCGCCTCGTCGTCCTCGGCAGAGAAGATGGCCCGAGCAGGCTCAGTTTGTCGCCCGCGTTTTGGAGCGGGGTCGGCATCAAGGTCCACCATGAACGACCTCTTGCCTGCAGCTTTGGAGGAGGTACCCTCGGTAGGTGGAACTCGGCTAGGGGATGGACCAGCTTCCGCAGCTTCGGCACGCGCCGACTCGGCATGCATCTGGCGACGGCGCTCGTTGAGTGTCAGATCATCAGGGTCCACACCTCCCGAAGGCGCCGGTGCCGTTCCGGCCTGCCGCCCCTTCTTCTTCCCCTGCATGCCGAGCATGAGGCGTCTCTTCGAGGACTCGTTCATCCTCTTTACCTCGGCAACCTTCCTCTATTCGGTCACTGCAAGAAGGAGTCGGTCAGATTCGTCGATATACATTTTGAACTGTCAAAATGGGGAAGTATACTTACTCTCGGCAGGGTTGACAAGCTGGGCCTTGATGAGATTGGCGGTGAAGAGAAACTTCGGGTACACCCTCTCAACGGCAGGAACCTTCAGCCTAACCCTTTCAATCTGCCGGATCTCCGCCTGTGTGGCGCTCGGCTGCTTCAACTTGCCTACACAAAACCAAACGGAATCAGCATTAAAAGAAGGAAAGCAAGACCCGCAAGTCCTACCGAACGATAGGATAGCCTACCGGCGATTTGGAACGTAGTCGGAATGTGGAAACGGATCCCGAGGGCGACTCCCAGTCACCGGACAAAAGCACCCGCCGTTTCCTCCATGTCTTCTGTGAGGTCGGGACGGCATTGACGAAGTGACCGCGCTCGGTAGCCTTCAGGCAATTAGCATGGACCCAACCCCCGTGATCGGCACACTTCGACTTCGTGACACTGTACAGGTGGGAGAACTGCTCGTACGAAGGTTCTCCCTCCCCAGCCATGCCGAAGGCTGTGACTACCCCTATCAGCGCCACCCAGAAGTTGGGATTGAACTGGCCGGGAGCGTAGCCTATCTGCGCCAGGATCCTCTGAACGGCGGGCTGCAGAGGGAGCCTCACCCCTTGCAGAAGCACGTCCGTGAAAAAGACGACTTCGCCGTCCTTCGGACTGCTTAGAGATTCGGTAGGATTTGGAATCCTCATACCTACCGAATCAGGAATGAAGTACTCCGCCCGAAATTTCGCAATCTCCCTTTCGGTGATTCTATTGGGCTCCAGATAATCCACACCGAAGACGAGCTCCTTTGGAACCCCCATCGGCACCCTAGGATTGCCGGGGTAGACTACGGATACCCTCGGCCTGTTGGATGGTTCGGCAGCCGGCTCACCACGGCCGGAAGTGGAGGCCTCTGGCTAGTGACTACCGCTCGCCTCCCCAGGGGCGCCAAGCCCCACGTGGCGACCGTCGCTATATACGATAGACAACGGTACCGGAGCGGTCATAAGCCCATTTCCAATGCCATGTATGGGGACTGGGCTGGGCCTTTCGCCGAGTATCTCGACATCGGTATCACTCCCCTCCTCGGCATCAGGCCCTGCCGCTTCAACGTCGGAGTCAAAGAGACCGTCCAATGACTCCTCGTCGAACGCATTGGGCTCGCGCTCGGAGAACGACTCGCTATCAGACATCTACAAAAACAGGCAAAAGGGAAACTAAGGCTCATGCCGGATGCTATCCTACCGATCCCTACATCACCACCTATGGTGACTAGACTACCGAATGGAACCCTATGGCCAGTCTAGTTCAAACCAAGGAAGGACGTAAACCCTTAAGGTATGTAAAGAGGGAAAAGTAGGGCTACCGAACGGTACCTTTGTTTAGCTTCTGGAAATGAACGCAGACTGCTTCAGATCGCCTGGACACGAATCGCCCTTCCTACCGTTGGCGGTACCGGAAATCGTCTGGTTGCCGTTAGCTGTCGTCGGAAATCGCCTGGTTGCCGTTAGCACTCGTCGGAAATCGCCTCAGATAGAGCTCTCACTTCTCACTAGATGCAAAGTGAATTCGCCACCGGAGTCATCCCTATTTATAGGGGGGAAGTTTGACAACGGTACTCCTCGAAAACCAAACGGCGCATTAATGCGCCGCGCACCATCATTACTTTCGCCACATGTCGCTCATCCTATGGGGAGCAGACGGCACGCGAGGCGAGGAAGTCGAAGCGCTCAGATGTCCCTTCACCCGTCAGCTCGACGCGACCTTCTGACTTCGCCAACGTCGGCCTCTGAACTGAGGATGCCGGAAGGAACAAAGGTTGGCCCCTTCCCCAGGCGGGGTTACCGAACGGTAAGGCCGTGTTTCCTCCCGAAGACGACTTCAAATCCCCTTCCGAGGACTCTCACAAGGGGACTTGGGGGACTCCTGTTTATACCAAAATGAACAGCCAATGAATATCGAACACGTGGCTAAACCAGGGCCAGGTGTGCCTTCGGCACCCCTCTTCAGTAACAAACCTACCGATCGAAACAATAGGGCAACCTCATCGTCTCTGACACGTGGCAGCCTCACAACTGATGCCCAGAGTCCCACATCGAAACTCTAAACAAATTGCACACCTCCCAAGGCCTATAAAAGAGGACATCCATCCCAGCTTGAAGGTAATCAATCAAAACTTACGGCATACTGCCTATTAATCTGCAGTTCAAACTTACTAAATCCGTACTTGTTTTGTAACTGTTTTGGGTTCATCCATGATTGAACTATGTTGTGACTACTTTGGATTCTTAGGAAAAAGATTAAGTGTCTTTTGTACTTGGTTTGAGTAACAAGTTATCATTTTGAAATATTTGCTATTTTGGGATGTCTTCTGTGATTGAAACCTGTCAATCATATTTTGGGGATGTATTAAACATGTCATATGATTTCACTTTTGTAGAAAATGCTCTATATGTGAACATTTGAAATTGTAGTGAATGCAAGTTTGATTCATCTGCATATCATTGAAGGTTGCTCTACTATTTCATGTGTGCATTTCATCTCCTTAATGTTTGAGACATATCACTTTCCATTATTCCAACTAATTTACTCAACTAATATGATAAGCACCAGCTTATAAAGAGGAAGGGGATTGCAATTTAGGGTTCTTTTAGGGCTGTTGTTTCAGAGGGAAGACGAGTTTCACAATGGAGGGAAATAAAACCAACCTAAAAAGACCCATTTACCCTTAAATTTAATGAAAAAATTGTTAGAATTGATGGTGGGACCATTTGTCCAACGAAACTGAAGTTAAAGGACCATGGGAATGATTTTGGAAATTGAGGGACCAAAATGCGAACCGGGTCAAAGTTCACAGACCTTTCAACCAAAAAACTCAATGTGGTAAACCTAGCATTACCCTTAGTTTATATATACTAAAGAGAATGGCACATTTGATGACGATTTCTTCATCAACAAGTGAGGGAAATTAAAATTGGGAATAAAAATACTTAATGACATGCAAAGGACCCATTAGTGTAGTGGTTTGGAGTAATTGCTACCCCTGGCAAACTCCTAGATTCAAGTCCTAGCATCCGTATTGTGTGTGTGAGTTTAGTATATAAAAAAAAATAAAGATACTTAATGATATTATACTATACCATACCTAAGATGCTTTCAAAACATAAAGTGCACAAGTACAATTGTAATTAATTAATTGCATAAAAAATACAAGAAATGATTTTGAGCACGCAATCAAACAACAATTCTCATAACATAACATAGAGAATCATTAAGAACACTTGGAAGAAAAAGAAGAAGAAGAAAGAAACATGGCAATCTTGGAAGTAGATGAGGATGGAGTATCGGTGCTAGAGGATGCAGTTGCAATACCCATTGCCTTGAGAGCCTGCTCGCTCACGGGCGTGCCTCTTTTGCAAAAACTGGCAAAGTTTTCACAGTTGTTATCAAGCAAGTTGTAGTCACCAAACCCCTTCCCATGAACCTCTTTGTTGAAAATCTCGGTGGCACGACGTATAGTTTCCTCGTTCGAATAGCAACACTCAGTACTGCAAGTTCCTTTATGTTTGAATATGAAGTGGAGTCGAGAGACCTCATATTCAAAGCGAAGCAGGTGGTGGCCTTTTAGGAAGCAATCGATGCAAGTTCTTAGCACTCCCCGTTTCATGTTCGGGTCATGCCCGCACTTTGCACATGGAGGCACTCTCAATGAGCTACTACTAATGATCATCTGTTGAAGTGAAATGAATCACCAAACCTTCCCCAACATATATGCCTGCGTGCATGCATGGCACCGTCCACGTACTATATTATATAATCTTATAAAATTGACGGTTTGGATTTGTGAAATACAATGCGAAGTGGGCTTTACAAAGATGTCCCTCAAATAATTTATTTGAGGGATCTCTCAATGGAAGCTCTGTGTGTGTGTGTGTGTATTGAGGGATGCCCTTTAGGGTACCCTACAATTTTTTTTTCTTCTAATGATCCAAACCATCTATTTTTTAGGTCTTCATTCATAGATCATCCTTACAAAAAATTAGACATATCGGAAACGGTTTAGACATCTAATTGTGTTTTACAAAATCAATAAATACGGTGCTTCAAGAAAGTACTAAAATTTCAATAATTTAATTGAGTGGTCAAATGATATCATATTCAAATGATTTTTTTTGCAGAGATAATCTTTGAATGAATATATACAAAATAGATGGTTTGGATTAATGAAATACAATGCATGGTGGGATCTACAAGAGTATCACTCAAATAAATTTATTTGATGAATCCCTCAACCAAAGCTTACTCTATACATATACTCACCATGGTAGGAGAATGTATGCCTGCTTCTATAAGCATAGATGTGATCTCCTGGGCAGAGCTCCTCCCTAAAAATCATGTTTGAAAATATTCCCATCTCGCTTTTTGAGACTAATCTAACACCCAACTTAAGTGTGGTTGCATGAACTTATATAGCCTATAGTTGTCGAATTGTGTGGTTCGTATTTAGAACGACTTTAGGCTTGAAGAAAAGTCTTACTAACCTACAATTGGAAACCGTGTTACACACCAAATGTACAATTTGTTAAGACGGCTAAAGACCAAGACGCAAACTGTTTGAGTTGCCCCACTATGTATGTACACCACAACTTCCTCCAAATAGTGTGTTAAAAATGCTATAATAGGTTACGATAGCATTGTACAAAACACCACAAACTATAACATTAAGTTTCTATTGAATTTGGCATCAACACCACAACTATAACATTAAAGGGGGGGCGTATTCAATTAAGATTGTATATGATTTTGAAGTTTTTTTTAAGTGACAGATTTCCTGGAATTGTATAACTCCTATAGGTTTTACCTGGATTTTTAATAAACTTGTATAAGCTTTTATCATAGACTTCTATACTTTTGTATGAACTTTTGTTATAGATTCAGATATATTTGCATAGACTTCCCAATACTATTTTATTTTATCACTCTTTCTTCCCAACACTATTTTCTTTAAACTATCTTGACCTAGCCACTAGTCGACCACCCTTTTTTTTTTTTCTTCCCTTCTACTCTGTGTGCACAACAATGTTTTTCCCTTTGAAATTTCCACGAGTTGGAAACTTTCATACCTAAACAATGAATTTTCCTTTGAAATTTCCACGATTTGGAAATTTCCCTTTGATTTTGTTCACGAATAGCAAACTCTTCGTCCAAAAATTCAATTTAAAAAAAAAAACAACCCTTTGTCCAAAAGCAAGGGCCTTATCATCTGGTAGTGTTATGGGTGATGGAAATATATCTCAACCTTCTGCCGCCTTGACGTTGGCTTCACGCTGAGATGATATCCAGGAGAAGTTATCGGAGATCGAGAAATCTCTAGCTGAGCTTTCCACCCAACAACTTCAACTGGTTGATTTGAAGAAATCACTGATGGAGGAGCTTTGCTTAATGTAGGACGCTTGTAACCACCCAAGGTCAGTGCATGGCTTAGTGCATTGTTTGCCAAAAGATGGAAAATTTTCTAACACAAAGAGAAAAAAAAAAACACGTCGTATGAAATCTTTGGGGTGGAGATTGGACTTATGTTGGCCTTTATTATTTATACCTATACCCTACAAATTCTCCAAACTCCAACACTTAATTAAATCCTTCCAAATCTATCTCCTTTTGAATATAGGTAAATTTATTTGGACTTTTTCCAAATCCTAATTGAATGCACCCACATTTAGATGGATATTTTAAAAGTTCAAACAAGTCTAGATTGTACACCCAAATTGTTATAGACTTTTTAAAAGTTTGTATAAATCCAAATTGAATACACCCGGATTTTTAAAATCTTTTTAAACGCTCTAGAATCCTAATTGAATACACCCCCGTAAGTTTCTATTGACTTTGGCTTCAACACTAATAACAATTAACTACTATGAATTTTTTTCTTTGTTTATATATTGGTTTAATTTTTGGTTGGAATGTTTACGTATTGGCTTGTAATGATATTTTGGGTGATTTTGTTTATTTTTTATGTTCATATTATTGTATTTGTTTTTAGGTGCAATGCATATTGTGGCTTATCAATGAATTTGTTTTTCTGCCTATTATTGGTTCAAAATGCAAAAGTTTGATTTTTGCACATTATTTGTTTCTTTTTTTAATTGACAATCAGTATTTTTTTGGGAGATTCACTATTATACCCAATTTAGGAGCCCAAATTATAAAAATACTCCACATGAAATAGACTTTAGAAACACACCCAAAACCCATTTATAACATAACAAAGAGGCTTCGAACTTTCTATAAATTACAAAATTGTCATTGATTTCTTAAAACAAGCCTAACCCCAACACCTCATAAAAAAAACCAAAACACTCAATAGGGTATCAAAGTAATTTAATAATCAAAATTAAATTCAATAGGGTCAGTTGTCATTTTTTGGATTTTTTTGGGAGCTTTAGTTTTAAAACACAATATAATTTACTAATTTGGAAGGTAGGAATATAATTTCATCTAATTAGCATAAGGCCAAAAACCAAAAAATAGTACCTAATTTTACAATAATATAATTAAAAAATATATCAAAATTACATATAATGCCACTCCTTCTAAGGCAAGTACACTATGCCACATGTCCACCTCTGGCAATCCTCTTTCGGCCAACTATTACGGCCAGTGGGCCAACCGATAAAATTGCATGTTCTTGTTCACCTAAACTAAAGATCATATAAGTAGCTTCATTTGCATCTTCCCGAAGTGAAAGCAACACTCTTATAATTATGAATCCTTGTACATTTTCAAAGAGCTGTGCTTCTAAGAATCATAAATAACAAAGGATGATTTGAAGAACTAAAAAAAGACCTTTCACTCTTTTGTGGTTTGAAATGAAAAGAGACGCAGGAAGGTTTGTCTGTTTTACTTTGGCCTATGTTAGACTTGGATATATGCATCTGATCCTGCCCACGCATGACAGAACATAGTACGTAGTTACTATATTGTGTGGTTGGGTGCACGGTTCCATTTATATATCTCTAAGGAATGATTGGCAATGAATGTCCGACTGAGATCTATATATACAACACAATTACTCCAAGCTTTTGTAAGAGACAGACAGACAGAATGAGATGGAGGTGATGCAAATACTTCACATGAACAAAGGGGTTGGCGGGACTAGTTATGCTCAAAACTCCAAAGTTTAGGTCCAAATTAATATTATTCATCATGCTTTTCTTCAATTAATAACTATGTTCTAATTAAACATGTTAATTAATTTCATGTATACATATATATATGTATATTATCTTTTTATTATTAATTTATTATTATTTTGTAGAGCTAAATAATTTCCAATGCAAAGCAAATCATTCATGACGTCATACAAGAAATCTTACGCTCAAATAATATAGAAAGCATGGGCATGGCGGATTTCGGCTGCTCATGTGGACCCAACACCTTATTGCTCATCTCCGAGATCATAGATGTCATCATAAGCGCCAAAAGATGCAGCCTTGGCCTCCAGCTGTCAGCAACAACAAAGATCAGAGTGTTCCTTAATGACCTCTTTAGCAATGACTTCGATGATAGGCTTTACTTCATAGCAGACTCAGCGTGAGGAAGAAGAGAGAGAACTCTCTAGACGACGTCGTGACTCGGCGTGAGGAAGAAGAGAAAGACTCAGCGTGACGTTGTAGAGAGAGTTAGTGAGATCTGATTTTGACAACACTTTAAAAAAAAGGATAAAATTGTATTTTACCTTTATAATTTAGATAGGCCTAATGAATTTAGGCCACTTTTTTGGCCAAATGCAAGACAAAATTTGATCCTTATGTATCAAAACCCGAACAGAAATACTCTAGGTATCAAATCTTTACAATTAAAGATTCTTATAGCCAATGGGTGGTTATCTAGTGAGAACGCTTATGTGCAAACATTATATGAGAACCAAATCTAGCCATCCAAATTATCCGAACGGCTAAAGAGAAAAAACAAGCTTACGGTAAAAACAGGTAGGCTGCAGTTCCCCTTAGCCCAAGTGTCAAGTCGCGCCTGTTTTGAAAAAAGGCTCCTTTCTTCTTCCTGACAGTGGCGTTGTACTTCACCAGTCGCGCCTTTCTTGTCAATAAATTTATAAATTTATGAATTTATGAATCAACCCTAAACACCCAAAATACCTACCAGACATAAATTCATGTATTTCTCTTGTTGCAGAAACTCCCTGGTGTACTCTGTCTCCTTCGCTTCCTCCCTCATCTAATATTTCTCATTTGAACGTCTGAGAAGGTACGTTTCTCTCGAATTCCCTCTCTTTCATTCATATTAAATTTTGCATGTTATATTGCATTCAGTTAATGTTTAAATGACTTAATGTTTAAATAATGTGTAGGATTTTAGGGCATTGATTTTCTGGGTAAGAGTAGTCTGTCTCTGTAGTAGTTGTGTTTGCAAAAATATAAATTGGCTTCAGTTGTTTTTTTTGCATAGTAACTAATTTTTAAAGTTTTTCTGCGGTTTAAATATTATTTAATTTTTCCAAAAGTTGGGTTGTCTTTTTATCGCAATTTTTTGTGGTAATTTGTTGAAGTGTAGATTCACAGCTGTTGGTTGTTCCTATTTTTTTTGGCATTGTGCTTGCTTGTTGTCTTGTCTTAAAATTCCATGAACCTTCATGTGTTGGTCATTGTAATCCTGCTTTGCCCATCTAGTGGTGTATGGCATCATTTTAGGGATTTAATGGGGTTTGGAAAACAAAGAATAAGTACCATTAGAAGTAGAACGGAGAAGAGAAAATTGAATCTTAACTGTGAATATGAGATGATTTGGGATGCAGAAGGATCAATGCATCTTGTAGTAGGTATCAATTATGTATCTTAATGTGTTGAAAATAGTGTTGGTAGGTATCAGTTCTGTATGTGAATGTGTTGAAAATAGTGTTTGTAGGTGAAAATTATGTATCTTAATGAGTTGAAAATAGTGTATCAGTTTTGCATCTTAATATGTTGAAAATAGTGTTAGTAGGTATCCATTATGTATCTGAATGTTTGAAAATAGTGTTCGTAGGTATTAATTATGTATGTTAATGAGTTGAAAATAATGTATCAGTTTGCATCTTAATATGTTGAAAATAGTGTTAGTAGGTATCCATTATGTATGTGAATGTGTTGAAAATAGTGTTTGTAGGTATTCATTATGTATCTTAATGTGATGAAGGTGTGTAGATAATATTATGAGTAGGTATCACTTGTGTATGTTAATGTGTTCATAATTATGTGAGCCGTATCACTTCAGTTTCTTAAGCAAAAGGTGTTTGTTGCAGTTATAAAATGGAATCTGGGTTTGAACTTTGTTTCCCGGAGTCAGAGGTCTATGCCGCTCGGGTGAATAATTTGTGCAGCAAATTTAGTCCTGTGTAATTTTGGGGCGCATTTCAGTGAGTCGCTTATGAAATGATTTGGAGAAAGCTGTTTTGGGCACCTGTTGGGCCTCCATAAAATTGCATGTAGTGGTCAAATTGTGCATGCTCTAGCACTCCGGCGAGTCGGAGGACTTGGTGTTAAGGACATGTTGGGCCTTAGTTATGCAATAGGGTCCAATGTTGCTCAATTCAGTGTAAATGATTTTTGTTTGATAAGTGGCCTGAAATGTGGAACAGAGCCTGACATAACATCTAGGGGGGGATGCTCATAATCGATTTATGAAAGCGCATTTTACCAACAGGGGTCACATTACTTCCAATGACTTAGAAAATGCATTCCTAAAGTCCGAAAAAGGAAGCGATGACTCGTTCAAATTGGGACTGTTGTATTTTGTAAAGTTTGTGATAATGGGTAAACCCCAAAATGTGAAGATAAATGAGGAGTACTTACATTTGGTTCATAAAATGGACGAATTCAACAATTATCTGTGGGGATCTATATCGTTTGAGTTTCTGCAAGATTCTCTATTGTTTGCTCTCGGGACAAAAGAGAGTGATGAAGAGAATGATGGGAAGGGAAAATGACAGAAAAAGGGAAAAAAGGCGATGCAGAGTTCAGTGAGAAAAGGGAAGAAAAACGTGGAAGATGAGAAGCCTAAAAGAATTAACATACCTGGATGGAGTATAAAGGGATTAAGCTATGCTCTCCAGGTATGATGTAGTTCAAAATTAGTGTTTGTAAAATTTTAGTTCGTAATGAAGTACTGACTTTGATAATCTATTTGTTGTAGATTTGGGTGTATGAATTAATTGCTGAATTGGGAATTCCCCCCTTAGATATTGTAAGTGGATCGAGGAACTTGCATTAGTCCCTAGAATTTGCCAGTGAGAATCCACGGATAAAGTGCCTGAGTTTAGATAGCTGAACGCTTATATGTTTCAAAGCAAACAGGTGTGTAATTAATAATTTATTTCAGTACTATGTTCCTTTCATGAGGAAAACTGTTTAGTATTGTATATGACCTGTTAACTCTATGTGTTTGATAGCCTGTTATACTGCGCCTCTTACAACCAAGTCAATTGGAGATGAGCCAACCTTATTGGAGTTGGGGATCAGATGTTCCTGAATGTGACACACATAGTGTAGCTCTGCGAGTATGTAAGGACCTTGATGAGTTAAACTCTGTTGTGCAGCAGTTGAGGAATGAGGTTACAGTATTGCACCGTGAGAAGGGTCAGCTAGAGGAGAGAGTTTTACGCTTGGAAAAGTGTACCAGTCATGCAGACGCTGGAAAGGAGAGGAATAAGACTGAGGATGCTGAAGAGGAGAGGAATAAGCCTGAGGATGCTGAGGATGCTAAAAAAGAGAGGAATAAGACTGAGGATGCTGTAGAGGAGAGTCAAAAGACTGAGGATGTTGGAGAGGAGAGTGATAAAACTGAGGATGGCGGAGTAGCCGAATCGAGAGAGCAGTGTGTACAAAATGGTAAAGAAGAGGTGCAATATACACCCCCGGATATAAATTGGGATGATCCGGGTATGGTGTGTGTCACCCTTGTTAAATTTCTTACGAATCCTCCTCCAAAGATTGACCTGTCCACTGTTGAGGGTGAATGTGGCGAAGATGTTATAGTTGGGGTTCGACAAAAGAGGGGTCGGGGAAAGAGTGAGATTCTTGGCCCTGCGATGAAGAGGCGAAGGGTAGTGGTGAGGGAAACTCCATGGGCAGGTCGGGAGATTCCTAATATTTCCGAGGACACAATTGGTGACCCCCTAAGGCCTGTTCCTCATGATTCCCTTTTGGAGGTGGCGAAATTATGCTGGGAATGGGGATAAGAAGAAAAGTAAGTTCCCATTGCCGGTCCTTAGTGAAATGTAAATGGTTTATTATGATTAGTTATTGAGTGAATGGTGAAACGGAATTGATAATAATAATGATTCATAAATATAGTTCACATGTGCGGTTATGTGGAGAAGACGGTATGGAAGGATCGCATAACTTCTTTATTCGATTGCTGACCAAGGATGGTTGGTTGGATGACTCGGTAAGCATTAATTGATTTGGGATTTTGTCGAAATGCCCATGGTATGTAGTGATTTATTGATTTAATAATGGAAACAACCCTTTTATGTAGAACATAGACATGGCCTTGCTTTTGCTACGAGATTGGCACAAGAGCTCTGGCAACTGGGTGGGTTCTGACTGGACGATACTGGACACCACTTTTCAAGTCTGTATTATTTCACAAGCATTGTTAATTTTCAAATTTGGTATCCGTTATGATGCATAACTCGTGTGCCACTATGCAGAAATGTGCTGCCTTGGATTACAAGCAAATGAAGGCGTATGTGGGAAAGGAGGACAGGCAGCACAACAAGGGTCTACTGGAAATGGTCAAGGGAAAAAGGGCCTAAGTTGGCTAAATCATGGTCATCTGTGAATCACGTTTGTTTGGCCTTCAACCTACAAAGGTAGAAGCACTGGATCTTACTTGTTGTCGATTTAAAAGAGTGTGTGATAAGGGTATATGATTCAAAAGTAGATCTGTGCAGAACTCAAGCCATCCAACGGGTTGTGCTGCCGGTGGCGAAAATGCTGCCCCGGTTGTTAAAGGAATCTGGATATATTGGCGACGGTCTACTTCTGAAAAGTGAGTGGCCAGTTATTAGACCTGGCCAAGATTTCCCATGACGCCATGCCCTTCTATCGGTTGAAGATCGATGTACAGTTGTTGCAGGGATATTGGTAGCTGTGATTCATTAGGAGATACTATAACTTGCAAAGTTTTTAACTGGGTGGGTGTAGTGTAGTATATGAACTTGCAAAGTTAATTTAACTGGGTGGGCAATTTTGTTGGTAACAAACCTTATATTCACGAGTTACAAAACAAACCTTTCTATAATAATATAAGGGAAGCTTGAAGAGCTTTCTTCGCATGCTTGAGTGCATCTTTCCCTTTCTATTTTAGTAAAGTTTGAAAAGGTAGTTTTCTTGTTTGTTAAGGAACAAAGTCTTCTTTATGATCCAACTCCCCCTTTTCATTTAAAATTAAAGAATTAGTTTTTGTATTCTATTCAAATACAAGCTGTATGAAACCTTCAACACATAATGTTGATATAGTATGTTGAACCCGAACCCTAAATGGTGCATGATTCTTTTCAAATGTCGAATAAATAGTAATGTATCACCATCTCAGCATTGCAGTGCTGACACCTCTTTGCTTCAGTGTTTGTTGAAGAAATCGACATCGCTTTGCCCAGAGTTGAAAATGAAGAAAACAGAAGAATTATACCCTTCCAAATATTTGGTCAAACCCCCAAATTATTTTCCTTCAATTCTGAAAAGGAATTGGATTTTATTATTTGGTCGAAACATATATGGAGTTTGAAGTTTGAATTTGCCATTTTTGGTCTTGACAATCTGTGAGTGGGAAATTCCAAAGTTGAATATATATATATATATATTTTTAACCCTAATGCATGAGCGGGAAAATAAAAAGCATTGATGTGGGGAATTTTTAATAATTTTTTTACCCTAAACACTCCACAGTAAACCCTAAATCGTAGCCTTAAAGGCGTTTATCAAATGAAAATATAAGTAAGACAAAAATTAAAAGGAAAAGGGGCGTGTGGTAGAATTGGAATGCGCCCCGTGTTGCTGAGATCTGCAGCTCCCCACTCCAGCTCCGCCACTTGGCATTTTGTGTGTATTTTATTCTTTTTTTTTAGAAAATCGAAGAAAAAAAACAAGAAATTCAGAAAATATTGGGGAAAATTCCTAAATATGTATCGAGATGAATACTTCGTACTGAAAGTACAATAACGGATTTTGGTGTGAGGCAAAAATAAAATTAGGGAACAAACCCTAGTGTTGGATGATGCAAATGAAAACACTAGTACACTTTTCAAACCCTAGACTCTTATTTGTTCACTCACATTAATTTCGTATGAATATTTATATGACGCGGCCTTTTTCCAGATATTTCATGGAAGGAAATGTCGTCATGAGTGCAGAGGATTTTTTCTGGAATTTTTCCCCCTTCAATTTGATTTTTAATTGAATAAAGAATTTGAAAAGGGGCGTGTGGCAACATGGGAATGCGCCGCGTGTCGCTAAGGTCTGCAGCTCCCCACTCCAGCTCTGCCACTTGGCATTCAGTGTGTATTTTTTTCTTTCAGAAAATCGTAAAAAATACAGGAAAAGTCATAAAAAATGGAGGAAAATTCCTAAGTATGTATCGGGATGAATACTTCGTCAGGAGTTTTGACTTGTACTTCTCAATGAGTTTTTGGTTAAATACGTTATTTAAATCATTTTGTTAATCAAAAGGGATTTCCGGATTATTTGATTGAAATTTTGTATTTTTTTTGTTGTTGCAACAATCGTAAACATTGCATGACAAATTCTGAATGTGAAGGGGAAATTTCGTACAGGGTCCTATTCAATATGGGAAAAACCCAACACTTATTTCCCCCCTTAAATTCGATATTTAAATCATTACGTTAGTGAAAATAGATTTTCAGATTTCTTTATTAAACTATTTTTTATCTTTCAAATATAGTTTCAAATGCAGGACAAATAAGGAAATGTGGGGAAATTGAAAACGTAATTAAAGGATCACTAGAGTATCTTAGAAGATAAAGGATGGCTCAGACCCGGTTTGACTGAAAGGATAATCCCTCATGCTTTGACAACATGCAACCTCCCGGCATTTGGGTGTCTGTCATCTTCAACGAATGACTGCTTCGGGAATCGGAACCCAGCAATTCCCCATTTCAGAACACATAGTCAAACCATAGGACCCAAAACTATCCAAAACAGATGCACGCAAGCTACAAAGGTCTATGGAACACAAACATCTACAACCTGTACTTAAATTGGATCTTAAAAGTGCATCGATTACAAAAACAGACCTTCAAACCATAAACAAGACTTAAAACCACAAACGTCTACAACATTACCATAAACAAACCTTAAATTAAAAACATTAAACAGAAGGTAAACTTCCCCTATAAATAAAAATAAACAAAACCCATAACACACTTTAATACCCATATCATACCATGGATATTTAATTTATTAAATCCACGAGGTCTACCTATGGAGTGCGCGCTGGAAGTAATACAGCTGCCTCTTCCATTTGCAGGGTTCACGGCAGTTCCAGGTAGCTATCGTGTCAGAGTAATCCCCCCAAGTCCCAGTTGAAATACTACTCCCGATTACCCTCACAGTTAACGCAGTTAAGAAAAAAATTTCTGTCAGCAGTAAACTTTGCAAGAGTTGGAGGAGTCACCACGCCTGAAATTGTATACCTCATCAATCGATTCATAATTGATTCCCTGCATGCTTGCATGTCAATTTTCTTCATTTTTCTTAGATGGCACAACATTTCCATCACATCCTCTTTACCCTCCGTAGGGTTCACCAGCCCTAGCAAGCCAATAATGTAGGAGGATTCCATATGCCCTGCCTTAGCTGCTACTCGGAAGTTGTTGACAGCCTCATCTTCTTTGAATATGAAGAATTGAGTTACTGCTTCTCTGCAAATGATTTATGGATTGTTGTGTTCCTTGCACTTTTGCAAGAACTCAACAAGTTTCTCTTGATAAAACACGTACCATTCAGGATGCCACTGGTACTTCTCTACAGACATGGTTCGCCAAACCTCAAGATCATTCAACATTTCTTCAAATAACTTGCATGTCCCCGCCATGCTGTACAGATCTTCAGAGGAGTTCTTTGCAACCAAAATCAGCACCTTAAACCATGCCAAGTCTGGGATGTCCATCTGGGTTGTTGGAGAAGAAGGAGTGCAAAAGGTATATGGAGGAATAATGAATGGTGTGTCTGGACAAATCAATAAAAAATGTATATATTGGAACGAACCGTCATCACCTAAACTATGGACGAAGACAACATTTCAGATCATGTATTAGTGGCTTCGTTTCCCAATCGGTGTGACTGAAAGGATAGTTCACGCACCTCGATGATCCAGGTTTTGGCAGCAAATTGGTCTTCTCGCGGCTCCATGCCTAGGTACACCTCGTGGGTGTTCGCATTTATGATACTACTTATCAACGTCAACAGTCAAAAAATTAAATATACCTTTTATGATAATGATTATGCAAATATCACATCACTACTTATGGAGGTAAAATTCGTTGCATTTTAACATGACCATGTGAATAATTTAACAGCCAAGTATGAAACTAAATAGCAACGCACCATTAACAGTACAGAAAATGAAAACAGTGTTTATGACATCACCAGTTATGAAGGTAATCTAAATTTAACATGAGCAAGTAAACAATTTCATCTTCTGAAATATGATACTAAATATGAACGCACGATTAACAGTAAAGAAACTAAAAATAGTGTTTTATGACGTCGCCAGTTATGAAGGTAATCTGAATTTAACATGACCAAGTAAACAATTTCATCGTCTGAAATATGATACTAAATATGAACTCATATCACCAATAAAGAAACAGAAAAATGTGCTTGTGGTACTTATAATGCAAATATCACATCACAAGTTGTGAAGGTAACTTACATTTGAACATGACCAAGTCAACAATTTCATCTTTGCAAATATGATACTAAATACGAACGGTAAAGAAAATTAAAATATCGTATATGATACAAATAATGCAAATATGACATCACCAGTTCTCAAGGTAACTAAAGGTGCAGCTCCCAACTCAAAGTCAACATTGGCATTTTGGCGGGTAAAATGAAAATAGGGACTGCTCTATAAATACCAATGTAAGAGTATTTTACCTCCCATTGCACCTCCACTTGCTCCAAACAAGCCTAAACTCAGAATGGGTTCCCCTACAAAAATCCCCCCCATACTTATAACAACTTCAGCAAAAAATGTAGAACCTTTGTCACAGAGGAATAATAAAGCTGAAGATGTTGTTGATGGAGCTGCGAAATCCATAAACTTTTCATTTGAGGACCACGATGATGCAGCTCAGATCGGCAAGATGCGGTATGATGCGTTGATCATGAAAATCAAACGCCAGAAGATATGTCTAAGATGGTATCAAGAAACATTGGGGAAGGAGAAAAATAAAGTGAAATTCCACCTTCGATAAATCCAAATAATGAAAGTGAGGGTTAGGCTTGCAAAAGGAAAAGGTTTTCGAATGAGTCTGTGCAGATGAGGGAAGCAGAAGCACGCAACGGGTTTGACCTGTTCTGCGAGTTTGCAAGATGTGTTGTCCCAAGCTACAACTGGGACAAGATCGCCATAGAGTAAACCATCGCTAGAGAAAGTTCATTTTGGGGGTTTTCAGTATTTTGTTGGGAACAAATGTGTGGTTCATTTTGAGTACTTTTTTGGCATTTTGTGTGGGCTCCTGAGGTGTAAAAACTCTGGTTTGAAGTGTTCATACTTCATAGGTAATGTATCCAACTGTAAGATATGAAGGACAACTGTAAACAAATGGGGAAACTGTTTTGGGTTTTTTAAGCGTACTTTTGTCTACATAAATTGTTGTGCTTTTATGAAGTTTGCTTATATTATTTTCTGATCACATATTTCTTTGTGTTATTTTATAACGCCTAAAAGGCATGGAATAGAAACAACAGAGCTTGATTTGTTGATAATCCAGGTATTTATGTCGCATAGTAATCAAGTAATGGAGGGTTGGCTTTATCTCGTTTGTTTAGGGATGACAATGTGTTGAATTGGGGGTGGGTATGCCATTTCCATGGCCCGCCCCATTAGGGAAGAAAAAACCAATTATATAACTACTATGTTGAAAGAAAAAAGACTAGTAAGCCAACATAATGAATATATAGAATACATACTTCAAAGACAATATAACAATATTTATACATATGTTGGAAGTTAACTAAATAAATAAGTAGTGTGGCTTAAGATTTGTATACAATATAAAACTTAGTCAATACTCTGTATGTTCATAGCATATTTATATATGAGGTAAATGCTCTTGTGTGTTTCCATTTTGGGTCATTTGAATAAAATAATGCAGCTATGCAGAAAAATATATTAGTAAATACAGTGCTGAATAAATTTATTTGGAAGTCTATTTTGTTTTCCCCCTTGTTAAAGTAGTTGGGTGAGTTTTGAGGTTTGAGCATTTATTTGATCACTTATATGGTAGCTAATTATGTTCGTAACTTGGCATTTTAGAGGTTTGCTTATTGGTTTCAAATATATAATTTTAACAATGAAATAACAAGAACCATATTGTGTCTGTCAATTAAAAGGAGAAAATATAGAAATATTTTTCCGAACAATTATATATGAAGCAAATGAAACTGATACTTGTGTTCTTATAAATTAGATAATGAACACTAAGGAAGTATACTTCTAATTTTTGCAAAATATAATGTTACTGTTCAAAGGAAAGCAAGTTATCACCATATTCCAAAGATGGAGTGTTCACTCTGTATTGTCACATCATATGAAATTAAGTACGAAATTGAGTTTTCATAATCACTTTGGATGATTTAAGGTTCCCCCAGTTTTGTAACGGCACAAGGAGCTAGAAGCAATTTTCCGGGCATTTTTCTGATTTTTCTCCTATTTATTACCATTTTTTAAAATCATTTTGCATTAAAAAATTTAAAACATAAAGAAATAACACACATGGCGACAGCTAACCGCATCCCCCTTCAGTAGGTGCACACGTGTTTGCCAGTGGCCATTGCCACATCCTTCCTTTCCATGGGAATTTAAATGAATATTGCTATTTTCTTACAAAATTCATAACTAAATATACAAAAATCGGGAAAAAATTTCGCAAATTGCTGCGAACTCATTCAAACTTGATAAATCAAAATTCAAGTGTTTGCTAACATTTTTACCAATCATGTGAGGCTCCTGTGATTAACTAAATCAAATACTTTGATTACTTTAAATATAAAAAAATTCAAGTGATGGGACAAAAGGAGAAAAAACAAATTGGAAAACTTCCGGACATAATATATAAACGTTGTTTTATGCCTGTGGGATACTCATGCGTTACATCTCTCTTTTCTTCTTTCGAGTCGTCTTTTTTGCATACATACCTTTAGCCAAATCCCCCAATCTGACGATTTTTTCAACATGTCTGCCAGTTCAAATGCCAAAGTGAATCAGGGGGACTCCGATGGCTCATGGGAATATGCCCCCGATTATCCAAGGTCCCCTCCACCACCGCTGCCTCTTCCAACCTCTTGCGCAAGCGAGGGGGACTCCGATGATCCCATTGTGGAAATAAATGATATGAAGAACAAACTGGAACACAACTCTTCATTGGTCCATTATTGTACTCAAAAGTGTGTCGAAGCTGAGCAGAAGTTGGCTTATTTGATTCGGCAAGTTAACAAAGCCCATTACAAAAAAGAGAAGCAAAGAATTTGTGCCCAAAGAAGAAAGCACAAATCAGAGGATTTGAATATGACAAAGGAGGATGCTACGTACGAATCTTTGAGCATCCACAAAGGAGGCGACAACCAAGGCCAGGCAATGTCTGTGGCTTTCAACGAAGGTTTTGAGAAATTCTGACGGTTCACTGCAGATGTCCACAAAGATATTGACTGGGACGCCATAACCCCGTCTGCTGCACAGGAAATCATCTCCAGTGGTGCACACCCAACATAGCAAGGCCAACAACCAGCAAAAGGCAACGATAATGACTGGTGATAGCCATATCAATCCATAGGCAATCCCTCAGTAGTTGTTTGTTTTTAACAAAATGTCTGATCTGGGTTAGTGTTTAAATGTTAATGCCCGGTCTGGGTTAGTGTTTAAATGTGAATGCCCGATCTGGGTTATTGTTTTAATGTTAATGCCCGATCTTGCTTACGTGCAGCTTATTTCATTTTACATTGCTATCAAAGCTAGAGTTCAATAACAGTTCGATCACTAACTTCCGGATTAGAAGCGTTCATTTCGTAATAGTGCTCACAATTTTTTGTTTAATCATTGTTGGTGGGGAGACAATTTGTTTTAAGATTCTCTGACACAGATATTCGTTGGTTGAGACTTTACAAAGCATAGTGATTGTTTCAAGATTCTCTTACTGACACATAATCATGGTTTCAAGATTCCCTTGAATATTTTCATATTCATTGCAACCATTGTAAATTTGTGTATAAAACCCCTTGCATGATTCCCCCAAACTCATTCTCCTTCAAATAAGGGCTTCAGGTTCTGAAAATCCCAAAGCCCCCAGAGGACATCCGGGACATCCACCTTCAACCAAAGATGGATCTGAAACTTTGAGTTACGCCTAGTTATTGAAAGCATGGTGCCGTTCATGACCAAAAAAGATGTAAATAGGTATCAACAAATGTTAAAACTCCGGGACCATAAATGAAATCAAACTCTTCCAGATAGTTATGTGTTTAATAAACCATAGTTCAGTATCAATAGACATGAGACATTTACCTAAGATTCACTAACGCTTCCAGATACTTTCAAAAACGATGCCAATAAGTATCAATAAGTGTTCAAACTTCGGGACCATAAATGAAATCAAACTCTTGCATAAATGACTCTATCATAGTAGGTTCATTGTCCTGTGTGCTCTGAGTGGGCTGCAAATTCTCACCAATTGGACCACCAAGTTCTGTGTCAGAAGATGAAGAGCTGCCACATCAAAAAACAAATAATAATAAACATCAACAACATAAAATTCAAAGCACAATATAACACATATTCACTTACGGGCTCGCAAGTTTTGGACAACTCCATCTATCATGATCAGTCTTCCTACATTCAGTGCACCGACGTTTATGTCATTGCGCTACCTTCTCTTTTTCTCCTTTAACTCTTTTTGCATGCCCTTTTACTTTCACTCAATATGGATCTTTGATTCTGAGTTGGGGATAACTAGTTCCGACATCTCCATTGGGTTCTTCGACATGAGCTCTTGATGACACCAACCTTGTAAGCTTCCCACGAATGTCCTCAAAAGATTTTTCCAGCAACTCAAAACCTTCATCACACAACAAAGCCGAATCAATCAAATCACTTGCAACTTTGCAAACTTTTGATCTCTTAACCAAAAGGAAACCATCAACGCAATCATTAACTTCTTTGTGATTCTTATCATATATTACACCGCTTTTCGCACTTTGAAGCCATCATTTCAATATGTACTTGTCTAGCAAGTGCTCAACCTGCTTCATTCTTAAGAATGCTAGGATGTGTCGGCACGGAATACCCCAAAATTCAAATCATTTGCAGCTGCAATAAGCTTTATCGGCATCTTTATCATGCACATGCTCCTTCATCCATGTCACCCCCGGATTTACCCGCTCACTTACTTTGTATCTGCAGTGCGTCTCATCTTGCTCTACAAGTTCAAACAAACATAAATGACTTCTGAAGACTTCCCTCTCAAATATTTCTAGAATTTCCCGAGTGTAAATGCGTCTCATTTGATGTTGTATTGGTGTTTGAAATGGCAGTGGAGGTTTTTCATTGTTATCAACATGATCAGCCATTAACTCCTTGTGTCTTCGTGAAACAAGAGCTCTCTCAAAATGTACAATGAATCCATCAATGTGTTTTTCCGGTTAATATATTGTTTGAAAAATGAATGACAGCTTTTGGCTCGTTGACTACTTGACATCCCAGCCGAAAACACATGTTTTACATATGATGGAACCCAATTCTCCCGCATAGCATGAATTGAGCTCAGCCAAGCATGGTTTTTCAGCCTATTGTTTGTGATGATTTCCTCCCATTTCGCATCAAATTCTTCTTTCTTGTCCATACCCCATATGCATTTGCACATTTCCGAAAAACATTCTCCAATGCCGGGTTTCTCTGTAATTTTATTCAAGATATGCCATATGCAATATCTATGAAATGTTGTTGTGAGAGTTACAACAATTGCCTTTGACATGGCTGTATCTTGATCAGTGATGATCATTTTGGGTGGCTCACCCGGCATGGATTTCTTGAATTCCTCTAACAACCATACAAATGAATCTGTGGTTCCACTAGTTAGGAATGCACAAGCAAACAACACTGTCTGCCGATGGTTATTAACGCCTAGCAAAGGCTTAAAGACCATCCCATAGCGGTTCGTGTTGAACGTCGTATCAAATACCACCACATCTCCATAAAACCCATAAGCTCGTCTTGACCTTGCATCTGACCATAAAACATTACCCATCCTTCCTTCCGAATCTACCTCCATCTTGAAATAAAAGGATTCATTCTTTTCTTGCTCAGCCATAAAATGCTCATTAAGCTGCTCTGCATCATGGCCAATCACCTCTTCACGCACGTCCCTTAGATAATTATAAACATCTCTTTTAACCAACCCAACATTTTCCAATCCCCCAACTTGCACCTCAAGAAGGCTTAACTGTTTATGTATCGGAATATTAACTTTGCTCATATCTGCACTATAGACCTTTGCAGACTCTGTTAAGTTACGATGAGATCTCAATAGATGGACTTTATCAACTGTGGTCATGTCATGGTTGTGTACCTCATTGAATCTTACAACAATGTACTTATTCTTGTCTTTCACCTTCAATATCGCAAGTTTAGCCTTGCAACCAGTTCGAGTACTACCTCGCCGTCTTCTCTTACAACTAACATTGCTTGTCAATGCATACCCCTGTTTACAACATACATATTCCTTCCTTGTTACCTCTCCTGTCAGTGTGCACGTTCTCGTTGTAGAACTCCGAATGCCGAATCCGGCTTCCGCATCATGCATATTATAGAAATTGAACACATCATCACATCAATCAAATTCAAGTCTCAATTTTGGTTTCAACTCCGACCTTACTTCTGGTGTCACCTGTCCTTCACACTCCATTGCACAGTTCTTGCAATATAACCCTGAATTCACCACCATCATACCAACATTGGCACATGCTTTCAAAGAGCTTTAAAATATATATATTAACTAACTTATGACATGAAAATGATTCTCTGGTGAAATATTAAAGACTTACATACAAACTAATGTAACTCATGCTTATGCCCTATAATAAACTTGACAAATACAGTATAAAGAGCTTCAAAATATATATATTAACTAACATATGATATGAAAATGACTCTCTGGTGAAATATTAAAGACCTACATACAAAATAATGTAACTCATGCTTATGCCCAATAATAAACTTGACAAATACAATATAAAGACCTTTAAAATATATACGTTAACTAACATATGATATGAAAATGATACTCTGGTGAAATATTAAAGACCTACATACAAATTAATGTAACTCATGCTTATGCCCAATAAAAAACTTGACAAATACAGTATATCACTTACCTCGTGAGTCATTTCCAACTTCAAAATTTCTACAAATATGACAATGTCACCCTTTTAGATCTGGACGTCAACCCCAAACACTTTTCTTCTTCCTCAACCCCTGTTTCGACCGTGCTCAACGATTTCAAAACCAAGAGAACAACACAAGGGTCGCGGTCACCAGTTTCCAACTCAAGACGTTGCTTAAGGATTGACGAATGTTTCGCCCAGAAAGACCGAACCACAAAGATGATAATATAAAATACACGAACACTTTCTTTCCCCTCAATGATAAACCTAGAAAAATGAGGGCTATAAACTTCTGTGTTCTTCCTGGAATCGAATAAGGAATAACAAGGGCACTCTCTCTTCAGTGTTATTGGTCTTGCTCAATCAAAGCTGATAAAAAAATTGGCCACTTAATTGAACAAACTGAACAGCTGGATTGGAGGGGACGTCTGTTTTCGACTCGACGTTTTGGAGGGAGAGGAGAGAAGAAGGCCTCGTTCTAATACAACACTTACACTTGCAACTGCTTTTGATGCAGCCGTTAGATTAGATCCAACAGTGTTCTCACGTAACGTTCGCATATAAGCATTCTCACCTGATCCAAACCGTATAGCTAATACCTAATTTTTCTTTGTTTGGAAGTCTTGGGCTTTAAGCCCAATTCAAAGGTAGTGAAACTGAAGCCCACATATAATATTTACAACTTAGCTAGCCCAATCACATCGGGATAAGCAAACAAAACACGAAACACGAACCAGCTCACGGAAAGAAATATCTGCTCTCTGCTGCCTGCGACCATCAACCAAAACGCGAACCAGCGCAAGGAAAGAACTAAAAAGCGAGTCTTCATGGCGGCATTCACAGGAGCGCTGACGACGACCCTTCCCACCGCGCCATTATTACATTCAGATTCGATATCATCATCATCATCGCCTTCGTCTGCGTTTTCTAAGGTATACAAAAGAACCGCTTCTCTTTCTTGCTCTTGTTCCACTTCTAGTATTGCTTCTACTTCTAGTTCCTCTACTGGGCAACCGAATGGCTGCGATGATTGCACAAGGAACACGAAAAGCACTCAGAAATTTAGCTATGGCAGAGCCTCACCCTCAGTCAGATGGCCCCATTTGAAGCTCTCTGACACTTATCCCTCACCTCACACCCAATTCACTCCTCCACTCCCGACCCATGTTGTGCAAGATTCCACTGATTCCGACTCTGAGGGGAAAGAGGAAGAAGACCTGAATTTGGGTTCTGTGGGTTCTTTGGATACGAATGATGAAACCCAACAAGTGTTGGGGAGGCCCAGCAAGACTAAGGCCAAGAAAATGACCAAACTGGCTCTCAAAAGAGCCAAAGATTGGAGAGAAAGAGTGAAACTTTTTACTGATAGGATTTTGGGACTGAAACCCGACGAGTTTGTGGCTGATGTGTTGGATGATAGGAAAGTTCAAATGACCCCAACTGATTTTTGCTTTGTGGTGAAATGGGTGGGCCAGTCGAGCTGGCAGCGTGCATTGGAGGTCTACGAGTGGCTGAATTTACGCCACTGGTACTCCCCGAATGCACGGATGCTTGCCACTATCTTAGCAGTCCTGGGAAAGGCTAACCAGGAAGCCTTAGCTGTGGAAATATTCATGAGGGCTGAGCCCGGAACTGGCAATACAGTCCAAGTGTACAATGCCATGATGGGCGTCTATGCACGAAATGGCCGGTTTAATAAGGTCCAAGAATTGCTCGATTTAATGCGTGAGAGAGGGTGCGAACCGGACCTCGTGAGTCTCAATACTTTGATAAATGCTCGCCTGAGGTCAGGAGCCATGGTACCAAACTTGGCTATTGACCTTTTAAATGAGGTGAGAAGATCAGGTCTTAGGCCAGATATAATAACTTATAATACTCTTATTAGTGGCTGTTCGCGTGAATCCAATTTGGAGGAGGCAGTGAAGGTTTACAATGATATGGAAGCACATAATTGTCAGCCTGATCTTTGGACTTACAATGCCATGATTTCCGTATATGGGAGATGTGGGGAATCAAGCAAAGCTGAGCAGCTCTTTAAGGAATTGGAGTCGAAAGGGTTTTTCCCAGATGCAGTGACATATAATTCCTTGTTGTATGCTTTTGCAAGAGAACTTGATATAGAAAAGGTGAGGGATATTGGTGAAGATATGATGAAAATGGGGTTTGGTAAAGATGAGATGACCTACAATACTATTATCCACATGTATGGCAAGCAGGGCCAGCATGATCTAGCGTTTCAGCTTTACAGGGACATGAAAATGCTAGGCCGGACTCCTGATGCTGTTACATACACTGTATTGATCGATTCGCTTGGAAAAGCAAATAAGATAACAGAGGCCGCTAATGTGATGTCAGAGATGTTGGACAGTGGAGTGAAACCCACTCTTCGGACTTATAGTGCTTTGATGTGTGCGTATGCCAAGGCTGGGAAACAGGTGGAGGCTCAAGAGACATTTGATTGGATGGTTAAGTCTGGGATTAGACCTGATCATCTAGCATACTCAGTTATGTTGGATATCTTTCTGAAGGTCAATGAGACAAAGAAGGCTATCACGTTGTATCAGGAAATGCTGCATGACGGTTTCAAGCTGGATCATGCCCTCTATGGGTTTATGTTGCGGGTGCTTGGAAGAGAAAATAAATTGGAAGTCATTGAAAGAGTGATCAGAGATATGGAAAAAGTTGGTGGTATGAACCCACAAGTTATCTCTTCTATTCTTGTTATGGGAGAATGTTATGACCATGCTGCTAAAATGTTGAGATTAGCCATCACCAGTGGCTATGAGTTGGACAGGGAAAGTCTTTTATCTATTGTCAGTTCATATAGTTCATGTGGAAGGCACTCAGAAGCATGTGAATTGCTTGAATTTTTGAGAGAACATGCTCCCGGTTCCAATCAACTTATAACTGAAGCATTGGTTGTCATACAATGCAAGGCTCACAGATTTGATGCTGCCTTGGTGGAATATAGTAATACCAGAGGGTTCCATTCTTTTAGCAGAAGTTCAACCATGTATGAAATCCTGATTCAAGGCTGCGAAGAGAATGAACTCTTTGGTGAAGCTTCTCAGGTTTATTCTGACATGAGATTATATGGCGTTGAACCATCTGAGCATCTTTACCAAATTATGGTGCTAATCTATTGTAAGATGGGTTTCCCTGAGACAGCCCACCTTTTGATTGATCAGGCAGAAATGAAAGGCATTTTGTTTGACAATGTCAACATATATGTTAATGTTATTGAAGTCTATGGGAAATTGAAGCTGTGGCAGAAAGCTGAAAGTTTGGTGGGAAGTCTTAGACAAAGATGTAAAGCAGTGGATAGGAAGGTCTGGAATGCCTTGATACAAGCTTATGCTGCAAGTGGTTGCTATGAGCGAGCTAGAGTGATCTTTAACACAATGATGAGAGATGGTCCTTCCCCAACAATTGATTCTGTAAATGGTCTTTTACAAGCTCTGATTGCTGATGGGAGATTGAATGAGCTCTATGTTCTAATCCAGGAGTTGCAAGATATGGGTTTAAAAATAAGCAAGAGTTCAATTCTCTTGATGCTTGAAGCATTTGCTCGAGAAGGTAACATATTTGAGGTAAAGAAGATATACCATGGAATGAAGGCTGCAGGTTATTTTCCTAACATGGATTGTTTCAGGATTATGATCAAGTTATTGTGCAGGGGAAAACGAGTAAAGGATGTTGAAGCAATGGTTTATGAGATGGAAGAGGCAGGGTTCAAGCCTGATCTTTCAATATGGAATTCCATGCTTAAGTTATATGCAGGAATTAAGGATTTCAAAAAGACAGTTAAAGTATACCAGCGGATTCAAGAAGCTGTACTTCAACCTGATGACGATACTTACAATACTTTAATTATAATGTACTGCAGAGATTGTCGACCAGAAGAAGGTTTATCATTGATGCAGGAAATGAGAAGGCAGGGCCTAGAACCTAAGTTGGACACTTACAAAAGCTTAATTTCGGCATTTGGTAAGCAGAAGCTGTTGGATGAAGCTGAGGAACTTTTTGAAGAGTTAAGGTCAAATGGATGTAAACTGGATCGGTCCTTCTATCATACAATGATGAAAATGTTTCGAAATTCAGGAAACCATGCCAAAGCTGAAATGTTGTTCACCATGATGAAAGAGGCAGGAATAGAACCCAACTTTGCCACAATGCACTTGCTTATGGTTTCTTATGGCAGCTCTGGACAGCCTCAGGAAGCTGAAAAGGTGCTTGACAATTTGAAAGTAACTGGCTTAGATCTTGATACGTTACCATATAGTTCAGTTATTGGTGCTTATCTGAAGAATGGAGATTATAACATTGGAATTCAAAAGCTCAATGAGATGAAGGAAGTAGGCCTGGAGCCAGATCATAGAATATGGACTTGCTTTATACGGGCTGCAAGTTTATCCCAGCACAAAAGTGAAGCCATTATTCTCCTAAATGCACTGCGTGATGCCGGATTTGATCTTCCAATCAGGTAATTATTAGTTCTCAATAGAATCACAATCAGATTTTTCTTCTTTTTCCAAGTTTTTTCTCCTCTGATCCATCTCCAAGCAAATCTTGTCTTGTAGGCTTGTGACAGAAAAACCTGAGTCACTGATTTTGGAAGTAGATCGTTGCCTAGAAAAACTAGAACCCTTGGAAGACAATGCAGCCTTCAACTTTGTCAATGCTTTGGAGGACCTTTTGTGGGCATATGAACTCCGAGCCACTGCTTCATGGGTTTTCCAATTAGCAGTAAAGAGAGGCATCTATAACAATGATGTGTTCAGGTAGGTGTTGGTAGATCCAATAGTCAACCATCTGGTATGTTATATGTCTATCAAGGCTAAAGAAAAGAAAGTGGTTTTCCTTATCAATCAATTTTCGTTTCCATCGGTTTGCTTATATCCAGTAATCTTTTAAATGCAGGGTAGCTGACAAAGACTGGGCTGCTGATTTTAGAAAGTTATCAGCTGGTTCTGCTCTTGTTGGTCTCACTTTATGGTTGGATCAGATGCAGGCAACCCTCTTTCTCCTTCACAGTTTCGTTTGAGATCACTACCCTTTTGAAGCTCCCCTTTCATTTGTGAGTCTAACACAGAGGTTCTTGTTTTATGGCAGGATGCATCATTGGAGGGTTATCCAGAGTCTCCAAAATCAGTCGTGCTGATAACAGGGACATCCGAGTACAACATGGTTTCACTTAACAGTACATTGAAGGCATGCCTTTGGGAGATGGGTTCACCTTTTCTGCCTTGCAAAACACGAAGTGGCCTTCTTGTAGCGAAGGCACACTCCCTCAGGATGTGGTTAAAGGACTCCCCATTTTGTTTGGACCTTGAGTTGAAAGATGCCCCAGCTCTCCCAGAATCAAACTCAATGCAGCTGATTGATGGATGCTTCCTACGACGCGGTCTTGTTCCTGCATTTAAGGAAATAACCGAGAGGCTTGGCCTAGTGAGGCCCAAGAAATTTGCTAGATTGGCTTTGCTATCAGATGAAAAGAGAGAGAAAGTTATTCAATCTGATATTGAAGGGAGGAAAGAGAAGTTAGAGAAAATGAAGGAAAATGATAATCCAAGGAGGGTGAGCAGGATTAAAAAGCTTAGGAAGAGGAAATATGTAAGACCGTCCACATTGTCAAACACCAACCAGATTGTATCAGCACAAAAAGCTTTAAAATAGAGTTGTGAAAGTATGGAAAGGCTGCATAGTTTCCGTACCTTCTTCCACTTCAGCACCTCTTAGTTTAAATCTTTCTTTTTGATCTCATGTCACATTAACTTTAAAGACCCGAACTTCACTGATAGCATGGAGGAGGATTCTGATGATGAAACTCATGAGGAGGAGGAAGATGAGTATGTTTTCAAGCTGTGTGAGGTTATGTTTGACTCGGAACTGCAGGTCCACTAAATGATTTCTAATTATGCTGCCTTTATTATGTTGTAGTGAGCGACTGAATATACAGGGGATGAAGATGTCGGCTGGAAAGTCCGAAGAGCAGCGGCATTAATTGTTTCCTGTCCTGAGATGCTTTCAAAGCTGTATGAGGACAATAGTCCTGAGATGCTTTGCAATTTCTCTTGAAACTTCTCATTATATTTTTGTGTGCTCTCTTGTGTTATTGATATATTTGTAACATTTTGATTTTGTACTTTACTTGGTATGGGTCTCTCATCGACTTGAAATGTGATGTTTTAATTTCCTTCAATTCTCACAATAGTCCTTCAATGAAATCATTAAACACTTTCTGCTTTTCTGCAGGCTTGTCCAAAATTAATTGACAGGTTTGAAGAGAGGGAGGAAAATGTCAATGTAAACCAGAATGAATGTCAGTGGATCATCTCACTTCATGGGATTAATTATTTTGCTGAAGATGGATTTTTTAATACATTCATTGAACTGTTGCAGCAAACTGAAAATGTTATAAAAGGACAGATTGAGATAAATGAACAGAGGTAACTTAGTTGTAAACTTGTAATGTTATCTGAGTGTTAAAATACATGCAGTTTGTTTTCTCTTTTACCTCTTATCTATCATTTGCTCGGTTGGGTATGGTTTTAGAAATCTTAGATTCTTAACTAGGGAAGTCCTAGTTCTGAGTTATTAGATGCCTTTGCTAAATTCTTGGCATGTTTTGCAGTCCAAAATGGTTATTGAAGCAAGAAGTGCCAAAGATTGTCAGATCTATAAATAGGCAACTACATGAGAAACCTATCATGACAAAGGTAGGATTTTTTAAGTATCTTTTGGATTGTCTGTTATGGGAATGCTATGAACTATAACATTTATCTATTTTCAGGTTGGTGTGTTTTCTGTTTTGAAATAACTTGTAGTGGTCTCGCCAGATTTCCTGGCTGATCACATGGGTTCACTCAGTCCAGGAATTGAAAAAGTGTTAAGTGTAAGTAAAATTGTCTCAAATTGTAAGTGTATTTTGAACTAAGATAAGTCTTTTCTGGTGCTGATATTTGTTCCCCTTTTTTCCTTTTTTTGGTGGTCTCTTGTAATTTTTTCTAGGATAAGTCTTTTACCTCCAATTTAAAGATTGAAGCTCTTATATTTGCACGATTGGTGCTGGCTTCACATTCTCCTCCTGTGTTTTCCATCCTTATATCAAGGTAACTGCAGTAACTCTTACGAATATGCTATGTTATGAATATGCTGATATGATATTGAGAAATAGACCACTAGTTGCATTCGTTTGGGGACATTATAAAATATAAATTCATATTATTGCAGGCTCTTTCTAGTCCTGTTGTATCTGCTGTGGGAGAGCGTTAGTACAAAGTCACAGCTGAGGCATTAAGGGTGTGTAGGGAATTTTTCCATGTCATTCGCCTGAATATCGAGGTGTATTAGTGGGCACACTTAGTCTTGTGGTCCTGTTAAACTATTCTCTACTTATATGATATGGTTATTCCATGTAGGGGATTGGTTTTGATTTCAAACCTTATGTTCATCCAATATATAATGCCATAATATCATGCTTGACAAATAAAGATCAAGATCATCCTATATATGTACTTAATTGTTTATGTCTGCACATATTGTGGCTCATGTCTATTCTTATGCAGGAGGTAAATGAATGTACTATATCTTGCATGGATCTAGTTGTGTCAACATTTGGTGATAACCTTAATGTTGAACTGCCTGTATGCCTTCCTGTACTTGTTGATCGGATGGGAAATGAGATCACTCGACTTACAGCTGTGAAGGTAATTCTTTTGCTCACTTTTGTGACCGACTGACTGTTCCTTTGCCATTTGTTTGCTGATGTCTTTTTTTCGGCCTTTACTTTCTGAAGATATACATTTGGGACTGTATTATTATGTACATGTCTTAAGTTTCTAAGACCTTGAGTGTTTTGCATCCAAGCATTTGCTGTCATTGCTGCTTCTTCACTGAAAATAGCTCAATCTTGAATGTTTGAGCAAGTGATTGCAGAGTTGACTGCATTCTTAAGGAAGGTATGGGAATTTACTTAATATGTCGTTGAATTCATAATCTTCTTACAAATTTTTTTATGAAACTCATGTTAGAATCACTCAAAGACCTATGAAATTAATCCTAATATTCTTTGCCTCTGTGGAAATCAGGCTAATCAGCCTCTAAGACAGGCAACATTGTGGACCCTGAATTCCCTAATTGTTGCTTATGGAGATAAAATTGGCTCATCTGCTTATGAAGTTATTATTGTATAACTTGCCACACTGATAAGGTTTTTCTCTTGCTACTTCACCAATTTTTTTGTTCTTTTCAAATTTTTGTGTGATTGGTGGCTGGGTGGTTTAATTTGTGAACCTTAGTGTCTATCTAATACACATTTCCAGTGATTCAGACTTGCATATGACGGCCCTCACCCTGGAACTCTGCTGCACCTTGATGGCAGACAGGTCAAGCCTGGTTGTTGGATTGGCTTTTAGAAATGAAGTTTTTCCGCAAGCACTAATGTTAATTAAGAGCTCATTGCTGCAGGGGCAAGCCCTTTTGGTAATTTTACCTATCTAACTGGTGTTTTGTCTTGATCTAGAAACGTTGTACATGTTTGAGAACATTCTTTGTTGGATATTGCGCATTGCAAAACTTTTTTTGCTTCCTTGGTGTATTTTGCAAACACAAGTTTTGATACCTTACCAGACTCTCTGCTATCAAGTGCTAAACCGTCTCCCCACTCAGGTGGGGTTGCAAAACAAGCTTTGTATTCAATAGCTCAATGTACGGCTGTCCTTTGCCTTGCTGCTGGTGATCAGCAATGTTCATCTATTGTGAAAGCGCTAACTGAAATTCTGAAAGATGACAGCAGTACAAATTCGGTAAAATGCTGTCAAGCAAGAAGTAGATAACAATAAAGATATGATTCGCAGCACTCTTAGTGCAATTGCATTCTTGCATCATATAAAGGTTTCACCCTTGCCTTCTATCCATGTCCTGATGTAGGTTCTGCATGAAATTCTTGTTGGCGTTGGTTCGTCCTTTAGTACTGGACTCATTGGTGGATCCTTTCCCCAGTATTTTGCTTTCCTTTGCGCGCACGTGTTTGTTTTCACATTGATGAATCTTCTACTGCTTTGTTATATTTCTTATCCTGCAGTGGTGAAGATTGCAGCCTTGAGTTCAAGAATATGAATGATATCTCAAAATCTCCAATTCTCTCGGACAAGTATTATTCCATCCGAAATGAATGATGGACTAGTTGGAACTCGTCTGTCTTACTGTGATGTCAACGTTTCGCGCAGCCACCGAGGAAGATTGTATCATTATTTTGTCGTGTGCAGGCTGAGCTTCTCTGTGGCAGATTACACGGAAGTTGAAAATGAAGTTAAGAATTCAAAGCTGCATGAACACATCTTTATCGTGGGAATACCAGGTTCAAGTCATTGCGATGTTTTTGCCTTTGCAACTAACCATCATTTAGTTACATGATGTATTGCTGAACAGATTATATAGGGTGTGGAATCAACGAAATTTTTGTCATTGAACTTTTAATTTTTTAATTTAAGTCATTCATTATGTACACTTGACAAAGCTTATTTTTGAAATTGTAAATCTTTTCTTTTCTTTAATCAAGTTGTGCATTTGGCCTTAGAGCATCTATAATGGGCTCTAAACCACCTTAGACAAATTTTAGGGAGAAATTGGAAAAATACAACTTCAACCATACTACCTATCAACCTCCTAAAAATAGAGACATCTAGGAGCTCGTAAATTTGAGAGAGAAAGAACTCCTAAATTCTAATGGCTCTCAATAATTTAATGTTATTTTGTTTTATGTATAGTTTAAACTTTTAATTAATGCAAACTATTTTATTATATTATTTTTTATGAAGATGGATCAATCATATTGAATTAAAAAAATACAAAATTAGTGAAACACCCACTCCTAGACATGAAACTATAAATATACCCTACACTATTTAAAACATAGAAACACACCCAAAATAAACCCAAAAATCAACAGCTGTATATTTTTTAATTTAATTATTAAGAGGAAGTACCTTTATTACCCTTTTAACATAAAATTGGAATTCTAATCAACACCAGATCAGAATTCATTTCACGACCTCCAGTCTCTCATCTTCATCTTCAACCCCAATTTTCAGTTTTTGTTCTTCCACCTCAGTTTTTGTTCAACTTCATCATTCTAAGTTTCGTCAGAGGGCTCGCCTGGGCCACAGACAATGATGCACTGGAGAGAGCCTTTTCTCCGTTCGGTGAGATCATTGAATCGAAGGGCCGTTTGACGCATGTTCTCTTTCTCCTACTTGATCTTCTGTTTCTCTATGTTACTTGATCTTTCTCTCCCAAAGATTGAAGATAGATCGATCGATTCCTTTTCATTTTTGTTTATTATTGTGTATTTGTTTGATTATACTCCAACATTTTGGTTTTGATGGACGGATCTGATTTGATTTGGTTTCTTTTTGTGTTTCCAGAACATCAACAACCGTGAGATCTAGAGGTCCAAGGGCTTCAGCTTTGGCTTCGTCACCTTCAGCAATGAGAAGGCCATGAGAGATGCAATCGAAGGCATGAATGACCAGAACCTTGACGGTCGTAACATCACCGTCAACGAAGCCCAGTCTTGTGGAAGCGGCGGCGGCGATAACAGAGGTTACAACTGCAGAGGTGGCAGCGGAGCGTTGCCTATTTGGTTTGATTTTTCTCTTTTTCTCTATCTCTAGTTTAAATGTGGAAAATGGATTAAAAAAACAATTTGTAGATATTTTCTGAATTTTAGTTTGCTATTTGGTGTTGGTTGATTTTGAATTGGTCATATGTGTTGGCAGAAAATTCATGCATTACTGTCTCTCGTCTGTAGTTGTTCAATTTAATCCCTACAAGAGCTTGTACCCAAGTGTGTGAGGCTGTTTCATGTTTGATGTAGTAGCACTAGTCATTTTGATTTGGTTGTAAGATTTAGCTATAAGGAATTGTTTTCTGCGTTTTGAAACCAAACCAATTTCTCATTTGAAGCAATAAGTTTCTAGAATCTGTTATACACATGAACTTATTTGATGACTGCAAAGACCTATATTAATTTCTTGGATGATCAAATTGACTATTTTCAATATGAAATGCTTGCTAAATATGCATCTCTAACCCGAGTGTAGTGCAATGCTCTGCAACTTAACCCACAGAGCTTACTATTGAATGAAAAACAAGATATCCTCTTTTTATTTTCCTTTATTGATCTACTATATGGAGTTTCTTTGCTTTTTCTGCCCCGTTGAATTATGAATATGGATTTCTTAGTTCAATTTAGAAAATCTATGTTATTCTCTTATTGGTTCAGAATATATCTATTGAAATTTTGATGCGGGGAGTGAATGATTTCATATTATCCCTGTAGTTTGTAGTGAAATAGTAGACTAATGAAATTCTATATACTATTTCACCTTATCAGTTATGCACTTTGGGCTTATAATTGTTATCTGTGTTGTTCCAATTATTCTATTATGCTTAATTCTTTTGTTCTTATTTCTTGTTGTCAAATTTGGTGAACAACCTTAGTACCATTGCAAGGGTAGCACCAAGGAATTTATAGAAGCCTTAGCTACTGGTAGTTGATTTTGAGTGGTATGGAGTTGTAAACTTTTATCGTACCTATTATGCAAATAAAATCATGTAGTTGTTAACTTCCAGTAAGTGGTATGAACAGTTGTTATATTATTCATACCATTCAATTGAGTTGATTTCTATGACATAGTATTAACAGTGTACTTCTATGAGATAATATTACCATATTTGCAGTAACAAAGCATGCTTTATATTTTGTTGTATATATAGCTGTGCACTTGAAGTTTATGATATGCAAAATGTGATTCTTACTAGGAATATAGTTCTATGATATAGTATTAACAGTGCACTTTTTTTTTTCTTTTCTTTTTTGTAGAGGTATTTTCTTTTGCCTTTGTGATTGTTTCTGGTGAAACTATGGACAATTGGAGGTGGTTTCTACAAAGGATATCGAATGTATTGTTGGATTTTTTTGAATTTTTTTTGAATTTTTTGTAAGAAATGGTATTAACAATGTACTTTTATGATTTTTGAATTTTTTGTAAGAAATGGTATTAACAATGTACTTCTATGACATGATATTAACAATGTACTTTTATGACATGGTATTAACAATGTACTTTTATGATATGGTATTAACAATGTACTTCGGGCTTGCTGGGCTTATTTTGGGTTTTTTTGAAGTTTTTTATGTTGGGCTAGTTTTAAGTTTATCAATGACAATCATGTAATTTATAGGAACTTCAACACTCATTTTTTATGTAGTAAATGGATTTTGGGTGTGTTTCTAAAGTGCATTTCATATGAGGTTTTTTTATAATTTCAGCTCCTATTTTGGGTATATTAGTGAAGCTCCCTTTTTTGTAAGAAATGGTATTAACAATGTACTTCTATGACATGATATTAACAATGTACTTTTATAACATGGTATTAATAATGTACTTTTATGATATGGTATTAACAATGTACTTCGGGCTTGCTGGGCTTATTTTGGGTTTTTTTTGAGTTTTTTATGTTGGGCTAGTTTTAAGTTTATCAATGGCAATCATGTATTTATAGGAACTTCAACACTCATTTTTATGTAGTAAATGGATTTTGGGTGTGTTTCTAAAGTGCATTTCATATGGGGTTTTTTTATAATTTCAGCTCCTATTTTGGGTATATTAGTGAAGCTCCCTTAAAAAAATAACTATAGTATTTATGTCCTCTTCCATTCCGCTCTCATCGGCTTGCACCTCCATTTTTTGTTTTGCTCCCTGGCTCGCAATTCTTCTTTCTTTTTTTTTCCCCCCTTTTTTAACTTCTCTTTACCTCTTCCCTTTCGTATGCCCTGGCCTGCAATCCTCCTCCCTGTTTTTTTTTCTTCTTCTTTTTACCTCTTCCCTCCTGTTCTCCCTAGCCTGCAACCCTTTTCGTTTCTTTTTCTGGTCTGAAACCTCAGCACTCCCCTCCCTTTTTAATCTCAATTCTTAAGTCTTCCAAATCACAGAGGTGATAAAAGAGAAGAAACCAAGCCACAAAAACGAAACCAAGCCCAAGAGTTAATCACCATCCATCAAAATGAACCCAAAAGAGAGAGAAGAAAGTTAAGAAATCCAAGGAAGAGAACTGTGATTTGGGGGAAGGGCTACATGAATTACATGGGTTGACATAGAAGAAATTATTTATTTATTTATTTTTAAAGCTTGGGGTTTTTGTTTTTGGGTAAAAAGCTTTTGTTTTCCATAACAATTCTAGAAATATTTGAAGCAGGAGAGTGGCAGAGGTGTAACTGAGGACGGAGGAGAGAGAGAGAGATATATAATTGAAAATGGGGGGATTAAAGGTTCATTACTTCAGACCAGAAACAAAACAAAACATGAAAGAAAAATGCAAGCCAAGGAGAATGGAAGGGAAGAGGAAAAGCAAATAAAAAAAAACTTACAACTGTCAGCATTTAAGTGGTTTGGGATACTGAGTTTTTATCCTAAACTAGGCGGTATGATTGAAGTTTAAATTTTATAGAGAGCTTCTAAAATAATTTTTTTGTGTTTTTACCCAAATTTTAATTAAAAAGTAAGGAGCATGATTGTAGATACTCAATTTTTGCAATATGCATATTAAAGGAACTACCAAGTTAGTTGGATTGGTCCAAACCTTTAGTGTGCTCCCATGTGGTCGTTGAAGTTCCTGTGGTACCCGTGTGTGTGAGTTTTCTCATTCCCCTTCTTAATTTTGTTTTTTTTTCAAACAAAAAAAAACATATTAAAGGAACAAATAATGTCCCATTGCATTCACAATAATACTTTAGAAAATTCTAAAAATTGAACGTACATTTGAACCTTGAAAAAAACCTTGCAAACTGATTTTTTATTGTTTACTGGCGGGCGAAGCAATAAATCAATTCATTTTGGATTAGCACATATTAGGCAGTGGTAGTAGTAGTTGTTGTAGTAAGCTCAAGGACCACATGGTTAAGTGCATCAAAAGTGTAGATTAATGATGAATGCACAGGGGGCGCATGGATATCATGTGCAGCTGCCTACGTCTTTGCATCATTGCATGTAGTATTAGAACGATTAAGGAAGTTGATTGATTGTGGCTATAATTAATTAAGGAAATTAATTAATCATTAGAACATCCGACTTTCGAATTGGGCTTCAAAAGCCCGTTTGTGGGGGGTTTGTTTCGTTTAGTGTGGTGGTCAGGTGAGGTCAGACCCAAACTTGATTGGATTGGAGATATTATCCCAGGTGGGTTAGCGACTTATTACTAGCAACACCGATATTGTTCCAAACTTAACTACCTACAAAGCTCGGTGGATGTGAGGTTTTATCACAAAAGGCATCGGTGATATTAGTAGTGAAACCACCCCATTATATATTGTATTTATTTTAAAATTTTCAATATGGGACTTTATATTCTTCAACAGGGTCATCCATGTGACATGCTATAAGTGGTCATCAACTCAGTAAAAATCACATACCAACCTCGGTGTTTTTAAGTTTAAGTTAAACCTATCTTGATCAAGAAAAAAAAAAAGAGAGTTAAAAGTTAAAACTTTAGATTTTTGTTTTTGTTTTTGAGCTTAGTTATTCTTCAGTCTCTTGTTCATTGAAACATTATTAAAAAGTATTCCCATTATACTTAAAATAATTAAAAGGTAAATATAGAAACAAAATGTTTTTTTCCTGAAGAAAACGTGAAATATTAAAAACATCCTTCTCTATCAAGTTTTGAGCAAACCATCACCAAATATGGGATGGTGTAATTGATGTGAGATATTGATAATATCAAGTTTTGAGCAGACACATTAAAACATCAAGTTTTGAGAATTTGAGACAAGAAGAGACTTGCTTTGGTAATTGATGTTGTGGATGGTGTAAACTTATCAACTAGTTCAGGGATATTGATTCCCTTTTAAACTTATCAATTCAATTTTATTTTCAATACAAAATTAGTTAAACACCCAATTCTAGACATTAAACTATAATAATACCCTAGACTATTTAAAACATATAAACAGACCCAAAATAAACCCAAAAACCAACAGCTGTCGATTTTTGGATTTATTTTCTATGTTAGATTACGGTTTTGACCTTTTGGTCTGAATTCTTTGAAACAGGCCCAAAATTCGCCAGCTAGGATAGGAATTTCTGAAAATTTACGTTGGTGACCTCATAACAGAAACCTGTTTGGCAGCCTCAGCATATCGAATATTCCAAACGAGCTTCGTTCACCTCTTCGAACGAAGCTCAGTATGATGTTCTTATTTTTGGATTCTTCTGAGCTTAGTATGGTGTAGATTGGAGTTCTATTGCTTCAATTTTTTTGTTCTTTGTTGTTTGATTTGGTAATTTTTGGATTGATATTGAGCTGCAAGAGACTCGATTGGAGCTTGGTGCGATCTGTGATCTTCGTTTTTGAGGTATTCGATTTTTTCTTGTGAATTCATATTCGTTTTTTGAGGATTCGATTATATTGTAGTCTGATTTTTGGTGATTTCATGTTAGATTAATTAAGTTGTTGATTAGGTTTTCGTTTCTTTTTGTTTATAATTTGGATTGATTTCATATTTGTTTTGATTGTGGATTTGCTCTTGTGTTTTGATTTGAGGCGTGGTGAAAATTTTGTGATATTCGATTTGGTTTTCATATTAATTGAGGTTTTTTCAGTTGAATCTGAGTATATTCGTGTTTTTTCTGTTTATGCACTATTCGTTTTTGAGTCGACTATAATTCACTGTTAATACTCGGCATCCACTGTTATTGCTAGTAGTCATTTTTGTTTTGTTTGTTATTTTTTTGTATAGATATGGATGATTCGAGAGTGGCAAAGTGCACCTATAGTGCTGGAACTTTAATGCTTATTTTGTCTTCAACTACTACTTTTGATTGGCTGTCCAACGAGTTGTGTAGTAGGTTCAAGCTGAAGTTAGGTCATTTTGAGTTGAGGTACTCTTTTACAGATTGCTCCAATTGTTTATTGGAATCGGATGATGATTTGAAAATTATGTTTATGGTATGTGGACTGACGAATGATCAATTAATTCACATTACTGTTAGGGATAAGGCTGTAGTGACTTATGTTCAAACTGTTAATACAAACATAATTGCTTCTCCTTTTTTGTTGGAGGCTGTTCCTAACAATGACAGTTTTGCACAAGATGAGGATACATGTAAATATTCAAGTCAAACTGGTAGTATTGTTGATTCAAGTGTAGCTTCTTCTTCTTGTTTGAGTATGGATTTTGATGGTATTAGCAGTGAGTATGAAAATGAATATTTAGGCAAATATGGTAGTTGTGGAGGTCATAAGTATTTGTCTACTGATTAGGAGGGTTATATTACTCATGAGGGTCAGAAGTTTGAGGGTGGAGTTTGTGAATTCCGTGATAAGTTGGCTAAGTACTCAATTGAGAATGGTTTTAAGATGAAATATTTGAAAAATGAGCCTCGTCGTGTTATTGTTGTGTGTGCTAAGAAGGAATCAAATGACTATGAGTGGCATGTGCATGATGTTAAGTCAAATGTAAATGGATTTTTTTATATTAAGAACTTAAATAATGCACACAGTTGCAGTGGTTTGATCCGTGAGAAGAGAAATAAGGCAATGGGGTCTCGTTTGGTATCTTCAATTGTCAAAGATAAGGTTCGTAGCAATCCTTTGGTAAGGCTTATTGAGCTGATTACTGATTTGAAGGAGAATTATGGATTGCATATCCCTTATCATGTTGCGTGGTGTGGGAAGGAGTCAGCTACTAAGGATTTGCATGGTGATGAGAAGTTGTCTTATGCTAACCTGCCTTGGTATGTGAATGTTTTGAAGGCCAGCAATGTCGGATCTCATTGTGTGCTTGACTGCGGCTAGGATGGTTCTCGTTTCCAGCGGATCTTTATATGTTTTAAGGCCTCCATTGATGGTTTTCGGTGGTGTAGGCCTATGCTGTCCGTTGATGGTACTTTCGTCACAAACAAGTACAAGGGTACTCTTCTATGAGCTACTGCAAAGAATGGAAATAAAGGTATGTAATGTAAATGCTGTAGTTGTTGACTTCCATTGAGTGGTATGAACAGTATAGTTATGCAAATGTAAATGCTATAGTTGTTGACTTCCATTGAGTGGTATGAACAGTGTAGTTATGCAAATGTAAATGCTGTAGTTGTTGACTTCCATTGAGTGGTATGAACAGTTTCTATATTGTTCATACCCTGCATTTGAGTATTTTTATGCATTGTAGTTTTACTCTGCTTCATGTGGTAACACTGTTATAGTTCAAACTAACTAATATAGTTATTTGTTTCTTATAGAAGTATTCCCTTTTGCCTTTGCGATTGCATCCGGTGACACTCTGGACAATTAGATGTGGTTTCTGCAAAGGATATCTGAAGTCTTGGTGGATGAAGGTAGGCAACTTACATTCATTTCTGATAGGCATGGTGCTATTATCGATGCTGTTAGGACTATTTTTCCTGCTTCTCCCCATGGTTTTTGTCTATAACATTTGAAAGAGAACTTGAAAAAGAAGTATCTGCATGTTGTTGGTTCCTCTTTCAAGGATCATATTTTATGGCTTTTTTGTAAGTTGTTGTATGTACCGACTGTTGAGGAATATCAAGATACGTTGAAAAAATTAAGAGATGATGGCGGTTCAAAAATAATTGATAAGTTTTTGGCTGATCTCCCTGCCCAAAATTTTGCTAATGCATTTTTTCCGAGAAAGAGGTATGGGGAGGTCAGTAATGCCTTGTCCGAGTCATTTAATTCATGGCTTAAGGATGTGCGTAAGCTTCCAATTTATGAGATGATTGACACTGTTAGGATCAAAATGATGGAGATGATTTCTAGGAGGAAGCTTGCATCCGAGAAATGGAGTAGTGTTTTGTGTCCTGTTATTGAGGATGAGTTAAAGAATTTAGCTGCAAAGGGTCGTCATTGGAGGATATGTCGCGCGGGTGAATCTATTTTTGAAGTTCATGCTGATTTGAGTGTTATGGTCAATTTGGACGAGAGGTTTTGCTCCTGTTATCAGTGGCAATTGCTTGGGTTTCCGTGTCAACATGCGATTCAAGTTATCCAACATTCCGGGTTACGTTTGTACAACTTTGTGGATGAGTATTACAAGGCAGACTTTTATAGGGTTACTTATGCAACCCCTATATTTCCCATACCTGATACTGAGAAGCCTCATCCTGGAGATGTTTTTCTTCTACCTCCTCATACAAAAAAGCCTCCGAGACGACCTCCGACAAAGCGCTTCAAGTTAAGCAGTGAAACTAAAAGGCAGGTTAAGTGCAAGAGATGTGGTTCTTGTGATTGTCATAATAGAAGGACTTACAAGTTTCCTATTTGATGTAAAGGTTCTGGAGTATAAAGACTTGAATGAGAGTAGTTAGTTTTTAACTAGTTAAAGTGCTATGTGATTGATTAATGACAATCATAGTTGAAAAGAATAAAAATTGATATGCAAGTTGTTTATACGGTGAAATAGCAGTCACTGCATATAAATACACTTTGAATTTTTGGTATTAATACATAATATTTACCATTTTTTGGTATTTTGTAAATTTCGGTTTTGAAGTTTGATATGAATTAAGCGTTACTGCTATTTAAATAATCTATAAATGAACGAACACTATTTAATGCTCACTGTTCATGCCATTATTGAAATTAAAAAATAGTTCTATGACATGGTATTAACAATTTATATCTATCAAATAGTATTAACATTGTATTGAGAGTGCGTTGTTATTTGTTGTAGTTTACCTTTTTAGTTGTTTTAGTGCTATGGAGACCATTATTTCAGGTTACATACACTGTTAATTCACGTAAATAAACTGGTTTTTGAATAAGTACATAACTTGAATTTGAAAATCACTTTACTTCAATGTTCTAAACCTACACAAGTCCTAAGAAACTACAATATAAGCAAGAATTTTGGCAAAAAATTTGATTACAACTTCATTCTTTTGCATTTCTTTCTTCTTTTTCTTTGATGGAAATCCAACTTCTTTCATTGCTCATAATTTTCACGAGGACTTCTTTTCTCATTTGCCAGACCTTTTATTTGTTGAAATCTGATTCTATTTGTTGGTCTTTGGAAAGCTGCTTCATGAAGTGCATGTGATGTAGAACAAATGACAGATTTTATCGCAGTTGAGCTAGAAAAAGGACGCAGTGAGAATTTGCAGATTTGTTCTCCGAGCTCCGATTAGGATGCAAAATACCATTTCGGAAAGGGAACGACGCCACAAGTCAAACTCACAGACTTTCTGTGATGTATGATGGATTTTGGCATTCTGAGGTCGTTTGGCCTTCCAAAACTGCGTTCAAAGTTTCGTAGTTAATTTTCGGAATAAATTCTGTTTTTCAGTTTTAATGTAATAACTCTCCTAGTAGCTCAAGGGTTGAGAGATGTGTATTTAGACAGATTTGGTGAACGTTTTTCATCATCTCAGATTTTAATAAAATTATCCCAGAGAATTCCTCTTAATTTCTGGTGGAATCCAGATTTCTTGTTACTCAAGGTTTTCGTTTGAAACCTTTGTTGCTTGTGCTGCGTCAAGTGGTATCAGAGCGGGTCTCTCCCGTCTCGATATTCTTGTCTTATCATGGGTGATCGAGAAGCTGATGTCCCAGCCCCAATTACTCGAGCGGATCTGGACGCTCAAAACCAACAAATCGACAACCTGACCAACCAATTTGGGGAGATGCGAGAATTGTTGTTGCAAGCTCTTGGTGGCAACAATAGAAGGGGTGGCAGAGATGACGAAAGAAGAGAAGGCAGAGATGATAATCGAAGAGAAGGTAGAGATGACGAGAGAAGAGATAATAGGAGGCAACTTATTCCGGATAGTGAGTCAGAGTTAGAAGAAGAACCTGAGGAACCACCACCACCGGCTAATAATCCTCGTAATCTTAATTACGAAAATTTTGGCGATTATCGGATTAAAGCCGAAATCCCTAACTTTTGGGGAAATTTGAAGATTGAAGACTTCTTGGATTGGCTTGTAGAAGTGGAGAGGTTTTTCGATATTATGGAGGTTCCTGAGCATAAAATGGTGAAGATGGTAGCTTTCTGTCTAAAAGCTACATCGGCTGTATGGTGGGATCAATTGCAAAATTCACGGCAGAGACAAGGAAAGCAGCGGGTTCGTGCATGGCGGAAGATGAAGCCGCTTATGATGGAACGATTCTTGCCCATAGATTATGAGCAGATTCTATACCATATGTATCTAGGTTGTGCGCAAGGCAACCGTTCGGTTTCTGAATATACCGAAGAATTCATGCGTTTGGCAGAGCGAAACCATTTGACCGAGACTGACAATCAAAAGGTCGCGAGGTATAACAATGGGCTGAAGATTTCCATCCAAGAAAAAATTGGTATGCTGAATATATGGACTTTGCAGGAGGCGATTAACATGGCGTTGAAAGCTGAACTGTTGGAGAAGGAGAAGCGCCAAACCAACTTCCGCAGGAACACGATAGAAGCCTCTGAATATGCTACTGGTGCTTCTAGTGGCTCAGGAGATAAGGGGAAAGTGCAGCAGCAGAATCCTGGAGGATCGCCAAAACCAACAACAGTTGTCCAAAACAAAAACTTCAACAAAGGCAGCAATCGGACTTTCAACAGAGGGCAGTCCCGACACCAATCCCAGAATCCGTATGCTAAGCCCATGACGGACATATGTTACCGTTGCCAAAAACCAGGGCATCGTTCTAATGTTTGTCCAGAGCGGAGGCAGGCTAACTTTATCGAAGAAGTTGATGATGATGAGGAAAGAGATGTAGTCAGGGAAGATGATTATGCAGGGGCTGAATTTGCAATTGAGGAAGGAATGTAGAGGATTACCTTGGTTTTGCAGAGAGTTCTTTTGGCACCAAAGAAGGAAGGGCAGCGTCATAGTATTTTTCGTTCCCTTTGCTCAATCAAAAACAAGGTATGTGATGTGATCATCGACAATGGAAGTTGCGAGAATTTCGTGTCAAAGAAATTGGTGGAGCATTTGTAGCTATCAACGGAGCCACATGTCAGCCCTTACTCACTAGGTTGGGTTACAAAAGGCCCTTCGATTCGTGTTGCTGAGACTTGCCATGTGCCACTGTCCATTGGTAAGCATTACAGAGATGATGTATTATGTGATGTTATTGACATGGATGCATGCCATATTTTATTAGGGCGACCTTGGCAATTTGATGTGGATGCGACTTTCAAGGGACGAGATAATGTAATTCTGTTTTCTTGGAACAACCGCAAAATTGCAATGGCAACTACAAAGCCCTCAAAACAATCTGTTGAGCCCAAGACGAGGAGTTCTAGTTTCTTAACCTTAATTAGCAGCGAGCAGGAGTTGAACGAGGCTGTCAAAGAAGCGGAGTATTTTTGTCCCTTGGTGTTGAAGGGGTTGTTAAAGCTTGGCAAAGGAGAAAGTGACATTCCATAAGACGTGCAGCAGATTTTGTCACAATTTCAGGAACTACTTTCCGAAAAGCTACCAAACGAGCTGCCACCTATGCGGGACATACAACACCGAATTGACTTGGTGCCTGGGGCTAGCCTTCCGAATCTGCCTCATTATCGGATGAGCCCCAAGGAGAATGACATCCTAAGAGAGCAGATTGAAGAATTACTGCATAAGGGATTTATCAGGGAGAGCTTGAGTCCCTGCGCAGTTCCAGTTTTGTTGGTTCCAAAGAAAGACAAAACTTGGCGAATGTGTGTTGATAGCCGAGCAATCAACAAGATAACAGTCAAGTACAGGTTTCCCATTCCACGGTTGGAGGATATGCTGGATGTTCTTGGCGGCTCAAGGGTGTTTTCCAAGATAGATTTGCGAAGTGGTTACCACCAGATTCGCATCAGACTTGGCAACGAATGGAAAACAGCGTTCAAGAACAAGGACGGATTATTTGAATGGTTGGTGATGCCATTCGGATTGTCAAATGCGCCTAGCACTTTCATGAGACTCATGAATCAGGTTCTTCGACCATTTATTGGCTCTTTTGTCGTAGTTTATTTTGATGACATTTTAATTTATAGTACCACAAAAGAAGAACATCTCGTGCATTTAAGACAAGTTTTAGATGTTTTGAGAGAAAACAAGCTGTATGTGAACCTAAAAAAATGTACTTTCTGCACAAATAAGCTACTGTTCTTGGGTTTTGTTGTTGGTGAGAATGGTATCCAGGTAGATGACGAGAAGATCAAGGCAATCCTTGACTGGTCAGCTCCAAAGACAATCTCTGAAGTTCGAAGTTTCCATGGTTTGGTCACCTTTTACAGAAGATTTGTGAGGCATTTCAGCTCCATTGCTGCACCCATCACAGAGTGTTTGAAGAAGGGCTGGTTCAGCTGGGGAGAGGAGCAAGAGAGAAGCTTTGCAGATATAAAAGAAAAGCTTTGCACCGCGCCGGTTCTAGCTCTTCCAAACTTTGAGAAAGTATTCGAAGTTGAATGTGATGCCAGCGGCATGGGAGTTGGAGCTGTGCTTTCACAAGACAAGCGGCCAGTTGAGTTCTTTTCTAAAAAGCTGAGCAATGCACGTCAAAAGTGGAGTACTTATGACCAAGAGTTCTATGCGGTTGTTCGAGCTTTGAAGCAATGGGAGCACTATCTTATCCAAAAGGAATTTGTTTTGTTTACAGATCATCAAGCGTTGAAGTATATTAACAGCCAGAAAAATATTGATAAAATGCATGCTAGATGGGTGACTTTTTTGCAGAAATTCTCATTCGTTATCAAGCATACTTCCGGCAAGACAAATCGTGTGGCGGACGCTTTGAGTAGAAGAGCTTCATTGTTAGTCACGTTGACTCAAGAAGTTGTGGGGTTTGAATGTCTGAAGGAATTATATGAAGGTGACGAAGATTTCCAGGAAATTTGGACTAAGTGCATCAATCATGAGCCAATGGCAGAATACTTTCTTAATGAAGGTTATTTGTTCAAAGGCAACCAGTTGTGTATTCCAGTTTCCTCTTTAAAGGAGAAGCTTACTCGGGACTTGTATGGTGGAGGGTTGAGTGGCCACCTAGGCCGTGATAAAACAATTGCAGGGATGGAGGAGAGATTTTACTGGCCACAGCTCAAACGAGATGTTGGAACTATTGTGCGCAAGTGCTATATTTGTCAAACTTCGAAGGGGTAGGTACAAAAAACTGGATTATATATGCCATTACCAGTTCCTAATGATATTTGGCAGGATCTTGCTATGGATTTTGTCCTCAGTTTGCCTCGAACACAAAGGGGAGTTGACTCTGTATTTGTGGTGGTTGATCGGTTCTAAAAAATGGCGCATTTCATAGCCTGCAAAAAGACTGTTGATGCATCAAATATAGCCAAACTGTTTTTCAGGGAGGTTGTTCGCTTGCATGGGGTTCCTACATCCATTACATCTGATCGTGACACCAAGTTCTTAAGCCATTTTTGGATCACTTTGTGGAGACTGTTTGGGACTACTTTGAATCGTAGCAGCACTGCCCATCCCCAGACTGAGGTTACAAACCGGACATTGGGCAATATGTTACGAAGCGTCTGTGGAGAGAAGCCAAAACAATGGGATTATGCACTACCACAGGTGGAGTTTGCATATAACAGTGCAGTCCATAGTGCAACTGGGAAGTGTCCATTTTCCATTGTTTATACTGCTATACCTAACCATGTTGTAGATTTGGTGAAACTGCCTAAAGGCCAGCAAACCAGTGTGGCAGCGAAAAATTTGGCTGAGGAAGTAGTAGCCGTTCGAGATGAAGTCAAGCAGAAACTTGAGCAAACTAATGCTAAGTACAAAGCTGCTGCAGATGGGCATAGGCGTGTTAAAGTGTTTCAAGAAGGTGATTCTGTGATGATATTTCTGAGGAAGGAGAGGTTTCCAGTTGGCACATATAGCAAGCTTAAACCAAAAAAATATGGTCCTTACAAAGTGCTCAAACGGATCAATGATAATGCCTATGTTATTGAGTTACCGGATTCCATGGGAATTTCCAATACTTTTAATGTTGCAGATTTATATGAGTTCCGTGAAGATGGGGTCCTTTATCCAGATCATAACTCGGGGTCGAGTTCTTCGGAGGTGGAGGGGACTGATGTAGAACAAATGGCAGATTTTATCGCGGTTGAGCTAGAAAAAGGACATAGAGGGAATTTGCAGATTTGTCGTTCGAGCTCCGATTAGGACGCAAAATACCATTTCGGAAAGGGAACGACGCCACGAGTCAAACTCATAGGTTTGCTATGATGTATGATGGATTTTGGCATTCTGAGGTCGTTTGGCCTTCCAAAACCACATTCAAAGTTACGTAGTTAATTTTCGAAATAAATTTTTGTTTTTCAGTTTTACTGTAATAACTCCCGTAGCAGCTCAAGGGTTGAGAGATGTGTATTTAGACAAATTTGGTGAACGTTTTTCATCATCTCAGATTTTAATAAAATTATCCCAAGAGAATTCGTCTTAATTTCTGGTGGAATCCATATTTCTTGTTACTCAAGGTTTTCGTTTGAAACCTTTGTTGCTTGTGCTGCGTCAGCATGACAAAGACGCCACAATCATTGCTACATAATAGAGATACACATGCAGGAGTTATTTCAGTATTTTTTTAGTTGAATAGGATGAAAGTTTCACTATTATTGCGTAACTTACGAATTGTTTGCTTGTTGGGGACATTCTATGTTCTCAGTCAGCTTGAAGTTAGTAGTATCATGATAAATCAGATACTTCATTGTCTGAGCATATTCTGGTGTAAGTTCGTTGCTGGCGAGTATTTTTGCTATCATTCTAGCTGAAGCTTCATTAAGCCCTCTTGGCTTCTTGGCTTCTTGGCATCAAAATCAAGAATTTGGACGAGTTTTGTTTTTAGTGATACTGTAGCACATTCCTTAAGAAGACAGAGGAATATATTTGTTGTCTCAACCTGCATCATAGTCAAGTATGTGCTTAGTTTCCTTTAAATTTAGTGTCCTATGTATTAACAATGTTAATCACCAGTCTTACTTACCAAAACAATTGCCTTCTTGTAATAATATTGGAGAGTTTGTTCTGATGTCCCCCTGAATGAGTTGAAGTGTGTCCATTTTGCTGCACCGGTGTCAAAGACAAGCAGCGTATGGTGGTTCTCATCTGTAATTGGTATGAACACTCTATCAACTCTTCCAATATTTTCTAGGAGTGGCATATAGAAAGCATGATATGTCAGCTTGTGTGAGGCACCTCGCAAAAACATCTGCAAAATTCATGTGTTGGTGATTAGTGAGCATGTTGATGATATAAAATTGATGTATTAGATATGATCTTACATAGTTATTGGCGGATAAATATGCATTTTTCTGTTTATGAGGGTTCTGCTTCGCATCATCATTAAGTGCCTCTCCATAAGCATCGATGATTAGTGTAAAAATTGGACCATCTCCCATCAGCTTTTCAATGTTATGTTTGTATAATATTTTCCTATTGTGTAGGTAAAAAGCGTCCCTGCGACAATAATGTTGTTTAAAAATGATAATCTCATAACAGTTTAATAACAAGACAGTTCTATGACATAGTATTAACAGTGTAATTCTATGACAGTTCTACGGCATAGTATTAACAGTGTAATTCTGTGACATATTGGCTTACTCATCAGAATCAGATGCAGATTTCCAGTAATTTTCCAACTTCTTATTTGATATTTTATCTAGCCTGTTGTAGACCTCATACATGTGCAAGTGAAGGTATGTATCTTTGTCCTCCTTTTTTTTGTTGGCTGCTTCATCTTCGTTTTGGCTTGCTCTTTTTCGGCCTTCTTATGTGCTTCGGGGTATGTGTAATCTGGTTTCTTTGCAGGCTTTCTGTCTTTCTGTCTTTCATTATTTTGATGTCAGAACGCAACTGCCGTGTTCCTACTTCTTTTGCTTGCATGATAACTAACTTTTCAGGAGTTTTTTCATCGGCGTTCTCATCTTCATCATTAGGAGATTCTTGCATCTCCAATTCACTTTCTTCTGCTATTCTCTCTTCTTCTTTTTTCTCCTTATCAGCTTGTTCTTTCATCGAAATTTCTCCTTGTTCACATTCTTTGAATTTTTTTCCCATCACATGTTGCAAAGAGGCAATAATAATGTCTTTTTCTTTCATGCTCTCAATGCAGGACAACTTTTTCCCTTCAAGTAGTTCATGTTTTTCCTGTAGCTGTCTCCTATTTGATTTGAGTGCATGCAGTTCCCCTTGTAATTTTGCACCTTCTTTTTTCTCTTGTTGAAGCTGCTTTTTCAATATTTCAATTTGTTGCTCCAACTCTTCTTTTTCAGTCCATATTTGTTGAATGAATGAATTTTTCTTTATGCAGGATTCTATAGCAGTCTGCATCATATCCCTTCGAGTATCTGCCTTTTCAATCCAATAGTCGACTGCTTTTTTCAGCTGTTGGATTTTCTCATAGGTAGGGGCTATTTCATGCTTGTAGTACTTTGGGATTGACCCCACTATGTCCACAAAAATGGCGTCGAAGTCTTCTTCCTGGCTGTCAAGTTCTGGGTTCTGTTGCTGGACATTAACAGTGTCCTCCGTCATTGAGTCTACACTAAGGTCAACTGCTTGTTCTTCAATTTCATCATCTGCTTCGCATTCCAATGATTGTGCTGGTGGTTCTTCAATTTCATCATCTGCTTTGCATCCCAATGATTGTGCATTGTCTTCATTTTGCTCATGTTGTGGAGTTTTTGTCTGGGTTGCACTTTGGTCCACATTTTCATGGAAGCTGAAGTTTTGTTTCTGGGTAATAACAGTCTGCTTTTTTCCTTTTTGTGTTTGACTCTTTAACTGTCATAAATATTAGAAAGGAAAAAAAAAGTATTAGCAAATTTATATGCATGTATATGTGTTTGTACACTATCAATTCAGTTTTGAAATATAAATGTTGGATCATTGTAGGTTATCTTACCCAATCTTTAAGTGTGATAACAAAGTCATCATCCTCTTCATTTTCTTCTTGTTCTTCATGGTCTGCATGATCAGTCTTTGTTGCTTCTTCTTTTCATTGTCAACAGCTTTTATCTGTTGAATTATTGGAGTCAGTAGTAATTATGGTGTACTAACATTATATATGTTTATGGAAGTAAGAAAAATGCTTTAATGTTTTCATATGTTGCAATATTCAGCTTGATATTGAGCTCCGGAAGGCTCCATTTGACAGCCGCTGGTTTGTGATCTTCTCTTCCAGGAATTGGACTGATCAGGTTAGTTCTTTCACACAGCCAATATTGCAAACATGTTTTTCAATATAAAGTGTTAATGCACATGAAAACAAATAATATAACAGGATTAACAAATGGATGTAGTTTCTTACCAAGATTAGCACAAGGCAACCACTGACACTTGGTTGATTTGTCTTGTCCTTTTTATTTTTTATGGCTTGGTCCAGTCCATAATGCGTGTAATCCAAGACTCCTTGTGCCCAATTGTAGCTGTTCATAACTTCTAATGTGTCGATCATAGTAAAAAAGGTCCAAGCCATTGTCGCCCTAGAGTTGCAAAAGAGATTTGTGATGAAGAGCTCTAAGATTAACAACCTGACAACATCCATTGCATTCTTCTTTCCGTCATCTGCTATTGCTGTGTTCAGACACCTATCAATCTCAGTTTTTGTGATTTTTTTTGACTTCTCGAAGTACTTCTTTTCGAAGGCCAAATTTGTTCTTGTGGAAGTTGTTGTGCTTGGCAACTTGTTTCCTTTGTTGGTAATCCAAAGATGTCAGACACATCATTGCTTGTAATTTCATGCTCGTTGCCTTCACTGAATTTGAATTTTTTGGTTGCGGGGTTGTAGAGTCTGATTAGTTTAATTATTTGATAATTAGACTTCTGGCATTCTACCTTGGTTAACCGACCTTCCATGTAAGCCTTGATGATGCTCAAGAATGGCATTTTTTGTAGGATCTTGGGGGACATCCTTTCTTGTTGCAAGCTTGTCTTTTACCGTTTGCAATGTGTTGTCAAATGTGAGCATGTTGCTCTTGATCTGCACATAATCTGGGTTATTGCGTCTGTTTGGTTGAGGTTTTGTGTTTGGGATTGTGTTTTTTTTGTCTTCGTTGTTTTCTTTGGTTTCAGTGTTTGCGGATTTGGGTGTGGATAGTTTGGCTTTTGCTGTTGTTGGTGGTGTGCCTTGTGTGTTTCTTGATGCTGTTTTGTGCTTTTGCTGGCTTGTGATCCTTTTGTATGTTTTTTTTTAATTTCAACCCGGTTACCTTTTTCATATGACCACCTGCAAAGTGAAACAAATAGGTTACTTTAACTAAACAAAAGAAAGATGAAACATAAGTATTAATACTTCTATGACATGGTATTAACCATTTACTTCTATGCATTTGAACTTCATCCTTCTCTTTTCTAGTGCACTACGATTTTTTTTCATATACATTTCTAGTGCATGTTGCACTAGAAGAGCAAGATGCATAGAAGTCTTAGATTTTGATTAACAAAGGATGCTACATATTTGGTCTTCAAGTGCACTGCTTGCAGTGCACTAAAAGAGAAAGTTGCATAGCAGTCACAGATTTTGATTAACAAAGGATGCTATATATTTTAGTCTTCACTAGAAGAGAAAGTTGCGAAGCAGTGCACTAGAAGAGCAAGATGCATGGTATTAACAGTTGTGACATGGTATTAACAGTTTAAGTTCTATGACATAGTATGAACAGTTGTGAAACATATACATTTGCAATCAAAACATGCGTCTTTTCAAAACAATGCTATTGGACTTTGAAGCTAAAAGATTTTATAATACCTGAGAGTCTGATAGTGATGATTTGTCAGCCATTTGTGAAGAATCTTGAGTGTTTGTTTCTATCATTGTTGGACCTTTTCGTTGGTTACCTGTATTAAACGTAGTACTCTTGCATTAGTTAGCAGAATCTTAAGACGAAAGTGGAAAGTGAGTGTGGATTTTTGAGATTGTACCTTTCTGTCGATGTTTATGGAAGAAATTTTCTTCCCTTTTTCCTGGTTGTCCTTGTGCTCAGTTGCTTTTTGTAGTGTCGATTTTGAAGACTTTTGGCTATGGCAGAATATAACTTCAATTCGCTGGCTTTCTCATTATGGAGTTTGTCGTTGATTGGTGGTTATGGAGGTTGTCTCCTGCCTGGTGGTTATGGAGGTTTTCGCCTGATTTTGGAGTGGGTTGCGTCGCAAAGATCGAAGTGAGAGGTGAGTGGGTTTTTCGGTTTTTGGTGGGTGCGTGTACTCTGCATTGAGATATTTTCTTTTTTTTCAATGGGCTTAGTGAAATTGGGCTTTATTGGCTTGTTGAGTTTTCTGGGCTCTTTTTTAGTTTGTTTAGGCTTTTTTTTTGTCAAATTAGACTGGGCCTTTTTTATGTATTTTTCTATGGCTTGCTTGATTTGTTTTGGGCTTTATTTCGTTTCTGACCTTGATTTTCTCAACTTGGGCTGAGCTTTTTGAAAGTGACTGTTAATCCGTATTTTGAACACTGTTAATGAGCAGTTTGAAATATAGAAGAAGCTACAGAGTAACAATTTTTTACATTTGAATCTCACTACACAGTAACTATTTAACATTTGAAAGTTAAGAAGCATCAAAAGATTTTGGTTAGAAGCTACATATTAACAATTTGACATTTGGAAGTTAGAAGCCGAACATTTACTATTTTATAGTTCTAAAATTTGTGAAATCCATGCTTTCATCCTTCATTCTCACTTGTGAAATACCAACTTTTTTCACTTTCCATTGTCTTCAATAAAACTTCTTTTCTCATTTCCCACACATGCTCTGTACTCAAGCTTTCTTCAATTTGTTTTCCTTGTGACAACTTCTGCATGTAGTACATGACAAATACTCCACAATCGTTTCTGCAAATTCACACACACACACACACACATATATATATATATATATATGCAACATTTAGTGAATCATAGTTTAATTTGAATTGGGGGAAGAAAAGTGTTATTGTGAAACTTACGACTTTTCAGGTTGTTGGGCGCATTCTCTGTCCTCCTTAAAGTTGAATTTGGTGGGATCATGTTTCATCAAATATTGTATTGTTTGAGCAATTGCTGGTGTAACTTTCAGGTTTCGAAGAAGTTTTGCAATCTCGTCGATCAATTCTCATTGTAGACAGGCTTCTTGAACTTAAGAAGTGGGAAGCTGTTTTTTTCTAAAATTGTTGGAGCACATTCATTGGCACTATTGAGGAAGACATTTGTTGCGTCTACCTGCATTGTAGGCAAGTATGTTGTTAGCTTCACTGATTAACTGTTTTCTTCATGCCTTGTATTAACAGTTCATAATAGGAGTCTGTTTTACCAAAATTATTGCTTTTTTGTTGTAGTATTCAACGGTTTGCTCAGTTTCCCCCCTCAATGAGTTGTAGTACATCCATTGCAATGAATTGATGTCAAAGACAAGCAGGGTGTGGTGTCCGCCATCCGTTATTGGTATGAACACCTTTGAAGTTTTCCTTATGCATTCAAGGAGTTTGACAAAATATTCATTGAATGTTCTTTTGTGCATTTTATCTATGAGATACCTCTGCAAAATTAATAGTTTCGGCATTAGAGAGAATGTGAAAAGTATAGGAAGATGAATAATTTGTGATTTTTACTAGAAGTAATGGGATAGCTATGATCTTACGTATGCGTTGCACATAATGTATGCATTCTGTTGTCTTTTAGGGTCCTTCTTTTCATCATGATGAAGTATCTCGGCATACGCATCTATGATTTGTCCATAAATTTCAGTATCTCTTAATAAGCTTTGTATGTCATCTTTGAACAAAATGCTTGTCCCTTGCCAAAAAGCAGTGCTATAACAGCATTTGTAGTTAGAAAAATGGCAATAAAATTGAAAGAACTGTTCAATAAAGTTCCAGTATAGGGTAATAATACTGCTTGTTTCTTAAAAAAAAACTTTTTTCTAACGCTTGTCTACCATTGTAAAGTTTCAGTATAAGGTAATATCACTGCTTGTATCTTATAAAATCCTATATCTAATGCATGTCTATCACTGCAAAGTTCCAATATATGGTAATAACATTGCTAAATTCCTCTGAAATCCTATAACTAATGCATGTCTACCCCCTATAAAGTTTAAATATAAGGTAATAACACAATGAAATCCTATTTTCTAATGCATGTTCAATAATAGCATCTTGTATTGAAAATGAATGAAACACATTGCCTTACCCATCAACTGAATTTTTCCAGTAATTTCTCAGCTTTTCTTATGAGAGTTCATCCAGCATGTTGTAGACCTGATATGTATTCCATTGTAGGAATGAACCTTTAGCCCTCTTCTTTGATTTGGCTTTTTTTTTGTTCCTTTCTCTTTTGTGCTCTCGTCTCTGCTTTAGGGAATGAGGAATCTGGTTTTCTTAATTTTATCTTTTCTGCTTCACCTTCTTTCTTTTCTTCTTTATCCTTTTCACTCTGCAGTTCTTGCGCTAATTTTTGATCTCTCAACGAGACAATAACAGCTTCCTTTTCATTAATAATGTCCAAGTAGGAAATCTTCTCTGCAAGAAGTTGATCATTTTCTAGCTGCAGCTTTGTCATGTAGGATTTTTCCTGATGAACATCTAATTGTATGACTTTCTTGTGATGTACTACTTCCTTAACCATCTTCTGCAGTTGCTGCTGATGCTTCAATAATTCTTCTTTTTCATTGTACAGCATCTGAATCAATTTATTCTTTTTAATGCAAGATGCTATTGCATCATGGATCTTTTGATGCTCTCCTTTCTTTGTCCAATATTCAGCAGCATTATTGATCGCCATCATATACTCTTTTGTAAGCTATATTTCATCCTTCTTGTATTCTGGGACTGATCTAACAATTTCCTCAAATAGCATTGAATTCCGGTATTCTGGGATTTCATTTTGGAGGTCTTCTTGTACCTGGTGGTGTTGTTGGACTTGATGTTCAGCAGCATCATCATGGTCTCCATTCACTTCAGCATCCTCCTCCTCTTCATTTTCTTCTTCAGCAGCATCACCATGCTCTTCATTCACCTCTTCAGCAGCATCATCCTTGTCTTCACTCACTTCTTCAGCAGCATCATCATCATGCTCTTCATTCACTTCTTCAGCAACATCATCCTCCTCTTCATTCCCTTCTTCAGAATCATCATCCGGCTCTTGAGCTTTAGTGCTTTTTATCTGTTTGTTGAGTAGAGTTAGTATTAAGAGTGCACTTCTATGACATGGTATTAAGAGTGTAATTCTATGACATGGTTTTAATAGTGTACTTCTATGAAATGGTATTCATAGTTTACCTCTGTGACATGGTATTAATAGTTTACTTCTATGACATGGTATTAACATGTATATGACATGGTATTAACAATGTTGTCATATCAGCTGCAGATTATTTGAAAGGAAAGAGTACCTTTATCTGGTTGTTCTTTAGATGATGAAGCTTCGCGCTAAGTTCTTGAAGACTCCATTTGACAGCAGCTGGTGTCATTTGTTCTCTTCCAGGAATTGGAGTGAGCAGGTTAGATCTTTGACACAGCCAATACTGCACAATATTTTTTTGAAATATCACGTGTCAATTCATATCATTAGAATAATGCTACAAATTTGCAGTTTGGAGATTTGTGTTCTTACCAGTATTAGGATTAGGCAGCAACTCACGCTTGGCTGTTTTTTTTTGTCCTTCTTGTTCTTCTTTGCTTGTTCTAATCCAAAATACATGTAGTCCAAAACTCCTCGAGCCCAATTATATTTCCCCATCTCTTCTAAGGTGTCTATTGTGGTTGTATATGTCCAAGCAAGTGTACAACCAGAGTTGCAGAAGAGATTGGTCATGAAGAGTTGTAGGATTATCAATCTTGTCACATCCCTCTTCTGTTTCATCTTCAAGTGCTAAATTCAAGCACTTATCAATTGAAGTCTTTGTTATCTTCTTATACCGCGCGAAGTATTTCTCTACAAACTGCAATTTTGGCCTTGTTGAGGTTGTTGTGCTTGGTAACTTCTTGCCACTGTTTGGCAAGCCAAAAATTTCAGCCACATCTTTGCTTTTCATCTCACTGTCACCATCATTAAACTTGAACTTCTTTGTCTTTGTGTCATAAACTTGTATGAGTCTCACAATGTCGTAGTTAGACTTCATGCACTTTACCTTTGTTAACCTTCTCTGGATATATGCTTCTATCAATGCCCAAAAAGGTGTCTTTGATAGCAGTGTTAAGACATCGTGCCAACGTTCAAGTCTCTGTCTGATGTTGTCAATTGTTGTTGCAAAAGAGAGCATGTTGCTCTTGATCTGCACATAATTTCGATCCTCCCATCTGCTTGGCTTCTTGTTTGTTGTTGTTTTGGATGATGATTGTTGGCCTTTTGTTTTGGAGTTTCTTCTGGCTCTTTCTTTCTTCATCTTTTAATTGATATACCTGCATTAGAAATAGGAACACGACAGTAAAGTATCGGTGTTAATACCCCATACTGGAACTTGACAGTGGTAGACATGCACTAGAAATAGGATTTCATAGGGAATTAGCAGTGTTATTACCCTATACTAGAACTTTACAGTGGCAGACATGCCTTAGAAATAGTATTTCATAGGGAACAATCAGTGTTATTACCATATACTGGAACTTTATAGCCATTAATCAACATGAAAGCAAACTAGCGGCTAAATTAGTGACTAGAATAATGGTCCTATGCAGTCAGTCCTATAGTGAAATCCAATATAGTTTCAAGATTTTGTCTTTCATTCGAATCTAAAATACTGTTATTACCCTAGACTGGATCTTTATAGCAAATAATCAATATTACAGTAAAGGTTTGGTTTGTAAATGTCTTACATTTGAAGCGTTTTCTTGTTGAAATGGTTCTTTGAAATTTTGTCTTGGTCAGTGTCTGGTGTTTGTTTTTGAAACGAGATCAATCTTGGTGGTGGTTATGGAGTCTCGGTTTGGACGACTATGAAGACGAATTGATGAAGACGATTTGACTTGATGAAGACGATGAGTGAAGAGACGTTTTGCAGAGAAGGTTTAATGAAGGCGTGCGTGCTGGAAGTTACGGTTTACTTTTTTTAAGTTACGTTTGTTTTTTTTTTTTTTTTTTTTTTGAAAGTTACGGTTTGGGCTTGTTTATAAGTTTGGGCTGGGTTTGTTTTGGGTGTCTTTTGAGTTTGTTTGGTGTTGGGCTTGATAGTGGCAGACCTGTAATTTATAGGAACTTGAACACTAATTTGTTATATAATAAATGGATTTTGGGTGTGTTTATAAAGTGTATTCTATGTGGGTTTTTTTTTTATAAATTCAGGTCCTATTTTGGGTATATTAGTGAAGCTTCCTATTTTCAATCCTAGTAAATTGGAGCCGACGCGGGTTAGAAGTTGGCTAAAACTGTATGTCTGTTCTTTTGTATTTGAGTTTCATTCCCCTCTCCGTACATTAGAGTATCCTAAACCCTAAAAAAGACACTACTTGGGAAATGATCTCGAAAGTTAAAAAAATGACCCACTACCCGTTTCATATATACAAATTGGGCCATGCCTAGACTCCAAGCGTTTTTGTAAGCAGCGATTCCTTTTCCTTCAAGATACTTCTTCTTTCTTCTGAAGCAGCTATATGGTTTGCTGCCGTTCCATTCCGGCAACGACTGTCGTTTAATTCCTGTAAAACCTAGACATGCAACTTTCCTCTTTGTTCTAGCTGTTAGTCTCCAACGTCTGGACATCATTTGGTAAGTGGATGATTCACTGAACTCAACCATTGATCCCTTTGTAGTGTTTCTTTCCTTAGTATTTAGCTTTTGAAGCTATGTACATTTTGAATGACGACATTATATGCTTGAGTAAGCTTTTGGTACCCAAATGAATTCACAATGATGGGTGCTATTTTCAACAAAATCTTACTTTGTTTAGGTAGGTTGGGGGGGGGGGGGGGGAGGGGGCACCCCTACGGTAGCTTTTGATTGTTGCATGCACGCATTGGATAAATGGGTGTCCAAGTGAAATGCACTAATGGCTTTAAAATCTTTTGTTGATACTTTTTTTTGGGAGGTCAACTTAGAGAAAAGGGGGTTGTCTTCAGTGGTGGAGAAGGTGAGGACCTTCAGTAAGGAAAGAGCCTGCAGAAGACAAAGTAGGAGAAGCAATCATTAAGCTTCGGACACCGGTGTGGTGCCGGCCGAAAGTTCTCCGATGCTTAAGTCAGCTAAGGGTGGTAAAATTGGCAAAGTAATAGTAAAAGTGATAGAGAAGTTACCCTTTTTACTTGGGTATTGTTCCCTATTTATAAGGAAGTGAAAGTGGGTGGTTTGCACAAAGTTTCGATGTGAGACTTTGTGCAAGTCGTTGTGGTGGTGACACGTGTCTTGGAGATTAGATTTGGCAATTGAGAGCTTCGGTAGTTGGGAGTTTCAGCAGGTGTCTGGCACCTCAGAAGAGTGTCTTCCTTCGGCAGTGGAGAAGGCGTGTCTGCCTTGGTGCTAGTCGTTTTGAGGCTGGGTATGCTCGGTTGGTTATGGTGTAAACAGTAGTCTCCTAAGTTCGCAGTCAAGAAGTAACTTCTGGGTTGGGAACTGTGTTTTTTTTTTTTTTTTTTTTTTTTTTTTTTAAGAACTGAGCATTCGAGATTTGGTGGGAGCCACAGGGCATTCCCTAGTCCCCCGAGTTGGCAAGCTAGAAGTTGAGTCAACACATGGAAGATATGGCGAAAGCTGTGTGAGCCTCTAGACCTGTTGGTAGCTGGGTACCTAGGTGGTCGGCAAGAAAAAGGTTGAGGACTGGGCCCTTGAAATTGGTTTTCTAGTGCTTTGGCAAGGAGATTTGTAAGAGCCTTGATGTGGGGTCATAGCCAAAGCACATGCCTTGCTGTTCGGCAAGGCTTTTTTTTTTTTTTTTTTTTTTGCAAAACCTTTGGTGAGCTTGAATTTTGCATTTGAGCCCCCCATGAAATCGGCATGACCCTTGCCGTTCGGCAAGAGGTTGAGAGCCATGGGTTTGGGATGTACTTTCGGCAAAGAAGCTTCAAAAATACATGTTCCATGGATTTTGGTGGGCTTGTGGGCCATGCCCATGACATTTGTCGTTAGGCAATGCGGGCCAAGAATGCCTAAGTTGGGCTTCGGTAAGGTAAGTTTTAGCAACAAAGGCTGGGCCTGTGTTTTTGTAGGCTTAGGTAAGTAAAGCGCTAGGGTTTTGAAGGAGCGTGTGCATCCTCCCTTTATATCAAACCTGCTATTCAACAAGATGAGGCTAAAAAGGGGCTAGGTACTTGGGGAAGGTGGATTCAGCAAGGTGATATGAGACCCCAGCCGCAAAGGGGCTAGCATGTTGTCTGCCGTTCTGCAACTCTTCCTTAGCTTGATATCGAGTCTTAGTTTGGCTTCAGCTCCCTACATCAGCACCCTTCGGCAATATCCATTGGAAAGTTGAGGTCTTCTTGGTTTCGTAAGTCCCCACGTGCTTCTGCTTTCCCCTTGCCGAACGGCAAGGGAGGGTTGAAATTTTTCTGAAGTCTCCTCTGCATGAGAGCTCGGTGTTGGTTGCTAGGAGCTGGGTTTGCATTATGACTTCGTGATTTCGTGAAGGGGCTGACTTAAGCCTGCCGATTGGAAGGAGCAGCTTGGGGGAAAAACTGGAGGCCGCCCGAGTCGGGTGGTTTGGGTCTCTCAAAGAGTTGGAGCTAGGCTGAGCACGTTGGGTCGTCGTCTTGATGTCGTGAATTTCCCAAGCTGGGCTGAGCAAGGAGGCCACCGAATTGAGCATAAATATTGTCATTCGGTACGTTGGCAAGAGCCTGGGTCCGTGAGGTGTTGAAGCTTTGGTGCGAGTACACTTTTTGAGCCTCGTTCCCTTCTGGTCAACCCTTGTTGTTCGGCAAGGGTACTGCTTTGGTAAGTGTCTTTTGCTTTGACTTTGTGATAATGTTAGTACGAGATTGTACCCAGGCATGGCCCTTGCCGTTCGGTAAGGGTGAATGTAGCAGAAGCTCTTGACTCCTTTGTTGTTTTTCGATGTCAGGTCTAGCTCGTTTGAGCTCTAGCAAGAAGGCCTTGAGGTTTCGGTATTGATTTGGGAGCTTGGTTGTCGGAGCTAGGCATAGTTATTTGGGCCTCTAAGTGATAGCATCGGGCTGGGCCCTTTGGATTTTTCGTAAGGGCCTCCATATCTTTCTGCATGGGTCTTGCCATTCAGCAAGGCCATTCCGAGTGTTTATGTGACTGATTTGCCTTTATTTTGATGTTTAGCAGGGTCCGGAGGGAAAATTGAAGCTGGGCAAATCGGGTTATACACTTGGTAAGGATTTTTATGTGAGTCTCTTGTTTTCTTCTCCACGGTGCCTGTCGTTTAGCAGGGCCCTTCTGGAATGATATTTTTGAATACACGGTGAGATGCTCTATGGTTTTCGCCATGGTTTGGCTTGACCGCATTCAACCTTGTGCTCACGGGCTAGGCCATCAGATCTTTGGCAAGAGCTGGGCTGTGAAGTTGGGTTCAGAAGCCTTGGGCTGGGCCTTTTCTTCTGGGAAGTGGGGCTGGGCCTTCGTTGAGGTAGAAATTTTCCAGGCCTTCATTTCTTTGCGCATGGGCCTTGCCGTTTGGCAAGGTCCGTTCAACTTCCCTTCACCGATTTTTTATTATTATTATTTTTTTGGATTTTGAATTTTGAATTTCAAATTGTGTGTAGGTACAAGGGTGTTGGGAGGGAAGATGAAAGGGTGCTAGGGTTTGCTCGTGAACCGAGGCGTTGGTACCCTTAAGGCTTTATAAATAGGAACTTGGGGTGATGAAGGCATCGCACTCAAGTTTTGGAGAAAAATTTCTACAAAGTGAGAAGGAGAAAAGGAGATTTCCGACAAGATTTTGGTGGTGGAGCTTGTGGCCAAGGTGATTTTCGGCGTCTTTACGTGGTGGTGCAAATAAGGTTAGACCTCATTTCCTTTGAACTTTGAATTGAAATGTCCTTTTTTGTATGAACATGTTGAAGGCTAGGATGAACACCTTGAGTATGAGTATGAACATGATGAACACTTTGAACATTGGTATGAACTTGTTGAATGTATGCTTCTAGATCAAAGAGCATGTAGGTGTGTCCTCCTTTTTGTGTTCTTGTGTTTTTTATCCTTCTTGCATGTGCATTAGTTCCCTTTCCTTGTTTTTGCAAATTGTAGATGTCTGAAAGTTCTAATAGAGAAAGTCATGACCCCCTTGCCTTTGGTGGGGAAGATACTAAGAGTGAAGAGCCTAGCCAATATGTTTGTTATGAAAATGAGAGTTCGTAGACAGAGGGTGTGGTAGAAGGTATGATAGAAAGTAGGATGATAGTGCATGAGGGTGAGAGGTGAGCCATCAATAGACTCTCGGGAGGTCGAGTACAGGGAGATGCAGAGGAATTACAGAGTGTTAGAGGTTGTGGCTGATCGGGTTCTAGCATTGCCTCATACACCAGAGGTGGGCTCTAGCAATCAGGCATCACCGTCAGGGTCTGTGGGTGTAGCCGTGGCCTCAGCTTCAGAGGGGGTGTATATACGGGTTGGTGTCGCTTTGTCAAGGCGTAATATACTTACACAGTAAAGCTGGCAGAGCTTCGGACAAATTTTAGTGTCCCACCTTCGGTGGGCTTGAGGTTACCCAGTGCTATTGATGTGGTTAGATATCCTCCGGAAGGATGCGTGTTGATATTTACTGATATGTACCAACATGGCTTCAGACTATTGTTTCATCCTTGGGTACAGATGATGTTGGCCAAGCTGGGATATGCGCCGGGGCAATATAATCCCAACTTTTGGCTTTTTTTTCATGGGGTTTACATTGCTTGGTGGTTGGCCGGGTTGAGGGAGACGATGTTTGAGCAGTTTATGTATCTCTACTCGATCTTCAAGCAACAGGGAAGTTTTGGCTCGATACAGGCCAATTGCCGAAAGGCCAAGGAGAAGGGTTACTTTATTGGTCACAAGCCTTCTACTCAGAAGTCTTGGAGGAACAGGTGGTGCCTGGCTTATGGTGACTGGGAGTGTCAGCTAGGGAAGACCGTCTCCAAACACATTCCTACCCACTTCCAGTCTATAAGTCCTTAGCCCCATCCCTTAAGACTGATTATTGTTTTGTCGTGTTTTTTTACTTGCTTTGACTCTTAATTCTCCATTTTTGTTTGTGCAAGTGTAAATGGTTGAGTAGTATCTAACCTTTGATGTAGGTTCGGTGAAGTGGGGGCCAATCTCAAAGGAGGAAGAAGACGAAGTGGGGAGGGTGAGATCACTGCTGTCAGAGACTGAGCGTGAGTGTAAAAACCTAGTCACTCAGAAGAATCTGCTTGAGTCCGGCCTTTTGCAAGAAAGTAAGTACTTAGGTCACCATTGTTGTTTGTCTTCCAATTCCTTTTTGTAGTTGTGACTAACTTAGCTTTTGGTGTGCAGTGGCAGGTATCACAAAGGGAAGCACGAAGGTGGCTGTGGATATGGATGATGCCGAGATGCAGAGACGGCTTAGGGAGTCTCGGGCGTAGAAGGCTGAGAAGGGGGGGTTCCAAGCAGGCGACTGGTAAGCGTCCTAGAGATGACGATGAAGACTTGGTTGTTGATGTGCTGGGAAAGAAGAGAGCGTTGGAGGAAGCTCACCAGAGTGTGATGGGAACAGGGTCGAGGCTTCCTCTCTTTGACCTACAGGCGCTGCCGAAGCTCCCTTTCGGTATGGACGTTTATGTCGAGGGGGTGGAGAATGTGGACTTCTCTAGGCTGCGTCGGTGGAAGAATAAGGTGAACCTTGCCATGCATCGGCAGGAGGTTCCCTTGGTGAACGTCTTCCTGGAAGGCGTGAAGAGTGATCCTGAGGTTTTGGCGAGGACACCGGCCTCGTCCTATGCAGATTTGGCCCAGAAAACGTTCCTTACCCATGCCTATGTAAGTTGTCTTGCTTTGTGAATTTGTTTTTATCATTCTAGTTTGCTTTTGACTGATGATGCTTTGTGTTGCAGGCCTATGACGAGATGTACGTGAATATGGCCAAGGCAAATAAAGAGATCCAGAGAGTAAAGACACTCTTGTACAGATGATAGTGACGATGAATTTTATCAGTGGATTTCTGTAGGATGTGTTGTAGCTGTTTCTGAATGGCTTAAATACGTTGACAAAGAACCATGTAGGACTTCTTTGCATACTGGATATAAATGGGTAATGGATGTTTTAAATGGTCACAAGGTAAGGTGCCATGAACAATTTAGGATGGAGAAACATGTCTTTATAAAATTAGTGGAGACACTTACAGGTGCATATGGTTTGAAAGAAGTTGGAGATATACCATTAGTTGAGGCATTATCAATGTTCCTCATCGTTTTAGGTCATGGGTTCACTAATAGAATGGTCCAAGAAAGGTTCCAACATTCTGGTGAGATGGTGTCAAGGTGGTTTGGGATAACTTTAGATGTTGTTTGTCGCATGGCTGGTGATATCATAAGTCCACAAGACCCACAATTTGGGAGAGTTCCGGATAAAATCAAAGCTAATGATCGATATTGACCATATTTCAAAGATTGCATAGGGGCAATTGATGGTACACATATACCAGTAATAGTGCCTAGAGAAAGACAAGTACCATATATTGGAAGAAAATGTATCACTACCTAAAATGTTATGGTTGTATGTGATTTTAATATGTGCTTTACTTTTGTGTGGGCTGGATGGGAAGGTGCTACTCACGATGCATGGATATTCATGGAAGCCTTACGAAGAACAATTTTAAAGTTTCCTCATCCACCTACAGGTAACTAAATACATATATTTTTTCTCCAATTCAAATATGTTTTAATTTGTGATATAGTAAATAATGCTCATGTTGTTCTTTGTTGTTATAGGTAAATATTATCTAGTGGATGCAGGCTATCCACAAACCAAAGGATATTTAGGGCCATATAAGGGTGAGCGATTTCATCTTCCTGATTTTCGACATGGAAGTCAACCAAGAGGGAAGAAAGAAATATTTAACCACAGGCATTCTTCCTTAAGATGCACAATCGAAAGAACTTTTGGTGTTTGGAAAAATCGTTGGAGAATGATACGACAGATTCATAACTTTCCTATGGAAAAACAAATACAAATAGTTGTTGCTTCAATGACTCTTCACAACTTTATAAGATGTCACTCATTGACAGATCAAGAATTCCAACCGTATGATGATGATGATGAGCTACTTCCCTCTAGCGGGGCGGGAGTTACAATAGGGGAAGAGATGATTGAAGAACAAAATCTAACCCATGGGTGTGAGATGGTTGACGAACGCGAGAGAATTGCAAATCTTCTTATGTCTGGTTAATTCTTTTTTTATTTTTGAAAAATGATTAGAAGTTATACTTCGTGAAGTTCATACTTTTTTAAGTCATGTTTTTATTTTGGGATCATGTGAATTTTTATTTCCTATGCTTAATATTTTGGGATTCTTTAAATTTTTTTTAAGTACTTTTAAAAGCGCTTTTACTGTGTCAACCAAACACTCAACAAAATATCAAAAGCACTTTTATGTAGTGTAAAAACACTCTTAAATGTGACATCCAAACGACAAACTGCTTCTTTGTAGAAGCGCTTATGTCATAAGCGCTACTGACATAAGCACTTCGGGAAGAAGCACTCCCAAACGAGCCCTAACTTTGATACAAGTGGCAAGCCTCCTTCACCTAGTCCTACCACCGAGGCCACTCCTGAGCCTGAGCCTGAGCCAGCTACTACGGATGCCCCTTTTACCGAGTTTTGAAGGCACTGCCTTTTTTATGTACTTTAGTTATTTGTTTGGAACACTTTGTTTATTTCTGCTTTGTATGAACATTTGGCCTTGCTTGGGGCAAGGTTATTTTGATTTGCTATGATATTAGACTTGTTGTCATTTGATATCAGTTGTGCTAACAAAATGATAATCATGTGATTGATGAGAAATAGCCAGAGTCGGGCGTTTCAATAAATAGGTGCCGAAAGGCAGAAAATACAAGAGATGGTTGAGGCAAGGCTCAAGGCTAAAGTCTAAGAAAACATAATGCCCTAGGGTCTAGGTGTGTTTATTTATAGCAGTACTTGAGGTGATCAGAGTTCCAAGGATGAAGCAAAGTCTTGCCCTTGGGATCACGAAGCTGATAAGTGCTGGGGCGGTAGACTTTGGTAATCTCATAAGGACCTTCCCGGGGCCCAAGATACCTTCAATAGAGTTCTTGGTGGCCAAGGAAACCTTGCGCATGACTTAGTCCCCAATCTTGAAAGCACGAGGTTTGACTCGGGAGTCATAGTACTTGGCAATGCACTGTTTGTATGCGACGTTGCGCATGTTAGATTGGTCACGAAGCTCGTCAATGAAGTTGAGGTTCAGGGCTAACTGCTCGTCATTGGCTTCGGCATCATAAGTGGAGGTTTGGTATGTGGGCTGGCCGATCTCCACTGGTGTCACGGCTTTGGTAATCTCATAAGGACCTTCCCATGTGGGGCCTAAGGTACCTTCAGTAGGGTTCTTGGTGGCCAAGGAAACATTGCGCATGATCTAGTCCCCAATCTTGAAAGCACGGGGTTTGATTCGGGAGTCATAGTACTTGGCAATGCACTGTTTGTATGCGACGTTGCGCATGTTGGATTGGTCACGAAGCTCGTCAATGAAGTTGAGGTTCAGGGCTAACTGCTTGTCATTGGCTTCGGCATCATAAGTGGAGGTTTGGTATGTGGGCTGGCCGATCTCCACTGGTGTCACGGCTTTGGTACCAAAGGAAAGAAAGAACGATGTTTCTCCTGTGGAGGTACGGAAGGTGGTGCAATAGGACCAAAGAACTTTTGGGAGTAGTTCTGGCCAGCAACTCTTGGCTTTGTCAAGCTTGGTCTTTAGACTCTTCTTGATTATCTTGTTCACAGCTTCAACCTGGCCATTGGACTGAGGATGGGCCGGAGAGGCGAAGCAAAGACGTATCTTGAGGTTGGAACAAAATTGCTTGAACTTGGCATTGTCAAATTGCCAGCCGTTGTCTGTGATGATGAAGTTGGGGATATCGAAGTGACATACAATATTCTGCCAAACAAATGTTTCGATACGAGCTGTAGTGATGGTGGCCAAGTCTTCAGCTTCAACCCACTTGGTGAAGTAGTCCACAACTACAACAACATACTTGACCTGACCTTTGCCCTCAGGCATAGGTCCAAGAACTGAATGATGGGGTCCATCCATGTAGGGTTGTGATCAATGGTACAGATGAGCGGGGCTTGTGTGCTGGGCTGATCCAAGAACTCCATATGGATGTTGCGACCGATGCCTTGCTCTATGGCCGAGGCTAACCTAGCCAGAGCATCAGCATCGCTGTTCTCAAAGCGTGGCACCTAGCTTATGAGATAAGCGTCGAAAGTTGTAAGCAAATGGCGGGTATGTTGGAGGTAGGCTGTCATAGAGACATCCTTGGCAGTGAAGTCCTGGTTGACTTTATGGACAACGAGCTAGGAGTCGCTGAATATCTGAATTTACTTAGCGCCCATCTCCTTGGCTAGCCGAAGGCCAGCTAAGAGTGCTTCATACTCAGCGACATTCTTTGAGGCGTGGAATTTGAAACGGAGGGCGTTCTCAAGGACAACTTTGTCTGGGGAGATGAGAACGAGGTCGGCCCCACATCCCTGAGCATTGGAGAAGCCATCCATATATAAGGTCCATAAGGGCTGGGTCAAGTCAAGGGTGTCGTTGCTGGCTCGAGATAGGATTGGGTTCAGTTATGATCTAGGGAACGGCCAATGCTTGGGGTTTGGTGAATTCTAATATGAAGTCAGCAACAGCCTGGCCCTTCGTAGCTGGGCGGAGTTTGTAATGGATATCCAATTCACCCAGCTCAATAGCCCACTTGACCAATCTGCCAGAAGTCTCTGGCTTTTGCAGTACTTGCCTTAATGGCTGGTTGGATAAGACATGGATGGTGTGAGCTTGGAAGTATGGTCTGAGGCGTCTGGCTGACACCACTAGAGCAAAGGCCACCTTCTCAATGTCTGGGTACCGAACCTAAACATCTTGCAATCCCTTGTTAACATAGTGAACCGAATGTTCAGCACCTTCGTGGGGGCAGATGAGCACTGAGCTAACTGCGGTGGCTGAGACGGAGAGGTACATCGTGAGGATGTCCCCAGGCTCAGGAGTTGATAATAAAGGAGTCCGGCTCATATACTCCTTGAGCTCGTTGAAAGCTTTGTCACATTCGACAGTCTAGGTGATGTTTCGCTTGTTGCCCTTAAATGCCTTGAAGAAGGGGGCGCAGTGATCAGTGGCCTTAGAGATAAACCTGGTCAGGGCCGTGACGTGTCCGGTAAGGCTCTGGATGTCCTTAACTGTCTTGGGTATCTTCATGTCTAAAATGGCCTGAATCTTTTCTAGCTTAGCTTCAATAACCTGCTGGCTAATCATGAAGCCAAGGAATTTTCCCGAAGCTACGCTGAAGGCATACTTCGTGGGGTTGAGCCTCATTTTATACTACTTCAGGATGGTGAACATGGCAGATAGGTTGGAGATGTGCTGGTTAACAGTGCGACTTTTGACTAGCATGTCATCGACATAAACCTCCATGGTGTTGCCAATCAGTGGGGCAAAGATGCTATTCACAAGATGCTAATAAGTAGCCCCGGCTTTCTTGAGGCTGAAGGGCATAACCTTGTAGCAGTATAGGCCACGGTTAGTGACGAAGGATGTATGTGCCTAGTCATTAGGGTGCATAAAGATCTGATTGTATCCTGAGTAAGCATCCATGAAGCTAAGGAGGGCGTGGCCAGCTGTGGCGTCAATAAGCTAGTCGATTCGTGGTAAAGGGAAGCTATCATTTGGGCAAGCCTGATTAAGGTTGGTGTAGTTTACACACATGCGCCAGCCTTTCTTTGGTTTACGTACCATTACCACATTGCCTAGCTAGGTGGGATAGTCCACCTCCTTGATGAATCCAATGCTACTCAGTTTATCCACCTCCGCCTCATGGCCTCATACCTCTCTAGGTCATAAGCACGATGCTTCTGTTGAATAGGTCTGATGGTGGGATTAATGCTTAACCAATGAGATATCATGTCTGGTGATATGTCAGGCATGTCATTGTAAGACCAGGCGAAGACATCAAAGTTGAGGCAGAGGAAGGCGACGAGATCAGAGCGAAGCTCTTGTGAAAGGGAGTTGCCAATCCGAGATGGCATCATAGAGAGTAACCAGCTCAAGGTCTTCCACAGGCTCGGCCTACTGGGTGACAAATTCCTCCCTGGGGTCTTTAGGTTGTTCAAAGCCAGCTCGATGAGGGGCTGCAACCTTGGTTACTGCTAGGGCCTCACCCTTATGTTGGTGATTAGTGGATTTTACTGCTAAAGCATAGCAGCTTCTGGCACCAAGTTGGTCGCCGCGCACCGTGCCTGCGTCATGGGGCATAGGGAACTTCAGCAGCAGCATATGTGTAGAGATGAAAACCTTCATTTGGACCAAGGCAAGGCGCCCAAAGATGACATTGTAAGCTGTGGGGCAGTCGATGATAAGGAATGGAGTAGTGATTGTCGCTCGCTGAGGTGTTGAACCAATAAAGATAGGGAGATGGATGCTGCCAATGGGCTGGACAACATCACCAGAGAAGCTCACAAGGGGTGTGATGCTTCGATCTAGCAAGTGAGTAGGGACCTGGAGCTTGTTGAAAGCCTCAGCAAACATCACACTGACCGAGCTGCCAGTGTCCACCAAAATACGTCCAACATCAAAGTTAGAAATGTCTGCGCGGATAATGAGTAGGTCTTCATGTGGGAGAATGACACCACGTTCTTCCTCCTCGCAGAAGGTAATAGAGGTCCAACCTGATTTTTGCGTCTTAGGCACGCGTCCGTGATCAATGCTGAAGACCTTGTGCGCATAGAAAGAACGGACATAGTCTTTTATGGAGTTGTTGGAGGTTCCAGCCATGGTAGAACCACCACTGATGGTGGAGATCATGTTGATCTGCCTTTAGTGGGGGTTAGGTGGGGGTGGGAGGTTGTGAACATATTTATCCAGCTTCCCTTGATGAATAAGTCCTTCAATGATGTTGCGCAAGGCAACACAATATTCAGTATCATGGCCACTGAACTGATGAAAATAGCATAAGACACCTGTGTTTGGCATAGGCTTGTTGGTCGGTCTCTTGGGGGAAGGCTTAGGTATTATGGGTGCCTCGTGCACTAAGACATTCTTATAGGTAGTGTTCAGGGTGGTGAAGACCTCAAACCTAGGCTTGGGTGTGAAGGGAAGTGGGGCACGATCACTTGTCCTGGGAGGGTTGCTTCCGCTAGGTTGGTGGTAGTTGTCATGTTTGCCCCGCTTGCTACTGCTAAAGGTAGGCTAGTAGTTATCTTTCCTTTTGGGCAGCTGGGCACCCTAGGTACTTGGTGGCTGGGCAGAATGTTGAGGTAGGGCCGGGGTGGGTACTGAAGTAGGTAAAGGATCACCAAAGGTGTTGCGTGCAAAGGTGGCTGAGCCACGCTTGGAATTGAAGTATTCAGCCTTGGTGTGAACTGTTGGTTGCTTCATTAGCTCAGCATATGTGTTCCAAGGGTTGCTGTGGACCATGTACCGGAAGTTGGACTCGCGGATGCCACTCTTAAAAGCATCGAAGGCAGCGCGATCGTCAATCTCTGGGCAACGAGAGTATTCGTGGCTAAAGTGGGCTGCATACTCCCTGAGGGGTTCATCCTTACCCTGCTGAAGCATGTACAAGTTGTCTGCGGTGTACAGGCGATCAGTCTGGATCATGAAATGGTCCAGGAAGGTCTGCTTCATATTGTCAAATGAGTTGATAGTGGGGGGGTTCAGCCTGTAGAACCAATTCAAGGCCGCAGCGCTGAGGGTGGAGGAAAGAAGAGGCACATGCCTTTGTCACTAAGGCCCTGGCATCCGAAAGCAGACTGTAAGGAGTGGATATGGGTGAGAGGATCCTCCATATCAGTGTAGAAGGCGATATGGAGTGGCTTAATGTCCTTCTCCTGGTGATAATTGAGGATACGTTCGGTAAAGGGCCCAGGTCGTGGCTTCACCCAGAGGGGCTGATAGCTGCGGTGTTGCTCACTCTCCATACGCCAAACCTTTTCGAAGAAAAGCCTCATGGTCGGGTCGGCATGAGGAAGGGTCTCGGATGCTGAAGGCCTGGAGTGTGGATTGGCAGGGGCTGAGTAAGGTTCCCAATCCTATAATGCTTCAGTGTGATAATTTTCCTAGTCTTCTGAATGATAATTTTCTCAGTCGTTCGAGTCCCCTGCACCTTCTCTAACGGGTAGGTGGGTAGGCGTCAGTGGGGGGCCTGGGTGAGTCACCCTTGAGTCTTGGAGATTAACGAGGATATTAATAGGGTCTCGCTGACAGTCCAAGAGACGGTCTCGGCAATCTCTGTAGACCTTCATCGGTTCATAGGGCCAGTCTTTTGGCGAGGAGATGTGAATGAGCCGCGACTTGGTCGTCTCTGGATGGAGAGGGCCTTTATCCTTATTTAGCCTAGAGTTGACTAGGGCACTATGGTGGGAGTGCTCCGGCTTGTTTGGTTGGGTATGCTCAGCATCCTGGGTGAAGTCATGTTGGGAGCCCTGCCTAGAGATTGGCATCAGTGTGCGGTAGTCATGCTCCAGCTCAATGTTTTTGGTATGTAGATGTTCATATTTATCGAACATCTTGGCGATGCTGGCGCGGAGGAGCTCTACCTCTGCCTAGAGATTGGCATTTGCTAAAGGTTTCCCTCGAGAGGTACCCCTGCAGGGGGTATGGTGCTGAGTATTGTGGCTTTCCTCAGTCGGCATAGCAGAGTGTGGGGTGTAGAAGAGGGGACGGGGCTTGATGGGAGAAGGAGCCAGCTGGGCTGGTAAAGAAAGATGGGATTCAGTAGTTGATTCCTACAGATGGCGCCAAACCGTTGATACTCTTTTTGGGAGGTCAACTTAGAGAAAAAGGGGTTGTCTTCAACGGTAGAGAAGGTGAGGACCTTCAGTAAGGGAAGAGCCTACAGAAGACAAAGTAGGAGAAGCAATCGTTAAGCTTCGGACACCGGTGTGAATCTGGCCGAAGGTTTTCCGATGCTTAAGTCAGCTAAGAGCATCTCCAAGGGAGATGTCAAATACCAAACATCAAATTTAAATTTGATGGCTGATGTGGTAATTTGACATCCTGCATAGTTTTACACCCCACCCGATATGTCAAATTAAAATATTATTTTATTACATTAGTGTTGATTTATTTATTACTTTCTTAAATGAATGTATTTTTAAATTTCAGTATTAAGAGTAATTCATTAGTCAAGTTAAAATACTTATAAATTAATTATAAAATGTAACATAAATACAATTAAACAAAAAAAATCATCCATCTCCACGTTGGTTGATGTAAAGAACATAAAAAAGATCAACATAAATTTTCAACTGTAAAATTCAACAATATAGTAGTGTCAAGTGACGATAACAAAGGAAAATAATTAAAAAGAAAAATAATAATGAAAGCATATAATGACAGCAGAAGCATGAAATAGTAATAAGAAGAAAAAAAAATATAGATAAGTATTAAATGAATGATAAAGCCACAACCAGATGGGTAAAGAAATAATAAATTAATCAAAAGACGTCTCCAGCACTTGACAGCAATTTTGACAGTAGAGGCTTCACACGCCATTCCACGTAGACTATAGCTGTTCGGTTGGAGTAAATTTCAGCTGTTATTTTTATCCGTTAAAAGTGCCACATAGGATTTGACATCTCCTTTGGAGATGCTCTAAGAGTTGTAAAATTGGTAGAGTAACAGTAAAAGTTATAGAGAAGTTACCATTTTTACTTGGATACTGTTCCCTATTTATAGGGAAGTGAAAGTTGGTGGTTTACACAAAGTTTCGATGTAGGACTTTGTGCAAGTCGTTGTGGTGGTGACACGTGTCTTGGAGATTAGGTTCGGCAGTTGAGAGCTTCGGCAGTCGGGAGTTTCGGCAGGTGTCTGGCACCTCGGAAGAGTGTCTTTCTTCGGCAGTGGAGAAGGCGTGTCTGCCTTGGTGCTAGTCGTTTTGAGGCTGAATATGCTCGGTTGGTTATGGTGTAAACATCTTTCAAAACTCATTGAAAAGGTTGCTATTTTCAATTTTGCATGGTTCAATGGAAGAAAGTTCGGAACTTTCTTTCTTGAAAGTAATTCTGGTTTTATTTTTTGTAGGTGCTTTTATTTGCTTTGAGCTTCTTACAGGTCTGGTTCTAGACTCGTAGGAACAAGTACTACTTTTTTATCTAGCAGTTAAGAGTTATCTAGCAAGTTGTCCAGCCAGAATATATTGTGCAGTGAATTTCAGTTTTGGGTTTAATTTCAACTTTCTACCGTGTAAATGCTACAAGGATACTTTAGCAATTTTCAAAGAGCCTAAGATTCCTTCAAGTTTGAGCCAAACCCTTTTATTGTACTCACTACCTCTGATCAAGCCAGAAGCTCAATAAGTTCCTACAGTTGCTAGTCTGCTGTGAACAACACATGGCGTGCAGATAATTATCCTTTCTTGCACTGATTAGGGGTCATGCTCACCTCTTAATTGATGTAAATTTTTTGAGGCTGCTAGTGTAGTAAAACCCAAAGACATGCAGATTCGATGGATTAGTTAACTGAGAACCTTACATCACACCTGGATTGAAGCTTATACTATTGCACTAAAAACTCTGTTTTCACACACTACTTACTTCTTGATGTTGCATTTACAATTTTATTTACAATCTATCATTAAGAATTTGCTGGTGTTATTATGATATCTCTCCCCTCTTTCTTTTTCTCCCAGAGATAGTTTAAGGATATTCATTAATTATATTTATTTTTGTAGGCGAGTGGAGTCATAGAGTTGCACGATGGGTCGAAGCAGAAATAGAAGACGGAACCAGCAGAAGCTTGCTAATCTGGATTGGACAGAGCTGCCTCGAGGTATCCTTGAGATCATCTTTGAGCGACTGATTGTGACTGTATATCTGTTAGTGATGTTTGCAAAGCTTGGAGACATGTGTTAGATTCTTTATATGCTTGTTCTAGATCTTACACACAATCTGTAATACGTGTAACGACATGAAGACATACCTGGAGCCATCTTCCTTGAGTACATAGCTTCTGAATTCATTCAATCCGTAGCAACAATAATCCCAGCAACAACAGGAACGGCTCAAGACTTCTGCTATCTCAAAAACTGTTTCAGCTCTCTCTTTAAGATGAGAATAGGCTTAGAGAACGTGTCTGATGAGAGCAGGGCTTTTAGCTTATATATGGCTAGGTCAAGTCGTCTCTACTCATCACCGAGGGCCGACTTGACTTATCTTTCAAGCCCACTTAATCGGTTCACGCATAAATGGAAATATAATAAGACCCCTTAATAGGCCTCAAAACCCTTCCTTATTTCACTGGGTTTTGGGCCTCAAGGTACAACTTAATTTAAACTCTTATCAAACCTGATATAACTTAGTATCTAGTGCACCTATCTAAATAGGAAAACATAACATTCTCACATTAGATCAAGCACTAGAACACTAAGCTTTTATATTCCAAAAGGTTTGATAATCTTTATTGGCCATGAGTTTAAAACAGTTAAGTCTTTCCCCTCAAGCTACAGTGAAAGGCGATTAAACAAAATGAACTATAGACAAGTACTGCTTTCTTTATTAAAAACAGACCATCTATAATCACATAACGCAATCTCGAAACACATGAAGCACCTACAACGTGAACCTTAATATGTATTGTTCCTTAATGTGAATCTTTATGCATTTCAGTACAAGTAACCCTTTACGACTTAGCAAGAGTCAATCCGCAATGTTATTAAAACAATAATATCTCAAAAGAGACCATAAACTCACATACATAAACAAAGTTGCATAATAAGTTTAAACAGCTAAATAGTCAAAATGGTAGAATTTATTCAATAATGAATAAAACTGTCAACCAAATTAACATCCTTAAATGCAAATCCCTCAATCCAAAAAACAGCAAAACTAGTAAAAAATCATAATGGGAATAAGACTCCCACTAGATTGCAGCATCAAAGCTAGGAAAAGTCCCATGCTCTCAACATGTCTCAAAAAAGCTTCTGAAGGAAAAACTTTGTGAATTGATCTGCAATCATATCTTGAGTTCTAATATGATCAAACCTGACTAGTTTGTCCGCTACCTTCTCCCTCACTATTAAATACTTTTTGTCATTATGCTGAAGTTCAGACGACATCTTGTTGTTCATGCAGTGAAAAACAGTAGCAGTTTTGTCATTATATATCTGTATTGGTCTAGAAATCGAGTCCACCACCTTAATATCTTTAATAAAATTCCTTAGCCATACTGAATGAGGAGTGGCATCATATCAAGCTATGTATTCTGAAAACATGGTTGAACTCGAAACGTGCGTATGTAAATCAACATATAAGCCTTTGTTCTCTATAGGTACCTCATATCTTTCTTTCCAACTATCCAATGTTGCATTCCCGAATTTGACTGAAATCTCCTCATCTTGCTAATGCACAAGGCTAGGTCTGGCCTTGTACACACTTGTGCATACATAATGCTTCTAACTAGAGAAGCGTATAGCTTGTTCCTCATCTCATCTTCTTCTTCTTTATTCTTGGGGCAATACTCCTTTAAATCTCCTTTATCTAACAGAACTTTCTGTCCAGAACACATACTCACGTCAAAACACTTGAGTGCCCTCTCAATGTATGTCTTCTGTGATGGGCCTAGAAGGCCTCGAGCTCAGTCTTTCTGAATCTCAATGCCCAGCTTGTCCCAAATCCTTCATCTCAAAATTATTTGAGAGTAGTTCCTTAGTGTCCTTTAGTAAATTGTGGTAATTTGTATCCAAAAGTATGTCGTCGACATACAGCACCAGAAAATAAATCAACTCCCACATTTCTTCATATAAATGCACTGGACAGCTCTGTTCTCTTCAAAACATAAGAGGAAATAGTTTGATGAAATTTGAAATATCACCTCCTACTTGCTTGCTTTAGTCCATAAATTACCTTGCCAAGTTTGCAAACCATATGCTTTTTTCCCTCCTTTGCAAACTCTTTAGGTTATCTCATAAAATTTTCCTCTTCAAGTTCTCCACTCATGGAAGTAGTTTTTACATCCATTTTATGTAAAAATAGGTCATAATGGCCTACCAAAACCATAATGATGCAGAAAAAATCTTTGGTGGAAACTATAGAAAACGTCTCAGTATAATCAATTTCCTCCCTTTGGGTAAATCCTTTGCCTACCAATCTAGCCTTAAACCTTTCGATTCAGTCATCCTTATCTTTCTTTGTTTTAAATACCCGTTTCAAGCCTACCAACTTCTAGCTTTTGTGAGGTTCAACTAATTCTCATACTTGATTATTCTTCATGCTTTCAAGCTCATTCAACATCGCTTCCCTCCATTTGTCTGCATTCTGACTCCCCATAGCCTCTCTAAAACTTGTCGGATCAGCCTCATCTCCATTGTCAAAATCTGCTTCTTGTAAGTACACATAATCTGAATTTGCTGTGGATTTTCTTGGTATGTCAGATCTCCTTGGTTGTACAGGTTCTTAAGGATCATCCAGATTAGGATTCTTAACAGCTTGTTCTTGTGGTTCAACTGGTTCTTCAAATTGAGAATGTTCAAATACAGTTTCACTTAAAGGAATCAAGGGTGTAACTTCTTGTTCAGCATTCTCAATCACAGCTACATCACCTTCTTAAAAAATAAAGTCTTCATTCCCAGTGGCATTCTCCTCATGCTCTATAAACTTTGCACAACCAGTCTCAACAATTCGGGTACCATAATTTGGACAATAAAATCTAAAACCCTTTGACCTTGTGGGATAACCTACATCTTATTATTTTAGGATCAAGCTTCTTCTCTTGTCTTAGGCTAGGTTTTCTGGTAGTCCAAAATTCGAAAGGTGTCTTAGGTACGGAGTTACTAGGCACTCTATAGTTTGTTGTTTTGATCGCCTCTCTCAAAACATAGAAAAACCAGTTTTAGAAATCTTGCTAAGAACCATGTCCTTCAATTCCTTTTCTCAGCCATACCATTCTGTTGCGGAATTTATGGCGTTGTGTACTAAGCAACTATCCCAATATCTTGTAGATACCTAGCAAAAAGTCCAGCACGTCGTTCTCCTTAATCAAAACGTCCATAATATTCACCCCTTCTGTCTAACCTCACAATTTTGACCCTTTTCTCAAGCTGCCTTTCTACTTCAGTTTGGAAAATCTTAAACATTTCAAGAGCTTGAGACTTTTCTACAATGAGATACAGATAACCAAAACAAGAATGATCATTTATAAAGGTGATGAAAAAACGATTTCCATCAATTGTTTGATTAGGGAAAGGTCCACAAAAACTGTGTGGATGATCCCTAAAAGATCACTACTGCGAGTTGCACCTTTCTTCTTAGTCTTAGTGAGTTTTCCTTTGACACACTCAATACAAATTTTGTCATCACTGAAAGTCAATAATGGCAAGATTTGTTCTTTAACTAGAATTTTCATTCTTTCTTTTAAAATGTGCCCTGAACGCCTATGCCATTCAAACTTCACTATCTTTATTGTAATTGAGACAATATAATCCATCTTTATTATCTTTAAATTTTGAGATACAACAACATCTTTATTGAAACCAAATTAAAACCAAGTCTTAATAATCTTGAAATAGAAATTGAATTTCTCTTTAAGGTACTGAAAACTACATCATCCACCTCTAAAATAAATCATGAATCCAACTTAAAAACCAACTACTCCAATAAAATTTGATTAAAACAACAGGTAGATATCTAAAACTCCTTGTCACAAACTTGCTACCATGAAAGTGTTGTTCTCCTTAACAGGGAATGGGTCAAGTACCACTATCTCCCTATTAGTGGTGGCATCAAAAATCTCAACAGGTGATTCAGGTTGAGGCGATGGTTTCACAGATTGCACTAGGAGATTATTGTATCGAAGTAGCTTATTGATGTTTCATCCTCTCCCATAAGCGCATACACTGAGCTTTATAGCGATCCTAAGACTTTTGAGATTGTCCTTTGTAGCCGTGTATATCCTTATGGGTCCTCTATATGGTCGATGATTTCACTGCACCTTAACCCTTTTTCGCTCCAGCTCATCTTCATGCCACTTCTTAATTAACTCCACTATATTCTTTACTAGAATGTCATTTGTGACAAGTTGGCACGAGTGACACTTATTGAACGCCATATGTTTTTCCTTTTCCCTAAGCTCTAGGAGTTGTACTACAAGACACATAAGCGAAAAGGATAACTTGAATTAAATATAGCCATGAGTGAGATCATAAGTGATCTCATTCATTCCGACAATAACTTTAAAATCAAACGTCCATAAATTGAAGTTTGATCTAGTGAGTCTTTTAATTTGCGTGAAATTGATTAAGGGATTGTTTAAAGCTGTAAGGATTTGCAAACAAAAACATATTACTTTCCTAGAAACCGATTCTCAATTTGTTAAGAGAAAACAGTTTAACTTTATTCACAAAACTAACAAATAATATATGCAAACGTCCTTAATTAAATATAACACCTTTGTGGCAAGAGATTACTTATAGCTTACACAAATTACATGATATCTTTTGCCATCACAAATAAATTACATGACAGATTCTATTTGTTAAAGAAACTTATCAAGCAATTTAGGTATGATGCAATTTTTTGTTATTTCTTTAGGGTTTGAGTATTTCGGTTTGGTTTTGTTATGAAAAGTTTGTTGATTCTCATAACAAAGACAAACATCTGTCTGGCTCAAAAAAATAACCAAACAAAACACAGTTTAACAAGGAAAAACCTTAAAATTGTAGTGAATAGTATTTCTGCGTGAACAGTGTTTAGGGGTTCTTAGTGTCCGTCTTTGACCCAAAATACCTTTCTAAATAGGGATTGACCTAATTAACACAACTCACAGAAAAGCTGTGACATATAGGCATTTTTAGGGTTTTAAGGTGATCTGCTAGGTCAAAAACGTGTTTAAAGTTTTGAAAATATGAAAACCAAATCAAAACATGCTTTTCCATATTCTTGATATTTTCAGAAACATGTTTAAACCATCTTCAAAAATTAAACATAACCAAAACAACTGAACATGACATAAACAAATATGAAATCGTAGCAAGCATGCTTGAACAACGATTACAGATATGTGTGAACAACCTATAGCTCTGATACCAACTGTTAGATTCTTTATATGCTTGCTCTAGATCTTACACACAATCTGTAATACGTGTAAAGACATGAAGACATACATGGAGCCATCTTCCTTGAGTACACAGCTTCTGAATTCATCCAATCCGTAGCAACAATAATCCCAGCAACAACAAGAATGGCTCAAGACTTCTGCTCTCTCTCAGAAACTATTTCAGCTCTCTCTTTAAGATGAGAATAGGTTTAGAGAACGTGTCTGATGAGAGCAGGGCTTTTAGCTTATATATGGCTAGGTCAAGTCGTCTCTACTCATCACCGAGTGCCGACTTGACTTATCTTTCAAGCCCACTTAATCGGTTCACGCATAAATGGAAATATAATAGGACCCCTTAATAGGCCTCAAAACCCTTCCTTATTTCACTGGGTTTTAGGCCTCAAGGTACAACTTAATTTAAACTCTTATCAAACTTGATATAACTTAGTATCTAGTGCACCGATCTAAATAGGAAAACATAACAACATGTTGTTGCACAAGAACTTGCTGGTTGGAAAAGCCATGGTGTGCCATGGCTCATGATGTCTGGCAAAGATAGAGAGGTAAGAACTTGTGTTAGCATACTACAAAAACAACATTGGGACATTGTGCTTCCTAAGGCTTATGGAAGATATTGTCGGGGATCATATCAAGATTGGTTGATTCTAGTAAAACATATTGGTTGTTTCTATCTTGAGATTAGCTTGTTGAATCCATTCTCTAGGAACAAAACTGATCTTCCCAAAACATGGAACTTTTATCATAAGATTGTTCTCTCGGGGCTTCCCATCCTTGAAAACTATGTTTGCATGCTTGTTCATAGTGAATGTCGGGAGCTTTCTCTTTTACTAAATTTAGGTTTTACCCATAAAAAAATTTTCACTTTTGAAAAAAACCAAAGCTTTTTCAAAAAAGATAGAAAAACCTCTCAACTTTCAAATCAAAGACATGCAAGTGTAAATGATTTCTAAGGAAATCCAAAAATAAATAAGGGCAAATTTGTCCATTTTGGCTTCTTTTACAAAATTTCTCTCTCCTTTGGGTTTTTCCAAAGTCTCCCCTTTCTTTTTGGGTCCCAGGAGCTGAATCATGGCTTAAACATAAACTGGATGGTGAGCCATTTGAGGATGCTGTCTTCTGTGATGGAAGTTTCTATCTTATAAGCAATGATTATAACATTTGGCAGATTTATGCTGCTAATGTCTTCGCTAGCATTAGAACATATAATGCTTATGAGGTAAAAATAGATTGTCATGAAGTAATAATGTCAGAGGAGCAGGAAAATAGTGGTGTGTTGAAGTATCTTGTGGAATCTTGTGGGGAGCTTCTTCTTGTTTGTAGGCTTTATAACACCAAAGCAGAGGCTATTCTTGAAACACATGATTTCAAAGTATATTCATTGGATTTTAGCCTGATGTCCTGGAAGAGGGTACATGATTTGGGGGATAAAATCTTATTTATAGGCAAATGTTGTTTGCGATCTGTTTCTTCGATGGAACTTGGTGTTGCGATGAGGAATCGTATCTATTTCTCTAATGATCATGCTGCTCCATGGTGGAACGAATGGGATTCCAACCATCTTTATGGAATTTCAGCTAGGCTTAATCTGAACAATGCTGGAAGAAAGGATTGGGGCGTGTTCAGCCTTGGGAATGGAACTCATGAGGCTTTTTGCTTTCGTGGCAATCGAGACAGATGGGGACCGATTTGGTTAACTTGCCCCCAATGGTGGTGCTGTAGGAAATTGGCTGTTAATGGATATAGCTAGTAAATGTAGCTCATCTATGGGGATCGTGGCATGGCAGGGATTCTCTTTTTGCTATTTTGTTCCACTTTGCATGTCACAGGGAAGGAGCTTATTTCAGTGATGATGAGAGTTTGAAGATGCTCCATGTACAAGTTAGACGTGCAGCTTACTAGCAGCATACCTTTTGTAAGTGAAAAAAATATCAGACAAATTATATCATAATTAGTGAAACATGTCCCTGCGTGGTCGGTGCTTGCAGTAATTATATTTTAGAATTTTGGTCAAATGCAAATCCAGCCTACCTTTACATTAACAAAGCTTTCTTTTATTCAAAGTTGTTTGGGCGTCGAGACCGTTTCTCATCGAGTCATCCGTAATGGACAATATATCTCGTATGTTTTGAATGAGAAAACTGGAATGTCAAACTCCAATTTCAGTTTTCAATGAGAAAACTGGCTTTGACCTTTTCAGTTTGGCAATTAGTAGAGCTGACCTATTTTGAGTAGAGTAGGTATTGTAGAGAAAAAAAAATAAGACATCATACCATACATAAAGATAAATTTTAAAAATAAAAAAAAATATTTCGCAAATGTGAATTATGCCAGTTGGGTTCGTCCATTTTCGAATCATTCTTTTTCTAAATTAGATTAATTTAGAATAATTTAGATCATCAATTATATTAAAAATAATAATTTTCATGTAACATGAATGCATGTTACTACAAAAGTGATAAATTCATAACATGTGAGAGAAACGTGAACTCTTATTAAAGAATTGAAATAAACAACATAAAAATCTACTTTCTTTTCATTTATTAAAGAATCTTATTTATTAAAAAATAAATATGAATATAATAATGACGTAAAAAGTTAAAAAATGAATATACTACGATTGTTAGTAGAAAAATTAGTACTAATTTATTCTTAGGGTAGGCAACCGTTGGGTTTGATTAATCAAAACGTGGGGATCTGACTGAGTGATGATAATGGGCCAGATATGGCAATATCATCCTTGTCCCTGCTCCCCATCCCTGTTTAAGGGGTTTCAGGGAATCCCTGTACCCGTTCCCGTGGAGGAGCTATCCCCCATCCCCTTCCTGAATTCTTGATTTTTTGTATAAAAAAATATTAATCCTCACATTACATTTCAGATCAGGACACTACAAGTGAATCGTGAGGGTCATCAAATCTTTTGAGGGAGGGCTGTATGACATTCATATTGCTACACAATAGTTGCGGTCCATTTAGTTTGTTTATGCCCCTCGTGAATGTCAATTCTGGCATAGTCGAGACTAGTTATATTTTAGGGGACTAGCTAGTTTAATTATCTCTGTAATTTTTTCTTTAACTCAAGTTACTAAGCTCATAAGGGTGTCTTTGCACCTAATGTCTTCAAGCATGCGAGGTTTTATAGTCATTAGCCTAAGGTAGTTAGACATTACACATTTCTGAGTGCTGTTATTTCTACCTTATCTTATTTTCTCACCCACATTATCTTCCCACTCACTTTTTAAATTTGAAAAAAAAAAACAATCCTATTTTTCCACCAACTATTATTCCAAAAATACCCTTTAATTATTAATTTAAACAAATTCACACATGTATTAATGAATTTTATTGATGAAGGGTTTTTAATTAATTATATATTTTTTTATAAAACAAAAATTAATTTCCCTTTTAATCTTTCACCGTCTTCATCTTAACCCCCCCTCTCCTCACCTTCTAATCTTCGGATTCTCTCCCCACTTGTCTGTCATCTTTGTTCTCCTTCCCTCTCTGATCTAATCCAGAGGGGGAAATAGCGGCATTTTTATTCTTTTTTTTTATAAATTTAAACATTAAAAAACTCGGAACACGTCATTCTCATGGATCCATCCAGTTACAGCCACAAGACGTCCATCCACCGGCGCAGTTTAGCACCACCCGCGAGGTCAGCAGCCGGTAACTCCCGCGGGAGTGCGACACGTGTCGGTAAGTTCCATTTTTAGGGCTTGAGGTCAGCGTGCGTGGGCTTGAAGCAGCAGCTGCTTGTTTCGTTTTTGTTTGTCTTTCTCTTGTCTCGTGGTGCGCTCGCGTCCCCCGACTATTGGCGAAAACTTCAAATTTCCATTTTTGTCCTTCTTCCTTGTCCTCTCTCTCTCTCTCTCTCTCTCTCTCTCAGGCATATTAAGATTTAGCCGGTGCTAATTTAATGGCTGCTGCTAAACCCTAGCCGCTATTTACTGTGAAAGCCATAAACATGGCCAGGACCTGTGAGTTCTTTCATCATTTTCCAATTATTCAATTTTCTGTGTGTTGCCATTAGAGCACTGAAGATTTTGTACGTTTGTTTTTTGAATTATAAAATTAAATTCCGAATTTTCCTCCAATTCATTTTCCCCTTGATCCTGTTTGGTCCCCGAGAAAACTGAGGGGAGGAGAAAGGACAAGGGAATGTGAAATTTACATATTTTGTCAGGCAGTTTGTAAACATCTATGTTAATTTTGCCGACTAATTTTGCTAAGATTGATTGAGTTGTTCTATATACTTTCGCCGTGAACCAAGTCCATGGAATATGTTTAAGTTGCTGTTTTGATTTTGTGTTCTTCTGTATTTATCCGAAACCAACTGAACAACGTTCTGTAGATGGTTTATGAAACTAAGTTGTATGCATTTCAACCTTGAGATTTCAGGTCATGATGGTAATTTTTTTGGGTTTCAGAGTTTTGATTGGGATGGATCAGTGTTGGAATCATAATTGGCGTTCTATTAGGCATATTGAAGTTTGAATAAATTTTTCCTGTGCTGTGGATAGTATTGGGCATATATTGCTCGTCCTTGTCCAGAATGGCAGAGGACAGCCAACGGATTGGTGGGTTTTCTTCTGGTTTGGCCGTGATACTGAATGACGAGGATAGTAAAGAGAATTCATCGAAGACCCATCTTGTTTCATACTGTGATGATTTTGGCCATCAATCAGTGGAGCGGACCTTAGAATATGTTCTTGGTCTCCCTAACAAATCTTTTGGTTTGTTGCCCAGTCCAATTGATAGCAATCTAGTTCGCTGCATTATACAGAAAGAATTCTCTAAATTGCATGCCAATTCAAGTGCTTTGGTTAGAAACAGAGATGGAGTTTGTATTCCTGGGAATGGCTGTGGTCCCCACATAGTTGGTCTTGATGAATTCAGTATTCGTGGTGATATTAGACCTATTAAGCCACCTTTGCTTGTAGAGAGCTTAGCAATGTTCAGCAGTGCCAGAGCTAATGCCTTTGTGTGGAAAGGTAAATGGATGTATGAAGTTATTCTAGAAACTTCAGGTATTCAGCAACTTGGATGGGCAACCGTTTCTTGTCCTTTTACTGACCATAAGGGTGTAGGTGATGCTGCTGATTCGTATGCATTTGATGGGAGGAGGGTTAGAAAATGGAACAAGGAAGCTGAGCCATATGGTCAATCTTGGGTTGTTGGTGATGCCATTGGCTGCTGCATAGATTTGGATTGTAATGAAATATCATTCTACAGAAATGGTGTCTCACTTGGGGCTGCATTTCATGGCATTCGTAAGATGGGACCAGTATCTGGATATTATCCTGCAATTTCTCTTTCTCAGGGTGAACGATGCGAATTAAATTTTGGGGCCCGCCCCTTTAGATTTCCCATTGAAGGCTACCTTCCCCTTCAAGAACCTCCATCCTTAATTCCGGTTGCTACTCAGTTGCTGTGTTGCTTGTCAAGGCTATTGGGTATGCACTCTGTTGAGCAGGCAAAGCATTCTTCTGTTCAAAAATGGAGGCGACTGAAGAGGTTTGTTTCACATGAAGAACTTTTTTATCCTGCTTCTCATGGGATATGTGAGGAATTTTTTCTGTACTTGGAGTAGATGTTTGGAGCATAGAGTACATTGCCTGGGGTCCATTTCTGTCATTCATGATGGAAGTGTTTGGGCAGCAGGTGCCCCATGATTATTCAAGCTTAGATAGAGTTCTTGATGTCTTTCTGGAATTTGAAGGATCACATTTGCTGTTTGAACATTTCATAAATGCCCTGGCGTGTGGTTGCAAAATAGCTCCACTGGTTCTAAAGGAGTGCCCATGTTCAGGGTCATACCCATACCTCGTGTTGGCATGCCATATCTTGAGACGACAAGAGCTTATGGTGCTTTGGTGGAAATCGCCTGATTTTGAATTCCTTTTTGAAGGGTTCCTATCACGGAAGAATCCGAATAAGCATGATCTTGAATCCATGATGCCTTGTGTTTCGTGGCCTGGTTCATGTGAGGATGTGTCATATGAAAGCACTATGGTGTTGACAACTAAAGCTTTATCTGAAGCAGTCAGTAAGGTACATATTAAGTTAAAGAGCTTGATTTTCTTTTATTGCCATAATTTAGTTTGTCTTATTTGTTGGTTGGTATTGTCCATATTATATTATTTCTATAATGTAAAAGTTGGGCAAGGGGATGAAGAACCTCTTTGAAATTGTTAATCATATAATAAGCGAGAGTGCAAGTATATAGAAATATTTGTAACATTGAACAAGAAGTATATAGAAATATTTGTAACATTCAAATTATATTATTTCTAGAATGTAAAAGTTGGGCAAGGGGATGAAGAACCTCTTTGAAATTGTTAATCATATAATAAGCGAGAGTGCAAGTGTATAGAAATATTTGTAACATTGAACAAGAAGTATGATGAATGTCACAATTTTCCTCATGGACGTTTTCATTAGGGCAAGTAAAAACCATATAATATGTGCTTTAATGTTCAATTAAACCATGTACATTGGCAGCATGCACACATGAATCTCTCTCTCTCTCTCTCTCTCTCTCTCTCTCTTGTACTAGATAACATGGGTATGTGATCCATATGATTCTATAAGTAGGATTCTACACTAAATCCCATGAAACCTGAATAGATGAAGATGTAGATAAGGACATATTTCTTGCTTTTGTTGAATTGTTGAAGGTAAAGGTATATTTCATCTACGTAAGTCATGCTCGGGGACAAGTTGAGTTGATAAATATATAGATAAGTACATATTTGTGCTTATGTTGTAGGAAAAATTTAGTTTCATATTCCTGTATTCCAATATGAAAGTATTGAATCCATGCTTATTTATTTGGACAAAAAATCTATGCTAATTTCATTTTGTATTTAAAATTTAAGCTTTGAATTAAATAGTGAATTTCCTCTTATGGTGTATGCTGTGAATTGAGTTTGGAGGGGAACTGCTTTATCTTTGATGTGAAGTTGATTAATTAGTGTTTGAATTTTTAATATGGATATATACAGTATTTTACATCATCAATGTTTTACTTGGAGGTGGACAATATTTAACATCATCAGCTTGTTTTCTATGGGATTCCCTTGGTCCATTTTAAATTGTATTGACAAGTCTAATTACAGTAATGTTGATCATTTAGTTGGCAACAGATAGATTTGGAATTTCATATCTGAGGACACTTTTTTCGTTGTAATTATTTATAGCTTATACTGAGCAACATTTACAGTTGTGAAGTTCCACACTAAATTTTTGCTGATAATCCATGTTATATTCGCAGATCGAGGAGAAGCATAGGGATCTCTGTCGCTTGGTCATACAGTTCATACCGCCTGTGACACCTCCCCAGTTGCCTGGTTCAGTGTTCAGAACATTTTTACAGAACATTCTACTAAAGAACAGAGGAGCTGACCGGAACCTTCCACCTCCTGGAGTTTCAAGCAATTCCGTTCTTGTTTCTTTGTATACAGTTATTCTTCATTTTTTATCTGAAGGGTTTGCAATGGGGGATATTTGTGGCTGGTTGAAGAGCAGTGAAAATGGTCCTGATGTTGGTTTTCTTCATAGGGGTGGTCAACGAAGCTTCCCCGTGGGTTTATTTCTTAGAAATGATCCTCATCAAAATGATAATTCTAGGCTTGGAGGATCGTTTAGTCATCTCTCGAAGTCAAACCCTGTAAATGATGACGAAGCAGAAGTAATTCGGTGGGAGGAAGGCTGTATGGATGATGAAGAAACCAGAGTGACTCATTCAAGTACAAAAAAACCATGTTGTTGCTCATGTTATAATGATGATTTTACAAGAATCTCAAAGTATCCAATTAGATACACAGCCAAAGGTTCTCGTGTCCATTGCAGTCCTATTCCAGAGAGATCTGCTCATGTTGCTACAGAATGCAGTACTGGAAATTTGAATGATGAATTAGCAGATAAACCTAGCTCTAGTTATCAATCTGAATCTGAGTTTAGTTATTGCCCAGTGCAGCAATCGAGGTTTGTACCAAGGGAAAATAATATGTCTTCAGCCACACTCAGAGAAGAAGAACTTCTAGATGTTCTGTTGCTGTTGTATCACATAGGTCTTGCACCAAATTTTAAGCAGGTAAGGAGATAATGGGCAAGATCCTTTTTTTATTTAAAGAATACAGAGTTTTGCTGATCAATGTTTTTGTTATCCTTAACCTGTTGTGCTCAATATCTATATCTTTGGTAGTCATGGTCTGATGTGGTTGTCTTTAACAGGTTAGCATTCTTAGCAGATAAAATTTGTTAAGGCTAAAACTTAAAATAACTTTGGAATTGTGATATTCTGTTGGTTGATTTGATGATACTGTTATTTGCTTGGTTTTATGTTTCCTTGTTCGTTTTTTCCCATCTATGTTTTGATTTTAACAGTAACACTGTCAGGTCTTTTGTTCTCTGCCTTCTGGTTGTGTGCTTTTATTTGTTGATTTATTTGTCTTGCCTTCTATGTGAACTGACCAAAACCTTCTAGGTGTGATCATAGTCCTCTTACTGATTAATCTGAAACGTAGGTATTATATTTCATGATGTGTGCGCATTTGTGTGTGTATTTCAAATGTTGTAAGATTTCTGAAATTTTAAAATCCTGGTTGCAGGCATCGTACTACATGTCTCACCAGTTGCAGTCAATATCCCTCCTGGAAGAAGCTGATAAACAAATAAGAGAAAAAGCTAGTAATGAGCAATTAAAGCGTTTGAAAGAAGCCCGCAACGGTTATAGAGAAGAAGTTATTGATTGTGTCAGACAATGTGCTTGGTAAGATGACCTTGAAGATTAGCTTGTTTCCATAATTTATACATGTGCTGTTAAATTTTTTTTGGCTACAAGTGTTCAGAAGAATTAACTGTCTTTTACTCCCATGTGTTTGTTGCATTATTTGTCTTTTAAATTTAACCATATTCATAGAATGATCTTTGATAAAAGGACAAGTAAGCAAGTTGTATAGTTTTCATAGTTTAGTATGTACCAATATATATATATATATATATATATACACATATATATACAGGGGACGCACATTTTTGACACATATTTTGACACACATTGTAGACCATTGGATTAAAGCATAATTAAGGGCTGGATTTAATCTGACTTTATAATTATTATTTTTTTAATAAAACTTTTGGAGGGTCGTGGGAACATAAATAATAACTTTCAATTTTCTTTTCTCTCTCCAATCTCACAAGACCCGAAAAGGAAAACAATAAAAACAACATTCTTTCATCCTTTTTTGTTTTTGCGCAAAACTCTTTCATCGTTATTTTTTTGCGCAAAACTCTTTCATCATTTTATTTTTTTGCGCAAAAATTTTTCTTTCTTTTTTTTTTTTTGTTTTGGCTCAAAACTCTTTCATCCTTTTTGGGGCTGAAATATCACCTGTTTCTTCTCAACCCTTTTAACCAATTCGTTTCCTAGTCACCCCAGTCTTGGCTGAGCCAAATCATCATCTTTACCCACATTTTAGTGCATGTAGTTGTTTGGTGTCCCACAGAACTGCACCTTGGGGTTATTAGCCATTCTAACTACAATGGTGAGCTGGGGTCCTTTGTTTCTGCAACTATTAAATGGCTTGGCTTAACAAGTAATATCTAAATGATTTAACTTGATAACTTGATAAGAAAGCCAGATTAGAAACAATACTTTAACTTGATAAGAAAAGTCTGTAAAACTTGTTGTAAATTTGGGTAATAGCTAGATCAGTAGATTGAGAGGATGCTCTTTCAAATGATTTATAGTTAGCCATCTTCTATTCTGGTGTCTGGGGTTAAGACATCTTCTACTCTGGTGTCTGGGGTTAAGCCAAGCAACTTATAAGTTGCAGAACCGAGGATCACCATTGTAGGGTTAGAATAGGCAATAGCCCCTAGGTGCAGATATGAGGGAATCCAAACAACTACATGCTCTAACATTTGCACGAAGATGCTGATGATTTTGCCACTCAGCCAAGAGTAGGAGGAAATGAATTTGTTAAGGGTTTGAGCAAGAATGGGTGAAAAGAACAGAGATGTTTCAGCCCAAAAAAGAACCAAAAAAAAGAGGAGTTTGTTTTTTTTTTTTTTTTTTTTTTTTTTTTTGTTTTTTTTGGGGGTGTGTGATGGAGAGAGAACAAGAGGACTTGTTGTCCTCATTTATACTCTCAAAGCACTACACAATTTTTATTAAATTATATAGTCAGATCCAATCTCAGCCATTAAATGTGCTTTAATCCAATGGTTAATAAGGTGTGTCAAAATGTGTGGCTTTTTGTGTGTTGCCTGATCCTGACCCTATATATATATATATATATATATATATATATATATTAGAGTCCCCTTCTATTGCGGGATCCCTCAAATAATTTTATTTGAGGAACACCCTTTAGGGTCCCATATGAATTTTTTTTCAACGATCCAAACCATCTATTTGTTAAGTTTGTATTCATAGATCATCCTTGCAAAAAATTAGATAAATCGGAAACTGTTTCGACATCCAATTGTGTCCTACAAAATCAATGAACACGGTGTTTCAAGAAAGTACAAAAATTTCAATAACTCAATTGAGTAGTCAAATGATATCGGATTCGAGTGACTTTTTGTAGAGATGATCTTTGAGTGAATATTTACAAAATAGACTGTTTGGATTAGTGAAATACAATGCATAGTGGGCCCTACAGCAGTGTCCTTCAAATAAGCTTATTTGAGGGATCCCTCAATTGAAGCTCCATGTACAGGGTGTCCCTCAACTTAACAAATAGATGGTTTGGATTGTTGAAAAAAAAATTCATATGGGACCCTAAAGGGTGTCTTTATTTGAGGGATCCCTCAATAGAAGGGGACTGTTTATATAAATATATATATATATATTATTCTAACGTCCGGATGTCTCGTGCGGATACCACTGTAAACATGGAGAAAAGTAGGGAAGGGTAGTAGAAAAGACATGGCATCCGCACTATACCAACATCCGGACGTCCGCATAGGAGATTTCTGTATGTGTATATATATATATATACACACACATAGTTTAGTTTTTTTGCATACATTTACGTACTATGTTTCCTTTGGTCACTCTGTCATGGCTTACAGGTACCGTATTACTCTAATTTCTCGATGGAAGCAAAGAGGAATGTATGCAACATGCATGTGGACTGTCCAGTTGCTTCTGGTTCTTAGCAAAGTGGATCTACTGTTCCTGTATATCCCTGAATATTATCTGGAAGCTCTGGTAAGTTGATTCTTCTTTTATTGAACTTAACAGATTTGATGTGCAGTGAATCCTTGTCAAAAAAATTTGTAAAATTGATTTGAGTATGATTGCTTGCAGTTTTCCCTTCTGATAGGAGAAAGATTATGTTTTCACTTGTTTTGTTGCATATGATAAGCATTAATACTTGTGTTTGCTCTTGTTTTATTGCATCATGTAATAAGAATATTCCTGTCTTAAGTTCTTTTCATTCGATGGTTTTTTGAGGATGATATTCACATGTTACTAATTCTCCAGAAAAATATCGGGTGGTCCCAGTATGTACTATCCCTTGAGAGTGGTTATGGAATTACATTAGGATGCTATGTAATTGCTTGGAAAAATTCTGAGAGAGCTTTAAATATTTTTACAAATTTGTTAACTTCTGATCTTTTGTATGCGACAAGTATAAAAAGGAAAATAAGGATAGAAAAAGGTTCATCTGCTCTCTTAAAGTTTCTGGAAATACTAGATATAGCCACAAATTGCTATGACTTCTTGAGCCAGGCTTTCATTCCACCAAAAAATATTGAGCCAGGCTTTCTGAAGCACTATGTATTTGGAATTATTCATTGCCCTACTATTCTCGCAGGTTGATTGCTTCCATGTGTTGCGCAAAAGTGATCCTCCCTTTGTACCTTCATCAATATTTATCAAGCAAGGCCTTGCTTCATTTGTATGTTTTATCTTTTAACCTTGTGTTTCCTACTTTCTATTATGTGCTCTACTCTGTGTACAATTTGACATGACAGTTACATACTGAAAAATACAAATGTACTCGTGTAATTTGTCGATAGATTACTGGCTATTGGTTTTAAAAACGATAATTGTTTAAACTGATAATTATTTAAAAAGAAATTAAGGATCCACTGTAATGAACATAAATTATTCCTTTCAGATGTGATAATTGAGCACCAAAATAATTTGTGTTTTGTTTTACCTGAAAAACAATAACTCTGAAGTTTTCTATATTACACATGCCTATTAAGGGAAAAAATGATTTTGTCATATTTCATGTGCTCTAGCTTTTTTAGCATAGATCCTCTGAAATTTGGACCCTGATTTTTCCATTGACAGGCCAACATGACCAGCTTATTCATGAAGATTATGAGTTTTTTTTTGGGTTTCTTTTTTCCCTAGATATTCGAATAATGTATTTGGAATGCTGAATCTGTGTCTTGTTTCCCAGGTAACTTTTGTGGTCACGCACTTCAATGATCCTCGAATATCGAGTGCTGATCTAAGGGACCTGCTTCTCCAATCGATTTCAGTCTTGGTACAGTACAAAGAATATTTGGCCGTTTTTGAGAGTAATGAAGCAGCCACACAGAGGATGCCAAAGGCATTGCTGTCAGCATTTGATAATAGATCCTGGATCCCAGTGACGAACATTCTTTTGCGTTTGTGCAAGGGATCTGGCTTTGGTTCTTCAAAGCATGGAGAGTCGTCATCATCTGTTGTCTTCCAGGTGAATGATCTTTAATTTTGCTTTAGAATTTTCGTCGTATATCTTGTTACCATCGAATAGCTTCTGATTCTTCTCTGGCCTCTTAAATCATGCAGAGATTGTTAGGGGAAACTTGTGTCAGTGATGAAGAGTTGTTCTCAGCTTTTCTCAATCGCCTGTTTAACACTCTCAGCTGGACAATGACTGAATTCTCAGTTTCAGTTAGAGAAATGCAAGAGAAGTACCAGGTGTGGATAATTTTATCCCTATTCAGACATGTAGTAATATATTATTATTATTAGTATTTGATTTGTGTTTTACTTGATTAGTTTTATCTCTGTTTTCTACTTATATAACTCCAGCTTCAACACACTTTTTTTTTATTGAGAAGAAATATTCTCTCTCTCTCTCTCTCTCTCTCTCTCTCTCTCTCTCTATGTATAAATATGTACACACACAAACTTTATGCTGTATGTCATGCATAGATAAGCTTGGACTTCACTGTGGGGGGTGCTATTGTCATGGGGAGAGGATCTAAAAGAGCACAGAGTGCACTTACGAAGTAATATTAAGGGGAAAGAAAAAGAACAGGGGATGGGGAACTTTGAGAGGAAATAGTGAAAAGATATTGGAGTGACTTGGTAATAAATGGCCTTCTGTTAGTGACTTGGTAATAAATGGCCTCATATTTAACCAATTTGACTTGGTTTCACAATTTTATTGTTACAACAATATATGTTTCAAAGTAAAATGAACTGACCAGTTCATCAAAAGCAAACTAGTTCAGTGAAAGTCCTCTTCTAAGGTGAAATTGTTCTGGCTGCCCTGCCAGTTCCCGGTTAACTAGGTCGGTCCAGACTGAGGATACTCATGTTTGACTGTGGTATAGTCGGTAATAGTTCGAACACTATGCATGGGAAAGTGCAAATTTTTACTTGGCTATTTTACGTTCCAATTTATTTTTTAATTTTGAAGTAAACATCTCTTGCAGGTATTAGAGTTCCAGCAAAAGAAATGCAGTGTCATATTTGATCTTTCATGCAACCTTGCAAGGGTTTTGGAGTTCTGTACCCATGCGATACCTCAAGCATTTCTATCTGGAGCTGAAACAAACCTTCGAAGGTTAACTGAGTTAATAGTCTTTATTCTGAGCCACATAACATCAGCAGAAGATGCTGAGTTTTTTGACTTGTAAGATTCTGTGCCTGCAAGTACAAAGACGGTTATTACTTTCCAATTTATCTGTGTTGATGCACTCCAAAAATGAACTTATCTTTGCTCTCACCATAAGCAATGCACGAAGTTGGTTTTGGGGTGTAAATAAAAGTTCCCTTTATTTTTCATAGTTTTTATATTTTTATGTTTATCTTTTTTATCTATTTTTTATTTGATTTAATGATGGTGCTGTAAACTGCCATGCAGCATTGTACTGTGAGGGGCATATGCATGTAAATAAAATAAAAATAAGAGGATCAAACCATTTATTCCCACTCCTTTTAAATTTGATAAATCTCGGTTGATCATATTTTTTCATTATAGTTCTGTGATATCATTTACTAATTGATTCCTTTGAATTCCATATTTGAAGTTGTGGGGATTGGTATTGATGGCAAGCTGTTCCATGGAAACTCCTTGATTTTACTTTTTATCCAGGACAGTCTTCAAATTGTTTTGGAATTTTCACTTTTCCTTTGACTTTTGTACTTTGATCGAGCTTTCTCACTGTTGGTTGATCGTATTCTCTTACATTTTTCTTTTTCATGTATCATTTAAGGCATTCTATTTTGCAGGTCGCTGAGAAGACATGGTCAATCCTTAGAAAAAGTAAACCGAGGAATGATATTGGCACCTCTTGTTGGTATTATCTTGAATTTGTTAAATGCTAGTGAACAGATGGATGCATGGAACACAACGATGTAGTGAGCATCTTCGCAAGCATGGGTTGCCTTGACAGTTTTCATTGCAGATTCCAATACCTTTTGGATTACAACTGGGTTAGCCTCTCTCTCTCTCTCTCTCTCTCTCTCCTCTCTCTCTGGGCTGAAGAGATGCAGTCTTTTCATCTAACAAAAATTAAAAATATTTTAGAACTTTTTTTTTTCTCTTGTGAATGTAAAGCAAGTTTATCAGTCCCGTCCTAGCTGTGTATGCAATTAATTAACATCAGTAACCTGGTTTCTACTTGTTCACGATTTCTATGAAGCATTTAATTTAAGGGAGTTTCACTAATACACCCAAAATAGGGGCTGAAATTATAAAAAAACCCAACATGAAAAACACTTTATAAACACACCCAAAACCCATTTATTAAACACACTCAAAACCCATTTATAAACACACTCAAAAAATATACAATTGTTGATTTTTGGGTTGATTTTGGGTATGTTTCTATGTTTTAAATAGTGTTGGGTTTTTTTATAAATTCATGTCTAGGATTGGGTTTATTTATAAATTTGTATTAATTCAATTAGTGAGATCTTTTCACATGTATGCATCCTTCCGTGATTTTGGTGGGGTTTGTAGCTGTGTCTCTAGGTGGTTCATATAGCTAAGTCCTTGACATCGAATTCCATATAACAAATTATTTTTCAGTAGGTTTCTCTCTCAAGAGAAGAGGATAAAAAGATGACAAAAGAAAGGAAAAAGCTCTTCATTGGATTTTACAGAAATATGCTGTATTTACCATCTTGTTTATACTGTAGTTTGTTTATTTTCCAGGCTGGAACCTTTAGAGGCGATGCTTATCTTGTAAAACTTGCCCAGTTAGAGAATTTTCTTAGCCTCCTTAGCCAATCACAAGAAAATACGATATACAGGGGAGAAACAGATGGGAATGATGACATGTGCTGCATTTGTTATGCCTGTGAAGCAGATGCGGAGTTTTCACCTTGTTCGCATAGGTCTTGTTATGGCTGCATAACGAGGCATCTTTTGAATTCCCACAGATGCTTTTTTTGCAATGCAACAGTTGTGGATGTCATCCGGATTAGTGAGAAGAGTTGATAACTTTGCTTTTTAGTTTGTTCCTTTTAGTTTGGGTTCTTGTCTCCTCGTGTTTATCCTTGAGCTGGTCAGCAACTGATCACTCACTGCTGCTCAAGTGTCAGCCACAGAGAATTGTGAAATGGCAGAGCACAAAAAGGAAGAAAAAGTAGAAGGGAGGGAAGGAGGAAAGAAAAGATAATTTACTTCCAATTTCTGCATTTAGTTTATATAATTATACAGTGTACATAATCGACCTACAATGTTACAGTGTTGGGTTGTGGAAAAGACTTCAGTGGTGGATGGTTGGTGAAGAATTTTGTAGAGGGACTTAGAGGGCATTATTCTGTAAATATGAGATGTAAATGGAAAGGAAAATCTTTTGGCTCTCTCTCTCTCTCTCTCTCTCTCTCTCTCTCAAACAAACGAACTGCACAACCTTTTATCCATTGATTTGGACATTGCTGCACTGGGAAAGATAAAGCAGTCGGTCAAAAATGGTGCTTTTGTTGCCAACTTAAAAGTTCCGTTCACACATAGAGGAGTACAAAGTTATAAAGTTATTATTTTGAATAATGCTACTCTTACTACATTTGTATACTACATTCTCGTACCACCTTATGTGGCAGCTAAGGTGGACAGCCACATCAATTAAAATGATTTAATATTTTCTTTTCTTTTATGGTTTATTTCAGTATTTGTTTTCTAATTGCCTTAATTAAAATGCACTTCATTGATTTAATTGATGTGACATATAAAATGGACATGCCACATCATGTGGTATAGAAATGTGGGATAAAAATGTGGTAAGTGTAGCATTACTCTTTTTTATTTGGGGAAAACCCGAGTTGATTTAAAAGTCAACAAACTGGCACCGTACCGAACTAGACTGGTTCAATTGGTTCCGGTCTTGGTTTTTACACCTCCAAACACCCGCCGGACTGGATTGGTAGATTTAATGTATATTGTACCAAAAATCGTATTTTTGCCTAAAACGGAGGATAATGTTCCATGAACATCAAAATGGCCAAAATATGACTAGACGTGCATTGCTGCAGTCAGATGGAGTGAGCTCAAAATTCAACTTTCAGGGCTCAGATCAAGTTTCGTTCTTCATGAAAGTTGTTCATCTCTGCCTGCTGCAACATATTCAAATTGCCAGAAAAAAGCTTATAAGGATCAACTTGGGCCTAATTAGGGCCCAATTCCAATGCCCTAATGAATTGTCTTTCTTCATGAAAGTTTTTCATTAGAATGTCTACTGCAACATAGCCAAATTTGGGATCATTTGGATAAATGTGGAATCCTTGCGACATCAAATATCAGAAGCATACCAGAAACAGCGAAAGCTGATAACAATGGCAATTCGGGCCTAATTATGGCCCAATTCGGGCCAGCTTCCAATTCTTAAATGAACATTCCTTCTTCATGAAAGTTGTTCATTTGGATGTCTACTACAACATATTCGAATTTGGCGTCCTTTGCACAAGTATTGAATCTTCAGGGTGTTAATCATGATTTCTGTTCGTGACAGCAGTCTGTGATGACCAGTCAGGTGTAACCATGCTAAAACTAGATTTTCTATTACTCAAAAGGAATTAAGTTCTTCATGAATATTGTTCCTACTTATGTGGAGAACAACATATCCAAAATTGGCAGCAATTGGATCAACCTAGCATTCCCAGTTTATTATGCATCAAGGCATGTTTGGAGGAGAAACTTAGTGGCTGCAAATAAGGTTTCACTTCATCAATGGAGGAACTTCATCACAAGTGAGTTGATTTAAAGAAGAATAAAATAATGTTCTGGTAGATGGAAATAATTTAATATTCTCTGTGATGAGGAATATTAAAACAAAGCCAAAGCTCAACATACACGTGAAAAGTCTACACCAAGGTTGAAAGAAGAATAAAATAATATGCAAGTGGGCTTAAAAAATGAATAAAGAAAGAAGTAGAGATGGTGGTCATTATCTCTCCATTTCTTTTTTCTTTTAGTCAGCTACTTTTGACTGTCACTCACCAATCAATGGCAAGTAGACTAATACTTTGGATTTCTTTAAGTCTAATAGTGACAACTTCTGTCATTTCTCATCAAAACCTCTTAGCAACTTCTTTGGATTTGCTTGTATTTTCAGCAACCCACTCACCAAAACCAATGGCAAGTGGGTACTTCAAATTAGCTGTTGGTCCACTCAACTGACTTCATTCTCTATAAATTGAAGGAGAGATCATCAGCAAAAACACACACAATTCAACCAAAAAAAACCAAACTCAACGTCTATAAACCCAGCTCAAAAGCCTGAAATAGCCTTCCTTTTTCATTCTCTGAATTCCCAATTGAAACTCCTGAGGAACTTTCTTTATTTTGCTCTGCCAACTCTTGGTATGATTTTGTTCTTGTACAAGATTGAATAGAGAAATCTTCAATCTCCATTTTAATTTTATGTAACAGGTCTGAATAGAGAAATCTTCAGGCTGTGTTGTAAATATATTTTCTTATTTCTTTCAAGTTGTTTGAATGGAGAAATATTTTGATAAACTTCTGCCATTTCCATTACCGTTCAATTTCAGCTTCTGTCAGTTACCATTTTCGCACTAGATGAATATTTAAGTCCTCTTAATTGAGGCATAGAAAAGAACCTGTATTGGGTCAATTCCCTGCCCAATCCACAATAGATTGATTAAAGTCAATATCGGTGTGCATTTGCGAGTCTTACCAATTTTCAATCTGTTGGAGTTTTTCACTGCCAACAGTGGCACGCCTTCGTAATTGCAACAAGCAAACTCCACAGCCAAACACCACGCGAATGGTTGACGAGTCCTTTCCGGAGTAAACAGTAATAAATGATTGTAATTTAGGGTTTGACAATATAAGTTGTTAAACAGGTTCAAAACCATATGCTTGTAATTTTTCATGTTACTAGAATATCTACAGCAATGAGAATAAACATGTATAATTTATAAACAAAAAGTAACTGATTATCCTTTGGCATATGTGCAATATATGTGTGTATATATATATATAAATTCTCCTATGCGGACGTATGGACGTTATGGCATCCACACGTTAATAACATCTAATAACCTGATCCTAAATTATTATTTAATTATTAAAGTATTCAAGTAAAATACAATTTGACCTCGGGAATATTGTAATGGTTTTAAAGTTGACTTTTTGTTCTGGACAGAATTTGAGGAAATGAAAGGCACCATGACGTAGATCGCATTGAGATGAGCTCATAGACACGTAGTGGACTCAAATCGGAGTTGTAACGAAGAAGTTACCATCTAAAGAAGCCCAATGGCAAAACCGTAATTATTTCAAGAAGGGTTTAAAAAAAATCTGAAACCTCTCTCTCTCTCTCTCTCCCTCCCTCCCTCCCTCCCCTAGAGCCTCCCTCCTGTTCGCAACCCCCCTTCCGCGCGCACGCGTGCGAGTAACGGCCAATCGGTTTTGGCCTTCCCTTGGCCGCGTCCAACAGCCTTTGGCCACAAGGTCGGTACCAAAAGAACCAGCACAAAGTCTCCTTCCTACGCCACCCCTCGGCCGCTGCCATCGCCGCGGCATCTTGCCGAAAATCACGAAAGAAGAGCCAGTTTTGACCCAAACTTCCCGGTGCTTGTTCCGACGATTCCGTCCACCAATTTCTTCGATCTAGGTATGCTTTTTCATCCTCTCAATGTGTTCTACCTGATGGTTGGGTTGAATAGGATCGATTTCTGCATTTCGTAACTTGATTTAGAGATTGAAATTTGGTTGGTTTTCAGCTCACGATTTCAGCCATTTTCGGCCACTTTTTGGGGCTGGTCCAAGAACAAAAGCTGCTGCATTCATTGTTCTGATCATGTAGGTATAGGTCTTGACTGGCGGCTTGGAGATTTTCTTATCGTCGGAATCACTTTGGACACCCATGCACTGCTGGCGCGTGGGTCACTTTATGGTAGGTCTTTGGGTCCTAAAATGATCCCCATATCGTCTTGAGCACGATGGCATGCTCGAATTTGAAATTGGTTATCATTTGACCGTCGATCGGATATCGCATATTGGGTCTTATCCGGGTTTGATACTTTCAGACCTTTGGATAATTTTCAATTTAAAATATGTTGATCTAGGCATCTCTACGATCATGTAGGAATTTGTGGATCGTGAATTGGAGTCCCGAATGCTCCAATTCAATAATTCAAAGTCAAGGATAAACGATAACTGTACGGTGAGCGATTCGACTGTTCGATGCGGACCAAACTGGCAGGGCATGTTTATTAAACCTTGTTGAACCCATAGGAACTTTTAGATAGGAAATTGGAGGTCGTGGGCCCGATTGACCAGATTTGTAAAGTTTAACCACTCGGTTGACAGAGAGTCTTCTGAGGTAGTTTCATCCTTCGAGAAGTGCAAGAACGATTCTAGGAACGAGGCTTGACTATTATGTGAATTATTTTGATTATGTTTGGATTTTGAGATTAAATTATAGTATTTTTATGGTATTCTTGGATGTTATTTCGGATATTCGAAGATTATGCATTATTAGAAGTGATGAGATCTCTAGGGGTTATTTATTTATTTATTATTATAATTATTATTATAGTATCTGACTGAGTGTTATTGGATGAGTTAATGTTTATGAGTTACTATGTAATCGCTTTTACTTTCTAAGGATATTATATTTTAGTTGTGAAGAGTTGTGAATGGTTTGTTAATCGGTTTTCGACGTGAATAATAAACTAATTAATATCTAAGTGCATGTCTATATTTAATATATATACTCAGTGGTTTGAGAATGATGAATTATGGGTACTAGTTCTCAACAGTATGTGGTGTAAATTCAAAGGTAGTTGAGAACTGATTTTTGGAAAGTTGAGAAAAGATTTGAAATATGGATTTGTGGAATATGGGAAATTTTATGATAAGTTTTGGAATATAGTTTTCAAACCCACCACAAGGATCCCCCCCCCCCCTCCCCACCCCCCCCCCTATTGCCTATGAACAGTTTTGTCAATTATGACAATGCCCCACAAGTTCGGGGACGCCTGAACTATGTGGTGCGAGGATGTGTGTTCTTGGGTTGACTACGTGTTCTCCGAGTTCTGCGAGGAATGCGGCTCAAGTTGACTATGTGGCTCTTGAGTCTTGTGAGGAATGCGGCTCAAGTTGACTCCATGTTTCCGAAGTTTGCGAGGATGTGTCGCTTATGTGACACTTGGAATTGACAGAATATTATGAATGGGGGTACGCCTAGGTGGATAATATTTTGGTTTCAAGATGTTTAAACAAAAATTGATGATTTTATCTTGGTATTTTTGAGTAAAAATTTTAAAACCTATTTTTTGATTTTATGAGATAAGGATTGGAGGTTTCCAAGTTTTAAGGATTTTCTACAATTCATATACATTCTCTTAAGTGATGAGTCTATTATTATATGTGGAAGATAGAAGCATGTTTTATTCAAACTATTGACAACAATATTAAGGTTTTACGTGACCGAAAGTTATTTTAGTAACTTTTTCATTTTCATACATATCTGAGTTGTTTTTGCACATATGTGAGTGGGTGAAAGATTGTCCTTAAATAAAAATCTTTTGTACGTTTTCAGAGGATTAGTTAGAGTTGAAGTTTTGGTTAGGGAAGTATGAAAGAACTACGAATGGCTTGATCCCTGAGTAAGGGTACGTAGGCAACCTAGAGTTACTAGGTACAACCACAAAATCAAGTGTATGAAAATTTGTTCAGTTAAATTATTTTGGGATTTGATAACGTATTCATGTTGTTCTAAGAGTTGAGAGCAGTTTCAAATGGCAGAATGATTTATTTGGTATAAAGAGGCCTGAGGCCATTCAAAGTTATTTGTTTGATGCATGTTGAACGATTGTGGCTATGAGTTGCATTTTGTACAGGTGAAAATTTTGGGAAATGAGCGAATTATAGGGGAGACTTTGCCGAAATTTCGACAGAAGTCAAACCGTAAACGAAATTTGAGTCTTAAATAGAAGGGCAATTTGGTCAAGTGTGCCCGGCACCCGCCAAGTGTTGGACACGCACAAGGTTTAACTCAAATTCTAAAGTGGAATTTGGATCGGGTCTTGTCATAACAAGCGGACATCTAAATGAGAGAATAACTATATATATATATATATATATATATGTATATGCTGTTTTATTAGATACTGTAAAACCGATTCAAAACTGGAAACCGGTGAAACCACACCGGTGTAACGGAACTGCACCGATAGTTTCTCTAGCCATTTTGGCAACAACCGAACCGCTATATCATGAGGCCCAAGATTAATCCAGCAAATTGGGTAGAAACAGAGAGCCCAATTGATAATCTTACAGGAATGAAATGACAAAAAGGCCCTTCGGCTTAGACAGAAATGACGCACAAATTGTTTGCTCTGCTGAGGCCTGCTTGCTGCTGGTGGAGATTGCGAGGGCCGAGTGACCGAGTCTCATAGGCTCCTCCAGAGAGAGAGAGAGAGAAGGAGAGAGGGTAGCAATGTTGTCTGGTCTGAAATTGAAGGTGAAACCCACAATCAAGCAAAGCTACAGCTTCCTGGGGAGCACAAAGCCTGGCCGTCTGCCCTACCATCTAAGACTTCCGGCTCGACGGGTGAACTCGGTGTCCGTACGGTCTGAGTATGTTAACGAAGCATCTCAGCCGTCAGTTTCGTCGCACTACACGGAAAGTGTGGGATCTCCATTACCTTCGGCTTCGCTTCTTCAGCTCTCCCACTGGAACCTCACCCACCGCCACATCGTCTTGCTCAATGTCGTTGCTTGCGCCGTAACTCTCTCTCTCTCTGGATTTTTAATATACTTTTTATGCTTTTGGAAGCATTGTTCTGTTTCTGATTGAAGTTTAATATGCTTTGGAAATTAGATTCTTCAAGGTGGGTTTTTCTTCAGGGTATTCTGAAAGCAAAACCCAACAATCTCAGCTAACATTTTTTGAAAGAATTACAGAAATTGGTGGTGTGTTTCTGCTATTGAGTCAAGTTTTGTTTTTGGTTTTTGTGTTTTTCTAATAGGCAGCAGTTTCTGCGACGTGGCTCTTCTGCTCTGCAATCCCCGCGCTTCTGGTTTGTAGTCTTGAATACTTGATTTTAATCAGCATTGGAAATTGGCTATGTTTTTATTGAGCAATCGCTGTTAGTAAAGTGAATTTCCAATGTGGTTTTCTGAAGGCTTTCAAGAGAGCAGCTCAATCACTTGAAAAGCTGATGGATGTTATGAGGGAAGAGCTTCCTGACACAATGGCTGCTGTTCGTTTATCCGGGATGGAGATCAGTGACCTCACTATGGAGCTCAGTGATCTTGGGTTGGCATTACCATTTCAAAGTTCTTATATGCTTGTCTTAAGCTAAATGGAAGATATCTTTAATTAACTCATTATCAGCTGACTCATTTGGTTTGTGGTGCAGCCAGGAAATTACACAGGGTGTTAGAAGTTCCACTCGAGCTGTTCGCGTGGCAGAGGAGAGGTTGCGCCGCTTGACAAACATGGCTCCATCAGGTTATCCATGTCTTCTATAGTCTTTTTTTGGTTGTTGTTGTTTTACCTTTAGTTTTCAATTGGGTTTTGGAGCAATGAATGTAAAATTCATCTTTACTTGCTTAGCATCGGTGCAGGAGGTAACCAGTCCGAAAACTGAGGTTCCAGGGCCAGTTTTGGCTAGAACTGCAAGAGGCATACGGGAGGGGATTGTGAAGGGCCGTGCTCTGTGGCAAATGTTTTTCACTATCACCCGGTTCTCTAGGCTGGCACTCAACTACATAACCAGCCGAAATAAACGGTAGAGTAGATCACAACCATACAAGAGCTTCAGGGTGAGCAACATCAATTTTTTGTGAATATACGTAACTTCAAAAAAAATGTTTCATGTCCCAATTTAATGATTCCAAGTTAGGATGGTGAACTTTGTAGTCACAGTTTTCCGTTTCAGAATGTTGCCTTCATGATAGATATCCTTTGGTTTGCCTTGTTCCTTTTTTTTTGTCACTTGGAAGTGTAATTGGTTTCTTGTAGATTTATATGAGAACACCTCTGTAATGCCCTCTGCTTGATCAAATAACATCGTCTGCTTTTAATTTTCCCCCGTACTACGTTACAGCTTTGATTAAAGTTGTGCAATGTTATAATCTGATTAATTTTGGGTGTTAGTTGTCTGTGGCTTGATATGTTAACCTGGTATCGATTAAACAGTAAATATATATCTGGAACCAAGTCATTAAAGATCACTCACTACTATAGGCATATACTCTTATGAAATGTATTGTATATTCATGCTAGAACTAATATACTGTATTGAAAATACAGTTGAATGCGTAGCTATAAGCCTATAACTAGGATTAATCATTTTGTTGGATTGAACATGGTTGGATTTTGAACAAGTAATTCAGTTGATAAACCTATATCCTAGTATGCCATTTTTGCAGGACTAGTAACACTGAGTTTTAGGAGAAGATGGGTGAGTTTGAGAAGAACGACAACAAATGGTATTAACGAGTATGAATACACTAGGAATCTAACAAATGGACCAAATTGCTGTTTATGGCTATGTGAATACTGAGGTTCTTTGCTTGGAGTTTATGGAGTAACAGGTATAAATTTGGAAGTCATTGAAAAGCAAAGGAGGATAACCGAGCACCACAGGTACAGTTAGGAAGAAAATATATTAATTAAATGCTTTAGGGTGAGTGGGAAAAAAATGGGCAGAAAATGTGATTGGATGGTAAATTGGGCAGAAATTATGTTCTCTTAGAGAATTTTCTTTTTATAGTGAGGCCCTTGCATGATACTTGGTGAACGTAAACATACTTGTATTAGGGTTTAATACCACAGTGTCCAGTGTTTTCCTCGAATTTGAACAATTTCTTCCTTTGAATCTTGGTCTCTTTTGCCGAATTTGACATTAATCTACTTTAATGCGTGAGCCTCTACGTGTGATTAACGGATTAAAACACACTAACCAAATCGGACAAATTCAAAATTTATGGTCACATGATTTCTGTAATGTGTCTACAAACCTGATGTTATCAATTTTCTTCTGGGGAAGGAATCCAACTTTATTATATATCTTAGAAGCAAAAAGAAATAAAACTGAGAAGCTACTTTTTTCTTTCTTTCTTTGGTCTGAACCCTCACTCACTGGCGGGTACAAGTGAAAAATGAAAACCTTAAAGCTGCGAAAACCCACAGCCTTAGTAAGGTTCCCTGTGGCAATAACTTAGGGTCTAATATGAGAAACTTGCTTAAGGATGTGAGTAGATCTGAGCACAGATCGGTTCGGGAGAGATCTCTACCTGTTAACCATATCGAACTTTCGGAACCCCAGCCCTACTGACCTGGGCACGTCATGTGAGTGTTGAGAGACTAGCAAAGAAAATCAATCTCTTTTACTTAGAGGTTGCAGTGTAGCAGCAGATGCTTTTGATTTATGGTCGGATTTGCAGACAGCAACTAATGGTACCCACATGCTGGCCCTCTCCTTCTCCCTGATTTTGATAGAAGGGAAAGTGTAAAGGACATTGAGAGACTCCCTGATTTTGATAGATGGGAAAGTGTAAAGGACATTGAGATTCTGGCTTGCAAGAGAAATGCCAAAGACAAGAGCTCCATTCCAAGTAAAACATGACAAAAGTACCACCTCCCTTTCACCTCACGACCGCCCTCATATACACTATACACTAGTTCATTTCTGTTTCTTTTTTTTTCCCCTCTTGGAATGTTCATTTCTATTGCTTTGATGTTCTCACCACCACAATTTTACTACCACAAAAGGGTAGAGATTTTCATGCTGACGTTTTACCAGTTCGTATTCTTTTGTATATTTATGTATTTTGGTAATTGAGTAAAGAAAAGGAGAATCAAAGTACAAAATAAAAGGCAGATATGAACTTAGTCAAGTTGGCTAGAGCGGATGTGCTCTCTCTTCTCCACTCGAGTTCAAATCCCACTCCCGTAGTTTAGATTAGATTAAATTAGAATATCGCTTGCATAAAAAATATATATAAACAAAACACAAGAAGGGATGTGTACGTGCAAAATGAAAATGAAAATCGCTACTCTAGCAAATATTTTGACAAAAGAGATGAGTAAAAATTATTAAATTGCAAACTAATCCTCTTTTTATAAATATATATAGAGGAACCCTACTTTTTCCTAAGCTTTTTATTTTCTTTCAACAAGTTTGGGTGGGTTTCAATTTCCAAAGCAAACAAATTATTTACAGACAACGTATATAAACACCTCTGGTTTTTATACATTGTCTTGGAATATCTCGAATCTACAAAATTGTTTTATGCAAGACGTCTCTTTAATTAAACACTGAATTATCGATATGCCATACGATATTCTATCAATATTAACGAAAATACAAACATGCCGGTATGTTTTGTTGTTTACAATGACATCGACACATGACATATCGATAGATTAGACGTCCTGTATAGAGCCAGATTAAACCCATCAATACTATTGCTTTATATAGAAAAAATGGTAATAAACAAAAATTATCATGGCAATAGCTATTTGGGTTAGTGGCATTGATCCCCCACTTTGTTAGAGAAGGAAGTCCTTAACTCAAATATTATGAACAAATTGTTGTTGAACAAGTGTAGAAATCTCATTTATTGTGAGGAGGAGCTCGTTTTAAATTTTAAGGACCCAAACAGCGCTCTTTAAATTATCATAAATCATAGTTGAGAAAGCACAAAGAAGACAGAAAAGGAAGTTAAGAACATGAACAAGGAAAGCTCATTACTAATGAATAGAAGTGAAGTAGGAAGAGCTCCTGATCAATCACAGACAAAAGAACCCAAAAAAGGGAGAGCAATTTACATTTTGTTATAGCAAAGAAACCAACAAGAGACTTCCATTAGTTGGATAATAGATCCATAACTGTACATTAATGTCCTCATCAGTTCTACTTGATTAGAAATAGATCTTACAAATGTAAACCAAGACCGGATAAAAAAAAACTTGGATGGATGGAGGGAGAAGAGAAAAAAAAAAAAAAAAAAAAAAAAAAAAAAAAAGAAAGCTGTAGGCTAGGTTGTGGAATGTCTGTGTTGAGCTAGAGCTGTTTGAAGTAATTTAGGAGGAAGAAACAGAAGAAGAAAAGTTAATCTGACCACCTGGACCAGAGCTTATAGGTGGTTTAGTCGCCTTCCTTGATCTTGTAGCCATCATCATAATTGTCTCTTCCTGCATTACATACATAAATACATACAACCAGGCCCATACATATAAAAAGAAAGGATGGCAAAACAAACTATTAACGAGAGAGAGAGAGAGATTGGTATATTACATTAAATTTCATTTCTCTTTCGGTCCGTAGAGGAGGGGGGTGTTGACTATGATCATCATGAAGTCCAAAACAGTCGAGGCAAGCCTTGATGACTTGTTCAAAGAAAGTGCAGGGGCTGTTGAAACGGGGTCCTTCTCTCTGCTGCTCCTCAGTTGCTGAACTTTCCATATTCTGATGAATTTCCTTTTGGTTTTCTTGCCTCTGCTTCTGCTTCTTTTGTCTACTTCTTCTTCTTCTTCTTCTTCAATAAGTTTGCCTATTTTGGTGATCGGTGGTTTGGTGCAGTATTTCACCTGACACCTTATGTTGTCGGCGAAACACAAAAGAAACAAAGTATTTCGCAAGAGACACCTGCCACTGTGTTTTAATGCTAAGAATGAGTGAGAGAGTCTTTTGACTTGTGAATTTCCCTTCTTGCTTTTAAATACGGTTTTTGCTCCTTTTTATGTGGGAAAATTTAGAAACATCATCAAAAGTTAATACATCAATTTCAATTTGCCAACTAGAAGAAAAACTTCAAAAATATCATCTCAATTTTTCAAAATTTATGATTTGTCATATGACTACTCTTTTTTTTCTTTTTCTTTTTTTCTTTATTTTTTTGTGGTCAAGATATCTTAAGAAACATAAGATTACAAAAGGTCAAATAATAATAAGAGTTTTTCTATTTAAACCCCACAATTTCTTTGTTCACTCAAATACTTTAATTATTAAACTATTACGTTTTATTATTGTGTAAAAAGACAAAAAAGTCATTCAACTTAATACTTAACCCTAGTACATCTATGCTCATGTTCAGAAGCTTTGATCTCCTTTTCTTCAGGAAGCAATGTAGAAGATGGTATTTGAAGTTGCTCTTTTGATATCCTTTCATGGACTATCTAATAAACAATGATCTCATCTTTGGAAACTACGTCAGTGCTTTGAGAATCAACTTTAGACACTGTTTCAAAGGTTTCTTTGATTTCTTCTTTAGTTTCATGAACATTCAACTCTTCTGGAGCCAATTCAGAAACTTTGAGCTCCCTGGGCTCTCCCTTGTGCAAGATTGTCTCTTCTATTGACCTCGCAACAAATAAATCTCCCCCACTTTCATCGACTGTCCTTTTTATTTTCTTGGTAACAATGTTTTTATCTATTTAATTTTATGTTGGGTGTGTATTTAGGGATAGTTTGGGAAGATAGTGGGGTTTTCTTAGAAATTGTGAAAATTTGAATTAGAAGTTGGGATGAACTTAGAATATGGGGTGAACAAAGAGAAGTGTGGGGTTTAAATAAAAAAACTCTAATAATAATCATAACATCTCAGGCACAACATCATTAAAACTAAAACAAAACAAAATAAACTGAATTAAGTCCACAAACAAAAGCCCAACAACACTATAAACCCGAACCCTATCTAATAAGGTTAACTTTAACCATGAGTCGTCGTTACCATTGCCGCAATCACTGCAGCCGAGATGAGCACCGCAACCACTAGAACAAGAGTTTATGAAGACACCCGAAGAGACTGACGAACGAGAATGGTGAAGAAGCCAAAGCCACATCATACTCATATGGTCAAACCACGGATCTAAGAAGATCCTACACTCCCAAAACCAAGTAGCCTTCTACATTAGTCTTGAGAGACACTAGCATAAGGGAGGAGAAGTCAGTTGAACACTCAATAGCTAGGGAAGGGACAAAGGCATGGATGTGACAGTGGGGTTGTGATTGAGGGAAAACAGAGGGGGGAACAACCCTGAAAAAACAAAAACAAAAAAATAAAATAGTGGGGTTGTGATTGAGGGAAAATAGAGGTTGGACAACTATGAAAAAACAAAAACAACAAAATAAAACTCTCACAAGGAAAGAAGAAACTCTCATATAGGAGAGAGATAGAAGATTAGCTGACATGGGAGCAAGAAAGTAAAGAACAAAATAGAGGGGCGGGGAGGAGGAACAATGACCTCCTCTCTCATCAAAGGGGGCTGCGACGTTAAGAAAAGTTTTAGGGGAAGGGCAGTTAGGGTTGGAGAGAGAGAGAGAGAGAGAGAGAGAGAGAGAGAGAGAGAGAGAGAGAGAGAGAGACGTCACATGACTACTCTAATCCTATGTTTGGATGAGGAATTGAAAATTGCAGAGAATTATTAAATGACAACACTTAGATATCCGTCGTTTAAATTTCTGTCAATTAAAATTTTCAATGTTTGGATTTATGTATGTCAAATTTTGTGAATGACATAAATGATAGTGAAAATGAATTCCTACTCAATAGAAATTGCAAAAGAATGAATCTTCTAGTGTAAATTAAATTCAGGAATCTTGATCCCCAATTTCCAAGAATTTTTATGTTTAAGTTGTCAAACAATGGAAATATCAATTTCTACTCTTCAATTCCCATCTAGGCCTGCCCATAGCCCTTTGAAACCTCGGCCCTGCTGGAAAAATTTTAATAATGTAAAACTCGCCCTAAATTGAAAAAATTCTGATTGGCCCGGCCCGTGATGAACCTAGGTAAAGGTATTGCAATTTTAAATTTCAATAAATTAAAAAAAAAAAAAAAAAAAAAAAAAACCAAAAAAAAAAGAAAATAAAAAAAACAACAACCTTACCCTCCTGTTAAGATTTCAAAGGAACGGATCCACGACTCACTATTAGCAACATTGATATTGTATCCAACTTAACCTACGTATACTGTGTGAGGTTTTATACAAAAGGTCTCATTGTTATTGGTAGTGGAACTATTCATTATATGTTATATTTTATTTTGTTAAGTTTTCGATGTGTAACTTCATATTCTTCAACACTCCCCCTCACGTAAAGCCACTCTTTAATAGGCCACATATGCAATCAATTTCACATCGATAACTTTTATTTTTTCATTCAGAGTTTTGTTTGATTCGGGGCCACATACTAGACATCCTCAACCGCTCCCATGGATTTCAATAAATTGAGATGACATCTCTCTTCAATTTTCTTTAAGGTGGAAAATAGTATTTAACTTATTCATATATCATGTGTTTACCTATGAACAGCACACAACATGACCACATTCTAATGAATCGAACCCAAATACTCTTATAACATGTGCATGATGTTAGTGCATGTAAATTTCAAGAGATTAGTTCTTAGGTCCCACAATTAGGATCCAAATTAGGTACAGCTAATGCTAGTGTAAATTCAAAAGTAAACTCTAATACTACCGTAACTAAAATCATTTTCATTGCAGATTTATATGGTAAAATACAACTAAATTTTCTTTTCAAACAATGTCCGAGTCCTTGGTTCAATGGTCCTCTCCTACAATCTCCTACAATCACTCAAATACCATTCTCAATCAATGTGGTATTTTTACAATTTGGTGAATAAATTGGTGCTGCAGAACAGTACCAGGCTTGGAGATGAGCTCCTACACCTTATATCACCTTGCCGTATTCCAGTACCATACAATATTTTCTCACACCCCACGAGTCCAGAATTGGTTTCTGGCTACGAGTGTACTTGTTGGTGATCTTTGCTTCACCCCTTACAAGTTACAACCTAAACTAGGCAACCCTTGGGAGGAGAATTCACGTCAACTTTCTCTTCTTTTTCCTCTTTGTGGGGTTGAAGAACTCTCAGAGGCAAAGTCCAATCCCAGACACTTAAGAAATGCGAGTCTCGCCAGCCTAAAATAATAGCAAGGGTGGAAATATAGATGGAAAGCTGTAGGGGCCTCCATTTCTAACATGTCCTCTCCTCTCATTATTCTACTTCTTGTGCTTGCTACTATCTCCCCTTTTATGCTTTCTTCTACCTGCCAAGATCTTACAAGCTCACATTTGTGTACGTATAATTATACATTGCCTAATTCTAATTACAACAGCAGGTGTTATCATTAAACATGCTTAACTAGTCAGCAAAAACAATGAACAAAACATTGTCATATGAAATTTTCTATTGGCCTAGAATAAAAATAAAAATAATATAAATTAGGTTAAAGCAATTTTAGAATGAAAAGGTAATGTGGTTTTTTTCTTCTAAACAAGGGCAACGAGGGTATTTCAAATTAAAGATGAGAAAACCAAAGGGTTCTACCAGAAAAAGAAAAATAATTTGGACTTTGGAGTATGTTAATTGGTACAAGGGTTTTACCACAAAATCACTCAATTTGCACAAAATGGAATTTCCACCAAAAGCACTACTCTCAAACTTGAAGACGGAAAGCATGCGTTCCAATTGTTCAACAAAAGAAACAAAAGAGGTACCCCAATTCATTATATGTTGTAATTTATTTAGTCAAGTTTCCGACGTGGGAGATTATATTCTTCAACATCTTCCACAAGGTTAGAGGGAGGTTCTCTTTACCTTTTATTTTAGACAAATTATGGGCAAATTATAGATGAAATATGTAAAGAAAAAAGTGCAGGGTCCTAATTAGGCAATTATTGCACAATAATATTAGGCCAATGGATAAGAACTTCTACAAATAAATTTAAAGTGGGTAGGGAAATGCTGCTGAACCCACCCCCAAACCCCACCAATCCCCTATCCCTGCCTTCAAAAGATGACCCAGAAATCGAAAAAAGGGAAACCAAATTTCGAGTCATTGTAGCTTTGCTTTGAACGATTAAAATAAAATCACTTGTAACTCAAGCGATTAAAAGCGGTCAAGGATTCGTATCCCCCTCCCCACTATGCTTTTCTTGTATAAAAGAAATTGGAAACAAGTAAAACTAAAACCGAAACGAACACAAATATAATTAGTAGGATTGGGAATTCAGGAAACTATTTATTCATTTCTTTCTTTATTTCTTTCTTAGATTCTTTTCCACATTTTCCTAGCTGCCAAATACATTCCACATCTAACTACAAACGAAATCAATAAGCAAAAAGGAGAGAGGAATCATGTAAAACAGTGAGAAAACAGAGTGGTGTGAGGAAATCGGTACCTGGGTATTTTGTAAGCGGTGTGTAAAAGCTGTGGTTGAGGTGTTGTGCTTGGGAAGATCATCAGCAACTAAGCGGCTAGTGGAAGAAGATGAAGGCTTGTTGTTGCTAGTGGTGGTGGTGTTGCTGTGGTCCCCGAGATCTAAGACTAAGATGCTGAAGCAGAAGAGAAGAATGAGGAGGAGGATCATCACCATCACCTGGATCCATACAAGCCATGGGATTCTGTAGCTTTCTATTGTGAATTCATCCCCAAAATTGTGCATAATCAATATATACGACTTCAAACAGCCAAGATTGAGAAACAGAGAGATGGGTTGGTGAATAAAAAGTCAGAAACTGGTTCTCTTGTGCAGCAGAGAACAACAAGAAAAGGTGAGAAATTGGTCACAGAGAGAGAGAGAGAGAGAGAGAGAGAGGAGTTGGAGTAAAGAAAAGGAAAGGGAAGGTGATGAAAGGGTAATAAATAAACATATTTATTTATTTGCAGCTGAGAAAGATAACAGAAGTTTGAATCTTGCACGCACCAATTGACGCGCCTAAGAAAGCAGTGGAGCTATTATTTATCAGATCTATGGCAGTATCCGTCTAGGACGGTGACTCTGGGAAGGGAAATCATCCACAAATGTAACATTTTACAGAATATGCTTTTCAATATTTGATGATCGTGAAAAACTTCATATGAAAAAGAAAAAGCTACGTTACGGTGAACAGTAGAAAATAATATTACACTATTTAACTTTGGGAATTTGATATTCTCACTCGTAAATTGTCATCATATAGGTTTTTTTTATATCTATATATATAAAGCAAAAGACAAAGAATAGTGAAATATTCAAAATACCAGAAAATGTAATTGGTTAATTTAAACATTAAGAATTGAAATTATTAATTAAATGAGGATAATATGGTAAATTCACATTTTTTTAATATTAAAAAAAAAATCAGATAATTGGTCCTACTTTTATGGAACATAATTACCCATGTTATCTTTTCTTAATTCTAAAAATAAAATTAAAAATTAAAAATTAAAACTAATTGGCACATGTGTGAGCATGTGCCAAGGGGCTAGTAATTATTAATAGATAAGGAGTGGATGATGAAGTTTGTTTTTTGTTTTTTTTTAATAAAAAAAATGTTTAGGGGGAGATTGACTACTCTCACCACCAATGTCTGGACAAACCTACAACCTCGAGTCGGAATGACTTATGCTTAGCACCCACTGTCAACTACCACTGATATGAATTTATGTAGGAAATTACAGATCGCACACTATCTTTTCATCATCTAAGTAATCTTTAATAGGTTAGATTTTTTGTAGGTTTGATATGAATTTATTACATTAAATTTACTTCTATATTGTGAACCAATATAATTTTTTGTTTATGTATATTGTGAATCAATCCCTTTAGGGGGATCGGTGGCCTCCATCCCTCTCCTCCTCCCCTTTCCTTCCCTTCCTTACCCTCCCAAATCTTCCCATCCCATCTTCACTTCTGCTCCTTGCCCATCCCCTCTAGCCCTTTCGTCTTGGCTTCGTTTGGTGGCTGCTTGGTCGTCTTGGTGACGACGTTATGATGGAATGATTTGATGGATCTATGTCAGATCTATGTGAATCTGTTTGTCTCCATCCTCCCTTGGTTTGCTGCGCTCCTGATCCGAGCGGTGGTGGTGATAGGGCGTTATGTTTTGTTTGTTGTTTTAGTTATAATAAGTGCAATAATTCTTTGTGAGATTGTTGAATGGTCTCTCTTCAAGAGAGCTTTAGTCTTTATTTAGGTTTCAAGTTTGTTTTCTTGGTCACTCTTTGGGAGATTTTTTTGCTTCATTATTTATGTTGGTGTGTTTTCAGTTTATCCAACCCGCGTCTTGGTGCATTTTTCAACTTTTCGTGAAAAGTCGCTAGAGTGAAGCCATGTGACATTGGTTTGATGCTAGATTCAAGCCCTTAGAGTTGTGATTGGGGGAGTACCATAGCCATAATTATCTTTTTTAACCCATTAATAGGGGGTGTACTGTAGCGTGATTATCTTTTGTATCCCATTGAAACTTGTATTGGGTCTTTGTTTGGGTCTGACTATGGGTTCAAGTGATTGGTTGCCTGTGTGGCTATTGTAATCGAGTCTTTAAGCTTTTATTAATGAGATTTCTATCATCTGAAGAAAAAAAATGTCATGCAAAACCTTCAATATTTAATGACTATCTACTCTATAAGTCTAAAAAAAATATATACTCCCATAGCGTATCCATTTGGGCAAGTTGTTTTATATGAGTTTTTTCAAGTTCATAGATGGATGAAGAAATTTAAAAGTACTAGGCAATTCATAACAATGAGGTCTAGCCAGGTGGAAAATGGCATTGACCTGCATAATAGTGGTCTCAAGTTCGAACCCCCATGTTACCTTGGCAAACAGTGTGTGTGAGAAAACTCCCCCTTCCCTAAGATCGCTTGTATAAAAAATAAAAAATAAACGTACTAAGGAATTCATAAACGATGAAATTTCAAAATGATGGAAATTAATATTCCATAATTTATAAAGTTTCTTGTTTGGCAAATCTAAAAGTGTAATGAATTTAAATACAGGATTTTATGTTTATATTCTTGTGGTAGTGGTTGTGTCATCATGTGCGATATTGATGATGGGGTTACCAGTGGTAAAGTGGTGGCGAGCTAGGGATGGTAGAGTTGTTTCATCTCATTACTATAATTTCAACTTCATTTATTTCATTGGATAAGGTGAGTTGAGGAAGCTTCGTGACCTGAAGTGTTGACGACTTCCAATGAATTGGTGATACACAATGACTTCTAATGAGTTATGATAAATAGGATTCAACTTAGTTCTCCCCTTGAGTTGTGTTTATAGTAAATTCAATTTTTTTTAATATAAGCGATAGTCTAAACTATAAAGGAGTATGAGGTGTCTCACACACACTGCTAAGATATCATGAGTTCAAACTTGAGATCATTGTTCGGTAAAGTTGAATCCTATTTATCATAACTCCTCTCACACACACTACTAAGGTATCATGAGTTCGAACTTGAGATCATTGTTCGGTAAAGTACCCGCAATTATTTCTCATTTCTAGGTTTTCAACGCCAAGAAAATATTTGTGTTCATTTGTGTGTTATTTTATTTCTATTAACGTTCTTAGCCATATTAATTTTTTACGGTTCAAACCGAATTAATTTTCTCAAATTATACTGTGGTGATCGAACCAAATCGGACCATATTAGGTATGTCTGATTTGATTTGGCTTTTTATCAGTTTGACCACCAGTTCGTTGGGTATGTTTTTATGGTTCACTAATAATATTTATGCCCACACCTAAGCAAAGTAACCACCCAACCAACCAACATCCTAAAGACCTATATATAAACCCCAGAATCTAGGATCAAATAGACTTTGGCAACTTTTTCTTTTCTTTTCTTTTCTAACCATACACAGACAGACACGAGAGCAGAGCGTGAGGATCACATGCTATGCAGAAACGTGGGACTGGTTGTTGAGGAGCCGAAAATCTCAATGTCAAATCTGAAGCGTCGGATAGTTTTCAATCTTACGTCATGCTCCATCAAAACGACATTGTTTTCAAGGGCAAATAAAGAGTACAGAGACAAAATCGAAAAGAAAAAATATATATATATGGTTGGGCGGGCAACACGAAAGAGGACAAGGTCGCAAGGACAGGGACAGAGGGGCTCCTGTGGGAAAGGACGTGCGTTGGGTGCGCGTTTCTCGGAATATGTTAAGTTTGATTAGGTGTCGATGGGCCCCACGCAACACAACGTGGCCTGGGGAGGCTGCTTTTTATACAGTCGATGCATCACCCTCCAAATCCAAGCATGTGATTATCAAACTCCACTACCCTCCTTTTCCATCCTGACGAAGAAGAAAAAAACAGTCCCATTTTCTTCATTTTATGTTATTTATCTGCAGTGAAAAGTGTGCGTCTCTTTGTCTGTGGGAGGTTTTATTTATTCTGCATAGACAAATGTTCCTCACTCCGACCCAAAAACAAAAAACAAATATGGCTCACAAGACGCAGACGCCTTTGTTTTAACTTTTTCGGTGCTAATGAGATACTCTGGCTTTTATGGCCGGTAGAGTTGTCAACAGGTCGGATATGGAACGGATCTACTTATACCTGATTTAATTCCAAAAATAAAGAAAAACTCAATTTGATCCGATAATCCGAGGAATCCTTCACAATTGAATCCGTATTTGAATTTTTTTTTTATTCATATCCGAATTCTTGGATTATCGAATATCGGATTCAATAATCTAATTCGAATTATTTTATCTCATAAATTAACAAAACTAACACAAAATATATATCATCTTCCTCTTGCATTTCTTGTGTTGGAGAACCAAAATCATATCCTCATAAAAAATGAAAACAACAACTATATAGAGGATATAGGAGAGATGAGAGAGAAGAATGCGACAAAGAGAAGAGATAGAAGATAGGAAAATGTGAGAAGAAGAATAAGAAGAAAAAAGAAAGAAAGAGCATTTGAGTGAAGGAGAGAGGAACAAGATGTGGTCTGCCTTACCCAAAATAAAAATAAAAAGATGAGGTCTGAGAGAAGGAGAGGGGACGAAGATGATGAGTAATCGAGGAGAGAGTAGATTGAGAAACATAAGCTACGTCCAGTGGCGGATCTAGGATTCTTGGGTCAAGGGGTCATAGTATAAAAGTTCCAAAATTTATCTATGAGGAAAATAACACTAAAAAAAAATAAAAAGGTAGTATTTCCATTTATAATTCATGGCAAAACCAACAATACAAGTTACAATTGTCCATTCGAATATTAGGACTATAATCCATCATTCGAGTTCTTAGTCCAGGGTCTATCTGAAGATTAGCCAATAACTTATTTATCTCAATCGGTCTTGCACTTGAACTACCCAGATTAGCTAGATAGAGAAGGACTATCGACAAATAATTTTCTTTTAAAGAATCATTCCATAATTCTACACATCAATTAATTCAATCCATCAATGATTTTATTTATTTATCCAAATTATCATATAAATATGAAAATGTCAATATTATCATACCAATCAAAACAAAACATTATCAATAAATAAAAAACATAACATAACAATCAATATTCAAACTCAATAATATGATTATCAATCAATTATAAACTCAATCAATCAATATTATCATATCCATAGATTTCATTCCATAATATATATATATATATACCAATATCAACTAATATTATCATTATTTATAAATATCAATTTTGCTCACTTGT